TTCAGATATACCGCAGTAACATGCGATCCCGATGTTTTCAGTCGGCCTGATGCCGGTTATGATTTGAGACCGAGGCTTCTGGGAAGAGATACCGAGTTATTCATCGTCATGACCATGTAAGATCTCTTAAGGTTGGCCGAAAATGAAATGACAATTAGTATACCTACTGACTCTGCATTTTAGGTACAACGAAGATGAGGAACTATTTGCAAAGACTATGACAAGTGTAGGTGTCCTGATCTGCCAGCAATAAAGCAGACCGGTAATTAAACCGTGAACTATTTACAGGTTCAGAAAAATATTGCCTATCTCTGCTCAGATAAATGCCCTGTCAGTTGGGGACCCAACGGTTGGACGAATGTCGTAGTCTGCATCGTTTCGGATGGTCGAACGAAAATACACAAAAGAGTGCTGACAATGTTGCAAGCGATGGGGGTGTATGCTCCTGGTTTAGAGAGAACACAAGTGGAGGGTAAAAACGTCACGGGACATCTGTATGAGTTTACAACCCAAATTGCCGTGGATAGAGATCTCAAGGTTCGAACACACAAAGATGGGATTGTGCCAGTCCAGGTAATGCCTCACGATATTAGCGTCAAGTTCTTCACTATCACCGCTGAAACCTTCTGGATCAGGTCTTATTTTGCTTGAAAGAAAAGAACGCTAAAAAGGTACCTGAGCTGATCCTCTGCTTGAAACTCAATGTACCGCAATGACCAAGCAAGAACAAAAAATTAGATCAATAGTCATCGATGGTTCTTCAACGCATTCGGACCCCTTTTGAAGCCAAATGTATGTGTTCTACTCGATGTTGGAACAAAGCCGACTGGCACGTCAATTTATCACTTGTGGAGAGGTAACGACTGATGGCAAAGTACACGCTCATTCAAACTGACTTTAACTCGCTCTATCCGATTCCTGCTCAGCCTTTGACCGGGACCCGCAAGTGGGGGGTGCTTGTGGTGAAATTGCTGCCGAGCTTGGTGGTGCTTGTGGAAACTTGCTAAATCCCCTCGTTGCTGCCCAAAACTTTGAGTACAAGTAAGTCTTTAACTTGCACCAGGTTTCCCTTTATCCACCATTCCATCCTAATGATGTGGTAGAATGAGTAATATTCTAGACAAACCACTCGAATCTGTCTTTGGATACATCCAGGTCCTTCCAGGAGCTTTTTCAGCATATCGATACGCGGCTCTTCAAAATTCTTCCTTGACCACAGGACCTCTTGCAAGCTATTTCCAAGGCGAGAGTCACACTGGTGAAACGGACGTCTTTAAAGCCAACATGTATTTAGCGGAGGACCGTATTCTCTGCTTTGAGCTCGTCACAAAGCGAAACGAGAACTGGATTCTCAAATACGTTAAGAATGCACGCGCGGAAACGGATGTACCCGCTGCCCTTCCAGAGCTCGTTTCACAGAGGAGACGGTGGTTAAATGGAAGCTTTTTTGCGGCAGTGCATTCAGTTACAAACTATCGCCTGTTTTGGCGGTCCTCACATTCGATGCCAAGAAAGATGCTCTTCACCTTCCAGGAATTATATAACATTTTCAATCTTGTGTTCAGCTGGTTTGGAATAGTGAGTTGTTATGCTGTTTTCTAATATTTAAATCTAAGCTAAACACCAATCGTTATTTCTATCAATAGGGCAATTTTTACCTGACATTCCGTAAGTCTCAACTCTTTATTATACTGGAATTAGCTCAGGAATACTAACTGGTGGTCTCCCTTGCTGATATAATTACAGATTTCCTCTTCCAAGGCACGAGGGATTCTACCACAGATCCATTTGGGGGGGCTGGAATGACAATATTTGTTGTTCTACGATATTTTTACTTTGCAGCCATTGGGATTCTCTTCATCATTTCTTTCGGTAAGCTTCTTTGCCTCTCAGTATTATATTATGTGTGAACATGCTATCGACACACATGTCGTCTTCATCCGTCGACAGGAAATAGACCACAAGGGAGTAAAAATCTGTACTACGCAATTCTCGTCCTTATGGCCATCATAATGGGATTCCTCCTCTTCATGGGTGGCCACACGGTATACCAAGGTATTCCGAAGACCGCAGCACAATGGGCAGCAATCGGCGATCTCCTCGTGAACCAGCCAGCCTTTAGGGACATTATCATTTCCCTTGGGAGTACCTACGGCTTATACGTCTTATCGAGTTTAATTCATCTGGATCCATGGCACGTTATCACAAGCATGGCACAATACATGCTCTTATTACCGGTTTACATCAACGTCTTTATGGTCTATGCATGTGAGTCCGCCCCTGTATTCTTGTGTCGAGAAAATCCTAACAATTTCTTTCAGTCTGTAACCTCCACGACATCAGCTGGGGCACAAAAGGTGACAATGTGGCTCAGATGGCCACCGCTTCGGCACCAGCTGTGAGCGCACCCAGCAAGGACTCATCAGAACCCGCGGTGACGGTGGATCTCCCTCAGGATGATGCAGATAGTCTCAACGTCCAGTACGAAGCAACACTACAAAACCTCTTCCGTCGTCCCGAAAAAGCCAAATCAGGGCGGGATCGCCAGACAAAAATCGACGATTATTTTCGAGCGTACCGTACGCGTGTTGTACTTGCCTGGATGCTCTCCAACGCGCTGTTGATCATCGTCTTTACTACGGATGCCATAACGGATAAGCTCTATGCCAATGTTCAGGATAAGGGTAAAGGCGCTGTCAACCCATATTTGACTTTCATTTTCTGGAGCGTGACGGCACTGTCGGCCGTTCGTTTCATTGGTAGTTTGATTTATATAATTATGTGGTTGTCCGAGGGAGTGGTTGGTGCTGTTGGTGGCAAGAAGACGTTTGTTCCACGGAATGAAGCGTCAAAGCAACGAGGTAACCCGGCTGGACGTGGGGGTCATGGCAGAGGCCAATATGCAATGTGAAAACCGCTGCTCAATATCTAAATTTGATGATGTTCGATTTATAGTATCGAGACAAGGATCCATTTTTGAATTGAGATTAAATTATGATATTGTACAAAGGCAACAGTGCCTTGAAAGCGCAAACAATTCAGCTGTTTTGCTCACTTCCTCTACAGCCAATTCGTTCAACCAGTTCTTCAACTTCGGGGTCCATCAACAAATCTGGCCCATTCCCATCAAAGCTCAGATAGCCCGCCGCCCAGCTGTAGTACTCATACTTCTCCAGCCAAATCCAGGCTAAAGCTGCATATTGATACTTGAACGGGGCCGCCAAAAGCTGCGAAAGATCAAGATGGGCCGGGAAACATTCTAGAGATTGTTCCCACCAAGCTTCCGTGCATTTCCCCCATGATAAGGTTTGGAAACTGGAATGTTCAACAGTGGCGGGGCGAATATGAGGTGCTGCCCTATCATTTATGGACCGATCTACATGAATCTCTTGTGGTATCAACGCTTGTTCTCGATTGTTGTCTTGGTCGCACTCTGGATTGAGGACGATCAGTAAGCGCTTATTGCCTGCTTGCGGACATTAACATACCAGCGATAAAGGCAGCGTTGACGTCGCACCTTTGGAGCCGTGGAGACACAGGTCCTGGGAGGGGACTTTCTGGACATGTGTCGATAGACGCCAGGGAATCCCCAATGCTCTCAACCATCAGCGACAAATTGGAGGAAGGCCTGGGCATGGTTGAGGATCTGTTGGCAATAGCAGTAGCGTCTATTCCTCGGCGTATCCAGCTCACACTCCAGTTTCTATGAGCTTCAATTGATTGTCAGTATGGGCCATTCTAAATGGAAGCACCTCATCAGGTGTCCTGAGCTTACGTTCAAAATCCAATTGGCAGAAAGGAAAGCGAAGGCGAAGGCTTCACGGCCTTGGCTTTTTGGCAAATGGGGCAGTGGTGTCCGGCTTTTATAATTATTTTCACGCCCAGGGTGTCCGGACCCCAGTAGCCATGCAACAATCTGTGGTTGACCACGCCCCACGCATTTCTCTTTTGGTGGTCAACACTACTATCATGAGGATTTACTGTACATCGGAGAAACTCTCTGCGCCCGATGGTTTTTTTATTGGTAATTTTCCACGGGCGATAATATTTCGATCGCTGCAGAGCTTATTTGGCAGCGGCCCAACGGGATACAACGTGGGCGATTAGCTTTTTGACAGATGTGCATCGAAAGTCGGAGGGTCACATGATAAACTGTGCAATTCCACCCTCGCCTACAAAACAACCGATATGGACAAAATGCAATGTATCGCTGCCCTCCCCAGCTACCTATCAGAGATAATTCCCCTGAACTACTGGATTGCAATCTGTTTACCCTTCATTTCCTGTGATTTGGGGATTTTGACCTCTAATAAACCATTTTCATACTTGGCTTGGATTTTGTCAGTGTCCACGCCAGCGGGCAAGTTGATGATCTTACGAAAGCGGCCAATGTTGCGCTCGCGGACACGGGACGTTGCGCTTTCAAAGCCCTTAACACCCTTGTGTTCGCCATGAATGATCAGCTATACAGAGAGCATCTTAATAACGATGATCCGATTGGCGATTCAGATACAATCGAACCGTACCTGGTTACCGCTAACTTCAATGTTGATTTCATCCTTGGGAACCCCAGGCAAATCGACGTGAACGACGATTGCGTCGTCGGTCTTGCAAGATTCATTAATGTTGGTATCATTTGTATCAGGACGGTGAAAAGATTTTTTTCGTCTCATCCAACCTACCTCAAAAACATCAGCAGCTGGACGCCAAATAACGTCACCTGCAAATGAATCCAAGTTGACGATCGTGTTCAACATTGATTTAATCAACCTCCGGAGTTACCGTCATTTGTATACAATACTCTGCCAACTGTTCTTAGTAAACTCTCATTGAATATTTTGAATTTCCTTCGCAAGGCTTACCTTGAAGCAACATGTCTGGGAATTCGGTGGGACACATCGCCACCACCAGGCCAGCCACCAGTGACGCCGAGGTCGGTAGGAAAGGCGTTCACATTCTACCAAAGACGCACCACTGTCAAGGTTTTGGTAACAACATGAAGTAAAGTTTGCCTACAAGTCTTTTACCCAGTCAAAAAACGGGTCCCAGGTAGAGGTGCTTGCAAGAGCCATATTGAAATTATTGAAGTCGCTGGATGAAAGATTTAGACGAAAAAGATGTTGCGTCTTCTCCAAAAAAGGTTGGGGAAGAATAGAGACAAGTCTATATACCGAATGTTCTAGTCCATAAAATTGTGACGAACCAAGTCAGCATTGGTGACCAATGTCTCGTCACTCACTGTGTTGCGTGGGCTGCTCAAAGTCACGTCAGCTGCGATTCCTTAAGGGCCGCGCGTGCAACGATAGGCAAGCCTCTGAAAACGTTCTTGTATGCAAAAGTAGATGTTTTAGTTTATTGGAATATGGTGACCCAATGTCCCGATTGGAAGATGCATTCTCATGAGTTAGTCTCATGTCCGGAAAGATTAGAAAAAAGTACAAGCCCGATCGAGGCACTCCTCTTTCACGGATAATGATAATTCCTTTAACTTCTCTAAGCTAATGGTTAACCAGATTAGTGATGCATACGTTCTGGTAAATCACAGCAGCGTTTGCCTGGTGCCTTGAAAACCTCCAGCAGATGTGGTTGACCAGCCTAATTCATGATCGCCAAGCTAAGCCCCCGAATTTACGTAACGGCCTGTCAAGTTCCAGTTGGGAATGAAGCGGCCATGTTGTCCTGAAGCATACGTGCTCAAGCAAAGCATAGTCATACCATTTTTCTTATCATTCCATCCCGGAAGCTCACAATTAGAGCAGGATACAGTCTTTCTGTTGAGTTCAAACAAACAACGTGTTCTTCCTTAGACTGAGGCCGCTATCAAATTGCGGATCCTTTTGAGAGAAGTTGGTCATGGAGAAAGAAGCGTGCATTTTAATTGTGCCAGCCTTCCGGATACTGGTTTGCCCAATACCTCATATTTAAGTCTAAGCCGATTCTGACAGGCAATGAAAATTTCGGACATGCTCAGGAAACGCGCTTTGACAGCTCTCACAATTACGCGGCGATGCCCCTCCAACTATCTTTTCAATGAAAGACTGGGCGCCGTTCTTTCCGATCTATAACAGTTCTTCTGCAATGCATCTGCTTGCTGAAGAGCTACTCGGACTACTGCCCAAAGAAAGTGCAAAGGTCCACTGTCGAGCTCAGAGAGTCCATTTTCTGCTAACACGGATATGCCGAAAGTTCGTCGTTTGGTGTGTCGAAGCTGCCGAGATCTCATACCAGACGACGTTAAATCATTTCGAAAGCATTGTCAGACTATCTGTCCGCAATGGCTATTAGATCGGAGTGAACCACCACCCAGGGATATACTGGACGATCCCCAGTACGTGGCCAAAACTTTCCCTTGACAAAGAGCGGATATAGCTGGCAGGTTTTTTGCAGAGCCTGACTTCCATCTCTCTTTAGGTTCAGACCTGAAAAGAGCCGCTTTTGTTGCCATATATGTCCACCCAGGCATTCGGGTAACGGCCGATTCGACGGTTGCTTTGGAACAAAATATGATCAGGCTCGGCATGAGTGGGACAAGCATCGTACCTATGAAGAAGTGTGGGTGCCAGGTATATCTCAATTTTGTATAAAGATTTTTTAACGTGGTTGCAAACACATTGCTTCCCACGTTCAGATGAGCTGGAACCTACCACGCTATCGGCTGGAACTGAACACAATGCCACACAATCGGCAGCAAGTGCATCCCAGGGTCAGTGTTCAGTCCTTTCCATTACAGGTTGGCTGATTGGACTTTATAATGAGATCGAACGGCAGACACATACACAGGATTTACATGGCACCAGACATCAAGATCCTCCCATGGAAGTAAATCCGGACACAGCGCTCGTACAGCTGGTGTCAAGCGTCCGAGAAGTATCATTACTACGAAACGAAAAACGACTGCGAAAGGAAAGGAACCGGCAAGCGAGTCAGTCTATCCCATTTCGTTGGCCTCACCAGCTAGCAGCATCCTGCAGTCTCCACAAACGTACAACGAGCCAACATGTCATGGCCTTTGGTCTTTTCCAACTGAGATACCCAATACGTCTGTGCCAGCACGCATTACGAATACCAGCACAGAGATACCTACAGCGGTGAATCATATACCACAAGGAGAACCACGAGCTTTGGAACCCGTGAACTTTGAATCATGCCAACCCACTCCACCTCAAACGCCAACGATATACGATGAGCGTCTTTTAAGGGGGCTGTGGTATGGAGATTTGGATCGCCATGCCGCCCTGAATGCATCCCTGCCTGCGCAGCAAACAGCACTTTTATGGATCCGCCAAGTATTGGATCAGAACCCGGGACTGGAAACCGATTATGAATTCCTTTCCAACCAGGTTGACCCAAGCTTTGTGAATGATCCTGTCGCTCTTTCGAGAGTGGACCAACTGCTCCGTTCCACCCTGCAGTCGTATCCTGGTTCGAAATCCGGCATTCGGATACCATATTTTGCCAACGGTCAAGCTGCTAAATCTTTGCAGATTCAGCAATATCAAGACCGATTGGTTTCCGCACCGTCACCTCAGGATGGTGAGAGCGAGACTGGAAGACCTGAAACTTTTATATCGGGCCCATATCCTCACTATCCTGTGATTCCACCCTTGTCATCATTCATGCCCTCATCAAACGTCAATGCGATCCCTGCATTCTACTCTGGCGATCCAAATGTCTTGGCCGATACACCTGCGTACTTTCCACCGTCTAGGTATTCCTTTACGGATCCAGCACTGTATTCGTTACCAACGAACTTGGAGCCACCTGCAGACGTTGGCATGTACGGAACACGAGACGTCCTTGAAATCTATCATCCGGCTGCATGGAGCACAAACGATATGTTTTATGCAGAGGTAGACAACATGCGTTTCCCTAGACATGGACATGTTAATGGTCGGTTTGCAACACAATTTGAGGTGCCTGTGGTGGCATTTACCGATATAGAGCGAGTTGAAGCGGAACATATAATGGGCAGTACTGGTGGACTGTATGGATAGATCGTGTTGGGGCAACTGTTGAGATGATAATAATGGGATGTTCTTATGCGACCTTAATATTTAGAGTAGATGGATAGTGCATAAAATGAAATGTATGCAGTAGATACTTCAAGGAGTCTTGTTATTATTTACTTTGAACAGACAAATATGTACATAATCCCAGCATACTCAAACACCCGCCCGCCGTTCAACCATGAATACCCATGCTCTCTCGCTTGAGCCTCCCACTCTCATCAACAACACATGAGACAACAGTCAGTACAATCCTCCACACAGCAGCAACAGCACAAGGCCGCAAGACATCCCGTCAAAAATCCTCCACATCCGTCATCTCGTCGTCGCTCGTAGTAAACTGGTTGGGTCGTTGGGTATCCGTAACCGGATGGTTGCTGGTAGTACGCTTGCTGGTTTCCACCGTAGTAGCGAGAGTTTGATGCACCCATTTTTTAGTTGTTTTACAAAGTTTGTTCGGGAGTGTAATAAGCGTATAGATGTGGTGACGCGCAAATGTATTACGTAGTAGAAATCTAGAGTCTTGTTTTTATGCGTCTTGGTCGTTGTAGGTGAGTGAAGAAAAAAGGAATTTGGTCCATCTGGCTGCCTTTATATACCAGTTTGAACCCTCAAGTGCCAAGAGTGTTCCAAGACAATCGAAACTGTGACGTGATGAGCCAGCCACTCGATCAGGTAAGCGTGGCGGAGCTGCCGGTTGACGACGAGATGCGTGTTAGAACTGCTCGTTTGCCCCGATGTCACTTTTCTTTCGAACGTCAGATCATATTCGTCATCAGCGAATGTTCTGTACCGACTGCTCGTTTGGGTAGTAATTGGGGTTCCTCTTCTAGGCGGCACTATCTACCTAATAATGATCTGCGTGGCTTTGTCGTACGCAGTACAGGCGTTTGATCAAAAAAAAAAAAAGGAATTGGGAGACCATTGGCATCCAAATGATGAAAGAACAACTCGACCTTTATTTCTTTTTTTCTGTTTTTCTTTTTTGAAAAATAGCAATTAACATGTACACTTTTGACATTACGCCATCACGACATATATTCTACAACACAGAACTATGGAAAGCCAAGTTTCATACGAATAATGCTACTCCATTGTCCGGCAAGTTCACTGATTTTTCCATAACCACCTCCGCCACATGCTTGAGGGTTCTTGGCAGGCGTACCAACCTAGCCACTGCGGTTGTCGTCCACAGGCAACCATTAACTGCTCAAAGGTTTTTTGTGTCAGACCCGCAGCGTAGCATTCGCAGTCATCGTAGGAGCCACTACTGGCGGCAAGAAACTACCGCCAACAACAGGCGGCATCAAGGGCCCAGACACCTCTTGTGTCGGCTCCGGTTCAGTCACCCACGTCGCAACGAGCGGTCCAGTTGGATCCGGTCCGCTTGTTTCGAATAGGTCGGTTGGAAGAGGAATGGCCGGTGGTTCCACTGGGTTTGGTATGCCAGGAATGGGAATGGGAAGAGGGAGTATAACCGGGTCGATTGGAATCGTCTCGGGGACATTTTCGTCTGGTGCGATGGTGGATGTTGTTGCAGCGGTTTGTGTACTAGTACTGTACAATGTAGAGTTAACGGTGATAGATGTGCTGTTGAGAGAGGAAGTGGTGGAGGAGAGTGTCGAGGAGAGTGTTGGCAAGGTATTGTTGTCAGATATGGGTATCGCCAACGCTTTCCTCATCAAACACACTCCAACCACTGTGAAGAGCAAAAATGAACCTTGCCAGGAAATCATTGTGAACAGAGATGAACGGATTAGCGAGCGAAGGACATTTACCTGACAACCTTCTCCATGGTTTATAGCCTCCGCCAAGAAAAAATCCCAACACAAAACAGCCACGAGGGTTATCATGATCCCCTGTTGTTTGTAGTGCCCTGGCGGGGCCTAGTAGGTTAGTAAGCTGACCCTTGGTGCTCGTGATATTGGGTTGAGCAGTTGATGACCCAATCCCTTGGAAAGTTAGAAACAGTACAGTCTCACATCTTTCAAGCGTCCAAGTATGCTTTCTATGGTATGTGTATCGTTGTCTAATATAAATAAATACAGATAGCACCGCACATGGGTACTACTTCAATCCTGATATCTCAAACACCAAATGTATGATCAAAAAGATGATAGGGTTCCAGACGATCATGTAGCGCAGTGCATCCAACAGGTTCAGGTAAAGCATTTGCGACGTGTCCCATGGGTTCTTCTTGAACGCTTTTAGGTCAACTTTTTCTTTGCAATATGGGCACGAGTCCTTCTTGCCAATGATAGTCCATCCTCTGTACATAGTAGCCAATATCAACACCAGTTCAATAAACGATGGAGTTCATAATATAGTTACCTTATGCATTTTTCATGGTATGTATGTCCACATCCTAATCGGTGCAACTTTTGAGAACTATCGGCGGTACCATCGGATGTGGTAGTGTCGCCGCAAATGGCACACATGTTGGATCGCAGGTGCTTGCGAGGAAACCCAGTACGAGAATAGTATCCCATGGTGGTTGCCATTCGGTCTGAAAGCCTTTCCACAAAATCACGAGAGAGTGTTCCAAAGTATAAGCCATAGAAGAGGAGGATCACACCGGTCTAGAAACAGGGTTGGTGAGAACAGTGCAGTCAAGTATCCGCAATCATTTCTTTTCTTACCTCAAAGAACTTTATCTCTGTCTCCATCCGGATTCCCACCACCACCGGTATGTGGAAGAATGAAAGCAATACCACCACATATCCCACCACTCCAATACCATACGAGAGGTTGTACACCCACGTATACCACTTGTAAACCAATCTAGGAGTCACACTCTGCATCGGATTTTGCAATGCCATACGCACAATCCAGCCATTCGCCAGCGAAAAGAGGACCCACACAAAAACGTATCGCATATTTCCCGCTTGGAAGCCCATTATTGGGGGAACGATCCATAACCCGAGTAGGGTCGCCAATTGGAATGATTTAATATGATACTTTTTCCACACCAAGATGCCCAACTGAGATATGATCAATCCCATTATGAGGATGAGCGCCATTGTCGCATGCTGTTTCTCATGTCCCCGATGTTCCTCTGCAAAGCGAGCTTCGGCTTCTAACAGCGCCTGGTCGGCGTCGGACAGAGGTGGCCCAGACTGTGGTGTACCATGGGCGAGGACTTCGATGGGAGGCGGTGCGGCGGACATTGATGCGCGTCGTCAAATGGAATGTAGGGATTGGCAACCAAGGTAGAGGAACCTTGATGTAGGTTGCGAGAATCCCTCAAAGACCAATTAATCGTACCAAGACCTACAAGCAGTTGTGCGTCGGATCTTGAATAAGTGGAATCACGACTGCAATATCAGTGTCAAGAGGCAGTCAATGCTGTTTTTGTGCGTCAATCGCCAGATCGTGCTCGTCCTAAACGGATGCAAAGACTGAGTTCCCCCAACCAAATCTTGGGGGGCCCATTTGATCAAAAATGGAAATTCAAAGTCGCGGTAAAAAGCCTGGGATGTCGTAAGCAGAAAAACAACTTACAACGGCATGGCTTTTTGGGTAAGACTGACGGAACTGCGAATTGTAAACCAAAAGATTTTGCATCACAAGTGAACAAGGAATCCATCAGCCCAGCTCAACCATCTTATAATGTTCCATTCCACATACATCTTTCCCGGAACGGGAGTGCCGATACTTTTTCGGCAATGTACAGCCTGTTATAGAGCATAATCGGGGCTGTGGATATGTATGTGCTTTATGTGGCACTAATAGGTCGGGATTGGTCTGGAGTGTTGCGAAAGGGAAGGAAAGGGTGCTTGAATGAGGGGTTTGGACATAATGGATCTCAGTCGGGCGTATAGGGGCGTCATCTGCGCCTTGCTCCTTTATTTCGAAACAGGTTACTAACGGAATATAAAGTCCGTGCCGTGAACTATGCGCATTTCTCACCTCATCTTTGCTTCTCTTTTTCGTAGCCTGTTTTCTGAGTAATTTCTGTATGGTATTAATCTTGGCTTCCTCCGCTTTGGCATCTGCCTGATGTTTTCGCCGTCGGGCGGTCTCGGATTTTCGCAGTGCAATTTCTTCGGCTGTAAATATTTTCCTTCTAGAAGGGCGCTCTGAAAGAATGGATCAAATAAGAGAGAGTTGCTGAGAGGAAAAGTTTCAGATATGGCTCGATAAGTACCATCGGGCAGCTCGTAGGACGGTTCATCGGTCTCCCCAGTGTCTCGGGCAATCATTGCGCGCTGTCTAGCAGTCATTCGCTTACTTGGAGTGGGTCCCTCGGAACCAAGGGAAGAGTCACTAATAAAATGACGGTTACGATGACCCAAATTGCATCAGGTCAGCACATACTAAACAGGTACGCATAAATGCACGAAGATAGGCAAAAATATTACCTGTCAAAGTCATCAGAGGCTAGCCCCAACAAGTAACATCAGTATGGGCTACTTAAATCGTAAGACTAAATCATTTTAGGAGCACAGGATCACGCCCTACCTTTGCGTTTCTTGCTCGCCGCAGCCTTCACCTTTGAACCGGAACTCTTTTTCCCTTCCTTTGCTGAAACAGCACTTTTCTTCTCATCGTCATCATATTTCCCACGGGTGCTTTCACTCCTTGTCTCTTCCTTCGCGCGAAGAGCTTCCTCGTCTTCGTCCACTTCCATCAAGTCCTCATCGTCCAATCCAACAACGGCCTTGCGGTCTAAATCACTAGGTAACACGGCGCTATCTCGGTCCACATCATCGTCCTCGTCGTCAAATATGGAGTCCTCATTTAAAACCGAGAGGAGGTCCTCCTCGTCGGGTAACGAGCTGGGATGCGTTGGCGTCCCGACTGATATTGTATCGTCGTCGTCCATCGATGTTGGCGAAGATATGGGAGATGAAGGAGCGGGGGAGTCTGAGGCAATCAAAGAGGAAGGGAGAAAGTGGTGCCGGTTAACGAAAGTCTCTCTATTGGTAGACATTATGACGATTCTATCCGAAGTGACGGCGACAAAACGACTTTGTGCAGATCGTGCGCGTCTTCTGGCGTCACAGTAAGATTCACGGTGGTTTCAGGAACGAACCCGTGTGAAACCAGGGCCTTGTTGGAAGACCGGGTTGCAATAACATTGCCCTGCCAAATGTTTGACAGAGGTTGATTAGCTTATCAATTGCACATTTGAATAGCCGTCTGTAATCTTTTTAAAGAACTCTGGGATCGTAGATAATATCCAACATCCACCCGTCAAATGTCAACCGCAAGCACCAATCTTATGATGGGCCAGATACGATGATCTTCTAAGCGCTTTCTACTTTCTAATTTACAGAGCGCTGCACAAGCTAGCAAATGACCAATAACGTTGTATCAGTGTCTTTTCCAATCATAACACGTCCCACCATCACCAAACACCTTCCCGCTTCGTTTCATGCTTTCATGCTCATCCGCAAGCACCTGCGCAAGCATCCTATCAACACCCTGCTGGATGGTACCAGGGGCACCCTGTCCGCCCATGTCTGTTTGTACCCAGCCTGGGTCGACAGCGCTATGGCGAATTGAAATCAATGTTGATCAGGCGTCAGAATGCATCGACACCAGACAGAAAAGGCTACTTACATGACAGCAATCGCGCGCCCATGTCCTTCCTTTGCATGTAGCTCTGTCATGTAATTTAGTAAATGCTTTGACAGATTGTACGGGTTTGCGTGTCCGGTTTCGTCCTGCTCCCAATTTCCCGCCCACTTTACTATTTCTTCCGGGGACTTTGGAGGTTGCGCTTCAAGTTGCCGTAACAACGTCGATGGGAGATTTGCCGCATTCCCCAGCCCACTCGTCATATTAACAATTCTTCCCTTTAATGTCTGCGGAAGAATCTCCAGAAACTTGCGTGAGAGAAGACCGGGACCTACAACATTCGTCACCAGTGTCTCTCTCCACCCTTGTCCGTAAATCCCGGCATTATTGACAAGCGTTACAAGAGATTGGCCATTGCCTTGTTGCGCCAAGGAGGCCAACAGCGGATCGAGTTCATCCGACACAAATCGCAAGATGGATTCCGACGAGGAGACATCCAACTGTGCAGTGCGTATGCTATTTCCATTATTCACTCCAGATGATATGCGCGTAGCTGCCTCTCTAGCCTTGTTGATATCGCGGGCAGTCAGTAGTATATCATGATGATGGATTTTGAACAGCTGATGAGATAATTCGTATCCCAATCCCCGATTGCCCCCTGTGATGATCGTAAGCGGACGAGCGTTCATGATTGGATTATCTTTGGGAGAAGCCATTATCAACTCCGGAATACAACCACCGGATAGCTGCAACCACCGGATAGCTATCTGGGCAATTTGTAATGGTAAGCCCTCAAGCCCATCAGTATGCACGTGACAATAAAGCCCTGCTGGGTCTTTAATCGTTGGAGATGCACCCACAGGCCGCAAAGGGCAGACAGCAAGCCAGTGTGTCTGAAAGTCTGGACACTGTGCTTTTTCACATGAGATGGCGCAAGGAGGCAAGGCAAATGACGATGACTCGCCAGTGTGTGGCATAGTTACCATCTGCGACACAGAAAAAAACACGTAACGTGACGTTTGGGCTTTTTCAACAAGGCATTTTAAACAAAGGAAAAAACATCCACCAACAAACTGAGCATTTGGGAAGGAGTTTGAACTGTATCCAAGTAAAAATGACGATATTCTCCCCCACCGATTTTCTGTTTTTTGTTTTTGTTAAAAATGCAATCATCAGAAAAAAAAAATTATAATTCATGGTTTTCAAAGAGTGCTTACGACAAGCGTATACGTCGAAGTCACGTAAATCAACACAGGCTCCGAAATGGCTTTTGAAAAAGGATGAATTTATAAAAATGCAGGATTCTCCAAAAAGCCTTCTCGTCCCTGGAAGGAACAAAAGCCAAGATAGTGACTTTTACTCAAAGCCCTTTTCAAGCCCTGCAATTCAACGCAGCAATTGCCTGCTGACAAAAAAGACACCCGGATAGTTTGTCTTTATAAAGACTTGATTCATCACTCTCGATCAGCACTAGCCAATTATCAGCTCCCGTTCTTTGTCACAGATCGCCCAACTCGCAATGCCTCTCTCTCACCCATCGCCTGCGGCCACGATCGCCATGCATCATCATCACAGTATGCATTCTCCGAAACACTTTCATCATATCCCTTCGATCGCAGGCAAGGGATCGACCGCTCGCAAGCAATATGTGCCCCTTCCACAGCCCGTTGCTACATGTTCAGCATTTATTCCGCATCCTCCGTCACCGCCTGTTCGCAGGCGCTCTGATTCGCTATCCAGCGACGTCAGTGTAAGCAGCACGTCAAGCACCGCCACTACCGGGAGCAAAAAAAACAACTACGATGACAGATCTGGCTCAAGCAAACAGCCCAAAAAAGTAAGATTTGTCGAGATGGTGGCAGTCAGAGAAACTTTTTCTTCAGATGAATACGGTATGTTGAAAGCATCTTCAACAATCATCATCTCTCTGGCAGTTGCTAATCATTCTTTTGTTTACAGATCGTAGCACAATCGACGTCTCGCCCCTCACTCGAGAGGACATTGCAGAAGTTTTACAAATCCGTGCTCAAATGCATCAGCATACCCTCGAACTCTACCGACAACGTCATCTCGCTGAAGAGGCACAAGTCCGTGCCTCGCGAAACGCTGACACACCGACCAATGTGGTAGCTGGCTTCTACATCACACCCGTATCGTTCAATCATCCTCAGGCTGCTTCGGCCGCTACCTCCTCCCCATCCCCCGTATCATCTGCCACGGAATGCCACCTCTCCCGAACTCCAAGTTACGTCTCTCGTGACGCAACTCCGTGGCGGCCAGATCCACTGATCGCTCCAAAATTGGATCGATCTCTTGTATACCAACCGTGCTTCTAGCGATACCTCATATACCTCTTCCTGTACCTATATATCCTCATATTTACAAGCCTTCTTGGTGCAACCTTGCGACATTCGGCCAAAGGAACGTGAAAGCAATTGTATATAGTGTAGAAATAGAACGATTCTTGGGCGATGGAATATTTGTTTAAGATCGTCCAATGTACATTTAGGATGAATTCCATAGCTTGCTTTGGGAGGACTGCTTCTTTGCTAAAGAAGAACTCTTGTATTGATAGAGATCTGTAGCAGTTACTCGCAGCTATTCCCAATAAAAAAGAAAAAAAAAAAATCGCTCGTTTGCTATGCAATGGTATACTACACGATATATCCCCTTGCCACCTTCCGTAATTTACCCACTCTTCATGCCCCAGTTGGCTTAGCAACGGGCACTGCTCCTTTAGGCGCAACTTGCTCAAACACTGTCTCGAACGCTAGCTCAGACGGATCTGTCGCTTGGACTTCCATGTGAATGCCGTCTAGCCTTTGACGAAGTGCACGTTTGGAGCAAGCATAGAGCATGCGGGATCGAATCCCTGCAGTCGTAGGTGCCCTGTGCAAATGGTTAACCTTGAGCCGTCCAACGACATGACATCAATAGGTTACCCACGGAACGCACCACATTAAAAATACAAGCTTGCTCCTCACGCCTTCGCCGCCGCAATCGAATTCCATGTCTATGACCGCAAAGCGTCCTTCGTCTATGGGGAACTCTTTTTCAAACTTTTCAAACGTGGCTTTGCCTCCCAACACATCCGCTTCTGTTCGCTCGAGAGCATGATCAACGATTATTTCATCATCCGTCGGGGAAATACGATATGTGATATATGCATATCGACGTCCAAGCTTTAACTCCTCAAATGTAGTGATCGATTCGGAAGGAATGCCCACACCTGAACTCTGTGATGAATGAGTGGTGGTTTGATGCCCACATTTTCACACAATGCCTGTGAGGATAGTCCTTACCATAGCGCTTTACAAATCGACAATGAAACAGAGAGCACAGGTTGCAACGAGTCCTAAGCCTAAATTCCGCCACAAACCTCTGGGCCATTTTAATATGCCATGGCCGGGGGGTGGATTATGCATTGCCATCAGCCTGTTCAGATTCAGACGGATCTTGGCTGACGAGTGGCGCGACTGAGCGTGGATGTGTTTCATTACATCCACCCCAACTGACAAGAAGCTACAACCAAAGTCCACAGCAAGCATTCTTATTTTGCAAGTACGCTTGAGACATGTCCATGCCCTCAGGTTAAGTAGCAATGTATCTGACAAATCTACTGTTAAAAGAGCTGGATGAAAGCACACACCCAAAACAAATGTTGTTCCCTACAAGTATGAAGCTGCAGTACCGATCCTTGGTTCTGATTGTCACCCACGGTGATGGTGTCAACGATCGAAATTCCCTGCATCAAACTTTGTCAAGGCCACAATAAAATATGTAAGTTACGGGGCAAACTGGTACGAAGGCTCTGTATCTCCACCATGGTATGTCAAAACGACGAGCTCTCCCGAAACGCTTCACAAATCCAAGAGTCTCTGCGGACTGGTGACAGAACGTATCAAAAAGCAGCTCCAAGAAGACAGCATACCAGGAACTCGGAGTGCATTGCTTCCAGGCTGTCTAGTCGGACGAGCGCTGCAAAGTGCATCAATGTGGCCGATCTGGATCAGAGGCTTACACAAAGACGCACACACACACGGTATCAGGCACCGTGATCCGGGCGGGAGGGAGAGGCAAGTAGCATGTGTGTAGCGTGTGAGATGTGGCAAGACGAATGTTTTTAATTTCCGATAATAACGATAGGTAAATTATGGGGTGTTCCAAGAAACCCAGCCCTATTCCTCATCTGTTGATGAAATTATAGTCATCAGGTCCAAAGCCTTTTTCCCTTTTCAAGCGGATTGTGTGTCCGATCGTACGGACAAGATGTTTCCCCTGCGAACGTTTCACAATTTGAGGCTCTTCTTTGGATGGGGTGAAAATCTTGTACTTTCCGAAAGAATGGAATTACGGATACAACCACTCATGGTGCCCGCACAGCCCGCGAAAGGTTCGTCCCCTGCCGTCTTGCTTTTTCTTTCAGTTGCCCCATCTTCCCCCCCCCCCTCCGGCATCGTCTTCCAACGCTCGGCTTTCAACCCATTTATATCTGCAAGAACCACGCTATTTACACCTTCCCCCCTGCTGTAAACGGAACCCGCCATGCGCAGCCTTAATTCGCTCATTGCGAGCGTGCTAGCCCTGGTGGCAATCACACAAGTGCGCGCACAGTCTGTTGTTCTTGGCGGTGCTTGTGACCCTACCGTGGACGTATTCGGATGTCAGGGTCGGAATTACATGTCCTGTGATCCGCAGTCCAGTAAGTTGATGGCTGCAATGTCGTTAGATGTGTTATGAAATCCTCACATGTTGACATCTCGCAATTCCTAGAACGATGGATTCTGCAGAACCTTTGCCCAACTGACTGTTTGGGAATTCCTTCATTTGCCGCAAATTGCGGTCGTAACTCTCACGGGATAGAAACGTCGCCAGTGAGTTCCCCCGCTGCTCCCACTTCAACTGCCGGACCCACCCCATCAACGCCTCTTCCTTCCCAGTCCTCCCCCGCGCCTACCTCTTCATCAGATCCAAACGGACAACCAAACGTGGTCCCTACAAACGGTGAAACACCCTTGTCAAACGCAACATCATCGGGATCCTCTCGCTCAGCAGCGGTCATCATTGTCCCAGTCGTCGCCGGTGTGGCTGTGATAGCCGCAGCAGGCGCAGCATTTGTCGTGATACGTAGACGAAGGCAAAAGAACGGGTATCCCTCGAAAGGCACAGAAGCGGCTCACGCGCGTGGTCACGATGAAATGTCCGTGAAGCCTCTCTTTGCACACGGATCTGGAGCACATTTGAACGTTGCGTCTGTGCTAGAAAAGAGGTATACCGTTGCTCATGACTATGAACCTGCTGCAGATGATGAAGTACATTTACGAGTGGGAGATATCGTCCGATTGAGTCTATTGTTTAATGACGGATGGGCAAAGGTGGGTGTTTGATCGGTTTTTTGTGCGTGTGCTTTGAACGAATTGCTAATTCTTTGAACGTAGGGTATCAACGAGACGACAGGTCAACATGGTCTATTACCTTGTGCCTGCATACAAGAAATTACTTCGGCTACCAGATAGCTCTCCCTGTAGTTTTATCGTAGATTTATGTACATTGATCGTCCCATTCAGTTCATAGATGTAATATGCGGAACCTCGTTTCCTTAGTTTGGCAGATACAGTCAAGTTTCCATGATTGAATGCTGGTCAGCTCTGTGTTTGCATACCATCTGGCCAATGTAATAAAGTTAAAATAATTGAATCTTTGGGATAAACCATCCACCGAAGCCATACTGATGAACTAGACTGGATCGGAAACCAGATGGAACCGCAGAAACCGCACTGTAGCTGGTTTGATGAACGAAGGAAGATCGCCTCCCTAGTACACCAAGCAGGCTTTACCAATGCGTGTTGACGGAGACTCATGTCCATCAATGCCGTACTTCTCATAAGTTTCGACGAGCATCTTTATTGAGGTACTTGGTGATTAGTTGTCGTTTGACGCATTTGGTGCGATAGGCACCACCTTGGGCTCGGTGCTGAGTGGGAATCGTTGGAAGACAGAACGTATGGAGATGATTTTGTGCTGCTTCTTATTGTGATCGCCAGGGTATCGCGAGAACTGCCTGAGAAAAAGATGCTAATTTGAACTCTTAACGTTGCCCAGCTCGGCTATATGATAACATTCCTGGCATGATCGGCACCTCTGGACACGATTTACCAACAGGGTCGGGGACCGTACCGCGGCAGGACGAGCCGCGGTCTCAGTCTGACGACGTGCCGACATCAACGACAGCGTCGCAACCTACCTCAGCGTCCGTCCGACCTTCCACTCTTCCCGCTTTGCCGCCTTTGGAACAGCCGCAGCAGCCTTCGTCTCCGACGGGTAGTATCCAAACCGGCCTCTCTCAAACAATCAGTTCAATAAACGATCGTCAGAACCCAAGTATACCTGCTTCGAAGGAGAATTCGAGTTCTTGCCCAAGGTAACAACAGCTCTGGATAGGACTGTCGCGTGCTAGTCGCCGATACTGAGTAGATTTCATGAGATAGCATGACTCGTGATGGCTCGTCCTCCAGATCGGAGAGTCCCAAAGATTATTGCATATTGACGGAAGGGGACTTGCTGTGTTTGCAATCTCAGTGGCCTTTCAGCCGGCACGGAGGCGCGACTTTGGAAAGAATACTTACAGTGAGTATAGGAAATTTCGATGCAGCACCATGTTACGCGTTTCCTAATAATGCTACCAAAACTCTAGGTTCCGAGCAACCTTCATGCACTGACAAAAGATGAGGTAGGCAAGAAAGTCCTCTTTAGCAAAGCTTTTCTGATTTTTACCGGGTTAGCTCGTCGAGCTTATCAAGTACGTCAACTCGGTAAAAGGTTGCCGTATCAGACGAACTGGCCGAAAATGCGATCTCGCCGATCGCTTGCGAAATACTCTATTTCCGCCTCGGTCGCCGATCACAACCTCCTATGCTTCCCGCTCGTCTAATTCATATGGGTAAACTAATGTGTTGTGAACACTTCCACGTGTGACGGTAACGATGCTTACTTTGTGGATGACCATTTTTCAACTCCACCACGCAGCAAGAACGTCCAAAGGACCATAATATATCCCCCCACCGCAGCATTGTTAGAAAACGCCTGGTGAGTATGCCATGAGAACGGCAACAAGATTTCGTTCCTGACTCGGCCGAACTCAATTTTAGGAGTAAACTTCGTAGCTCATACCACATGGAAAATGAGCTTGTCGCAGAAGTCATATCTCGTCAATTTGAGCATCCAAAGAAAGAAGTGGGGACCGCAGAGATGACTATCGATTTTGATAGCTATGACTCCCCTGTATGGAAATCAAGCCTGAAGGATCCTAATTATCGATTCTTGCTTCATATTTTTTCGGACCAAGCTCGGGGATTTCTAACGGAAGCCACTTTACGACGGGTCTTTAAAGTCATGGTGAATGACTTTACCGTTCCAGCATTTATTGTAAGATTCGTGTAAGAAGTATGATTGAGCCAGTACATTTCGTCACTAACGGGCTTGCCTCGTTGATAAAAGGGACACGAAGCCCAGCAGTACTTGGATATCACGGTACAGATGCAGGCCAACATTGCACAGTCCAAATTCAGGATTCATATTACCGGGCCAGCACTCTGGTGGCAAGCTGGTATTGTATCACTAGTCTGCGTTAAGAGTGTGCCACCCGAAGAGGTATCCAATCAGACGTGTATGGCTTTTGGTGGAGAAAGCGCGACTGACAGCGCGATTTTCAGGGTGTGAGTAGAGTTTACGGCCAGACTCTCAAAGCATGGGGTTAGTATTAGTCGATTAAATTTGAACCTTCCTCCGCGTACCATGGCGCTGATCTTTCAATAATGTAGGTGTCGAAGATATACCCATGACGGAATGTCAACCTGGATTTTCTTCATTTCGACGGCTGCATTTTGATTCCCTACAGGTTGCTAGCAGACTGTTTGCGGAGAAAGCCCTCTCGAGACTAGATGATACGAAAAGTATGGGTAGAGATGGCGATGACGACGATATTCAGATGGGGAATCAGATCATCACGTTCAAGTGTCCTTTGACACTAGTAAGGATAAAGGTGCCTGTTAAAAGTAAGAAATGTCGTCACCGACAATGCTTTGATTGCGAGGTAAGCGTAACTCTCTCAATATCCATAAAGGTTGCTAATTGTTCACGGTGCGTTCTGCAAGGCATTCTTGACCCTCAATCAAAACCCTGGCAGCAAATGGAAATGTCCTGTTTGTGGAAAGCCAGTAGACCCTGGGGTGAGTGCAGCAAAAGATTTGATCTAGTTGTTGAGGAGTGGTACTCATTTCGTCCTGTTCCCCATGCCAGGACCTGCTGGTCGACGCACCCTTTGCATGCCTCCTATCAAAATATGCTAATGCAGATCGCTGCATCATCCTACCCAATGGAAACGACACGGCATTTGACGAAACGTCACAGGAAGAGCGGGCACCAGCACAGATCCCACAAGAACGGACACTCAAACGAAAATTAAGCCATCTCGAGGACGATACGGTTATTGAGTTGGGATCTGATAATGAAGCGCAGGGTCGTGAAAAACGGCCAAGGGCAACCTCACCCCCTTGCAGCACCTCAGTCAGCTCCCCCAAAGTCCATGTCCAGATCTTTTCGCCGCAAAAAAAGGTTCCTGGATTACCTGAATGGAGTGGGACGATTATTGAATTAGATTAAAGTAGCGGAAATGTATAATGAGATGGAGGAGGGAAATGGAGGAGGGAATGGGATAGCCTGTTATTGCACATTTCGTGTAGATAGTTTTCATTGTTGCTGATTTCTAACAAGTTCCCGTGAACTTTTGATTTGAAATTATGCAACCCAGCTGAACAAATAAAAGTTACCTTTAGATTCTCATTAGCTTCCTCGTAATAGTACGCAGTTTCACTTGGGCAAGGTTCAGAGGTAATCCCCTCCTGATCTATATTTGTTACATAGGTGGCTGTGATATTCATTTCAACCTGTAATAGTGGCAAAGTTGCAATATTATTGTCATGGTAACTACCTTTTTTGGTGACTGTCGTGGCCCCCGCTCCAACTCACGTGTTACAGACTTTGCTAGTTGTCCCCCCTCCCCCTTTGAGCTTCCTTTTGAAAAAGAACGTCCGGACTTCTGTACTGCGCTGGATTTGTCCCATCGCAAATCTATCTTTTGCGTCACTTTTGAAAACATAGCCACTGGCGCCTAGGACAGCGCTCGTACCCTCTCTTGCATTCTTTCAAGATTAGTGGAGGAGAGTTGGCTTGAGACGGAGCTGATTCCTCACGAATCTGAGGGTGGGAATCTGTCAAAGCTCTCATCAAACTGAAAGGCAGCTACCGTTTTTTGGGATTTTTGCTACTGGAAGACGAGTCTCTTTTTATAAAGAAGGCTGTAGTCACATCCAGGACACGCTTCCTGCAGCAAACTTGGTTGGTATGTATGACCGTCCAGCAAGTGATCGCTGTCAGATGACGACCCTTTCTCCCATCGAAATTTACTGACTTTCCTTTAATTCTTCTTGGATGCTCCAGTTACCTCGCTTTGAATATATCTCCAACATCGACGTCAAATTTGGAATCTTACAGACATGTCGGTGTCCTCGGATGAGGAGGACTTGGATTGTCCCCTCTGTATGGAGGAGATCGACATAACAGATCGATACTTTAAACCTTGTCCTTGCGGTTATCAGGTGAGTTTCGTACAAGTACAGGTGTGGTGAATATACAAGCTAGTATACTCATTTTATCAATTGTAGATTTGTCGGTTTTGTTGGAATCATATCAAAGAGAACTTGAATGGCCTTTGCCCAGCATGTCGTCGACCCTATTCCGAAGACACCGTGGAGTTCCGTCCGGTGCCACCCGAAGAGTAAGCACTTTGTCGTAGCATATTTTAGTCCCTACATGCTGTTGACGTTTCGGATACAGAATTGCACGTATTAAGGCTGCTAAGAAAAAGAAGGAGCGGGAAAGGAAAGAGCAAGATCAAATGTCCAGAAGACATTTGGCCAATGTTCGCATCGTACAAAAGAACTTGGTTTACGTGCTTGGATTGCCACCAAAAATTGCGTCCGAAGACATCTTGCGATCACAAGATTATTTTGGACAGTATGGCAAGATCACTCGTGTGGTGGTCAACCGACGGGCCCATAGCCATACACCTGTTCTCGCTCAAGTACCCAACACTGGAGTGTACATTACCTTTACAAGAAAGGAAGAAGCCGCTCGAGCTATTGAAGCAGTGGATGGAAGTGTTTATGATGGAAAGATCATACGGTATGGTGAAATGGTGAAATGTTTACCTTCGTGCCAGACTCATAGAGATGTTCTTTTAGCGCGACTTACGGCACTACGAAATATTGTGCGTCCTTTTTGAAGAATCAGCCGTGTCAAAACCCAGGATGTCAATTTCTTCATGAGCCTGGAGAAGAGGCGGACTCTTTTGCCAAAGAGGAGCTGAGGTATACCTGCTTGTCTCGGAATTTACAACGCAATTCGCTCTTACTAAGTATTTTTGTGCTCCAGTCGTATGCAACTACGAGAACGGAATCCCAAACCACCACCATTCCCAATAACATTAGGGGGCAAGAAGGAGGAGAAGGAGGAGAGCGCTTTACCTCCAACCGCCAGCTGGTGCGTGATTTCATGTTTGACCGCTCACAAATCGTCGTACTAAGTTTGGTATCCTGCTGTTACAGGGCAAAGCCAGTTGCACGGCCGCAAGGCGCACATCACTACTCAGCGGCAAGTATATCTTCCATGTCGTCGTCAGCATCTGGTCCACCGAGGAGTCCCGAGATGGATATGGACGATGTCTATGATTCGAATCTAGGACCTTTGCGACAGAAATCTTCCTCGCAGTTGGGACAAGTGGCCTCTATTCAGCTCGGTGCTGATCGCAAAGCGAAGGGAAAGAACAAACTAGCAGTGTCTGATCTACCTCCTGGGTTCGCGTCAACTATGGCCAACCAACAGGAGCTGTCCCTACCGGGTACCCCGGAAGTGGAACAAGTAATGGGATCCCGCGCACTCGATGAGTCAGGCGATCAACAAGCTGTAAAGGGATCTTCACCTGGCGTAGTCAAGCGTGCAAGTGAAGAAAATGCTAGTAAGCCAACTTCCCAGGATGAACTGGACGATGCAGTGTCACCTAGCGCTATGGGATTCATCTTACATCCAAAGTACATTGGCCCGTTTGACCCCTTCAGAGAAGATCCGTTAGCTGTCTTTGCGACTATATCGGTACCTTTACAGGAAGAGGGCTCCGGGTTTGGTTCGAATGGGGTATCAAGCTTGGCCATTCCAACGCCAAATGCCGAAGGCGGTAGATTTGATGCATTTCACGAAACCCAGGCTCCACCGAGGTCAAACTCACGCGCGAGCGATAGTGGACAACGCAGTCGATTTGAACGCTTTTTCGGAAATGGGCAAATTTCCGATGCGGATGGTTCATTTGATGCAAGCGACGCCGGTGAGAAACCGAAGGAAGAATCCAAAACCGTTCAGGTAAGTTTCCTGCTGCGTATTGGTCTTTACATGAGAGTGTCTGGCTTAGGGCTTTCGGAATTGCTGTCTAGGAGTCGTTTCGAGCAATGTTCCCAAACGTCAATGTGTCATTTGCAAGTGGGAGTCTGTCTGAAGCCGAGGCCCGGTGGGGTGAAAGCTTCAGTCCTAGCAAGCTAGCTGTCCCAGATGCGTCAGCCGAGGCGTGGTCCCATGGACAGGGGTTCCCTCTGCGTTCTCAGACCCAGCAAATGGCGTTCCAAGGGGGCCTGCGCGGCGTTGCTGGACAGCAGCAGTATGGATCTAGCAATTCGCTTGCAATGCGTCAGCAAGAACAATTACTCCATCAGCAGCAGTACCTTTCCTCTCTTTCGCATAATCAGCAAGTACAGCCACACCTTCTAAGCCAACTTCAACAGCTTCGCTTGGCTCAGATGCAGCAACAGCAACAGCATTTCGCTGGTGTTCCCCACAGCTTGCACCCACATCAGCAACCTCAAGATGAACTAATTGGTCAGCTCCTTAGAGATGCCCAGTTACGAGAGACTCACATTCGCCAAGACCAAATCCGTGAGCTTCAGATGCGCGCTGCTGCCGGTGCAGGGCAGAGCAGAGGGGAAGTATCATTTCGGGACCCGGCAATAATGTCGGTCAAACTGAATAATCCTACTGCTGGCGGTGCTGCCCCTGGGTTTGAAGGGCGCACAAGACCTAGAACTTTTGAGGGTGTTGCCCCAAGTCAAGGCCAATCGCTTGATTACCAGCAAGAGTGGCCGTCACCTCCTGGAACTTCTGCACTCGGACCCGGTTATGTCACTAATGGTGAGTACTACCCCTCCCGATTACGTCGGGACTACCGAAATGGATGATGGGTACGGTTATACAAGAGCAGCCAGTTTGCTGCGTCACTGAAATGTCCTATCGGTCCCATCCTTACCGGCAGGAGTACCGTTTTGGATGGGATTCAATGAATGAGGAGCGCTATATCTCAAGAAATGTGGTGTCTGTGATATCTTCATTTTTCGAGCGAGCGGAAGCATATCATTGTGGCGCTGCTTGTAATATTTGCGTAGTATTTGTAGATAACGCCGTTTATTAATGGAAAGATTGGTTTTTGGTTTTGCATACCTTATTAATCCTTCCTCCTTCATTTTATGCTCCCTCTCTCCCATATCTGGATCTGAATCCACGAATCGCTGTCGCCATCAAATGCAACCTTTTTGGCATGCGGAATAAGTAAGGTTTGGAGAGTGGGGCGGCAGCATCTCTGCGAGCGAAGGAGATCATGCGCGAGGATTTGATTCGTCAGTACCTTCGCGAAAGGGAAGTCCGACAGGAGCATCTCCGGGAGAGGCAACGGGAACAGGATCGGCGCGACTTGGTAGCCGAGCGGGTCGCCGCGATGATGGCGAGGGCGGAACCCCCGGGAATGAATGGCGGAATGAGGAGGAATTACAGCTAGTCACGCGACTAGGAGGGGGTGGATGGCAGGCGGAGGAAAATACGGAGGATACCAGTGCGTTGGACGCAGCCGCGTCGTCAGAAAAAAGGAATTTGGATGGGAAAGGAGAAGGTAAATGGGACGTTGGAACGAAAGGACCTGGAATTATTGCACCACCTATATGGAAACAAAAGAGCAGCAACTTTATGGTAAGAAAGACTGGACCGCAGTCTGGTCCGGGCATTGATGGGGAACGCGATGGAGACGACCATCAGCAATCTGGCTCTGTGGACGTGCTGCGCTCACCAAGGACGCCAAACCTGTCTCAAGCGGTCATAGAGGGCGCTGATAGTGGTGGAAGTAGTGCGACACAAAGTCGGCCGCAAACTCCTGTCATGCCGTCCGGAACACCGCCACCGAAGATCAGTAGCCCAACACCAAGGCGCGTCTTAACGATCACTCCGGCCAAGAAGCCTCCACAGAGTGCAGTAAACGTACCAGTTGGTACATTCTCTGAGGCAGCAAAGGACAGCGAGCGAAGGGATGCAACGGCAACACCTAATATTCCCGATCGTGATCAGGCTCAAGCGGGGAAGGACAAAAGGGAACGAAATGGAACTGCATTGTCTGTGGGCATCATTTCGGCGCAAGCTAATGAGAAGGACGGAAAAGTAAGAGACGCGCGGAGGAAGGCTTCGAAGATAGATTCGAAGGTGTCATCGGCAAGCGAAAAAATGAGCGAGAAAGCCGCCGAAAAGGAAACCGAGAAAGAAGCCTATACGTCACTCGAGCAGGAAGAAATTACGACCGAAAAGGGTAGACCATTGACACCTCTGAGCAGCCCGAAGATGAGGAAAAAGAGATCGAAGACCAAGGTCGACGATGCAGCAGGGACGCAAGTGGTCACGGTCACTGGAGCGGCCAAAGACAAGGACGTGGTGGATCATATTCCCACCCCCCCTCCAGTGGAACCCGAGGTCGAAGCAATAGTAAGTAGGAAGACCAAAAAGCGGAAAGAGAAGAAGGTTGCGGTACGCCAGGCTCCAAAGCATGTACCGTTGCAGGCGCGATTGTCAGAGACACAGTCTCAACCTCTGGAATCATCTCCTGCGGCCTCCCAAAGTGCGAACATTATTCCAAATGGCTTGAAAGAGAAGTTGGAAACCCTCGGGCTGGACTTTGACAGAGTGCCCTCTACCCGTGCCGCAAACAATTTGGGAAATTTATCCAGCAAGTTGACCGAAGGTTCCAATCTAGTCGAAAGTTCAAAGCCGCAAAAGAAGCAGCAGCAGGCCGCTAGTCTGGATCGAAGGGTGCCGGCTAGCCAACCGCCGCCCCCTCGTCGTGATATTAGCGTACCACGGAAGCCATCACGTTGCCAAACTCAGCGCCACGCCGGTGAGGTGGATATAACCTCGTTTTTGACTTCGCATAATGCTGCAACAGGAGAGGTTGACTTGCAAATCGATTCGGAGGCTCTGGCGAATGCTCTGAATCAACTTGGAGCTGGCTATGGGTACTCTTCATACACAGTAGACCATGCGGGAGAGAATGGTCATGTCAATGTCCGCATTGATGTACAGGGGAAAACCGAAGCTCCAGCAGGAGGAAAAGAAGGTAAATCAACCCCTGGCCATACTTGCACTCCTGAAGCCACTGCTAGCTTCGATTTGAGCACTTTGGGTATCAATATCGGCCAGCTTGACCAGCTAGCTGCAAACCTTGGAAGCTTTTCCTTTGGGGGCGCCGAACCCGCTCACGCGAATAACTCGTGTGGCGATGGGACCGTGAACGTCAATGTTAACGGCGTGGCGATGAACATCGATGCAAATGCATTCATTGATCAAGCTTTAGAGGGACTGGCTACGACAGCGGCATTTCTGTACGAAGGACTTGAAGCGCAGGTCGAAAAAGTGCGTCGCGAGGAGGAAGTGAAATCTAAAAGCAAGACAAAGGGTAAGGGCGAAGTCGGTGGCCCTAAGAGCAGTATGCAGCGTGTTTCGGAACAGGTCACCAAGCTCGAGGAGTATGCTGCGAAGCTACAGAACAAGTTTCGAAACGGCTTGGATCCTGCTGGTGAATCCACAGCCTCTTCAACAGAGCACGGAGTCCCAGGGGCGACAGTATGTGGCAAGAAACTCAAAAAGGCCAAGGGTTTGGGGTCTTCCAGTGGCACAGGAGCCGGCACACGGTATACTGCGACCTTTACCGTTAGCTCTGGGTCAAGCGCCAGAGACACACCGATAGATCAGACATCCCCAATTTCGGAGATGTTTGGGGTTGGACTCAACCCAGCCACTGCCGGTTGGACGACGGAAGACTGGAAAGCGAAATGCCGCAGCGTGGAGATCGTGATGAAGCGAGTTCGCGAAGCCCGTGAAATGCGTAGACGTCAGAGGGAAGAAGAACCTGGCACTGGCACAGCGGCTGATGGTTCTAGCCAAGGGCTGAATATGTTAGACGCTTTATCGCAGGCGGCCATTGGCGCTATCAATGGATTGGACCATGGCCTGGAATCGGATCATGACGAGTATCCTTCCAATGGTGATATCGATTATGGAAATATTGGGGACGATGAGCAAAGTGTCACGTCGTCTGGGTTCGCAACCCCTTCTGCTACGGAGGCCTCCAGTCCACCCACGGATGCACAAAATCTTTTCGAGAACAATCATATTCAACGCCTGCTTGAGACCGTCCGAATATTGGTGTCTACAGGGGAGATGCTTGTTAACGCGCCCAGTACAGCGATGATGGCCAATACGTCCGACTCCACCCAACCCTTGCACGGCCTGAAGAAGAAGAAGAAAAGGAGCAGCTCTCCTCAACCGCCGCAAACATATAGTAACTATGGCCAGGGCCAAGAATTGGACGCTTCCTCTGGGGTTGGAGTACTGGTTGACGAGCATGGTCGTCCCATGGATGCTACATTGATGGATGTCAACGGTCGTGGTCGTGGTCGTATCGAGCTGACCAATGTTGTCGCATATAATAGTCAAGGAGAGTTAGCTCCAATCGTATTCGATCCAGCGCCTCTTCTCGCAGCCGTGGCTAGCGGTGCCGTCGCTCCAGGTGTACCTATTCCGTGGGAGGTGTTTGGTTTGAGAGGCCCACCTCCGTCATGGCAGGGTCAGTCAACTGAACACCCACATTCAGCAGGAGTGCCGATGGATGTAGAAATCTTGGAGCGAGAGTTGGAAGTATCGCGGCGCGAAGAACAGGAGCTTGAAAAGCGGTTGGTCGAGGTAGTGCGTAGGAATGGGCAATGGCAAACTGAGGTAGCGAAAGTTCTTGAACTGGAGGTTAATGTCTCGGATGCCTATCAGGTGGAAGTCTTACATGAGCAATACGAGGATGCAGTAGAATTTGATGCGGACGAAGAGTTTGCTGAAGGGGCCGAGCAAATCGCTTGTTCTCATGGCGTGCCAATGATCGGAACACGGTGAAGTCTGGAAAACCATATTGTTGGGACGTCTTTTGTGTAAAAAGGTGCTGTAGTGAAACTGGGTTCGCTTCTGGCGAAGCAAATGTATTATTTGTATTCTATCAATTTGTATTATTCGATTCTTGGTATCTGTCAATAAATAACAACTGTAAAATTCATCATTTCAAATGACACACAGATCCATTTTGGTTGTATACTTGATTGGATTCACATATAACCGATTGTCAAACCAAGGCCTAGATTCGATTCAATCAATTGGCCTGCCGTCGGTTGCTCGTAATGGGCTACATTTTCGAACACAATGGTGGGAGGAGGACCTGCGGTATGGTGTGAGACACGGCAAGAGCTGTGTGAAGGTGAGGTCTCATTCCAGAATTGCTAAAAACTGTCGACGGTGTTGCTTACTGTTATGTTAGGTACTTGGTATTTCAAGGCGTATCAGAGTGAGTTTGTACAGCAATACACTAGAAGGTGTACTATATAGTGACCGTTCCGCCGAACAACAGGCGGTGTGTACCACAGGGGCGGGGTAGTCCAGGGATACATGATTGATGGTATGTGTATACTCTCCCCTTATTCAAAATGCTTGGAAGATGGACTTGCGAAACATCTTTTGAGCAGGTTTCCCAGGGTAATTCTTGTTTGCACTGTCTCGACTCTTTGGCCCCGTTATCCTCGCACGTCTGAAAAAGGGTGACATTAACACTTGGTAGACAACGAGATGCCTGGAGCGAAAGGGTGTTTATCTCTCATGGGGGAGGAAAGAACGACCCTTTGCGACAACGGCACTCGGTTCGATTTGAGGATCCCATGAGAAAGGAAGATCTCGGGGAAGCTACTCTTCGGGCGTCTCAGGAGGAATCGGACAGGTCCATCCGAGTACTAATGAATACATGGAGAGAGAAGAGACCTTTCGTAGTGGTTATGGGATCTGAATATACCTTGGCAGGATTTCAAGCGTCGTACCGTTACTGCGTGTTAGGATGGTAATTTCCTACATAGCTAGATTTGTATTTGTCATTCATCTGATCAACTCTCTTTTTCGAAAGGTATGTTATTACGCAGACATGGGCGGAAAAAGAATTTCCTAGTGTACTCCCGCAGGAACCCAACGCCCCGGATTACTTTCTCCGATACAAGTTTGCATTCCAATTTCTACCGAGAAACACTATAAAGCCTTGGTTCATGACAGAAGAGTGCGTCCGACCATCTACACGGCATACCTATAATTGTGCCTTGTGCGGGAAAGACTCGCCAAAGGTGTATACCGCTGGAATATGTCTCATACCTGACTGCGAGAGATTTTGGAAGATCCAAGATGGGGAATACTGGTCCGATGCCCACGAACTTGAAATTGACCCCGAGTTCCTTTGTCCTGTTCAACTTGACAGTGATCTTGAGACCTTGTAAGCACCCAATCAAATAACTTGTCTATTTCGGTGGCTCCGGCGACTCACCCTAGCAACACTCTAATGAGCACAGGATCCCGGAGAGTATCATACCCCCTCCACCTCCTCTCAATATTGAGAGGTTCACACCATGTGCGCTGTGGTGTCGCCGGTGTGGACGAATAACCTGTCGTGAGATTTGGGACAAGTGGATATGTGCTTCGTGCGGGGTAATCATTTTGAATGCAGAACACTAGGCTAGCTGGTGAACAACTGAGGGTTATCCTGCCTTTACTGTCCCCGGATATAGTATTTGAAAACCTATCCGAATACCCCCGTTCCGTGCGCCACTCTTTCATCCACTTCAACACAATGGAAAGATCATTTGGGATGTCTCGCTGCTGCTCGAGACTCGGGCATAAAGCGCTATGTGGACGTCATTGATCAAGGGATCTGCCGAGGACTGATTCGGGCTACGTACGTGTTGCCTACAGGCGGGCGAATAGAGCATATACTGGCGGACCCACACCATAAGCTTGCAAAGATTGGAAGCACTATATTCGAGCAATATCAAACTGGTGTTGTACCTTTGCGTCGATGGCGGTTCTCTGCACACAGAGGTGATTCAATCCCTTGTGCAGCATAACGCTGGACGACGATGAGACGCTAACTCTCCTTGTTGTTCAGTAAAAGGTTTTCTGACACAAAACTTCTCTCATAATGCTGGTGAAGCCTATCGGTAATACGGCAATACCATTCTGCGCTTCAGTAAGCCTGTAATTAATGCGCCCCTGCAGCCACGCCATCTCTATGCCGTACTCCCACTTTGGGTCAGCACCAGAGCCAGTGCGACGTGCTCGATCTATTCTTCAAGCTGTTTCTCCTCACACGCAAATCAATGAGCTGCTTAGTATATTTTACATGGACGGTAAGTACATTTGTTCTCAAGTGGATCCTGCTAGCACCCTGTTTATCGACTTGCCTAACGCAGGTCAGAAGATGTCATGGCATGATGATGGAGAAAAGGAAGTGCAGGGTCCCATTATTGGCTGGAGTCTGGGAAGTGACTCGATAATGCGCTTCCGGCGCAAAATGAAGAAGAAGAAGTGCATTTTCGATATTGGGCGCGCAAAGGCGGCAAAACAACGCCGTTCAGCGCGTCCGCAGGAGAATCGCCTCGACAGTAAGCCAGTTCAGACTGAATCCATGGAGCCAATCCAGAAGAAACAGTCAGAACAATCCACAGCAAATATAGAAAACTCCTTGCATACTATTAGCGGGCCAGTTTCTGCGAAAATTGACGAGGGTGAGACGCATATTCCACGAAAAACCGTATTAAAACTCGTTACCCGCCATGGGGATTTAGTCATTATGGTGAGTACCCCCCGGGTGAAATGCACAAATACAATCGGTTGCGCCTGACAAACCCGTATAACTAGTACGGGAAAGCGGTTCAAACACATTATGAACACGCGGTAGAGCCTCAAGGTCTTCGATTATGCGTCACTGGTCGGACACTGCGAACGCTTACTCCGCTGTCTGATGAGGCTTATCCAGCAGACCCGCCTTGGTCTACCTCTCCAGGGAGTGTTCCTCTGGACTTGAACCTTCCCAAAGAGGGGCAGCCGCAAAGTATAGATGACAATATTTTGGGCGCAGCAAGACTAATGCGACTGGCAGATCCCCTGTGGAACTCATGCTCACCTCTGGACATGGAATTCGATGAGATTTTTGCCCAGTCGGATTATGAGCCTGATATAAGCAGCAGCGACAGTGAGCGACATGATTCCGTATTGGATTCCGAGACCAGTGATCTCGAAAGGAGATTTACTTGTGCGGGACTATTGATGAGGATATCTCGTTCGTTGACCGTAGACAATTAAACCACCGACTCTCCAGATTTGTAGTAGTGTACAGCAACACATATGCGTTCTCATTCATATAAATTGTCCTGACAGCATTTTCTCTATCAAAATTCATTTCAATTGCTATAATGTATCATGTTGAGTCCCTCCCTCATTTATCCTTTTTGCTTTCCTTCTCATTGGTCTTGGAAGATGCAGCAGGTGAAGTCTTGCCATTCTTGCCTGCTGGCTCCTCCTCCTCGGCCTCAGACTCCTCTTCGTCATCGGCCCCTTCTTCACCGACTTGTCCCTGCATAATGCATGTTAACGACCTCAAAAGAAAGAAGCGTATCGATTCCACTCACAAATTCATTTCTACGTCGCTTATCTTCAGGGTATATCCATTTTTGATATAGGTACACCAAAAAGATGACATCGTCTCGTAAACATGCCAATCGATGAAGAGTCGGCATCTGCAAACAAATGTTTGAATGCCAGAGTGGATAACTAGCGTCTTCCAAGACAAACCTTTATTACGAATGCAAACAGGTCATCTAATGAAGACACGCAAGGTTAATCTTTGCTCTAATGCATTTCATTTCATAATGGTACCGCCGGCTAGAACATACCTACGAAGGTGTTCAGTGCTAGAAGTGGATTTGTAAGAGAGTAAATTACCACATGCTCATCTCTGGAAAGCCAATCAGCGTATCCTCTCAAGCGCACCTTTGTACATGAATGTTTTCCAGGGCATATGCGCCACCGACTTCAATTTATAGTTGATGAACAATTGCGGAGTCATAGTAATGAATCCTGTCATCAATTAGGATGCAAATTACGTTGACCAGCGTAGCGATAACACTTGACCTACCAAATGCGTAGACGAACCCAACCAAAGTTCCCAGAACATAGGAATACCAACTCTTATGCTCCTGGTAAAGAAGCGAATATACGGCATAACCCGCCAAGCAGGGATAAAGCGCATACGAAAGGTACTTGAAAGCCAGCTGAAATGACGGGGATGTCAAATCATTAGTCATTCGACACTGAGCTGAATCGCACGGATACCCCACCTCATCGTACTCTTGAGTTTTCGATACTAATTTCGAAGGTTTCACCCGATCGATAAACTCCACAAAGGGGAACGTGTCCTTGCGCTTTATTTTGGGAATTAGGGACAAGGTCATTCGACAAATATATACAGTAACTCCTTACCCGCACAATCACCGTCTTTTGAATCTTCCATGCTTCAATTAACAATCCCACTCCAGATGAAATAACAACCATCCACGAAGTCTCGTTATCCAAAAGATACAAGAAAATGACCGTTTGGAAGAATACATTGAGGACAATCGTACGGAAAGATAGTCCCTCCATGTTTTTACGCTTTTGCCAGAATTGAATATCTAAAACGATGTACAATGAGGTTCGGTGGACTAAGTGGGTGCATGGGACACGAGATTCCATACCGTTTTTGAAAGCAAGAAAGTCGAAGGCGCTATGTAGAAGAGACACAACCATCGTTACACCCAGAAGAATCGGGTTCGTCTCCAGGAACATGCGCTACAGACATAAAATGTTAGCAGGGACGAAGTTCAAAGGAGCCGCCTTGGACTGGAATGCAGTGGCTTACCTTCATTTCATCTGTTTCAGAGGAAGCAACGCCCATCATAGTATTCTGCATACGGAAGGACTCTTCGAACTGTGTATACATCTGATACTTCCACCAGGCCATTGGGGAGTACGATAATGACACGTTTAATGTTCTGTAGCAACCGCTGGTGCGTCAGATAGGCAGTCCAGCTGAGTGTAAAGGCTGCCTGCTTACTTGACAGTTGTGTTGATTGGACTCAGCTGATCGCTCAGCATCCAGAAGTCATTCACATAAAATACGGGAAAGTAATGTTTGCCTTCGTGCGTCGTTCGAACATCTAAAATACATGGGCTTATCAGTCCATTGTCCGGTATATATGAACCGTATCGAAAAATGCTTACTTCGCATCAGCTGTGGTGGAGTTGCAGCAGGTATGGGATCTTTAGAGTTAATGATGCTGATCGTCACATTAGGCCACCAGTACGATATAATTGTCGTTTCTTCATTCGTATTGTCATCCTCTTCCTGCAGCTGAGAAGGCAATAAATGTTACGATTCTTTGCATACCTTGTATCAGAACTGGGGGAAAACGCACCTCTTGAACATCAGCATCTTCAGCTTTGGAAACCAGGCTTTTCATCTTCTTCACTTTCTTTTTCGGCATGTACCTCGTGAGCTCTGCCGGTGAAGTCCAGTTATCTACTTATGAACTTTACGCAGTGCTGCTGGCATCTTACGTTTTCGGTAATACAATGTAGATTCCTCGTCAAACGTTTGATCCTTACGATCCGGTGAATGACCGGACACCGTCAGAAATATATGGGCATATAAACTGCCGTTGTTTTGCACACTCTATTTGTCCGAATATGAGATAGTCAGGTTTATGAATACCACCATCATTCAACAATATCCTATTCACCTCCGGCGCATCAATCTGCAGATCCTTTCGTCGCTCCTCCCAGTCTCCGTAGACTATGTTGCTTTCTTTCCATATCAAGTTTGCCTGTTCGAGGCTTGACAGGTATTCATTCTCTGCAAGAAATACATGCAGGTCCTATTAAAACAGTGTGAGTGAACTTGGCTGCTGATCTTGGTTAACGATACAAGCATTCTAACGGACCGTCGACCTTCCGTACTCCCATAAAGGAAGTAAAGCGTTGGGAACACCTTTCCCATTTGGCGTCGTCGCAGGCACAGGTTGATTGGATCCTCTAAACGAAGCTTTTTTGTTGCCCGTTAGTGAATTGATTTCTAAACACCTCAAGAACTACAAAAATAAGTACTCACAAGCGAAGAAATTCACGACCCAGTATATCAGCACTATGCGTCCTACGGACTGGATGATTGACATAACCCCTCCCCCATTCTGTTGTTGGCCTGGCGCTTGACCCTGTTGGGTCCCAGCAGGTGGTTGTGTATCGGCCATTATGGGCTATACACGCTGCAATACAATAGCTGCAACCATTACGTTTGTTACGGTGAACTCATGGAAGCGTGGGTTGGCATGTCAACAAGAGGCAGCCGCCGTGCGCAGTAACGCTATTATCTACAAATGATTTACAATAATCACGGCTATACATAAAGCTGCTATCTAGGAGTCCACCAGGATCCGGTCGCAACTCCCCCAAGACTCAACCTAGGTGGTGTTTCAGGAACTACTCTATCTCTCTGACTACGAACAACGGCATCATCCATCATGGTTGACTCCCCAGACTCTGAATCTACATCCTCCTCCGCTTCTCTTTTTCCAGCTTCAATCAATCCCAAGTCCGGGACAGAGGGGGACCTGAGCTTCTCGCGGCGACGCTCCTTGCGAGAGAAAGCAAATAAGAGGCAAACACCACCAACCTTTAATGAAGTAAATTAGTAACCAAATCGATCGACTGAGTGCTGGATTGAGGAGGAATACTTACGATGACTAAAAATCCTAACCCAACTGTTGCTCCTGCCACCGCACTTTCTACCGCAAATTCCCTAAATAGAATAGCGCTACCGACTAACGTTGCGGTGGTGAAGCAAACATAATATGTTGGGGTCACAATAGCAGTTGCAAAGACGTTCAATGCCACATTTAGCGTATGAATTTGCAACGCGCCCGAGAGTATGATGAATCCGATCAATAAGTACAAGCGCCAATCCCGCAAAAGAGCGGGGGCATCGGCCGGATTCGAGACAGTATATACAATAGCAGAACCCAGACCCTGAGTTGCTAAGACGACGAAAGCGCCAACGAGAGAACAGACGGCAATCGGTATGATAGGATGTTTGAGTCCCCATCGTGGGGATAGGTAAAATATTAGAACACAGACAACCAGCACGTTGATGCCGCACCAGATCAAAAAGCCTAAAACCGAGGTCAATATTTTGCCATTGCGCTGCATGCTATATCTACGCACCTGGAGTCAAGACGTTATTGAAAAAGCTGGCCAGTGTAGTGGTAGAGCTTCCCGCGGGTGCGTGCAAGACAAGAATGGTAGCCCCAAGAACACAATGAAAGCAGCCTATTTTTGCCTATTAAAGAGGAAGAGCACAGCAAACTGAGTAAGGGCGTGCGAATAATAATAGCGACGAGATACCGCTTACTGAAAAGGACAGGCGCTCCTTGAGGATCAAGGATGAGAGGATCGCACTAATAACCACCGAAAGAGCTCCGAGGGGTGTTACAAGCACTGCTGGGGAGAAGGCATACGCCGCCATATTGCAAATTTCCCCAACAAGCACTAAAAACGAGACGTGTTATCTCGGCACACTAGCACCCTCATATTTTGTACAAGTCACTTACTCATTATCATGCCAGTCCACCACATGACGCTTTTAAGATAGGCGTGACCTTCGCCGGGTCGGTTGCCAGAATATGTGTTCGCATTGAGAAGACCCTTCTTCTTGATAACAAAAGACACGCCAATGAAGAGGGCCGATGTCAACGCCAATGTAATGCCCACTACTTTATGCCATGGTGGGGCAGTGGGAGAGGCAGTCCCCCCCGCCATTCCAGTGTACGCTGTCGGTTGATGGGGTCCGTGATGAAAGCGTTAACTTGGACAAAAAAACTGAAACAAGATGATAGTTGGCAAGTGCGAAATTTGGGCGATTCGCCCCCACCATTCTCATAGCTAAGCCACGGGTAATACGTCAGCCACTTCACGGCGATCGACCTCCGCCATTATTGCCTACTCAAAATTATCCTTTACAATACAGTTTCCAGTTGGTGGCATGATATTCCAACCCATCTGCTGTTCGCCAATGATATTAGCAACAGTGTCAAGTTCAAAGGAATAATGTCACTTGCTCGCAACAAGATTGGTTCTCATCTTACTTTGACCTAGTCAACCCAGTTTGCAAAGCCAGGGCTCGCTCTGGTGCTATGTGCAGTGGCCACAACTATACTTGTCGCGCTATATGAGAGCTGCACTGTGCTTTCGGTGTAGATAATTCATATTCTTGAAACAATCCTGTAGAAGACAGTTGTGTAGACGATCATGATTTATATTACCACAGCAGTTCACTTGGGCTGAACGACATTTGTTAATACCCTATTCCTATCTGTGATCATTTCTGACTCATTTGTTTACTTTCATGTGGATATATTAAATCCGATTTGAATCAGTTTGGATCCAATCAATGGGAGAAGCTTGCCCGCGTCGAGCTTCTGACAGCTTTTGACATGAGCCTCAACCACTTGTCCTTGAAGCACTCGTCAAAGATAGTTATTCCAATGGGTTCTTCCCCACACTAGCTGGCTCAGAAATTGCCTTAGAAAAATTGTGCTAACGCTCGGTTCTTCTGGCCACCTCACCCCTCAGCGGGAGCGGTAGCGAGCCCAGTAGTTAACCTGCTGGCAGCTGCCAGGTTACAGGCTTCCAGCGGTGTACAGTTGAAAAGGATGACCACTAAAGATTGTACCTCCACGACTTGTGAAGATCCTAGAGAATGGGACAAAGTCGCGGTGGGAGAATGGGTGAGATCACTTGGGCTTAACGATCTGGTTGGCAGCTTTTTGGGTACGTCGAACAATGCAGCTTTCTGTTATCTTTATCGTAACATCGAGATTCGGAGTTATTGGACTCGATTTTTTACTTACGCGGTCATTCCTCCTACAGACAACGACATTGATGGGACGGTACTACTGAACGAAATCTCGAGTGAAAACGTCTTAAGGGAGGAGCTGAATATCACCTCCTTTGGTAAACGGAGAAAAATATGGAGGGGAATACAAGGGCTGAGGAAGATGCTGGGGATAGATTACAGCTTCTCGGCATCCAGCAGCCCAACTGCATCCCTCGTCACCCAGCAATCCGGGGCAAACACCCCACCGGGTTCCGTCCCTGCCGCTTTTTCTATCGATACACCAATGTTCCCACTGTTGCTCCCAACATACTCGATTGCGGATGCCTCTTCATTCCCACTACCAAACACAGCCGAGGGTTCTCTAGGGTCCCAAGAAAGCATTAAGCAAGAATTTTCCAGGTCATATAGTACATCGGAAGTACCAGGCGACCTACCGTCAACGCGATCAGAGCAGCCTATTTCGGGGCCCAAAACTGATATGGGAATTGCCAGCGCCCGTTCAGAAAAGTATTGTAATTCGCAAAGTACCGACAAGTCCATATGTCCACGCTATGATGACGCCATGGATATCGCCGCGCTATTTTTTGATAGATCCGCGCGCAAAGTATCCCAGGAAGTTCATGATGACAATGATGACTTTGTGTTTATTAGGAAGCGAGGTAAAGCTGGCATTTTGCAGTGATTCCGGCTGCGAGATCTCATAATGGTTCACGACATAGCTACTCGGCCACCGTTTTCATTGTGTCAGACAATCGCCCAGGTAGACTGCTGAATTGAATTATCGGTTTATCAGAGTTCGTGTTAACTGTATTTTCATATTTCACGTATAGTCCGCCATCAAAAGAATGCTAAGACAGCCAAACCTGACGTATGACGAGCCACAGTACCGAGAAACCTCGCCTGACGGTAGCGTAATTGCAATTTGGAGACCGCCTCTGAAGACTGCCAATCATTGGGTGCGCTTGTTTAAGACCATGAATGGCGAAGTCAAAGGTAAATAGCTTAAGACTTGACATCGGATAATGCGCTCAACATAACCCTTATCTCGTGTCTAGATGTGGTAGATAATTCCGGTCGATATGCAAAACCCGAGACTGACTATGTGGAAGATGCGGAGCCCAGTCACATGACAATCGGGAACTCAAAGGCACCTGTGCTTATTAAAGGCCACGGCTTCGCACCACGGGTCCCCGGGGGATATGCATGTAAGCGCCAGCGCCTGGAGAAAGAAGACGATGATGAAGTCTTGCCCCTGTATGGAGATTCTGAGACTGACGATTACGAAAATGACTCCGAATGGGAAGAGGAATGCCAAGAAGATGAGCGAGCGGAGATAAGGCGCAAGGGGAACTCTGCCACTTTTCAAGCGGAGGCTAGGTCTATTTCCGATCCGAATGCGTCAAGTTTGAGGGAACAAATGGTCACAATGGAGATGGAAGTGAATGAGGAAGAGGCAGAAGAGGAGAAACAAGGCGAACATGACTTGGATCACTTTGCTAGAAATGGCAAACGGAGAGGAATGCGAAAATGGCCTCCGTCGTCACAGATAGGATCCGGTCGGAGAGATATGAAAACCCACCTTCCGATCGTTGTTGGCAGTACTCGCTTTCTGTCTTCCGAAAAGATTCAGTCAATCATCGACGAGGAGGTCAAAGGTTTTGAAAATAGGTGGCGTACAAGGGAATTACCAAAGTTGGAAAAAAAGGCGTATAAGCTTTGGAAAAATGAGCGATTTCTTTTGGAGGACAAAAAACTGGCGTTAGAGGATCTACAAACCCGAAGATTTGCAAAGCAACTTGACGGATATTTGTCACATAAGTGCAGTAGCGTGCGCGAGATCAGAGCTAAATGCGCCAACCTGGAGGCGACGGTAGAGGAAATGTGCAGTTTGAAGTGGATGATCGAGCTCTTTGAAGGAGAAAAGCCTATAAAGCCGGTGTCAGAGAAGGTTGGTGCTCCCCGACGGAAGCGCGACAAATCCGCCGCTTTTGCAAAGGAAGATGACCACTGGAGTGATTTCATAGCCAGCGAGGATGAATATGGCGAAACGGGCATGGAGGTGGAGGGAACGTCCAGTGATGAGGAACGTATAGATCGTGAAACCTCCTCAACGCATATAGATCAACCGCGTTCGCCAGTTCGATGGAGTAAGCGGAAGTCTGATGATCAACCCACGTCGCCGGAAGCAGATGTTAATGGAGGCACCGGCACAAATGCCTTGTACGAAGAGCCGTCAGATCAAGAAACGAATGAAGAGGAATTCGAAATGTCGCTCATACCAGAATCAGAACCACTCGATTGGGAATTAAATGCACTGCCAGAATCTCAACCTGTGGTGAAGTTGACCGCCCTGCCAAGCTTGGGCAATAGATCGCGAATCAAAACCCCGAATGCGCGCCCTTCAGCTTCGATGGACGTGGCCGTCGAAAACCGAGAGGCATCTCTCGAAGAGTCGGATGAAGATGTACTAATAACTGGGTTTACTTTTCCAGTTCAGCAAGGCCAACCCTCCTCCAGATCTGTCAAAGGCGAGCAGCATGGCTCAGCGTCCGAATCCAAATTTTCCGATGTAGCCTCCACTGGCTCAGTTGGGAGAAACGGTGCTGGTACGGAAGGCCAGAAATACCGCGATCCGATCCTCATTGAATCGGATGATGACAATCGGGGCGATCTTCAGTCAGAAAAGGGGACATCTGCTGGCAGGAGACCTTCATTGGTCCTGGCTGATCTTCGCGCCGCCCAAAAAGCTTTCTCAGAGGATCAGAAAGAGAAGATCGCTGGCGGGCAGCAGGGAAACATCAGGAATAATGTAAATAGCACGTCGGGGTTGCCAACCAGTGGCGCGAAATCTAAACGAGAAGCTAAGTGGAAAGATCGTGAGACAGCTGGCCGCAGCAGACACAAGGAAAATGAATTTCAAAGGAAGATTGATAAGCACTTTCTCTCACGTTGGGCAAACGGTGAGTGCTAAGGAGGGCAGTCGACTCGTGTCTTCTGAAGGTTTTCTGATGGTTTTACTTGGTAGAACCTGTGGATGAAGTTTACGCAAGGGTCAAGAACATACGGAATAAGTCACTACTTGGCGAGATTCCTACAAGGTTAGAATCATTTTGGTCTATGATGACTTTAGACACTTGCTCGTCATCATACTCTCTGTTCATTATCTTTAAAAATATTCATTCCAGCTCAAACGCGCATTACGATCTTCAACTTATCACTGAACACATAGTTTTCCTCTCTCAAATACGTAGTAACCGTCAGCTGGCCCACTCTGACCAGAGGCCCGTATGGGACGCGCGTGCGGAAATGCTCGACATGTGGCCTGACGACGCGGCGGCTAAAGAAGGCATAAATCAATTTATTACTTGGCGTCTTGAAAATGTTGAGGAAAACGAGGGGTCCATAAGCGACCAATCACTTACGGGTGCCGAAAGTTCAAGAGAATCCAGTGATCTGTCAGGTGGAGAATCACACAGCGGGCAGCTAGAATCCAGCCTCAAAAAACAGCGCCTGTTTATCGCTGAGGACGATGATAACAACTCTAGCACTGGGATATTGAGTAGTAAATCATCGGAAGGAGATGTCGGACGAGAAAGAATCTCCATAAATGGTGAGACAGAATAGAATTTACGTATAGTTCGAGGGCATTCTAATAAACTCCCATTAGGCGTAAAACGAAAAATATATCGTCCGTCCATTCCGAACAGAAAGAAAAGCAAATCTTCCAACAGACGTGTGCCTAGCGATGACAGCTCATCTGATACCGAAGTAGTGTACATAGACAGTGATTCGGCAAGTGATGGTGCTACCGGCAGTCGTAGGCAGAAGGGGCGCCGAGAGATCAAGGAGATCAGGCCTATGAACGATCTCACCCGCAGAATCCAGAAACAAAGAGGGGAACAAGAAGAAGCAATTCGTCGCAGGGCCAAAATGTAAGTTTCAGTAGCGCTGATAGCATAGGTAGCTTCCGCAACCAGTAACATTGGATTTGTGCACCTTCAGACAAAGCAGTCGTTTGAGTCTCACGGAGCGAAAGGTACAACCCATTTTGTCTAGTCCTTGAGTGGATCTCTAATATATGTCACGTCATTCCTCAAGATCATTGTCAATTTGGGGCACGACGAGTCAGAAGAGGATATTCTTGTTCCAGATTTTATAGCTGGAGAGCTCAAAGACCATCAAATTGAGGGGATCCGCTTTCTTTGGAAGAACATAGTGATGCTGAAGCAGCCATCTGCAGACGGACAGTCAATGAGACATGCCGGATGCATTTTAGCCCACGCAATGGGATTGGGTAAGTGTCATTAGTGTCATTACCTTTATGTCCGCGGGAACAGAATGGTACGAATTGATTTGGTTATCTTCTTAGGCAAGACGATCCAGACCATTGTATTCATATTTGTGCTAATGCGTGAGATCAGGGCTGACAGCAAAGCCATTCCGGAGCATTTGCGGGTATGTTGGGTGCCCCCTTTGCGATTTTGTGCTTCATTGCCCCTTCCCCTGAATCAATGGTTCGCCTCACTGTTCGGATCATAGGCCGGCCGAGTACTCATTGTCGTGCCCGCCAGTGTGGTGACAAACTGGTGAGTTCATATTGACATCTGTTTATGTCGCTCGCTGGAGAATAACATTTCGGTCGGTTAGGTTGCGAGAGTTCTTCCAATGGATACCAGAGTCTGTGATGCAAGATGTGCTGCGTAATGTTGAAACACTGACGTGTAGGTATTGGGGGCGATTTAGATCTTTCCTATATTTACCACTCATGCGATCATGACCATATCTGGTAGCCATGGGAAAGACGATGCTGCAACGACGGAAAACAATTGAAAAATGGCATTCTGAGGGAGGGGTATTGATTACGGGGTATAATATGTTGCAGGAGCAGTGGAAGCAATCAAAGAAGGCCAGTGACGAGTTAATGGCAATGCAACAGCATGAGATGTCACAAGGCGGCGATCCCACTCGGATTCAAGCGACCACGTCTAAATACGAAAATGTGAAAGGATGGATCTTTGAGGGTACTAGTCTTTTGGTCTGCGATGAAGGGCATTTGGTACGTAAAACTTAGTGTCGTTGTTGTTGGTTGATTTCCTGTCATTAAGCTCCTATCCAGATCAAGAACACGAAGTCATTGCGGTGTCAATTAATGAATAATTTTCAAACTCCTTCCCGAATATGTCTCACTGGATTTCCTTTGCAGAATAATCTCTCTGAGTATTGGTTAGTCTCTGTAAGATTGTTCAACCGAGATGGCAAGCAAGTTTCTCATGTCAGAATACTCCAGGTGCATGATCGATTTCGCGGTGTCAATGTTCTTGGGGACTCACGCCGAATTCCGAAATAACTACGAAAATCCTATTGCGAATGGTCTTCATGCTGATTCCACGGACTCTGATCGAATACTGTCCCGGAGAAGGATGTACATGTTGACGCGATTAATACACGACATTGTTCTACGAAAGGATAATGCACCTCTGAGACGGGAGCTGCCCGAAAAAACAGAATTTGTGATCGTCTGCAAGCTGACGACGTTGCAGCACGAGGCTTATCGGGTGCGTATGAAAAGTTGGCCGCGTACACATGTCTACACTTCAATTAATGCTCTAAACATGTGCAGGCCTATCTTCAAACGGTCGAACCTGGCTGCAGCTTCTCTAACATCATCGCGAGAATGCATCCCTTACTGTTGCTATGTGGACATCCAGGCGTATTCAAGGTGAGTTTTCACCCCTCATGTAGCGGTGTAAATAAGTAGGCACCAGCTAAAATGAGGACTTTGGCAGAGGGTTGTTGATGAGAAATTCGCAAAACTTGAAAAACTCGGAAAGTCCATTTCTCGCGGCAAAGCGGCGTCCTCGTCCCGGCGCGAGTCATTCGCGAGTGAGGCCCAACCTGACACAGATTTTGCCCCCACATCCATTACCGCGGCCACCTCAATAGCTGACGTCGATCCTGAATTGGATGGCGACGCGGAAGATGTTATCCAGGAAGATAATGTTGATGTGTAGGTCGCTCGGCTCCTAATATGCGATACGCAGAAATACAGTCTTATGATGCATCTCGTCATAGGGGGTTACTCCGAACATTGCATCCGACTTTCGACCATATTTTTTCAAAGTATCAAGGTTGGTCATTCGATATTGCGCACTGTTCTGCACTCGTTCCTGATCTATCATTTTCATCCAGATATCCTTTCCCTGGAACATTCAATCAAGATGCAAATCACTATGCAGATAGTTCACAGTGCGCGAAGAAACAAACAGAAGGTGTTGATCTTTTCAAGAAGTGTGCCAACATTGCGTAAGTAGTTGATCATGAAGATATAATCACCGCGCACAAGTTATGTATCACTGAAGACACACGGGAACCTAGATTATATCAAAGATGCCATCGATAAGGAAGGAATTAAAACCTTTCTCATCAAAGGCGATGTCCAAGCCACGGTAGATTGAATGAAATAGCCATGTCTATTCCTTCTTCATGTACTAACCTGCTTTATAGGATCGTCAAAAGCTTATCGACGAGTTCAACAAATCATCCATAGCAACTGTTTTTGTGATTTCCACCCAAGCCGGTTCAGTAGGCGTCAACTTGCAAGGAGCTACCCGCGTTGTATTGTTTGATATAGGCTGGAACCCGTCTGATGCCGAACAGGCAGTCGCCCGAGTATGCAAAAAGCTGCAGTCTTCCTTTTTGCGTTTCAAACTGAATAAGGAACTTCGAAATCATAGGCTTATCGGTATGGGCAAAGAGAGCCCGTGTTTGTTTATCGATTACAGACTTGTGACACTTTCGAAACAACACTCTACAAAAACAACATTCATAAGCTGGGCTTGTCCAAGTGAGTTTCCTGCCAATGGTAATATTGCTGGAGTGTAAGCTTTAACTCCTATTACTTTCAGGCAAGTGGTCGATAAGAAGAACACGAGCAAAAACTACACGAAAGCCGAGATGAAGAAATATTTTGAGCCTCCGCCTAAAGACCGAGGATGGGAAGTCGCCCCGGAAGAAGAAGAGTCTCTACGGAATAAAAATGACCCAGTCCTGAATGATATTCTTACTGTGTGCCGGGAAGGATTAATTCGAGTTAGGGAACATGAAGACCTTTTGCAGGAGATAGAGGATGAAATGGATGAAGCTGAACGGGCAGAAGGCGAACGTGCTTTGGAGGAGGAGCGAATACGACGAAAGGAGGGCAGACGAGGTGGCCCTCCGCCACCACCACCACCACCATCGTCACCACCGCAAACACAATCTACATCAACCATTGCAGGACCAACGCCGCTACCTGCTCCTGGCGGGCAAGCGATATCCACCGACCAACCTTCTCAGGGGACAGCCACACCATTCGTTCCTGGCAGAAGTGCCCATGTGTCGGAAGAGACTATTCCGATCCCGCGCACAGGTATACACTATCCCTACAAAAGTTGGTACTACCCAGGAAGTCCGAAAAACTAATGGAGACGACTATAGCAGGATCAACCAGTTCGACAACAGTAGAAAGCTTGACATCTCAGCCTCAAATTGTCGACTCAAATCTTTCCGCTCTGGCGCGATGGACAGAGTACAAGAAACACCAGGAGCATCTTGCCCAATTGACTACGTTCGCCGGAATCCAGGAAAGGCCACCAGTATTTGTGAGTATGTTTTCGGCAAGGCCTAGTACGACGGCCAGTGTCCCACCTGCCCCAGCGATGACCGCGGCTCCCCTACATAGTCCCGGCGTTGGGACCGTCGGTACCTCGAGTACAAGCGCTCCGATGCAAAGTCCGCATCCAATGCACGCCCCCGCATCATTTTCTCAACCAACATATAGATACCCTGCGACACCTGCGGGTGCTCACTTTCCCCCACCATCCCCTTATGGGCAGCCACGTCCTCCAAGCTACCCTGCTGACTTTTCTCAGTGGACGTCGCCAGATTTCTGGTTGCGACAGTTTGCGAGGCCACAGGGTTGAGAGCCCCTTGATTAATAGCACTCAAAGAGATCAGTTGAATTGGATGTAGAAACTATGTAGTATTAACTTGTTTGCAGTGTATATTATAATTGCTTGTAGAATATTGTAAATGCGCAACCCTAGTCAAATATCGTGGATTGCCGCGCTCCCGTGATTGAGTCATCCCGCCAAGCGCGGCTGCCGTTCATATTCCAACACCTTTGTTGAGTGTGCGGATTTTGAAAATGCAATCCAATGCCCATCAGCAAACCCTGCGGGGACTTTACCCGCCAATCGAGCCTTATGAAACAGGATTTCTCAAAGTCTCTGAAGTTCACACCATCTACTGGGAGACCAGTGGAAATGCCGCGGGAAAACCCGTAGTTTACCTCCACGGAGGTGGGTCCCCTAGACGTCCCAGCTCTACCAGACGAGGAATTCTAATAATTTGAAATTATAGGACCTGGAGGTGGAACGTCTGGGGATGATCGGTACCGTGTTTCTGTTATTTTTTTTTTAAAAGGAAGGCTTATGGATTTGGACGCTTTCAGACGTTTTTTTGATCCATCTGTTTATCGAATTGTTCTTTTGGATCAACGTGGATCAGGCAAGAGTACACCGTGCGTAACTTTGTTGCAAAATATGGCAGGGAACCGGACGATTAATACATAATTGTAGCCTCGCTTGCCTTGAGGAAAATGATACTTGGTCCTTGGTCTCGGATGTTGATAAATTGCGGTGAGGTTTAGATCCTTACTGTGCTTGCTACTTTTTGCAGTAGTCTAAGGCTGTAATTCTCTCATGAAGGAAACATCTCAATATTGACAAGTGGCTAGGTTCGATACTTCTTAGATTTGTGGCCAAATAGCTGTGCTTGATTTGATTTCAACCACCATTTGGACTTCTAGTTTTTGGCGGTTCGTGGGGGAGCACATTAGCACTCTCGTATGCTCAAAAGCACCCGGAGAACGTGAAAGGGCTGATTTTACGGGGAATCTTCCTGCTGAGGCACGCTGAGTTGCAGTGGTTTTACCAAGAAGGTGCCAGCAATATCTTCCCGTACGTAATCTAATTAGCAAGCCATCCTCTCCCCCAAACTAAGCTAAATTGCAGGGATATCTGGGAGTCTTACTTGGAACCCATTCCCGAGTCAGAGCGCGGAGACCTCATCGCGGCCTACTATCGGCGTCTTACGGGAACTAACGAGGAAGAGCAAATGCGTTGCGCAAAAGCATGGAGCAAATGGGAATGCGCGACTAGCAAGTTGTACATAGGTGTGTTCAAGACTGGGTTAACCGAAACATGTTTTCCGTTTCAAACAAGGTCACTTCAGATCCCGAGCATATCAAGAAAGCTGAAGATGACAAATGGGCTGCGGCCTTTGCCCGCATCGAATGTCATTACTTTATAAACAAAGGTTTCTTTGATAGTGATGGCTACCTTTTGCAACATGTGGACAAGATCAAGCATCTCCCATGTATGTCCATTATATTGTGTGGAGAATGAAAAGGTATTAACGCTCAACCGTGTCTTGCAATCCAGGTGTTATTGTTCAAGGGCGTTACGATGTTGTTTGCCCCGCACGAAGTGCTTGGGACCTGAAAAAGCAGTGGCCAGAAGCGGAGTTCCACATGGTAAAAGTCCCCTGCATCCTCTCCTCATCATGCGCAAGATGGTACTGACCGATCTCTTACAGGTACCTGATGCCGGACACTCTGCCAAAGAAAAAAGTATAACCGCCAGATTGGTAGAAGCTGCAGATAAATTTAGAGAACTGTAGTGAAAATTAGTTTAGAAGATGACGATTTGCATCGATCGGATGCCCAGCTGTGGCGTAAGAATAAGGAATGTGCACGTTGCAAATCGTAAGATCACGTCTTTTCTCGAGCATTCAATTGTATCGCACAAGCATAATGCTATCTGGCGACAATTAAAGGAACTGCAGCAAGGTAAAGGCTTCCGCAGAACAGGAGACTGTACATTATGTATTTTGAACCGGACCGAAAATATTGGCCATCCATAATATTACACTTTGACTATTGACAATTAGGTAGAATAAATACATTCGCATATCCTAAACACATATGAATAGAGCATCGCCACCTCTGAAGTATCAATCAACCAACTACCACTGATCCTTTGGAATGCTAACGGTAGAGTCGGAGCTGTCACCACTGGACCGTATCCCTTTCACAAGCCGACGTAATTTCCCTTCTTGCTTTCCTTTTCCTTCTACATGTTTTCCCCTGAACGGACCCGCACCTGCCCCAACCAGACCATCAATCTTTATGACAATGGCATCTAATTCGGTCGCCCAGATTTGGCGTTCTGCGCCAGTCAGTAAGCCTGATGCGAGGGCGCGGAGGCAAAAGTCTCTTTTTGGTATCAGATATGTGTCCGGGCCGCCGCCAAGAGATGTAAGTCTCGTAGGGGCGCTCAGAGCTGCTTGACGGGTAAATCCTAAAACGGGGGCGTTGGCGGGAGTTGATCCCAGTGAGGTGAGAGGGAGGAATCCGCAAGCTAAAGGTGCTGCTGCAGAAAAGTTTTCATCTTTAAGAGCTGACCTGGGAGTGTCAAACCAAGAAACGTGTTTACTCACCAGTATCGCTAGGAGAACCAATCATTCCAAACGCCCAGTCATCTTGCAAAATGCCCCACACTGCAACTGTATCACTAATATCCACCGATATCTCCGCCCAATGGCGAGATTCCCAAGTCTTTGTTATAGGAGTTCCAGATTCCTCTGAGGTACTAACTTTTCGTCGACGTTGTTCCTCCGTTTTAGTTTGTTCATCTTGTCCATTTGAGGAATTTGAGCGAGCGTACGAAGCAATGAAATTGCTTTTCCGCCATGAGTTGGTGTCAGAGAAGCGTCCATTCCACCATGAAAACCGTGAACTCGATGCCGAAAGTGCTTTTTCAGGCCTAGGTGTTTTGATGTCTTGGGCTGAGTTACGCGGTCCCTCTGGGTTATAGTTACTTATAACGGCCAGCTCTAGATTGCGCTCCTCCATAGGGATGTGATGATCTTTTTCGGGGACTGGAGGATGTTTGGCGATAAGGCTGTGAGCACCTTCACCCAGGAGTAGAATACGACGACGGTGACTTCGTCGATGCATGAATACACCAAGTATTACCAGACCAACCAGGAGAAGACCTGTTGTTACTCCCGCAATTGTTACGGCAATTACGTTTGGCCCGGATGATTGACTAGAGTCTCCGGCTACGACGGTACTTGCAGGTGTTGCCGTGGATGTGGCAATTACAGCGGTTGTCGAGACGGATGCGCTAGTGGCACTGGAAATGACTGTCAGAGAGGGTAGAGTACTCAATGACGGAAGGATAGGACTGATTGAAAGGGATGATGGTGTGGTCGAAGGAGACGGCAAAACTGTGGGCGTCATGGTTGGGTCACGGACGGGGTTTGACGGTGTTGACAGCACTGGAGGAGAGGGTGCACTATTGCTGGGAGCTTGCGGAAGACTTGATACTACTGGAACGCTTGATATGACACCAGCGCACTGGACAGCAAACTGGTTCTAAAATTATTACACCTTATGAATACATGATGCATGATAGCAAACGGGTGTGGGAGCAACGTTATACAGTACTCACACTCACCCTCGAACTCCCACTGACGCCGGCCAAGACGTTCAGGCATCTAGCACCACTCCAAATCAAGCACCTCTCAAAGAATACTTGCCCCATTGCATCTCCGCACACTGCGGCATTGCTTTCATCCACTTCTCGCCCTTGTTCTCGTCGTCTACTGCTTTGATCTCGCACATCGCTAATTGCCGTCTGCAAACACGACAAGGTGCAGTCGACCGGTTTCGGAGACGTAATTGGTGCAGGCACAACTGGTACGAGCTGACGCGGCTTGAGGCAAAGTACGTCCTCGGAAGGTAGCGGCATCGCACAAGTGGGCCACGACCCCGAGCTATGTACAAAAACAAGAGCTGGATGGGTTTAGGACAAGCAAAGGCGGGAAATTGCCCAGGCAGGCGGCAAGTAAGGCATGTCTTTGAATGGATAGTTAAATCAATCATCTATCCGGACGGTGAAAAGCATATTCGGCCTCCAATTTCGAAGCCAAAGAATTCTGGATCTCCGACTGTGTCGTGACGCGTCAAAAGCGCGTTCTTCTGCGCAGCAGCTGCCATCTCAGTTCTCTATCCAACACTTACTCTGGAATATAGGCTTGTGAAAGCGCAGTAGCTCTCCAATGCATTGAAGGAGCCACCCTTATAAACGTCAAATGCTTATTGCAGCGTATGCAGAATAGAAAGATTGGCCATTCTTTCTGAATATCGCAAAGGTTTAGGCAGGACAGCGTCAGTCATTCTGTACATGTGCTCTGAAGACGTTTCATCGATTGCTTAGGGCATAATAGAGATAGGCTGGAGGACCATATTCCGCTCTACGAGTGTTCAGTTCCAGTCACTGACATTGCATGCAACTAGAAGCCGGGCTGACCTTAGTAACTTTGGGTGAATTCCAGTATCCAAGGTACTATGACCCTCGATGACCCTCGATTCGTCATAACCTTAACCTTGTCTGTGAACTAAGCTTTTTATACGGAATGTTCGCCAATTCACTACCGATCCTCGCAGTAGGAATGTACGTATACACCTCTGCTCCAAGTTCATCCCGGTAACAGCACTCGCATGCACAATGGCTGCGACAATCCCCTGTGTTGGTAAGGTTTGAGCGCGCTGGCGCGCACCCTTGCAGGAAACAGTAGCAACCCAAAGATAATCTTGCCTTGCCGCATGCATCAGCATTTCCGCTGTCCCGACGACATTAGGACTTTTAATGCAAAATTATTATCTTTGCTTGCCATACATCTAAAAATTGCGAAGCCCATTGGGAAGGCTCTATGAAGACGTCATCATCTCCAGTGTCATTGGCGAGAAGGTCCTTCAGTGCCATGTGCGTAATTAGTTCAAGGAAACATTGAGATGCATCCTAGGTCGCCCTTTGTATCAAAATACCATGGCATACCATTGCCACCGAATATAGTAAAAAATTTGACAAGTTCTACTTTCGCGTTGGTTGCTTTTTCCACTCCATCCCCGAAGGTACAGACGGGAATACTTGCGAAAAGTTGGAATGGACTTGCTTGACCTAACCAAACGCAAAGTTCATTGAGTAACCGACGACACGGTTGATATGCCCAATACGTGACAGATACTGCAAAGTCTGTTCGTGAGGAAGAATTCAATGTGTGTTCTTGAGCAAGCCATATCCCGACGCACAGGGGCACGCACTCGGAACATCATACTTACATTACAACCCCAAACCAGAAACCCTTGTACATTGTACTGTGTAAAGGACCGCCAAAGGGTTAGCACCCTTGGCGGACGGTTAGTGATCAGATTGATTTTCCGTCGTTGAGAGAATAATCGGAGGCACCCATGTAGATCTACCAATTCATCTTGTCGTTTGACGTGTCCCATGGCGGACCCAAGGCTTGCATTGGACTGTGCTCTCCGCTTATCATTCAGGTTACCTAAGATGGTTCGGTCATACGGTCCCAAGCCCGTAGCGAACGAAGTCGGGATTGGAGTGCGGATAGGTTTAAAGCTTGGCCGACGCAAAAGGAGATCAAAGATGCCAAACGGCTGCATGGCATTGCAATGGCGGAGTTGCTGCTTGCAAATCAGAGACGCTAAGCATTCCATAATCCCCTAAAAGGAATGTTCGTTAATTTTCATAGAACCACATTCTCGGAAAGGCGATGGATCCAGTAGATCCAAAGGTGTGAAAGGCAGCACTGCCACTTGATACGCTTGCGGCTTAAGAACTGTGCAGAAGAGATCTCTTGCGGTGGACGACGGGGGCGCTTTGAAATTACAAGGGAGGCAAGGGATTGGTAAAGGAGCGTAAAAGTCGTCCCTCCCCGCAAGAGGTTGTCTTGCAAAAACTGGAGAAATAGCCAATGGCGCAGAAGCAAGAGCCCTTTGCCTCAAGGGCAGCTACCATTGCGCGAAAAGTCTTGCTGCGACATCCTGTCCGTGCAAATACTCTATATAATACAGTGGATCCAGAGCATGACCACGAGGTTCACGCAAAATTCAAGCCATACGAGGTGGGTGACTCTGCAGAGACGTGGTCGTTTATTATCGGTCAGCCTGACCTGTGTGCTGCTCCAGAGTATTGCGTTCGAAGAGCCCGATGGCCCTGGCCTCCGGAAGCACTATCGGCATCAAACTCGCTTGGTGAGTGAATGATGATAAGGGCCGATTTTGCTTTGCGTAGCTTTGACTGATTTATCCACAGACTCGCATCATCCAAGAACTTCTTCAATACCGTAAGTATCATCGGCTCGTAGTTACCAAACGATCGGCTTTCTTGATCATTGCTTCATAGTCCTTGCATGTGTAATCACTCTTGCGATATCATGGCTGTATGTGCTTCTCTTCTTTGGATCGGAGAAGCTGGCCGAAGCACGCATCGAGCATTATACCGAGCTCATTGAAGAGGGACATAGATTGGAAGCTGTGCTGTATGCATTATGGACATGCTTACTAGCGGCGCTCTTACCGGCACTGGTGGTTTTGATATGGGCGGTAAGCGTGATGATAGCTCTTGTACTAGGATTTGCGCCGACCACATCGGCTCATAATTTCTGCTTCTCTGATATGCAGCCTGGAGTTACGGGGTCAGGAATGGTCGAGGTATAGATACAAAGTTTGTATTTACCTTGACCGAATTTGGCAATGACCAATTATGCAGCTCATTGCATTCCTTAATGGTGCAAATTCAATCACCAAAAGTACTTTGATGAATATGGTAAGCTTAACATCGCATTAGGTGAGGACCATGGGTAATGCTCACACTCTCCTCTTATTACGCTCTAGGCGGCACGATTTCTCGGTATCTTCGGAATTGCTGTTGCAGGGCTTTACTCTGGAATTGATGGGCCAATGGCCATGATTGGGGCATCGCTCGCGATATTCATAGTGCAGCTTGTGCGGAAAGTGCCGGTCTTCCGTCGTTGTAAGTCCCATCTCTCATTTTGCATATCGCCATCTAGCTGATCTTGTCGCCAAAGTCTTCTATGGAGAAAGTCATCCGAAGCATTTGGATGCCGGCCCGGCAGCGGCTGCTGGGCGTAATGCCTTATTCTCCTTCCTTGAACAGACAGCGCTACGGCTTTTTGCGACAATCGGTGCGGCCGTCGCCATTGCCGCCATCTTTCGAAGTCCTCTAGGTGGAGTAATGTTCACTTTAGAAGAAACGATGAGCTTCTTCGAGCCGCGTATCATGATTAGAACATTATTTTGCACTGTTATTGCTTTTTTGGTTGTTGGATTCGAGGTTGCCAAGCACTTTCATTCTTTGGATACCGTGCAAGTTGGGGAGAACGCCGGTAGTTTGGAGTTTACTCTGTTTCCTGTGAGTAAGATATTTATGGAAACACTGTCTAACGATGACTTAGAAAGTTCTTAACATGCGCCAGGTCAACGTGGACTGTAACCGAATTAATCCTTTGACTCCTGGGAAGCTTTTGTTGTTGCTCGGTCTTTTTGTGTCTCTTGGTGTTGTGATGGCCTTCGTTGGAACCCTATGGAATAACCTTTTGAGCATGGTTCAAAATCTCCGGCTACCATACACCGTTCGCAATTTGGAGCAGACAGCGGCCGCGTCGTCGTGGGTGCGCCATTCACAGGAGGAAACAACAGATGGAGGAAAAGGGAAGCCCCGCAAGTTAGTCGCCGTAGCCTCTGACAAGCTGAAATCACGCCGAGGTCTTTTTACATTCATACGTTTGGTTGAAGTCGCTGTTGTCTGCATCATTACTACGCTGATCGTTGTGCTTTTGCCGACGGCGCCTGGCGTTGATCCGTGTCTCCCCTTGAGCACAGTAACGGATCATGTTCGAGATACTACACCCACCGAATGCCTAGAAGGTGTGGAAATTAACTCTACAGCGATATCCGATTCAAAGTTGCGAGAATGTTTACGAGGATTTGGCGGTGTTTGCCTGCCGCCAGATTTGAAGAATGAATACGAGCATGTAAGTTTCACAGCAAGATCATCTTCTCCCACTTTCACCCGCCTTTGAGCTTTCATACTTACTTTGACTGTCCGTGCAGAGCATCATTCATAGTTTCTATCGGCCTGTGGAGGTTGAAGCAGCCCGAAACCGAACTATCATTGAAGAACAACCAGGAGGCCGTGAAGGTCATCAGAGTACAATATCCAATGGACCTGCACACCTTACTTCATCTATCGCTTCAAATGCTCTGCCAACTTTTGACGAAACCGCATCGGCCTTTCTCCCGTTCAGCGAATCAAGAGGGGTTCGCATGGGTCTCCGTGTCCGAAGGCTAACTCGACGGCAAGAGCATGGGAATCCCGGAGGTCACGAAAGCACGGACCGTCCAGCATCAAGGGAGCCCTCTCCGTCGAGCAATGCACCTTCTGGCGAGCATAGCCCGTCGCCCTCTGAAGCAAATGGCCATGGCAACAACACGGGTGATGTGAAACTTGCGACCTTGGACATGCTGATCCCCCAGGCGGACCTGCATGCGCAGCATGCCAAGGTAGATCAGGAGGGACAATGCTACTATCAAGTGAGATCGCTTATGTATTCCACTCCTGGTAAGATATTCCCATATTGTCACCTTGAAGACGTTACAGACTTACTGACACTTGCTCATCAGAGAAGCAATTGAAGCTTCTCCTTACCCGAGGTCTATATCAACTCTTTGATATCCGGTCTCTTGGAATTTTCCTTGGTGTATATCTATTATTGAGTCTGATCACGTATTACATCGCCCTACCAACAGGTGTGTACCTTAGTCTTAATGATGTGCAACATACCATACTCATTAACCATTGTATTCTGTGCTGGTATTAGATTTGGTCATTCCAAACTTGATCATGGGTGCAGTTACAGGGCGCATCCTTGGAGTCGCTTGGAACTACATGCGCGGCTCCTCAGCGATAGATCCTGGTCTAATTGCGTACGTACTTTGACATTTGCTTGCGACATCGTACCACATCAACACCGTTTGACCATGTTTCATCACAGATTGATTGGGATGGCTAGTTTGTGGTCTGCGACCAGCCGTCTGACCCTTACAGTCATCGTGATATGCTTTGAGTTGACAGGAGACTTTGATGCTATCCCTGGATTAATTATCGTATGCTTCACCTCTGCATGGGTTTCGTCATTTTTGGGTGAATCGCTATATCATCTTGAAATGCACAACAATCACACACCCTTCCTACCTCCTGAACCCTCACATCAACTTCGCACCATCTGCGTCCGCAAGTTGATGTCCCACAAGAACATGGTTGTGCTCACCTCAACCGCCAGGCTCAGTGCGTGCGCTGAAGCGATTCAATCTGGCCATAATGGATTCCCAGTTTGTGAAAAGCTTATGGTGGAGGATTCCCACGGACGTCAAGTAGTGCGGTATCGACCTGTCGGATTTGTCTATAGGGACTTGCTTTCCGAGACTCTCACGAGCCTGTGTGAAACCAAGACCTACGATCCGACTAGTACTCGCATCGATATGACGGCGATCATGAACGTGAGTCCAACAATCGTGCGCGAGGATGCTACTGCTGCCAAAGTATTTTCAGTTGTCCGATCTTTGGGATTGCGGCATGTAATGGTTGTTGATCGGGACGGATTCCTGGTTGGACTTGTCACAAGGAAGGATTTGTTACGGGGAATGCATGGCGACGACCATCACAGCCATAATGCCAAGAGGAAGGATACAAAAGGCTTCTCAAAGACAATCAAAGGCAGAGCAAAGACCTATGGGCAAGGACATGGTAGCGGAGACTTGATTGTAAGTGAACGAGGCGGTGGAGGTGATGAGGAATTGGGAACGGTCATCAAGCCAGCTGAGGGTGATAGTGCTGGTAAGGAGAAGATTGAAAGTGCCCGCGACGAAGGCAGTCAGCATGTTCTTCGACAAGTAAGCGAAGAGACTGTATCGCCAACAGCAGCGCAACTTCGTGAACATGAAGGAATTGTCGGTGTGGAGTTGCGACACTCTCCTCAGGAAGTAACACCAGTAGATCCCCTTGCACAGGCGGGAGGTCAATCCTCCGAGCAATCGTGGTCAACCCAGGGAGGTCTGCTCCGTCTTCGCACCGTCCGTAGCTCCGTGGCCGCTGTGCGGTTGGATTCAATGGACACAGAATCGGACAATGAGGAGGAAGCGGATCACCGCAGATGGAGCAGGGATGACGACTGTGTATTCGATGGGGAAGAACACAGATTTGGGCGAGGTACATGATACTCACATGATAGACATTATGAGGGATTCAAAGTATATTAGTAGATAGCTACACTGTACATTTGTATTCGACAGTTATTCGCGATACCCCGAATGTAACTTTACGTTGGAGTTGTTTTCGCCATAAGGCTTGCGCAAATGACATTTAAAGCTCAATAAGGTTTTCATGTCATTTCTGGGGATCTTTCCAAGAAGCGTGATGCGGGCTTGGACCTCTCACTTACGTCATTAGATTCCTGTCCCTGATGACGAGGGCCATCTCTCAAGTGCTTCATAAGTTGAACGCTTTTTTCTTTTTTCCAACATCCTGCTACTCTAGAAGAACGGTTAACGTTGTGCCATACAAAAGATGTTCCAGCTCACTACTACAGTAGTGGTGACCTTTGCCCTATGCATTGTCCAAGTGGATGCACTCTGTAGATGCTCATGCGGTGGATTCCACAGGGGAACGTTTTCAACTGGGAGCTGCAAGTAAGTGTGCCAAGACAAGACTGTACGCCCACAATCAAAAGTGCTTCCGAGGCCATTTGCTCATTTATTCGAATTATTTTTTGACAAATAGTCCGGGGACATGCAACCTACGATACGGAGTATGTCCATACGGATGGTACGCCTACAACCCGACTGCAGCCATTATTGGGGGAGTGATCGGCGGATTCGTCCTTCTCGTACTTTTATGCATTTGTTGCTGCTATGCACTCAGACGGAGGCGAGCCGGCATGTGGAGGCAACCCATTGTCTTCGGCAATCAGATGGGCCAGCCTGCGTATCGTGACTCGTCTTCGAATTTCAATTCTGCGCAAAACTTGACGGGAGCACCGATGTCCGAGGGTAGTCACGGTCAGGTACATCCGCGTCCTCCCTATCCACCACCTCCGGCCGCTGCCTCTGGCGGCCAACACCCACCGCCGATGAGCGGGGTATAGATAGTAGTATAGCACTTACTGATGCATTATATCTCAAATTTACAATAAACATTGGAGCAAGGTGCTTGGCAATGGGCCGTATAATGACAGACGGCAATTATATGACGTTCCTGCCCTCGCTTACGTCTCATATTCATTTCTCACGAATCAAATATCTGCAGCCCTCTGGACCCATTTGAGCTGAATGCACAGTTCCCGCGGGAACATCCGCCCTTTCTCCTCTCTTAAAGGTCTGTGACTGGCCGTCCATCGTCAATGTCATTTCCCCAGCCAGGATAATGTGTGTAGTTTCGACTGCGTGAGTGTGGTTTGGGTATACTGCATGTGGCATATCTTCCCAGACGAATGTCGTGGTATAGCCTTCTGCATTGAGACGAGAAGCGAGATCGTTTTGGTTCATGGGGACGACAAACAAACCAAGGAAAGGGTTGGTGAGCCGTTGCCAAAGTGTCGCGTTCTTCATGACGTAAGGGTCCCAACCACCCTCTTGCACAGATTTCGCAAGTCCATTTTGACTACGACAACAAAACATGATGCGTGCATTTATTGTCAAGCGTACTTTTCACACATCGCTCCTAGCCCGCTCGGCAATCAAGAAGGAATCCTCTAACCTGTCTCCACATGGTGGGGCAGGTATCGCCCAAGGAGACCTGCAAAGAACCAAAGCCGCCGTGGGTGACAAGTTCCAGCATCTTCCACCAGGATGGGCTAAAAACGAGAGAAACAATAAATACTACGAGCTCGCATGTAGTGGTGTAAGTGCATATAAACAAGCTCCATCCAACAGAACGGAACGTCTTGTTGATGCTGTTACTGTTTCTGTGACGCAGGCCGACAGGGCTCATCCACCGCCAAAGCCCGCCAAGAGCTAAAACAGCGGACAATAGTTATGGAAAAATCGTTGACCTCTTATGTGCAGCAGATGAAATATATTGCCAGACTAAAACCGTAAAGTTAAGACAAATACTGGTGTTCAGACTAGCCTATGTGCCTCCCGTTGACCGTTACGTTGAAAGTATTTGGTCGCGACACCTTTGGTCTGGGGTGTGCTCGGCCCACCAACAGCCCACCAGCCATGCCCCCTGCATGAGAGCGCACCGGTGCGGACATTGGACGTACATGGCGTTTCCGACAATCGTCTTCTACTGGCCTATGTTTTCCGGGAGACGCCGAGGATGTGAATGCAGAAGCTGGTCTGGTTCGGTTATCTGGCACATCGTCCCACGCTGGCTTAGGTGTTACATTCCTACCAATGGCAGTCATGTTTGAAGCGCCAGCTTTGTCGTCCTTGTCTGATATGCCAACCGCACCTACCATACCCTTTGGTTCATCTGTTTCCGACTTGCCTGTAGGACATTGGCCTTCCGTTACATCTGCTTCATCCCACTCATCCTCCCAGCTTCCATTCCGCAAATTTCCTTGCGCGAAGGCTCCACCTGGCACACCATGTCTGCTTGTTGGTGCGCTTTTAGGTCGTGAACTAGCCCTTAGCAGCCACTGACGAACATCTCCAAAACCTGCAGCTCGCTCACCATGTGACGGTGGTGGCACGGAACTGGTGCGATCAAGCAAGGCGCTGGGTTCGTGCTTGTTGGATATTTGAGCAGACATCAAACCCACGGCTTTGGCTGCGTGAGCTGCCTTTGTCTCCACCTCACGAATTATGTCTTGTATCTTCGCAGGCCGACCAAAATCCGCTGGTCTTTTTGACGCCTCCCGCTCACATACCCCCGCCCCGACTCCCGTCATAGGAGATGTCGACCCTGTACGAGGGGTACGTGGGCGTGATACAGGGTTCGCAGAGTTGCGAGGGGTTCTCCGCTGAGACGCCGACCGCGACAGCTTCTCAGAGCCCGATGTCTCAGCAGAATCAGAAATTGACATGTGGCCATCAGTGTCGTCTCCGCTCGAGGTCCACACTATTGGTGACATGTAGGATCTAAGCCCTGATAGAAGCTGACGTATCAGCGATTCGTGAGACGCAAGGCGGTTGATGAGGGTTCTGTCCATGCCAGCACTTGTCGAGCCATCTAAGACACTCTCTGTCGCAAGGACTGCATCGTCTCTTTCTTCTTGCTTTCCAGTAAAGCATTCCTCCAGAACATCTGTCAGCCGAGTGAAAAGTTCAGCTTGTCGCCTATGTTCTGCGAGCTGTCGTCTATGGCAGGCAGACGAGGGAATGTCAGCGAGGTCAGCAGTGTTTCATGCTGCTTGTTTCATTCCTCACCTTCTCTTTCGTCTCCTTTTCTGTGTATCGTTCGCTTGATGGGTATCTAGGTGCATGTAATCCAGTGAGGCCTCACAAAACCAAGAGATTTTGGCATAACAGTCAGATCTTACCTCTTGTCGGACTCGATGCCCTTTCGTCGTCAGTCGAATTTAGTAAACCATCCCCAGTGTGGATGACAGATGGAGGGGCATCTCCGGAGAGAGCTTTCGTAGACGTTGACTGGTTCCACTTGGGCTGTGTGAAATGCGTAGTACGACTTATGTGTTGGATGGTGTTACGTTAGGCGCTCCCCAGCCACGATGATAAGCGTAGGTTAGGACAAATGGTCGATACTTACCACCATTCTTCCCACTCGGCGTCGATGATTTTGTCATCGTCCGTTGTCGCTTCCTCGGCACTTTTTATTTCTAACTCATATTCAGTGCTTTCTGACGAGCCATGCTTGGTTTTTCTCGATGCCGCTGTTGACGACGCTTTTCGTTGGTTTTTGCCCTTTATGGTGGAATTAGCACCCTCAGTTGATGCCTGCAATTGCTCATCCAACTCATGAATACGTTGCAATGCTTTCTTGAGCCTTTTTCGTATCGCTCGGGTTTGCAGCCGACGTCTGGCCAGCTCGTCAACCATTAGCGCTTGTTCAGTTTCAGCAGTAGACTTGAACAGGCGGAGAGCGGTGATTTCTTGCGTCAGCTACGAAAAGGTAGAGAATGGCACCACTTTTTAGTCTCAATATTACCCCAACACAGAAAGCAATATTACCTTCCCTGCTTACCTACCTCTCGATTTACTCCCATAGTTCGCGCTGTTTCATCTTTCATAATATGGTTCTCTCGCTCAAGTACCGATATCTTTGCATTGCAGTTGTCATGCTTAATACGCTAATGAACCCATTGAAGCATCTTTATCTCATCAGCTGTACAGCTCATTAGTACGCATAGGCCAACAGGGCTGTACCTTTTCGTATTCTTCAATGATCGCTCGACGCGTCTCGTCTTTTGCTTTCTGGACAGCCGCCCGGGAGGACTCCAACATTGACTTTTCGCGGTCTGTTGAAGATATAGGATTACGCTGTTACCACCAGCGCTCAGAGGGAGTGCCTTCTCTCCCGATATTGCGTGGTACACACCAAAGGCTTCGCCAAATGTAATGGCATCGTATTCGTCGACACTGAGCATTAATCTCCTGTGAATCATTCGAAGTTTGGCGATTGATACCCCCTGTGATGTTGAAGTAGGCGTGGGGTCTCGCGATTGCTTTTCGAGGGATGGCTTAATAATGGTGTTGAAGAGGCCTTTTAACTTTCGACTGCCCGCAGAAGGAGTTGCTGGACGAGAAGGGGCTGGCGTAGCCGGCTGAGAGCCGCCCGGTGACACATTGCCGGGATCAGGGACATTGTCGTCATTAGAGACTGCCGACGGGCTGTCTAAATTCTCAGTTTTTTCACCAGTTACTGGGATAGGTGCTTCTGTCGTCGGTACTGTCCGTTGCGGAGGAGCCGATAGAAGAGATGCACTCGTAGGGTTTGCATCTGGTCCACCACCTGCCTTCTTTTTGCTCGCGACTTCTTTCGCAGCTCGAACAGCTTCAGCCAGAGCCCTTCCTTCGTCCATCCCGCTATCCAGGGTTTCCAGCATACGATCATAGAACACCGCTTTTGATATGGCTGTTTCTTCATTTGTAGCTGCATTCATGAGTGTGGCAGAGTGTATGACCGTCATAAAAGTGTCGGGACGGGCGGCAAGGGATGCGCGACGGACCCGATTGACAAGTGCTGAGGCAGATGGGCGACGGCCAGTATCGGTCGGTATGTTTGCGGAGGGAATGGCAGCTGATGCAGCATATTTCTCAGTCACGGATACCCTAGCCGATGGCTCGGGAGAATTCGATCCAGCAGATCCGCGACGAGATCTCACGCCTGCTTCATCCATATTATGCGGACTCGTGCTAGGTTTTATAAAATATGAAATAGATCTTATTAATGGGCAGGAAGATGCAGTACGATTCGCGTCGCGTTTCTCATGCCCTAGGTTAGAACAAGGCTCGTATCGGGCCCTCTCGACTTCAAAAGGATGAATTTAGAGTAGAGCAATAAGCATTATCTATGTAATTCTATGAACGAGGAACAAGAGCGATATGATCTATGAGATACAAAGTCTTGATGACTTCTTATTACTGTCGGCGACGTGCTTACTGAATGCTTACGAGTGCATGATGACTCATCAGTCGATCAGCATAATGGGCAAGTGGCATCTGCCTTGGGTGTTGTAAAGAACACAATGCCAGAGCTTCCAGAAGTGGAGCGAGCACGGCTACTTATTCATTCCAATTTCTTGAATAAAGCCATAGTTGATGTTGAAACAGTAGGTTCAGTTGTCAGTTCTAATCTCACCGCCATCTTTAACTTGAGGTCAACCCTTAGGTCGTGGACGACATTGTCTACCAAGGGTGTACAAACCAAGAGTTTGCTACCAAGGTGAAGGGACGAACCTTAGTAGATACTGGCCGTCGCGGAAAAGTCTTTTATCTGATACTCGATCAGCACCCTTGTCCTGTCCTTCACTTGGGTATGACCGGCTCTGTTCGGGTACGTCAAGTTTACAGTGAACCTCAAGTCGTGTGCTCGTATAACTTTTAATGCTACAGATCAAAGGACAGGCAGGATTGGAGTATAAGGATTTCAGTACGGCTGGCGATGATTGGCCACCTAGGTTTTACAAATTTGTCATCCGCTTTGATGACGGCCAAGAACTGGCCTTTACCGATATGCGACGGCTTGCGCGGATCAGGCTAGTTGATGGGGATCCACTCCTGCATCCGCCGATATCAGAGTTGGGGTTTGATCCCTTGTTGAGCATGCCAGATCTGGATGTTTTCTCCGAGACAGTTCGTAAGAGAAAATGTCCCATAAAAGCGTTGTTGCTCGATCAAGCCTTCAGTGCGGGCGTTGGGAACTGGGTTGCGGATGAGGTAAGCAGGTTGAGAATGGTGACCGTAAACTTGTGCTAAACCGATCTCATCAGGTCCTGTTTCAAGCTCGGGTGCATCCTGCCCAGAATACAGTATCTCTGACAGATGCAGAGTTGGCCGCGTTGCATGATCAGTTGTCATTTGTAATAAAGACTGCTGTCGCCGTTAATGCAGACAGCAGCAAATTCCCTAATGATTGGCTTTTTCATTATCGGTGAGGTCGGCGAACGCTTGCAAACGATACATCTCCATAGGAGATCTCATGCCGTTGGTGCGCAGATGGGGAAAAGGGCGTGTAACAAATCGAGAGGCCAAGATGCCTGACGGGAGTAATATCAAGTTTGAAACGGTAGCGGGACGTACAACGGCGATTGTACCGGCTGTGCAGAAACTACATGGCAATACCATCATTGGGCGAAGAAAGGTGCATTTTTGCGTTGATTCTTGAGTGCGAGTCATCTTATTCACACATGCCATAGAATAAAACGAAAAGTGAATTAAAGGAGGAGGACACTGGTGCCAGCCATCCTGACGCCGCTGAAGAGGTTCCAATTAAAGGAAATGGACGGAAGAGAATAAAAGTAGAACGTGACCAAGACATTGCGGATGTAGAATCGTCACCTAGGACAACACGCCGCAAACGCATAGTAAAACAAGAGATAACGAGTCCGGAAGCTGCAGAATTCAAACCACCCGCAAAATCCAAACGACTTCGAACGCCTATCAAAAAGGAGGAACCCCAGACGTCATCAACGGCCACTCCCCGACGCCACAGCACACGAAGTCATACACTAAAGCAAGCCATTAAAATGGAGCCTCTCGACCCGGTCGTCGTAGAAAGGCCTGTAGATGCAGCTACAAGTTCTATTGTTTCCGCCTTTGGACACCCCATCCCCGATTTTCCGTCGGTAGATTTGGAGGATGCTGATGACATGATAAAACTATTTCAGCAAGTAGTTTGACAGGATAGGTAGATAAATAGCTATCTTTAGCAGTTTCGTTAATACATGCGCGCCATAAACGCAGAGAAACACTTCCATGGAACCTGTTAGCGAATGACAATCTCAAGAAGCTATTAAGACAATGGCGCGTAGAGTAGATATTTTTAGGAGGCTGATACGCATCTTACACGGGAATGTCCTCAAATCGGCCTGACAACCACAAAAATACTTGATCTTGTTCCTGCCATGCCTGAGTCCCAAGCTCCACTTCCCGGGATGGGGGTCATACTGCGTGCGGACACGTCAAGGAACGACGCAGGACGGAGAACTGTGAAGTTGGCAGGAGTTGAGAATGTCATGACGATCAGGTAGCGTGGGGAGTTGAGGGCAGAATCATAGCAGCTCCATCCGCGACAAACTCCCTTGGCATGCCGCCAGGCAAGCATGTGCCATGGTCTCTGTGATGCCGAAGGCCCCACAACTAGCACAACATGGAAATGACAACATTGTAGGAATTTCTATGCAGGCACATATTTTTAAAAATCGGATGTTCTCTATACCGGAATATACAAATCTTAGAATATATTCTATCTTATCAAAATAGCAGACTAACCCAAACTCTTCTACACTAATAATCTATGCTACTAGGTAATGTCCTCACCAACAGTTTTACCCTACGTACAACCTCCCCTATCTATTCTATGTACCTCAACCCCACTGGAGGTACTCGTTCAAATCCTGAGCACTAGCAGGGAACATGTGTTCCCTCATTTCTACATAATCGTCTTCTTCTCGGTCATCTTCATCCACATCGCCATGATGCTCCGAGTGGTCGTCTTCTTCAACAATCACGACTTCAGTTTCGTCGTAGCCTTCCATAGAGTCGTACGTTCCTTGAGCTGCGTCCTCTTCTTCTTCCTCCTCCTCCTCCTCTTCCTCCTCATCATCGGATGTTTCATCTCCACCGTCTTCATAGTGGGAATGGGAGTCGTAGTCGGTGGCGTGGTCAGAGTTGAGGACGTGGTCATAAGGTGTTGGCGTGGTATGGATGGCAGAGTGCTCGGCTTGTTCCTCTTCCTCTTCGTCTTCTGCGTGGACATCGTCGAGTTCCCGGCTGATTTCCCCATCCTGTGCAGATGGTATATCCGATTCCTCCTCGTCCTGTTTCTGATTCAACCCACCGGCCATACCCATCCCCCCAACGACACTTCCCAAAAAGGATGCAGCGGCCGACGCAACCGATGTGACATACGTTTTCTGAGTGTCCTGGTCCTGGTTCTCGGGTTGCTTTGGCGGCTCAACCAACAGGGGTGTATCGTCCTGCGGCACGGGGGTCGGAGCGCCTCGGTAGAGCAACTCCGTCGTAGAAACTGCGGATATCGGGGGTGTGGCGGTATCCACGCGCTCGAGGTCGTAGAGTTTGGCTGCAGCGGAGGGTGTGATAGCCACGGCGGGAGCCGTCGTGGCTGGAGATATTGGGCGGTCAGGTGTTTGGCGGCCGGAGGAGGAGCTGGAGGTGTTTGAAGAGCGTTTGGATTTACCAAGAAGACCTTTGAGGGATGTCCAGGTGGTTTCCACGGGTGGGGAACTCGGGGTGGCGGATTTGTGTGCGTCGGATTGAGTAGGTTCTGGAGTTGACGAGCTTGCAGGGATCGGTGATGCGGGTTCACTAGTGGGAACAGGTACCGCTACGGAACGCGCCTTGGCTTTGGCTAAAATGCCAGCCAATCGGTCCTCCAGTCGAGATGCCCGGCGAGCCTCCTTGATCTCTTTGCCTGCTACTTCATCTCGATTCTGCTGGTCGCTCGACACGGGTTTCAACTTATCCGAATCAGGACTCTCCGCACCGGTGGGAGTCTGGGGTGCTCCAGTCAGAGGAGATGAGGGTCCCGAGCCGTTCGATGTAGCATTCCCACTTAACGGCCACGGGAACCATGATCCCGTCCCTTTCGGTGTGCTGGGTTCCCTCAAAGGCGGTGTAGCAGGCGGAGAATTCATCCCCTTTGTCGCAAGCTCACCTAATCCCTTAACTTTCAATCCCTGGACCACGCTCCTTGGCGAGCCAATGTCACTCGCCAAATCATCACCATCCATATCGGGCTCAGGCGATGGAGGCGGCGAGGGTTCCAGGGCACCTTCCATCAACGCCGTCTTGTCCACGGGCCCAAAGAAGTCTGTATATCGAACCATGAGTTCGAGGGTGAAGCGCCAAGGATGCTGGTCTTGGAGGGTTTCGGGCGTCTCTGTTTTGGGACGGAGAATGCAAGGCGCCAGAGAATAAGCCAGTCGGATGATGCGATCGTCATTGTCGTCGAGATCTTTCGTGAGTTCGTGGAGGTAACCGGTAAAGAACTTGAGACTGTCAAAGTGGGGTGGTGAGAGTGTTGTAAGAAGGGACGTGACAGATTTGATCCGCACGTCATCGTCAAACGATTGAAAGCCTAGAACACAAAGTGGTGGGCATGACATGATCAGCACATTGAATTCACAACGTCATCGATATAAGCCCCAGTTTACTCACCATCCGAATAAAGCATCTTCAAGGTTTCATAGGTATCATAACTGCACAAACTGGCAGGAGCCTCCACCAAATAAAGCTTCAGCACCCCGGCAACAACCTGAGGTTGATACCTCTTCAACGTCCGAGAACTGACTCTGCCACCTTTGGGCGACGAATTAAACTCCATCCGTAAAAACTGGACAGACGGCAAATCAGGGTTAGGTGTAATCCATGTATCAACCGCCGACCGGCCATTGACAAAGCTTTCGTATAATGACCCCACGCATTTGCGGACAATGGGGGGGACAGCCGTGTTTGTAGCGCGGAAGAGCTCTTCGAACCCAATGCCGAACACTTGGTGGGGAGCACGACCTGTTTTGTAGGATTCAAAGACAAAGGGCTTGGAACGGAGGTGTCCGGTGCGGTAACGGGTTGCAATGTATTGGACGCCTGTCTCCGGGTCCGGAGAGTTGAGCAGGGAAGTAGGGGACATGGGATCGGCGGCATCCTCCAGTGAAGGTGGTCTCCAAGTTGTGCGCACTTCATCAACCACGAATACTTGAGCTGATTCCAAGGCTAGTACCGCTTCTTTGATGACTTTGAGGCGATACTTCTCAGCGTCCTGCGCCGCTATGAGGTAATCCGTAATATGGAATTCGAGTGCCGATCGCGTGTGTTCGGCAGTCTTGATAGCTGCATCGTAATCCAATCGTGCCATTTCCGCGTCTTTGCGGGCTTTGACGTGAGGAGGTTCACCCGTTTTCAGTAGCGGACGGCCAAACTGGTAAGGCAAGGCTCTGTCGAAATCAGAGTCATTCGGGCCCACTACGACAGTGATAAGTCTTCTATCCAGGATTTCCTGGCACACGTTGCGCAAGTCCCCCCGTGGAACGCCTGGGTAGCGTTTGCGGAGGTACTCGATCGCATCGTCACCCATAAAACAACCTTCAAACAATCCGAGATCGGTCATGATGCTCTTGATTTTGACTTCCTTTCGCATTTGCTCGACAATAGTGGTAAACTCGTTGGGTCCGACCGATCGACTGCCAATCATGATGGGCGCCGTCGAGACGCGCCGCGCTCGTGTTTCGCCGTCTTCGCGGAATTTGCGGTCTTCTTCCTCTGCTATCCGGCACTTTTGGAGGTACACTGTCCTCCTCGCTTCAATGTCTGCTGCAAGACGGGAGAGCTGCTGGTGGTTGAGGTCTACTTCATTTTTCTTCTTTGTCATCGCTCTCTTGTGTTGCTCGACAAAGGCTTGGAGGGGGGATATGACAGCTAGAGTGAGTGTATCGGCATGTCGGCGATGAATAGCAGCCATAGCGACATTCTGCTCTCGGATAGTTCGAATGACGGGGCGAATAGAAGATTGATCGTCAATAGGTCCAATGGTGCTTGTATCGCTCTCGGGCTCGGCAACCATGTTCCAGCTGGTGGGTCTCGATAACCGACTGGACACAGCAGCAGATTGCAACATAGCGGCTGCATTCCCCAACCCCTGCGCAATCTGGTTCAAACTCAGTTTACTCTTTTCACCCGCCAAGCCGGTCATTGTCCCCGCGGCAATGGCAGGTGTCGACGCACGAGAGTACCGTCGTAACTCCTTTTCAGACGTCCCACCCGATCCAGACCCACTGTGCCGTCCCAACTCCAATAGATTTGACGCATACGTTTCTTCCATTGTCACTCTAGCTCGTACGAGAGCGAGCATGTCTTCGGCTTCTGCCAGGTGCTGCATAAACACTGTGTGCAGTGTCCGTACACCCAGTGTAGGGTCTTCACCCGTGCCCCAAAAACAGTCCTCAAACCGAAGCATGACGTTGCTTTCAAGTTACGGGGGGGGGGGGGGGGGGGGGAAACGACCAGATGCCCTCCTTCTAAAATAACCGTTAAAATCTCCGCCCAAAACTCTCCAAAAACTCTCAAAATCCCAACCTTGAGCAATCATGATCCCCTACAGGCAAATGACAAGGCCGTTCATTGTCACACCTTTGGAGAAGTGTGACTTAAATTTTACTCTTTTTTTGCTTCTTTAAGTTTCATCTCACCGTATTTGGATGAATTACATGTGTCAGCATTAGGTAAGCGATCGAAGGTAAAATCACCGACAATGATATTTTGGACACTGCAACAAACGACAACGATGAGGTTTTTTTAAATGACAAAAGTACCGTTTACCCTCATGTCCCTACTGGAAGCACCCATCAAGACCTCAAAGGTTCCTTGAGCAACCTTCCACCCATCATTCCAAAAACTACAATCCCGTTCAGATAGATCAAAGTCAACCGTGGTGGATTGCCCCGCCTCTAAAAATACTCTGGAAAAGCCCTTGAGTTCTTTAAACGATTTTTGAGCAACAGGCGGGGAGCGGAGGTACAATTGGACGACTTCATGTCCAGGTACGGCGCCCGTGTTTGTGACGGTTACTGAAACCCGGGCTGTCGACCCACTGGTCGAAATAGCGAGTCCCGAGTACTGGAAACTCGTATATGACAAGCCATGTCCGAATCCAAAAAGGGGTTCAATGTTCTTGGCTTCATTGTATCGGTAATCAACCAGTAGTCCTTCCGAGTATGCAATGTGCGGGCATGTTTCGGGGATGCATCTATTGCGGGTGTCCACGGGGACGTTGGTGTGGTACTGAACATGGGCGCCGTACTCTTCTGGAGTGGTGTTGATGGTGAAAGGAAGACGACCCGAGGGGTTTGTTTTGCCGAAGAGGACATCAGCCAAGCTGTTACCGGATTCTTGGCCGGGCATGAGGGCCATTAGGACTGCTTTGATGTTGGGATGCTGGATCCATGGCATGGTGATGGCGCCTGGGGAGTGGATGACGACAATGGTGTTTGGATTTGCATCAGCGACAGCTTGGACCTGTACAAGTGTCATTCAGCATGGTGTGAAAACTACCGACTCATGGAATGACATACGTACCAAAGCGTCCCCATTATTCCATAATGTCAGATTATTCCTATCCCCAGCGTTTCCTTCGACGGTAATGAATCCCTCACCGGAATCCGCTGCAACGCAGACAATTGCCACGTCAGCTTGCTTGGCCGTCTCCGCCGCTTTGGAGACATCCCAATCATCAAAAGAGTGGGTAACATTGATCCCCTGTGGTGTAGCTTGAGCAAGAATTCCATCGTAAGGCTATCGAAAAGAGAGACGTTAGATTTGCTTTGCAAAATGAGTAGTAAAGTAGGACTTACGCCAACGAGATATGTGAAATTCGCGGTACCAGATCCCCATCCTAGAGCGACCGTTCCGTCCACTCCACCGCGATCAGCAAACTTGTTTGGATCCTCGGGGGTCCTAGCATCAGATCCCAGTACCGCGACCGTCTTGACTTTGTTCAGAGGCAGGACTCCTTGGTTTTTGAGGAGCACTGTGGAGGCTGCACCGACTTTACGGACATGCTCGGCGTGATCCCCGCGCACATCGACATGAGACCCTTTGCTAGTGTCAAACGAATTGAAATTGGTAGGAGGGAAATCTTTATCCTGTCCCATTTTCAACCACGCTGCCAGAATTCTGGTGACCATGTCATCCAACCTCGCCATGGGAACACTCCCATCGTTGACCATGCGCACCAAATTAGGGCCCCAGTACGACTCTTTTGCCCCCCACATGGTCTCACCAGCCATCATCATATCCGATCCACCCAGCGCCGTCTCGCGTCCACTCATACCGGCCCACCAATCTGTCATGACAAAACCGTTGAAATCGAGCTCGCCTCTCAAGACGGTTTGGAGGAGATGAGGGTTTTCACAGGCGTAGGTTCCGTTGACGAGGTTGTATGCACACATGATGGCGCCTACGCCGGCTTTAATGGAGGCTTCAAAAGGTGGTAAATAGATTTCATGGAGGGTGCGATCGTCTATATCGGATGAACTCTTTTCTCGGGCGTGCTCTTGTTCGTTTCCGATAAAGTGTTTCGCGGTTGCGATGACGCCTTGAGATTGGATTCCTTTGATTTGGAGGGAAGCGGAGATGGCAGCGAGGTAGGGATCTGCGCCTTGGCCTTCCCAGTTTCGGCCACCTTCGGGAGTACGTGCCAGGTTCATAGCGGGAGCAAGTGCAATGTTGACGCCCTTTTGCCGGAATTCTTTACCAAGGAGTTGCCCGTGTTGTTCCATGAGGTCCTTGTCGAATGTGGCGGCTACATTGATGCTAACAAAATGTGTGAGACAGTACATTTTCTTAGCAAATGTGCGATACAAGAATCAAGTACCTTGCACCAAACACAGTTACATTGTCAGCAAAACGGATTCCGGCTGGTCCATCCTGTAAACACAAGCCAGGAAACTGAATCTTTGGAACAGATTGGATATTCCCAACCTACCCATTAAAAACCCCAAATTAACAAGACACATATAAAACATTATGAAAAACAGATTTGATCCTTACGCAAGGTCCATTCGCCCACCCGATCCCCGTGACGATGGCCACCTTTTCATCAACCGAAAGCTCCTTGATAAGTTCCTTGGCTTTCGAGACGGGGACACCCCAATCCCCACTCCCCGTGACAGGAACTATAGAATTATCAGTGAACGATACACAATTCCGATATTGCTGGAGGATGGAAACTTACAAAATGGGTACACGTCCCCCACGGGTGCTGCACTTAGCTGTCCAGCCACGACAGCTAAGACAGCAAAAGACAAGTATCGATACATGAGGAAATTAGAGTATGAGGATGAGAATAAACGTAAGTAGCAGGAGGGATGTGTGAAGAGGTTGGGGGGCTTATTTTAAAAACTTGTTTGGATCATGTTTTGTTTTCGTATTCACGGATGGTGCTTTGAGCTGAAACTTTCTTGAGCGTGCAGAACCTACCCATAACGCAAAAATCCTTCCTCTCTCTCCCTGATCTTTACTAAATACGTTTAGTGCTCCCGTCCAACAAGATTGTAATGATCGATAGATGGCTTCAAGTTGTAGAGGTGGTCGTGTGCTGGTGTCCCTGTCGAGGCTTGCATCTTTCATGGGATACGTGAACGCATTACCCACGCATACAAAACAAACCAGTCTTGTGTGTGGTGATCATGGAAACCGATACCTCCCTGTCCTGCAGTTTAGGGTACAGAGCAATTAGCAACATGTAGTGATGTTTGTAGTGGGCTGACGTCTGTGGAATCACGGAGCAACCATTCAATGCGCGGTCATGCAGGTTACGGTAAAAGGGTCAGTAGAGGAGCGTTTTTCAAGCAGCTGAGTTCCGGGAATACGTTCAACTGGCAGTTTCATGGACGTTCGCTAAATGCTGCGCTTTTTCGGGCAATTAAAACGGAATCAACAAATGGACGTGCTCTACAGCGTGATTGCGACGGCCATTGTACTTTGATGGTGATGGTGAACGCAGACAGTCCCGTCGTTTGTTCAAATTGTGACAGCAAGTAGTTGTATAAACTATCACTGTCGTGTGTTGGTACCCTGCTGGAATGGATGTGCATTTCATGACTTACATACTCTTACGAAAAGATGACTGAAAGCACAGATCCAAGGTTGCATATTTTCTTTAAAGCAACATAACCACCACGGAGCCTAAGATGCTTTTTCATGGACGAGTCGTGTGCCAGTCGTGTGATATTAACAAGTAGCGCTACTACAAGCATAACGGACCGTGCAGTAGTCGTGCAATCGATTCAATAAGCAATAAAGGTAAAAACTCTACAATACAGGGTGACAGAAAATTCTGGTCTTGTGCTAGAGAGGGATAAAACGCAGACTTGCGGACCGGAACGAAGAACCTTGCTTGCACAAGGTGATGAATATAGAAGGACGAGTAGGGAGAGGGTCAAAGACTTAAGGATCGAGCATCAATGAGGTCACATCCCACAACTCTCTTCCAGACCACGTCCCTATATTTCCAAACTATGAGAGTCCCACTACATTTGGAATGGAGTATCATAGTAACGGCATGCGCTGCAGTAGGAGATGCATAGTGCTCCATACTCATCTTACCCTATTCCAACCACATAGTGCATGGTGATCCTTGTAGTCTAACCTTCAGTCAACGGGGAGCCGAACGAGCAACCCAAAGCAAAGTATGTAGACAAATTCATCAGGGCCTTTGAAACTTCTATTCATGAGATAAACTTTCTATTCATGAGGGGAACATTCTCAGACAAGCTCTAATGTCCTCATAACAGCTACTTGACAAATGCTAACGGTATTACAACATGCTTTCTACGCCCTACCACCTCGCACTAGCCATGCATCCAATTCTTACGCAGCAAACGCCAGGCCGACCAATCCAGCCAGAAAGGCACCGACGTACGACGCAACACCCTGGACGGCGCCAGACGTGACGTTCGACGAGGTAGTGGTAGTCGCTTTAGGCGCAGAGGTGGTACTAGTCCTGCTAGCTGTCTGGGTCGGGACTGCTGATGCAGTGGCAGTTGTCGAAGAAGGCACAGCAGAGGTAGTGGCATTTGTACCTGCTGGAATAGTTCCAATGGCAACAGGAGAGGAGTTGGGTGCAGGGAGATTGGGAGGAATGATCACCTTGTTAATAACATGCATCGCTCCCGCAGAGGTAGGGTTATCAACAGGTGACGCCAACTGTGCATCATTGACATATGCAACCTCATTTCCAACGGTTGTGTTGAGTGCGTAACTTCCGAACAGAGTCGGCCAGGCTCCGGGACTGAGCTCTGTTGTAAAGCGGGAAGGTTTACCAATGTGGGCTGACAGAACGGCAGCAAGTTGGTTGGGTGCCAACGCAGCAATTTGGGCCTGAGCAGCGGCAATGGCTGCATTGCTGGGGGCGAAGATTGTCACGTCCTTTTGTGCATCAAGAGCGCCGACCGCATTGATGGATTTGAAGAGGTCGATGAAGGCGGTTGCAGCAGCTGGGCCCCGTACAGCGGAAACGGAGGGCACGGCGGCGGGTTCGATGGCAATGTCGGAAATGTAGAGCCAGCCGTCATCGCACTGGATTTGGCCAGTTGCGAGGCCATTGTTGGTAGATGACCGGATGTGAATTTCTGGTGGACCTTCCGGGACGTAATTGTCTGTACAGATTGACATTAGTCTCCACCCAATTGCTTGAAATGGGCAAAAACAACTACAAGACTCACCAAACAGCATGGCACCGTCCTTGCCCTTCAAAATCTTGTAATTGGGCCGTGTCCGATGATCAACGCTTTCTGCCAAAAAGAATGCACCTGAAGCCGTTGCGGGCAATGTACCCGCGGTACGTCCCTTTGTCACGGCATCGTTCGTAGGGGCAATCAACGTCTTGTTGACGCCAGGTCCAGACCAGTCTGGGTTGTCCTTTGCGAATGCGGCTACGGAAGAGAGTTCAGGCCGAGAAGCAAGAGTTTCTACAATCGTTGCGCTGTACACCGGGCTAGCCAAGAGGGCGAGGGTGAAGAGAGTTGTCGTTGGGTGCATGGTCGTCGTCGTCTTGGTCGTCGTCGTAAGTGCTCTACAAAACGACGGGTGGGAAAACCCCAAACATCGATCCTTTTTATAGTACGCCCGGATGTTTTGACGGTTGCCGTCATTGTAACCACCGATCCCAAAAAAATTTCTCACGCTCTTCCAACGATCAAAAATGCCGCCTGTCCCCAAAAATAGCATTGCATGCGGCGGGATTTGAACGCATGATTGTCACATGACTTTAAGCGTGCGATCGTTTGTTTATACTTGCAAGCACGTTTCTTAAGCTTCAAGTCATTTGTTTATTTTCAACAGCAAGATACTGCATTCATTACAAAAGAAAACCAAGGAGGCCATCTATCCCATCTCTATAAGTCTGTTTTCTATATCATACAAAAAATTCAAAGTAATGCAAACTCACATCAAAACTAGAAAAAAAAAATCATGAACGGTCCAGCCGTCACTGCAAATTAAAACTTTACGTTTCTATCCATACTATCCCACTCTTCATCGTCACTCAACCCTCTGTGACTCTCCAAAGCAGTCGCAAAACTCTCACTCGTCACGCCCGTCGTGCCACTTCGGAGTGTATCGCTTCTGATGGGGTTTTTGGGGGGACGTGTCAGTGTAGGCTCATTGTCCTCTGTTTCTGTATCATCATTGTCAAGATGAGCATCATGTTCGTAGTAATAAGACGAAACAGATGTGGGGAGTGTGTCGTATGAGGAGGCTGGAATGTCCACGTTGGCGCCCATGTGGTTCAACGCGGCGAGAATGGAGGATTGGGGCGGGGCCGCCTTTTGGGTGGATGCATCCATACTGCGTCGCAATTGCAAACTCCTTCTGATTCCGGCTTGCGAGTCGGTAGACATGAAGCTACGACGGTACGTGTCAAATCCAGACGTATCGGTAAACCAACTTGCCCGACGACTTGATCGTACGGAATAAGCGGCAGAATCGCGTGGCATTCTCTCTGTCGTTGTGTCGCTGTGTGTGTCATCGATGATGCGGGAGGCGCGGTACGCAGAGGAGCGATCAAGTGTCGTATAGTCCGTATAGTCAGAGTCGGCGGAAAACCGGTACCGAGAGTTGTTGTACTCATAGTTGGGATTCAAATGTCCAATAGGTGCAGTTTTGGGTTCCAGTGCTGTCGCATTGGCGACAAGGGGACTCCCGGGCGTCGTGACAGAGTCCGACGCCTCTGGTGCCACGGGGGGCGGGAGGTTGGGAGGAATCGTGCTGTCAAGCGAGTCACGCGCCATGAACGCTGCTCCGCTCTCTGCAGCTAGCGCCGCAATCTGCGCGTTGGGAAGATGCCCATAAAACGCAGACTCGTTAAACATCATGACGGGACTCTTTGTGCTGCGATCAAAAACGGCAGTGACGGCCCGCTCAATGGTTGACGTACGGCGCTCTTCTTCCTCTTCTTGTTCAATGTGAAGAGGTGGAAGGGAAATATCCCTCTCCAGCTTTCGTTGAGGCGTTGCGTCCATGACAGGAGGAGGCACCATGGGAACGTTGGGCTTTGGGGTCACACCAGCCTTGACAGCGTTAGCAAACATGTCAGGGAACGCTCTGGCCAAGATTCTCGTAACGGATGAACTGCTTTGAACGCTTTCCCGTTGCTGGTTTTGGCTAGAAAACGGACCGGGGCCTGAGGTGGTGGGCAGGCTTCGATGAGCATCGTCAATTCGTCGGCGCCGTTGAACCAAGAGCCCAGCGGCCACGACACCAGCAAGACAGGCAATGCCGACGACTGAAATGAGACCCGCCATGGCCGAGGTGGACAAGATCTTTCCGGGAGGCGGGGCAGAAGGCGGTTGACCGAATGCATTTGGGTCGCCGTTGGAGGGTGCTTGCGTGGGTGCAACGGCATTTGAAATAGGACCAGGGAAGCGTCCAGCGGGAGCTGTTGGGACCGCAGTTGCAGCGACTGGGAGGACACCCACGGAGGAAAATGGAACGTCATTTGGCTTTTTGTCTTCTTGTGCACCAATTCGATCCTTGTTGGCCTCATTCCCCTTGTCGGGAGCAGGTACCAGCGGTTGTTCTGGAGCGTTGCCGTTGCCCTTGTCCTTGCCCTCCTCTGGCTTTCCTTGCTCTGGCGCCGGTTGCGGTGGTGGAGCATTTCCGTTTTCTCCCTTTCCATCCCCTTGGTTGCCTTGTCCTGGGTTGTTACCCTCATCTGGTTTGGGCGTGGGTTGGACGACTCTAGTGCTCGTAGGAAGTTCTGATGCTGGTGGTGGTGGAGGAGGAGGCGGAGGAGAAGAAGGAGCTGGAGTGGGTGACTTGGTGGTGGGATCTCCTGGGTTTGTGGGCGTTGTCTCTGGGGGAGACGACGACGGCGCACTAGTCGAAGGATCCCTTGTTTCAGCGGGAGGCACATTTCCAGTTGCTGGAGGGTCCTGAATGGCCGTGACTACGTTCAGGCCCGGGAGTGAGACGGATGAAGACTGAATGTTTGACAGTGGGTTTGATGACAGTTGTCTCCCCAATAGAACCGACGAAGCGGGAGCAGACTGAGCTCCAATGCCGGCGACCACTGCCAATGCCGCGACGGCAACGACTCCCTTCATTTTCTGCTCGCTCTACTCTATTCTACACAAAATCCAAATAGAAGGCTATCTACAAGTTCCTATGCAAATGTATGTATTCTATAAAAAAACCAAACGCAAGCAGACCCGCCTACAAAGAAATAAGAAGAAGAACAAAAAGCAAAAAGAAAGCGGCCAAGAAATGCTGTATGATTGCAAAATGGCAAGTGTAGGAATTTGTGGGTTACATTTATCACTTTGGGGGCATTTTTGGAACACTTTAACACCTTCACACTTCCGCTCGTGTTGCGTCAGCAAATCCCCTGCCCCAAACGGCCAATTCCTCTTTTTGTCAAAGGAAAGATTCGAACTTGCGGCCAACCGATCAACCAATCATTTGTATTTCACGTGGTTGTGCTCATGTGATGCACCTTGTCCTCCAGCGGGATGGATGGACATTGGGGAGAGTTAACATTTACAAGATGAAAACAGTGCAGAAGGTGATATGCAACTCGCTATTCGGCAGATGAGATCTACGCTTTGGACTTGAGCATATCAATACAGTTTCGAGAGGTTGTACACAGTGGTCTCGCCATTCGGCAGCGAGGCTTTTGATCCGGCCAATCACCTCGTGGCGGCCTGGTTATTATTTTTGTACAAGTGCTGCAGAGTACTCTAACACCCAAATCTGCACTCAGTCAGTCGGGCAGTAAGTGGTGTTCCAGCAAATGCCCTTTAGTGTTGAACCATCATGAATCTCAATCCTTTGACCAGTTTTCGTGGCTTTGTAATGTCCCCATGCACCTTTCTGTTCAAATACACGCCAGGTGACATCTTCCACTATCGAATCAATGAGAGGATTATGTACGATGAACTGTCGTTGCGCTATTTATCTTGGGATTCTTCCTCTTTCCGAACATAAGAACCTTCGAGTGTTTGAGCTCTAAGACCCATACATCCCTCCCAGGGAAGTCTTTTTGAGAGTATCATCTATGGCAGGAAATGTTACCTCCCATGAGAGCCTTCCTCCTTTCCTTCAGATTACACAGTGCCATGACGGGATCTCTTGAGACCGGTCCCGAATGCAAACTAACTGAGGAAGCCTTTACCTGTTTTCAGTGAACCCCCTAATGGACTTGTAGTCGACCCACTCTGGAAACTTGCTTGCCAACTGTCTTCACTGTGGACAGGGCAAAATGCGTAGAAGCAGAGAGAAATCGGTATCCTGGACAAGCAATAAATTATTGCTATGGAACAGCTGGATAAATGGCGGCGGCAGTAATAGACGCACTGAGAAGACCGCCAAGGACACAACTCCAAGAATTGGGGATGACTGAACCACTCTCGACGACACAAACACCGTGTTAGATTTTTTTGTCTGCCTCTTCACCCACCCATTTGACCACCTCATCCCTCAAATTTCGACAACAATATCGGGATAGAGGAGCATACCATAGAGGGATTGCCTATCAGAAAGAAGCGACTCAGACGCCAAACTGAGGGTGCAAACCTGTCATTCAAACGCACAAAGAAGGGAGCGATTTAACTCAGTGGATACAGCAACCCAATCTTAAACAATCTGATGAGATTGAAAAAGTAGCATATGGATAGGGAAAATTCCACAAAGATATGATTCAATCTTGCTGAACATTGAGTTTGGAACTCGTTAAAAACCAGGCGGCTGTTGGGCTGGCTCTTGGCATCATATCACGTGACATGCACTGGAAACAGCCACAGTACGTGGGAAGATTTAAAGTTTCCTGCCCTGCAATCCTCTTTTCGCATTTTATTTGCGATATGGTCGGCCATCACTATCTAGTCGTCATTGTCGCGTATCTGTTCTCGCATCTCATTCTCCCGGTGAAAAGTGTTTCTTTTACGAATGGTTCACTGGACTCTGGATCGGTGGGCGGGTTTTGGAAGGTGCGTTATTAGTTTATCATATCGCAGTTGACAGGGGTATCACTTATAGATGGTCACTTGTTTGCAGTATTCAGAGGTGGTAGACGGTGCAAAAGAGCTGGCAAGCAAGTTTCCACAGTTGGTCGAGTACAAGTCCATTGGGGCGTCCGTTGAAAACAGGTAAAGCTCTTCTCAATTGCATATGACCTTCCACAGCTTGTTGACAAATAACTCGAATTTACAGCGATATCCCTGCTCTCCTCATTACAAACAAAAAAGATACCACGATCCCTGTAGATCGGAGACCATCTGTGCTTTTTGCTTCAACGCTGCGCGGCGACGAGCCACTGTCCCTCGCCGCGGTCCTGCATGCTATTCGGCACTTGACGTCAGATCCTCAACCGGATCCCATCGTTCCGCTCATGCTTTCCACTACAAAGCTGTGGTTTATCCCAATTGTCAACGTAGACGGTTGGGCTGCAGCAACCCCACAATCCTACGTTGGAAAAAATTTGCGAAAAACATGTAAAAACCAAACAGCTGCTGGAGTGGATCTGTCCAGGAACTGGGGATATATGTGGGACACCTATCTCCCAGATAGAGACTTGAAGCAAAACACACAAGAGTACGAAGATACCTGTTCGCCCTTCTATCATGGAACACTTCCATTTAGCGAACCTGAGACGGACGCCCTGCAGAGATTCATCAAAAAGGAGAAACCCGCATCAACCATCTTCTTTCGACAAACTGTGGCAGAACAGCCAGCCATCATTATCCCTTACATGTTTCATCCATCCAACTCTTCCACTCAGTCAAGTGTACTCAAGATGATGGGGACAGAGGATGCCAACGTTTATTCTCAGTTGACGGGGGCCATGAATGATGCGGCGGGGAAAATGTACAGCGTGGGATCGGCGTGGGAATTGTTGAAGCGGACCATATCCGGGTCCGAAGTGGACTGGACCTTTGATCAAGCGGGCTCATTTGCGGTCATGGTTCAGGTGGCTGGGGATGTGGCCAAGGATGGCATTGAAAAGATTGTGGAAAAGGTATTCGCCATTTCTCCCAACCCTTGAATGCTTTGACACATGACTAATTTGGTTCTTGGTACTTTAGCATTTGAATGCCACGCTAACCTTTGCCAGCATAGCACGCTCTCTGCCTGCAAAATCTGCAAAACCAGGCAAATCTATTGTCAAGCATATCCAAACCGCTGTGTATATCCTACCCATGATCCTGGGCGCTGTCCTTGCACTCATTCTTCTGATTGGATACATGATTGCAAGATTCTTGGGATACGACAAGATTTGGGATCGATTTGTATTTTTTGTTCACCGACTCAAGCGGTGGAGAATGTACCGCAACTACCGAGGCCTTGCACCTACTGGAAAGTATGGGGATGATGAGGAGGTGGGTGGGGAAGACGATGGGGTGGATTGGGGGTTTGAGCTCGAGGGTGGTGAAGATGACGATGGCGAGGATTTGGGATATCGAATGTAGATTAGGGTGCATTTTTTTTTTCGCTTTTGCATTGCCACTTCAGTCATTTTCTTGTTTAATTTGCCATTTGATTGCTAGCAGGGTATGGAAATAATGTAAATAGAATAGATTAATATTTCTATACAAAAGCACATTGTTTGTCCAAATTTCTGCATGAAAGCCAATGTGAAAAAGTGCGGAGTTTTCAACAGCGTGCTTAGTCGCTAGAAAGATTACGCAATGTGATTTACCTGATTTGGAAGGTGAGAGAAAGACGAGAACTCGAAAGGGCAACGCAGAAGTTGATCAAAATACTCGACGGCCTTTCCCCCCTTGGTACGCCGTGGAGGTTTTTTTTGTGTGTGTTTGTGTGTGTGTTTTTTTTTTCTTGCACGAGTTATTGCTGGCAAGGGACGAGGAAGTGCTGTCGACAAGGACCTTGATGACGTTGATATAAACGGGATAGACTCGCGACTGCGGCGCACAGAGCAACATAGCCGTCCGTATTTGCGCGCGTCACCGCTGTTTGCTGAACCATTGGCGAGTACTTGGTAGGCAGGCGTCGTGTTCCTCGGACACAAAGCCCGCAGTGGCAGAGATTCAGAGCACTAAAACAAGATGCTTTCACCTCTCGTTTCACCGCTATTTTTTTAGAGGTCCTAGAGCTTTGATCTGAGCGGACGCGATCACATCCGTCTTTCACCATGATGTCGAATCCAGGTACACCGTTTCGATCTCTGGGCAGGCCGCGCGCAAAAGCTGAATATGAGGATGCCATCGAACGAACGCCAGAGTATGAGCAGTTTATGAAGCAGTTGGAGGATTTCAATCGAGCGCAGGGGTGAGCTTTTTCGTTTCTCTACGCTTGTTGATATCTGTATGTATTCCTTATTCTTTTTTGGTGGCTGCTTTTGCAGGGTATCATTGCAAAGGGAACCCGTACTGGGCGGAAAGAGATTGGATCTGTATCGTATATATAGATGGGTAGTTGAAGCAGGTGGTTACGAACAGGTAAGATCTTTTTCTCGCAATGATGGAACAGGCACATGCTCATCTTTTGACACTCAGGTCACAGCCGCGCGAGGCTGGAAGAAAGTAACGGACCCATTCAATCTCCCTGCAACCTGCACAAATGCCGCCTACGTTGTCAAGAACCTATACCAAAAGTACCTGTACAATTGGGAACAGGTGCACATGTTTGGGAAGCCGATCAATGTTATAATGCAGCAGAAGCGGCCATTTGACCAGATTTCAAATGCTGGGGAAGAGTCTGCGCCAGGCTCGCCAGAGGGCCGGAGAAGACGGATACAGAGTGTTGGCTTGAGTACACCTACCCCTGTTACTCCTCCTGTGGCACGGGTACGAAGTTTTGGTAAGAATCGTTGGGATGTGACTGCGGATTTTCATTTGCTTATTTCTTTTTTTTGTCTTAAATATAGCACCGGATGAACCGCTTCATAAGCGTTTGAGACTAATGGCAGAGGCCAACCTCAATGCTGCTGCTGCTGTGGCATCTCATCAGCAGCTTCTACAGCCTCTGCAACCACCAACACCTCAGCCGACGATGATCTCTAAGCCTGTGCATGTGCCTGTGCCCGCACCGACACCTGCACCTGTACCACATCCAGTCTCTGCGTCCTCGTTAGTATTGGTCAACCCGGATGATAATGGACAGGATGGTAAGAATTCGACGAACCCAATCACACAAGGTTTTATAACTCATAGCTGAAATTACAGAAAAATATTTATACGGAGCTTGGAAGAATCGCCTGACACTTGCGCTTACATCAACATTACCAAACGAAGTTGACTGGGCGTTTACCAAGCTGGTAAAGCTCTCATATACAAAGAATTTTTACGTTGGTATTATTCCCGGTATGTTTGAAGCCATACTGGATCATGCCGCGCCCCTTTTCGACGAGCTGGTTATCAAGAAGAGTGGAGGCGTGATTGAAACACATACTGTGGACAATCCCAAAGCGATACCCCCCATCTCAAGCGTTAGCATGTTTTACGATGAGGGCATGTCGACGCTTTTGGAGCGCGTGCTGCAGGTGCTGCATATATTGAGAAATTTGTCTTTTTGGCCGGATAATGCCATGCATTTTGGCAAAAACTATGTGCTGTTGACGTACCTTGCGAAAGGCATTGCGCTCCCAACGACTTCATATTATGTCCAGATTAAGCATCATAGTCTAGATTTATTGGACAATCTCACACCGTACCTGACGCTGCAAGGCCCGAACGACTTTTATCTCGCATGTCTACATCAAAACCTATTTGACAATGATCGCGCCGTGATTATCAGCTGTACTCGAACGTTGACGCGATTCTGCAGTACAGAAGCGAACGCCAAGATCTTAAAGCAGGTGGACACGACTGCTGTCGTGCAGAGGTTTCTGCAACTGTTACTGGTCCCGGATGAAGAATTAGTGAATGCTGTGTTGGATTGGTTTTACGAGTACTCGAGCTTGGGATCTGATGCGGCGTTACGGATTTCGGAAGCGGCACCGTTCAATGTTCTGAAGCTCTTTATCAAGTTTTTGTCTTGGCAAGGATTTTCGCACAAGCGGCCTGTGCCAGGAGTCGGAGCGGGTCCACCGCAGTCGGGCGTGGGCATGTCGTCTGCACCTGCCTCATCAGCTGGTCCTGTTGGCTTGTCGAAAGCAGCTGGTTCTGCAAATGGATTGACCAATGGACCAAATGGGACGACATCTTATAATGCGAATCAACAGGGGAATGTAATTGCTGTTAATGGAGTGTCCTCGTCGGACGGCGGTATATTGTCTTTGGGGGGAGCAAATGCAAGATCGGCCGACTGGCCAGCGTCGGTATCTGCTCAACCAGCTATCGCGTCTTCAGCACCGGCCCACTCATTGACGATGTCGGGGATATCCTATCCTGTGCCAGGCAGCGTGCCAGGAACGTATACTGCCCATCCGCAAATGGCGACATTGGGTACCTTTGCTCCAACAACTGGCTCGCTCGCCCCTTCCACCCTAGTCACGACCCAGCCAGTCCTTTCACAACCTGCAGTCTCAAACCCGGCGGTACCTGTCCTCCGGTGCTGGTGGGGCGCATCGCATTCCTCACCTGGATGCCACACAACTGTTCATAATCTTCAGGACCTCTTTGACCACCTTCAAAAAGAGCACCTGGTCCCTGGCCAAGAGACTTACACCTGCGAATGGAAAGGCTGCACATGGCGCGGAGACGGCGACCAAATTTGCAAATCCCGCCCAAGAGCTCTCAAGCACATTGTAACGCACCTCGGCTCGCATCAAACCACCTCCCAACCGCCCGCTGAATCCTTCACCGTGGGCCACCAGCCGTCTCTACCATCTAGCCAACCTTCATCCTCCGCTGAGGACGATCTCAACGGCATCCCACTGACCGCGATGCTCGTACTACGGAACTTGGCGCGCGTACCAGAGAATAAAGCACTTTTTGCGCCTTTTGAGGGAGGGCTAGCTCAAAAGATGGTGAGTGATCGACGATTTGCAAAAGGGCTTGCGGGAGTATTAGGGGAGTTGGCCAAAGGGGCCTAATGTAATTGTAATTGTGTGTGCTTTTTGGGTTTAACTTTATTATGGTAGTAATTGACTTGATACGCACCCGTGCAAGTTTTTGCAGAGTTTATTTGGCATGTTTGCATGCTGTATGTACGTGACTGTTGCTGGTCCACTTCCTTGTGAATGGAAAGTGGATTTGTGTCCTTGACATTCTCCACGTTTACAATGATGTCCAACTATAACGTCGTTTGCAGAGACTTGGACATTTGTATGGTGAGTCTGGCTCGTGTTTGCATGACAATTACAAATGTTGTAGAATGGCTACATTCCATTTCCACTCTTGAATCTGTCATTGCCAATGTCGTCGCCTATGCTTTACTCTAGAAATGTATCCCATCATTCGACCGACCTCCCCACTGGTTCAAAAAAGGCCAGAGATACAGTGGGACGCACACACTCTTCGCAAATGTTCCCAGCACGGACATGGACCATGCAAGCCATCCTCTCCATAAAAATGGAGAAACGAAGACTTTGAATCCTGCCCTTGCCAAAGGAACGCGGTTGAACGATAAAGAAAACAAAATTCAAACAAGTTGCAAAAGTTACTTATAGAAAAAGTATGTGGCGCATGTGGCAAAATGTCTTTCGTAAGCATACTCACAGTTGATTGGCTGAGATGAGCTGCGCCTCGTCATTTTTCCTTTTCAGTCGAGTCGGTTTTTTTGTTTTTTGTGCGTTTGGCCATCAAAACGCGCGCTTATCCCCCCCGTCGACCTTTTTCCCTACTTGTTTTCTTCTTACCTCCCTCACTCAAACAAATATGGCCAAGAAAGAAACCAAGGTTGCCAAGTCCAATGGCAAGTCGCCCAAGGCTAATGGCAAGGCCAACGGCAAGGCTGCCCAGAAGGCAGTCCAGAAGAAGAAGGACGAGGAGGTACAGTTCGACTGCAGACGGTTGTAATATTGTCATGTATTCATTGGAAAAAAATTAGGTGAAGAAGGTGGTTGCCAAGCCCGTCGAGTCTGACTCTGACTCTTCTTCAGAAGAAGAGTCTGAGGAGGAGGAAGTTCCCAAGAAGGCTGCACCTACGCCCAAAAAGGCTGCTGCTAAGAAGGAAGAGTCTTCCAGTGAGGAGGAGAGTAGTGACGAGGACTCGTCATCGGATGAAGAGGAAGCCAAGGGTGCAGTCAATGAGGTAAAGGTGACTGCAAAGACAAACGGAAAGCCTACTGGCCAAGCAAAGAAACTCACTCCCGCCAAGGATGAGACGGATTCGGACTCTGAAGAAGAGGAAGCCAAGGAGACTGTCAAGAAGGAGGCTGCCAAGGCTAAGAAGGCTGCCGAGTCGTCGGACGAGGAGTCTTCTGAAGATGAGGAAGATGAGAAGCCTGTTGCTGGTGACAAGAGAAAACGTGAGGCTGACGTTGAGGAGAGCTCGGAAGAAGAAAGCAGCGAGGACGATGACGAGGAAGAAAGCCCTGCCAAGAAGACAAAGTCTGATGACAGCAGCAGTGAAGAGGAGAGCTCTGAAGAAGATGAGGAAGAGGAGGAAGAGGAAAAGCCCAAAAAGCGCGCCGCCGATGCCGACGCACCCAAGCAGGCCGCAAAGAAAGCCAAGACTGAGAATGGTGCCGTTGCAACAGAAGAGGCATCTGATGAATCCACCACTGTGTTCCTTGGAGGTTTGTCCTGGGGTTCCACTGAGGAAAGCATCAAGGAAGCGTTCGCCGAATGTGGCGAGATTACCAGTGTCCGTATTATTACGGACAAGGCAACTGGCAAGTCCAAAGGGTACGCATTTCAACTAGGTCTCTAGTTCGTCTCAGTTAGATGCTAATTTATATCTACACAGATTTGGTTACATTGAATTCACCACTCCTGAGGCTGCCAAGAAAGCATGCGAATGGAACAACACCGAGCTCGATGGCCGAACCATCAGGGTAGACATTTCTACACCCCGTCCGGCAAACAAGGACGGTGACAACGGCCGTGGAAGAGGTCGTGTCGAGAAACCCGCCTCTACTCCCGCTTCCACCCTTTTCATTGGTAACCTCAGCTTCAGCGTTACGGATGACATTGTGCGTGATGCCTTTACCGAACACGGTGAAGTCGTTCACATTCGCTTGCCAACGGACAGGGACACTGGAAACCCAAAAGGGTAGGTACCACCATGGTCTTACTTTTGGTTGGCATCTCACTGATGGGCGATGCTTCGTTTAGTTTTGGTTACGTTGAGTTTGCCGACGTGGAAACTGCCACCGCCGCTCTTGAGGCTTTGAACGGCGTCGAGCTTGAGGGCCGTAACCTTCGCATCGACTATGCTGGCCCGAGACCCGAAGGTGGTAATGGCAACTCTGGTGGTTTCGGTGGGCGTGGTGGGCGTGGTGGCCGAGGTGGCCGAGGTGGCTTTGGCGATCGTGGTGGTCGTGGTGGCCGAGGTGGTCGTGGCAATGGCCGAGGTGGCTTTGGCGGTCGTGGTGGCCGAGGTAAGAACTGCTTTCGTAATCTGGATATTTTTCGCAAGATTCTCAAGCGTAGTGCTCTTTCAGGTGGTGCACGTGGCGGTTTCAAGCCTCAGTTCCCCAGCGGCAGCGGTAAAAAGACTGTCTTCAACAACGACGATTAAGCAACATCCCGCGCTTCCACGTTACCTCACCCTGTTTGATAATTGACTGTTTCATGTCTCTCGATCTGCTTATTTATATGCAATGTCTCCGTTCCGTCGACGTATTATGCACTAGCTGGTTTTAATAGTGCATGTATGTAAGTAGGTGTGCTAGCTCTCTTTGGGAGACCTTTATTCTTTCGCAACATGCGGGTTAGTTGATGTGTGTGGTGGGTTTTTGTATTATAGCTCTTGCATTATAGCATCATTTTGTCGGTTTGTCTCTCTTTCAATATAGTAGTTTACTTATCAACTATGTCCATGCTGGCTTTGAATGAATAACTCCGCTATATTTTCCGCTCTTTCCATTTTTCATGAGAGAGTGTGAGGGAAACGGCGGAAAGATCAAGACTTGCTCTCGTTGATCTATCAGTGGCGACATGTGCTGCTCTGTCGTGTTGTCATTAAAAATCACAACGAACACATGTTTGAACTCTTTTGGATCGAGGAGTTTTACGCTTTCCGCTCTGCCTGCTTGCGGTAACTATTGTTGATGGCCTGCACGCAAAGTCGGAATCGGAGCTCTTTCTTCGAGGGTCGTCAGCACATGCAAAAATCCTTGTTTTTTTGCTCCGCTGCCAAGCCGAGTTTTTTGGTACAAAAAACAAACATCTTTGCTAACAAAGCTTGACGCAATGTCGACTGGAATAACACATGAATGTTTCATGTGGGTGTCGTCCGGTGCATGTGAATGTTAACTATATATCACTGGCCATATCATCGTTTCTGGAATTCAACACATTTACGTTTAGTTATGCCCTTGCAATCTCATGTTAATGAGGGAAAAGCCACGATCTCAATGTACCGTGGTAAGTTGGCTTAAAATCGTAGATCCCTTTGTTTACGGACAGCTTGTTGAATGCCCATCGCATCATGTAACTATTCTTGGAATAAGCAAGACTTTTGCATTCTGAAATGAGGCGGAAATATACGGATCCTGCATACTATTTGCCGTTGAAAATTGTTTGTTTGGTGATAAACTTGGCTCTGGACGTTTTTGTATATTCAAGACCAGCTGGATGGTTTTTTTTTTTTTGTTAGCGTGTGATAAAACCAACGCTATATATGTAGATTAATTAGCAGACTCCTGGTGATAGTTCATTTTTTTGTTTCTTGGGTTTTCTTTGACGAGTATATTATTGTGGGGCTTTTTCTCTAATACGGATTATACCAACGAACGCACACACCCAGAAGCTGTATGGATATGGACAGAATAGATATGGAGAAACGAGAGACGACGGAGTGGGAGTTTCCAGCCGGTGTAATGCAACCGTCTCCAATGGCTTCGCACGCTATACACGGGATAGCCCTCGTTCTCATCATTCGTAAGTCCTCGTCGCTTTGCATCCGGTGCATAAGCCGTACACTCAAAGAATGCCTACAGTATCGCTATTCGGGTCCCTTTTTATGCTTGTGTACGGTATCGCTACGAAACGGTACAAAACCATTGGAGAACGATTCCCTCTTTATACGGCTCTACTGGCCATTTGTTGGTCTGTTTCGCATAGTTTTGATCATTCGTACATGTGGTTGAAGGATGGTGTGCCACCCGCTTTACCTGCTTGTCGGACGTTGGGGGCCTTGATGGGGGTGAGTTTGTTGTTCGTTGAGTGAAGTGCCGACTTTGCCGGAGACAGTGCTGATGCGGTTCAAATAGGGGTTCTTATTGGCTGAAATCTGCATGATGAATGTTGTCTCGATATGGTATTTAACCCAGGTTTTGTTGCGGGTTTCAATATTGCGTGAAAACTAACAACATGTCTCAGCATATACCTAACCGTCTACCACTCCCGAACGATGCATTTCGGAAGTTATGATTGGATCTTATGGGCCATGTCCTTGGGCTGTGGAGCTGTGTTTGCGATTGTTGGTGAGCACAAGAGCGGAGATGCAAAGTTTTGAAACGTTCATGAGATGACTAATGTTTTTTGATGGGATAGGATCAGCAATCGGTGCTTTTGGGCCGGATGTGCATTGGTGCTTTTTGGATATGCGGACGTCTGTGGTATGCCTCCAGTTCAAGAAAAGTTTTCAGGTCCTTGTTGATAATAATGGGTATAAACAGGGCCGAATCTACATGTTTATCCTCGCTATACCGTGTACTCTTGCTCTCGTCGTCCCCGCCACATGGTACAGTATCCTGGATCATTCAAAACCTTCTGCACATGTACTAACATCCAGCTGAATGCACGATAGCTATTTTCTCGTCTACCGCAAAATCATGGCGGTCGAAAACGCCATGAAAAGAGGGAGCAAAGCCAACAAAACCAACAAGCAACAGTCGTTATCTTACAAGGCCCAATCGAGTAGTGAGCCCGCGTTGGATGATCCGATGGGGAGGTTTTCGGTTGCGAATGGGGATGCACCGGGACGAATCACGGCGTCCTCTCGTAATAAAGTGATCGTGGCCAAGTTGATTGACTTCATTGCGGCGGATGTATTGACGTTCTCGGGGGCTGTTGCGTATACGGTTGGTGTAGGGGTATTTCAAAAGGTTTGTTTTCTTTGTGGAATTTGGGTGGGGTGTTTGGGACATGCATTTGACCATATGTTATTAGGAGCCTATATGGCTTTCATTCTGGGTCGCCATGAGTATCAATTCATCTGGGTAAGTTTGAACCTACTCTGTATGTCCACCATTACCATTCAGTATAGCTCACACAATGATTATAGCTGGCTAAATACCGCCGTCTTCATCCGCCAACTCATCCGGCGTCGGCGCAACTATAACGCCCAACGCTCCGCCCACCGCTCCAAAGCCAATATTAACAAGAGTATGTCAGCGTACCCCCTTCAAGGCACACTCAGAGGAGATCCAAATAATGTGGCGTCACGAATTAATATAGAGGAGTTGATGCCGCCGGTACCTGTACTGAAGCGACTGAGTTTGCCGAGGCATTCCGCTGAGGAGTCCGGATCTGTCTGATTCCAGTAGGTTGTGTGTGTGGGGGGGATTATTATATAAATAATAATTGTGCAGTGGCAAGTCGGTTCCGATTGTGCTCAAATGGAAATTAATAGGAGATATGATTACAGTCTCCCATCCAACGTTATGCAGTAATACCTTCCCACTTCCAATTGCTTCAACGCTCGCGACCCATGGCGTTCAGAGCATCAAATCATTGTGAAGTTTCATCCTTGATTTCATCCTTTTTTTGTAAGAGACAAGCTCTTTTCTTTTTACAAAGGCCCTCCTCCGGCCGGAGCCAAGAGACACCCCCACCGCGGTGAGTCGTGGCCGCCGCTCCGCCATCGCGACAGTCAGTCCTTTGCAACCAACAAGAAGGAAAGCAATTGGAAGACGAGTGAAGAGATGGGGGGAGGAGCGAGAAACGTCGCCTTTTTATAACCCTGGGGGACTGCGCTTTTTTTTTTGCAATCCGGGAATTCTCGGCGGAAGATTCCGTATCGTCCGTACGTCATTCTTCTGAGCACGCCATGAAGGCCCAATCATCGTCGTCGTTTCCACCTCCTGGCAGACCTCCTGGCGTGCGTTCGTTCCCCTCGCACACGGCGCGCGAGCCAAGATTATGTAAACGCGTCCATGGTGGAATCGTTTGTTTATCATTTTCCCACGGTCTCGGACAAGCGAAATCGGACAACATCGGACAGGCTTCTGGGCTGGACGTTGTTGGGAAACGAAGACGACTTGGTTTTATTAGCATACAATGGAATGGGTGCCGCATAGAATGCTTTCTCAAACTTACATGCGACCTGCGCCTCTTTTATGCCGATCGTGGTCAAGGTTGCCTCATTAACAGTCAGCATTGAACTTGTTGTTACGCCAAAAGTCTTAAACAACAAGTACTGTGATTACCAGCAGTTAACTAACAAGTATCACCAATCCTTTATTTATTATTCTCAACGTAAAGGTAATAGCTCTACACACCCGGAACACATCTCTCTGTTCCGTAGCTCATACTCCAATACTAATTCACACACATATGAGGCATTGACAAACACAGGCGAAACAGTTGACTATATATCTTGAAAAAAACATGCAATTTTCACGATTCATCTTCTTCCCGATTCCCTCCTCCGTGAACCATCGAGCTGACACGACCAGAGAGTCTTGATAAGGCTGTGATAGAGCCTCGGAGCGGCGAAGTAGGAGTGATGAGGCACGCCAGCGGGAAGACACCAGTAGTGCCTGTGGTGAGGTTTTGACCCGTTGCCCAGCCTGTCAAATGAATGAAAAGTGAGAAATCTGTTGAGAAGAACAAAGTCCATGACGTTGAGTACGAACCATCAGGGAATGTTTCATAGATCTCCATCACGTCGCCCACTTTGAGTTGAATCTCGTCACGAAGATCTGGTACATATTCTGCCCAAACCTTCATCCTCGTTTTGGGTTGCTCTTGACCATCGCTAGCCGCAACAGACTCCTGTTCTTGTCCAATATCCGTGTTTTGGTCATCACCGGCCACCGATCTTGTAATGGTCGTTCCAGCTAATGACCCCTGCGGTGGTGAGGATCCGTATATGGCACTTGTCGGGTCCATGCTGAATCGCGCATTGCTGGGGATCGTTGGGAGGGGTAACTGAGGAGGAGGGCCCATGCGGGCAGAGGATGACGAAGAGGATATCGGTGATGAGAGAAGGTATTGAGCAGAGTTAGGAGGAGAGGGAAAAGACGGGGAAACGCTCGATGTAGAGTTGAGGACGCGTTCGTCTTGCCTATGTGTTGGGATGAGAGTGAGACCGCTTGGTTTACGGCTAACAGTCTGCGTCATAGACTTTGACGAAACATCGCTGCTTCTCCGACGAGCACGATATTTTCGCAGAGCAAGGACGCTCACAGTCAGAAGCGCGACGCCTCCCACCCCGCTTGCGAGACCAGTTATGACTGTACGGTCTGCAGTTGGCGAGGGTGGGTTGCTTGTTGGTGGGTTGGGAGGTGCTCCGCCCGGGACCTGGGTCGAAGGTCCTGTTGCTGCTGCTGCAATAACCCGCGCGCAACAGGGATCACCGCGAGTGGCAGAACCTGCACAATACGCTCGGGCTTCGGCGATTGTGAAGAACCCTGAGATGAAAAGTTGATGAGAAAAGGATTTCTCTTACGAGGGAAGCATTCCTAATTCCCATAATCATTTGCAACTCATACATACCACACGTATTCACCTCAATCGGGATCATTCCGGCATCACACTGCCCACCCAGGCTTTCCAGCTTCAGGGAATCGCAAAAATTCCAGTAACTGTTTAAAGTATCCGTCCTAGCCTTCAGTTTGTCCCCTCCCGCATCACACACAGTCGTATCCTCAAAAACGCTTTGGAGGGCCTGGCGAGCCTGAAGACACGTGTCCCGGCAGAGCGGCTTCCCCGGACTTGAACCACATGTCGCTGCAGAAGCCTCTACCAGCAAAGAGCAGTAATAGCTAATATGGTATCGCTGTCCTTTGCCTTCGTACCGCGGACACCCGTAGGCACTTCGGAATGAGGAAATATACGTAGGATTGGAGTCGTAATTAAGTGTGATAAAGCGATCAAAACTCGCGGTGTCATTGTAGAGGCTCGGGGAGACGATTACAGGGCGGCCTTCTTGGTTGGGACATGTCGTGGTTTTGGTGAGGGTGATGCAGGAGGTGGAATTTGCGCTTGCGCTGCCTGCGTCGGCGTGGACGGTACTGAGGGAAATGAGAAGGAGGGAAAGGAGGGTGAGGCTGCTGCGACAGATATAGATCTGATAAGGTCCATCTCTGCAGCAAAGCCTTCACAAGCGATCGATAAGTTGGAATTCCGTTGCTGTTGTTGTCGTCAACGCCAGCGTTCGTCGAGTGATGTTGGGGGAAGAAGGTAGATGGCGGTTTGAGATATCAGCAAGCACTCCAGATCTGCTAAAGACCTGCTTGATCCACGAACAAAGATGGAGGGTCCCAGATACACAAATGACTTTTCACGGCAACCTTCCTTGACCAGTAAAAGCCTGTTCAACTCCTCGAGTGCACAGAACAGGGTGAACAATACTGAATCGGTACTCTATGTAATCCCCACACAGGCAGGTCAAATGCTTAAACTTCCTTTAGGTCGAAAGCAAGGTCACACCGCGTATTGCCGTGGTTCCTTCTCCTGTGTAAGACAAGAAACCGCTGCCAAATCAACAACAATCCTCGGAACGCGGAGACGATAGTCAAAACCCTATCTTGAAAAAGCGGTCAAGAGCAAGCATGCCCTTCAGCCTCGTTTATGTTGTTAAAGATCTCCACGGTCAATATCAATCGATTGATTTTCCGAACGGCTCTGCGTGCAAAAAACCGAGGGATCTCTTACAACAAGCCAAACAACAGCCGTTAACTCTGCAGATGAAAAAAAGGACTAGGAAATGCACAACGTCTAATTGACATGTCATGGAAAAACAAATGCATTTTTTTTTGTCTAATTGTGCTAAAATCCCAAGACGACGGAATCAACGACTGCATGCCTCACGTTCGAAGCAAAAATTGCCTCACAATCGACCACAATGTCCACACGCTTAGAAACCTTGCCGTCTCCCGGAAGGAGAAAAAGGGAATCCGTTTTGCTGCTTGTTTACGAAAAAGCAAGTTAAACACACGACAGTTAAAAGCGGCTATTGCCAATTCCACTTGCGTTGATTGGTATCGTCCCAGCAGATTATTTTTCTTTTCTTCTTTTGTTTTTACTTTTGCAGTTCCGTGGAGGAAATTCATCTCAAGAACAGTTCCCAAAAAAAGCGCAGAACGCCCCGTTTCAAGTGTTCTAGTGTGAAAGGATTGGACCAATCAACGCGCGTCATAGCTTTTGTCATTATGTTAGGTAATCAAGTCTTTTGAAATTATTTTCATTTCGCTTTGTAGCTAGACAAGAAAAGCCAAGTATAACTTGCACTATTAAATCTATAATGCCACTCTGGTCAAGGCAGCCAACCTTTTTAAAAAGAAGGCAACAATAAGGCAGCGAAGCCTTTTCATCGCAGAGGCTGTGCTGTCCTGGTTATCCATTATCGTAACACACAATGCTCACGTTGGCGACGGTCGCTGCATTGTCAAGCAATTAAACTTTTGATTGACTGCTGCCTTTTGACAATGATCAATGTTCGGTTCCACGTAACTATTCTTCATCGATGTCTGTCTTGTGCAAGTGCGTAGTCTGGCGTAGTCGATATAAAGTCTAAAGCCAAGGGTAAAACACGAACCATATCGTTGAATTCAAGTAGCAAATGAGGATTAAACACTAGCGCCCGGTATGTGACATCCTTCTGCGCGAGCTGTTTTAAGGCGACATTGGATTCGACAAATATGTTCGAGGTGGCCAGATCGTTCGGCCAAGCTGCCACATGAGAAACAGATTTGACAATGCTCTCGGGTTAGTAAGAGCCCCAGATTCGTCACACTTGTGGCTGGTCAAAATTGACGGCGGAAATGTCCCTTTGCACCGATCTTTCTAACATTAACGATTGGCTATTGGGAATGTTGCAGTAGGGATGATCGCTGACCAAAGGGTGAAGACATAAGCTTCAACACACGCTGTAACATTGAACTGGGAGACAAGACAAATGCATGAGGCGGGCAGCTGGAATTTGATATGGAAGATTCTTCTGGTTTGTGGATCTTAAGCAATATTGGATTGATGTACTGTGCGGTCGCAGCATTTCCAAGCCAATCTTGTCGTATCGGATATCGAATCTACTCTCATTATTAGTGGTATCTGTTATCGTAGCTGTTATCATGCTACATGAAAGTCTCGAAATTCTTCCAGACGTAATGCTATTCTCTTTGAGGTCGTCCCGTTTGATTAAGGATATACGTCTGCGAAGGCGTTAGAACGAGGTTGGTATTATTAGGTGACGGACCATGCTTGCTTGCAAGTTTCCTCTCAGTGGCAAGATACCTGTAATGACTCTAGAAGTTAACTTGAAGGAGTTGGGGTGAATGACGGCGTGCTGCGGGATTGTGCAGCTCGTCCGATGGGAACTGGGAGCCGGACGGTTGCATTGGACGTGGATTTCCATTCGCGGAGGAACTTACAGTCCTTGATGGCTGGATGGACTTCCTGATCTTTTAAGAGTAATTAATCAAGTGTTTAGCCTATAATCTATAAAGTAGTAATATATCAAGTTACATGAAATATAATTATAATTAATATTGGACTAATCCCTGCATAATAAATAACTAGGGTACGGTTGCGATGGTTCTGAATAACTACTGGTAAAAGGAAGCGCGATTCAATGCTAGCTGGTTGCTTGAGTCTGCTCCTCTCCCGATAGGAACGACGGAGCCAGATAAGCTACGGCAGTGGTTGATTTCTACTGGCGGAGGAGAGTGGAGATGACTATGATAGCTGGCAACTGGACACTTGTGCTCAACCAGTGCCAAGTAATAGTAAAACACAAAATCAATCGGCGGACGTTAATTAATGGCGCGGCTATTAGTGAAGCATGCGAGAAGATATGATCAAGATAAGCCTTTTAGATTTCTTAATTCACCCCCATCTGTTTCTTTCTCAACTCATTAATGGCAAATGGGAACCCGAATGGAGCTTGATTAAAGTTTTGTCGTCTTTCCCTTTGCTCACTTTGCAGACTCAGGGTAATTCAACGTGCATCGGAAATGGTCTTCTCAGCATCATATCGTATGGGCAGTGACCCATCCATTGCGAGAATCTATAGCTCCATCTGGCGGAACTCTATACATTTTTAGCAATGATTTTAGGTTGCCTCCAATGAATGGACATGCAAATCAATCGTAGGGTTTCATCACGTATTTAGAGGAGATGAACAACCGCCATTAGGTGCGTCTTTTACATTCACGATGCTATGCTGAGTTTCCGCTTGTGTCTTTCCCCTGATATCAAGCGGCATTTAGCCCGCATAGACTCTACCATACTATAAGTCTTTCCCGCGCTTGGTTCCTGCATATAGGCAAGTCACGCAAAACATGCGCTCTACTGCCCATCATGAACCATTTCAGTGCATGACAGACATGTGGGAAGGTGATCGCGGATATATTCCTGTCGGGCCTAGATTTTTCTTGACGTTCAGACTCCTTCTTTGACAACATGATACCCACATAAATAGGCATCCATTTTGTAAGTATGTCTATGCCGATATAGCGGACGTTCGTGTGTTGTGCCGATTCGCCTGCTGTACTGTGAGGCAAGGACTGCTGCTTGCGATCCTTCAGACTCTCGACTGTAACTAAGACTGCTTCAAAGAATTACCGGTATTTCATTCGTGAATATACATATGCCTTCAGCATGTTTTTTGAAAAGCTTAAAGACAGCCCGTGTTCATTAATGGTCGTTCAAAATTCGCCTATGTCATACATATCCAAGTTGGAATGGTTATTTTTCACAGCTATCCTTTCAATCTCCCCAGTATTACTTGCTACACCCATTGGTACCATACACAGGCACTCTGCTACAGAGGCACACGCCCAGACGACTACGCTGGATCTGCCAAACTGAAAACATTTTGATCGTCCATTCTATAATGACAAGAAGAACAAGAAAAAAGACATGTCAAGTACTTTTAAACATTCTTCCCTTTATTACTGCCTGCTTAACCCGGAATGCCACGATCCTGCTACTGTTTCCCAGCTACCCATTCTACCGCCACCTTCGCCCACTTCCGGCATTCCGACTCATTCTCCTAATTTCTGCATCCATCTCCGTATCATTCAACCGTTCGCCACCCCATCCCCATACTCCCTTCAACAAGCTCTTCACGTCCCATACGACAGATGCGAACCAGAACAGCACGCTGAAACTACCCCAAGCAAGGACCCAGTTAAACATGTTGCACTCGTCACTTGAGTTAGGAGGGCAATCTCCCGACATTTTGCTTCCCAGGGTAATAAGGCAGACGAGCCACGCAAAGGTGATGAAGACGTCGACAATGATTTCGAGGATGAGGACCTTGATGCTTGACCAAGCCTTGGAGAGACAGGAGATAAAGTGTCTAAAGGCATAATAGATTAAGATTCTATGTTTGAACAAACAAGTCCAACTCAAAGATACTCACTGTCCGACTAAGGCCACGCTGACAATTGGACTAAACACCGCACAAAACCAGGTATATCTGACCGTCGGCCATAAATCGTGATCCCCAATGAGGGGATCTTTCAACTTTCCAATAAAGTACCAGCTAGCAATCCCAACGAGGACTTCAAAGAACCGCGTAGCAAATCGAGCCTGCTTGTCAATGTGAAAGTGCCGGTCAAAGGAGCCCACAGTTGGAGGAGGGCGAAGGGAGTTGAATTTGTTGACGGATATTGTTTTCAGAGTGGTAAGACGTTCCCCGAGCGATTTGGCCATCTTTGACGTCTGTTCTACCAGTGGTCCGAGGATACGATGAACAAGGCCTCAAGTCGCTGTTAACTGCAAAAGTGGTCCTTGACTCGTACGCTGCTTACAACACTGCCATTTGTAAAAGTGGGGCATGTATGTTCAAATGCTACTATATTTAGATAGGGTAAGGGACAAAAGACCATCCAAACAATAAGTCACAAGAAATCATTTGGGATATGCTATCCGATCATCCTCATGATATCCTCAGAATATTCTCCGAGCAAAAAGTACAGACACTAAACTATGAGAACAAGAAAAAGTCATCGTCGAGTTTCTCTAAAGCGATTTCCAAAGACTCAAAACTTGATATCGGAAGTCCAATGCATATCCATATGATGATCTACACGCCCATGATGACAACATTTCTGGTTCTCCTGGCTTTCCTCAGCGCCCTTCCAACACTTTATGGCGCAGCACCCGAAAGCGCAGATGTGAACAACGAACCCACAGACAACAACCTGGATTCAGAAATGCAAGGCATTCCCTTACCCGATAGTATTCTCGATATTGTGTCGGCTGATGGCACTACAGACGAGTCAGGACCATGCAAACGCGGCGTAAAGTCCTGGTTTTCTCCAGATTTTGGTGGTAACTGGGCCAACAGCTGGAATATTATCAAAGAGTCTTATGGAAAACAGAATCGAGACGCTGTTGTGGATCCGACGGGTGGATCTAAAGATCTTGTCTTGGAGGTGACATATCCTGCTGGTCAGCATCCGGTTCAGACTCTCCAAGGTTTTCATTTGAGCTCATAACCTAATGCTTCCGCTGTACAGGGAGCCGTAATCCCGGAGGAAAAATTGTAGGAGGAACAGGATTCTATGCCAAACCCATTGACTTGTCCACCGCCAAGTCCGTTAGCCTTTCGTACCAAGTGTTATTCCCAAAAGGCTTTAACTTTGTCAAAGGCGGAAAACTCCCGGGTCTTTACGGTAAGACTGCCATAAACAGCAAAATCCCATCTCCCTGTATCTTGCATTCTAACATCTTGTCATCTCAATAGGAGGACACCCCAGCTGCAGCGGGGGTAACAAAGCCCTTGACTGCTTCTCCACCCGCTTCATGTTCCGCCAAAATGGACTCGGCGAGATATACCTTTACGTTGACCGTAACCTCCAAGACCCTTCCTTTTGCAAAGTCAAGCCAGTTACTATTTGCAACCCGACATATGGTGCCTCCATGGGCCGAGGCGCATACCACTTCACCCCCGGATCCTGGACAGCAGTTTCCCAAACAGTTGTACTAAACAGTTTTACGAACGGTAAACCCAATAAGGACGGTAAAGTGACTGTCTACGCTAACGGAAAGAAAGTTATTGAATTCACCAAGGCGGTATTTACTCCTGATCCAAAGATTGGATTTGAGGGAATTGATTTTGAAACGTTCTTTGGTGGAAATGATAATAGTTGGGCAACTCCTACGACCCAGCGTTCCTACTTTAGGGAGTTTGTTCTATCCGCTTCGTAAGGAGTGTGCAAGTTGGGAGGTTTTAGGAGAGTGTAAATGTATGTAGAATGTTCACGCACAGTTTCGAAATCAAAGAATATTAGTTTGCTGTTGGTGCTACGTGGTTTCTTTTTCCTCGCTTGCTTTTTCCCGCATACAGCGCTCATATTTATGCTGCGCAGGGTTAACTTGGCCTTCTATAGCAGTCTATACTTTCTTAACATCAATTCAAATGCCAGCGCTGTGCTGCGCATCTTAATGTCATATTTTACAGTCAGTTATAAACAAACCACCGTTGGACATCACAACAATATTATCACAGTTGCTGCATATTTACTCGCATAACAATAACAAACGCAGATAATTCCTACATTCCTCGCCTTTTCCCTTCCCCCGCACATGCAAGATAACTCTTCTGGTAGGATACATTTTGCAGATCAACTTGCGATCTAACACTGGTGATCCAACATCTCAATGAAAACCCAATTCTCGATAGCCGCCCTCGCTACGTCATGATCTGCTTCTTTTTTCTTTCTCATCCGGTCACTCCGCAGCCTCTTCACTACTCGTCCGCATTCGCATACGATTTCCAATGTCGACTCCCACTGGGGGTTGAAGTAATCGCTTTTGTCTACGTCGTGGGAGTATTCGAGATGATATTTCGGAAGTTTCTCGGCGAGGCGGGTACGAAGTAAGGTTTTATAATCGATCCTTGAACTGTGCATTACAGCGGTTTAACGGGCACGCAGCGATGATGAGGTGACGAAGCGGAATAATGAGCAGGAAAGTCGCAGACTACATGGAATATCCAAACAACCGGGTCGAGATTCAAGGCAATGACATGTCCCTACTCACTGTGAACGCAACAATCCACAAATGAACTTTGATGCTCATACTGCATCACCTTCCACAACCCACGTCATATCATCCAAATATCAGATCCGACATTCAAAAAGAAAAAAGAAACACTCACATACGTAAGCGAGCTACGAGATCTATATTTTTACATAGAGAATTACAAATATCAAAAGCGATTTATAGAATAGAGAGAAGAAGGGGCACTTGAACATGCCAACAATAAACAAATGCGGTAGAATAAGAAACACTATTCCAATCCACGTCATATCATCCAAATATCAGATCAGCCATTTACAAGAAAACACAAAATATTCTCATACGAAAGCAAGTAGATGAGAGCTACGAGATCTATATTTTTACATAGAAAATTACTATTTTCACAAGCGATTTATAGAATCGAGAGAAGAAGGCGCTCCTCCTAATAAAAAAAGCCAATAATAAACAAAAATGCGATAGAATAAGCAAGATAAAGCTACAGTGCACCCCAATAACTGCTAAAAAAAAAGAAAACTCCAAGGCACATCAAAGAAAAATTAAAAGCAAGCAGCGACAGAAAAAAAAAAAACTTGGTAAAAGCAACAGCGCTCTCATGACACGCAAGATTCGTTTTCGGCAGGCAGGCTGGTAAAGGTTCGTGAATCCCTCTCACACGGCTTCTTCCCCATCCCCGTCAATCTCAATCCGTCCCTTCCGGCTCATGGCTACAGCGACGTGTAGAGGGTCAATGGCATCGATCCAGGCTCTCATACTTTCTTCACTGGAGGGTTGAAGGAGTATGGAGTGGTATGGACAGTGCATGGCAAAGACGTTGGGTTTCTATTATTGCAAAACGGCCTTGTTAAAACCAAACTGGGCTCGATTGGGGACAAGAAACATATTTGCCATACCTGTAAAACACTCCACAAATCTTTGGAATACCGTAACTCGACACCCTCCAGTCCAATAACTGACAGCAATTCATTTTCGGCGCTGGTCGAGTAGATGAACATGTAGGGCCGACGGATAACGAACCACCGCTTAAGCCAGGTCTGGACGCCGTTTTCTGGTAAACGCATGTACCCACGTTTGACAACGGGGCCGCTAAGGTACACGAGTGGGAGTTGAGAAAACGGACAACAATAAAATGAAAGGCTGAGAGTGTTTTACCATTGCGCAGTGGCGATTTCAGTTATCCAGGGAAGGTTCGAGTGCGGTGGACGTCGGGTGCATATGGAAGGATTCTGGATAGTGTCACCCAAAAGCAGACGATCCTAAGTAACCACAGAAGAGATAAGTCAACAACCATCACCGGGTAAAGCCTCATTTTCCACAAACTCACCAATTCCAAATCCCTCACATCCCTTCGCCTCCAAATCTCTAACGCCCTACCACCAGCAACCACCCTATTGGTCTCTTCTCCATCCCGCCTCGGTAACGTATCCCTAACCTCATCCCACACACCCTGTCGAAATCTCTCAACCTCCATCCTGCGTTGAATCTTTCGCCTGGCTCTCCACCAATCCACAATCATGTCGACCCCACGTGGTTTCCATCCACCTAGACATTCTTCGCCTCGTACGTAACTGCTTTTGGCGACCTTTCGGGCACGCTGTGGACTGCTGGAGGCGGCCGGGCGCATGGTTACTGTAAACACGTTTGAGCTGGATTCTAGGTAGCGTATGGATGGTCGTCCGCTTAGCGTATCCCTTAGATTGCTGAGAGAGGGTTTTGAAAGAAGATGTGCTATTTGGTATTTCGGTGGGGAGCGGAATTTCTGATCCTAAAGTTCGCCAAGCACAATTAAAAAGTCAACGAAAAGACGTCGATATGACACAAACTAGCAAAGATCACAAAACACATACCCGATCAAATATTTGAACCTGCACATCCATCCAGAACCGTAAAGGCTCAGCCTGTCTGAAACCCATCGGTCCAACACCACTCTCCACTTGACCCATCTCAACCGTCCATTCAACTCTCACGACAACCTTCTCATCGCGTCCGGTAATTATATTCAACCAGGGACTTTCGTGGAGACTACTATCCCAACTACATTCGAGGTAGAGCGTACTCCTCCCGTCTCGTTGGAACGTTAGATTTTGTTTACGAGGAATACGTAAAGGAATCATATCGTCCTCGAGAGCAACATCGTCACCCTCTGGTGCGACGACGGTACCATCCTTACGAATCAGTCGAACCCGGCCCAGCTTTACCATACTCACTCTTTCCCAAGGAAATTCCTTTCCGCTATTATGGGAAAGACCCAACACGAAACGGCGTTGGAGGCCTTGCCGGAGAAGAAAGGTACCAGTGTCGGTATTGGAGGCTGATTCGACAGGGCAGGGTTTGAAATTGGCTGCGGTGCGGGAGAATTCGAGGATTTGGATTTGGGCTAGTATATCGTGGCGTTGGGCTGTATTGGATTGTAATGAAGGACGGGAGGGAGAGAGTGGTGAGGTTGGGCTTTGAGACGGTGGTGCTGTTTCCCTGACTGGCGTAGAGGGAAGGTCAGGATGGTCAGGCAAAGGAGGCACTCTCGACACCTCTGCAAACTCGTGTTCGATCATGGACAGGACATGTCTCTGCCTACGTCCAAATATCTCAAATCGTACCAGACCATTCGCAATTACGTCTCGGACGGTGGCAGTCACAGTCAACCGTACCGTCTGACTAAAATCGAATTGCACGGGTCCTTGCCCAAAATCGGTCGCAGGATCTGTAGCGTAAATTCTATCACCAGTACTGCCTAGTAGAGGTGCTGAATCCCGTTGACAGACTCCAAAAGCACTGGATCGAAACTGGACGTGGAGTTCAGAGTAGTCTTGTTCTGAAATTCCCCCCAGCTCCAATATAGACACCTCAAAGACCAAATCACCACCTTCATGAAACACCATGGACGAACTTGGATCCATGACTCCATCGCCCTCCGCTAACCTGACATCCGGATCCGCATCCTCGTCCCGTGGCCCAGAAAACTGATTCAACTCGTTCCTCTCACTCCCGATAAAAGTGACAACCAATTGTACCCATCCTCGTGTGACACCGTCCTCATCTACAACGTCACATCGAACAGATTTGGTGACACCCCACATGAGATTCCGCATGCACACCCAGGCATTCCCAATGAGATCGAACCATGGTCTGCGAACTGTTTCATAGAATATATCTTCTTCTTGGTTCAGGTGTTGAGAGATATATGCGCTGGACTGATCCGAGTAGTTGTAGGCGAGACGCATGGCTTCCAACCGTTTGACGAGGGACGGATAGGACCAATAATATATGGAATTATGACGGGCATCCAGAATTTTGATTGCGAGACAAGGCGCAGAGGAGTGAGAGATTGTTGCGTCCTTGTTAGACACAATGTCAGATGGTAATGGACTCTTGGCAGTGTCCATCGGGGTCTCCCAAAATGACAATGATCCCAAATCGTCTCCCTCGACCAAGACAAATTGGTACAACACATCCTTTTCCAATTCGCGGGCAATAACATTGACTTCTTTTAGGCACGATTGTGCGTCCGCAAGCTGTTCTGCTAGACGAACATAACCTCGGCGCCGCCAGATTGTCAGAGCATCACGCGCTAACTGCCTTTGCCGTTCTGTGATGGCTCCTGATCCGCCTTTTCCAATAATTTTCGCCATACGCCGTAATCTCGCTTCATACGTCATTCGCTGGGCCTCAAGGAGGCGCTCGGTACGATCAGCCTCCGACGCATCACCAGCCGAAAAACTGGATCGCCGACCTCCTCTGATTGACATTGGGCGTTTATACGGTTGCTGATCCCCGACCGAAAACCGGGTACTCTCGTCCAAGGAGCGTCTCGGGTAGAATTCTTCCATTCTCTTGGGGGCGCCGAGGTAATCCAATGGTTCGCTCATAAATGTCACAGGCTGCTGGCCCAGCGACATCATGCTACTGTGCTCGGAAAACGTATCATAAGCCTCATCCGTCAAAATTTTCCTAGGGCTCTTGGGATCCGCAGTGTCATGTCCATGTGATGCGAGATCACGTTCCCGCAGGGCAAAGTTCCAATCTACTAATCCAGACACGACCGACTTTTCAGATACACTAGAGGAAGATGGTGGAGAGAATAAACTTTGATCGCTCCATCTTCCGGACGGGAATTCGCCAGTGATGACGAGAGGAGGTAATGTCCGCAGCTTTTTGTTTTGGCGTTCTCGTCTGACTTCTTCGGGGTGGTTAAATCGAAATACGTGATGACTTCCCAGGATAACTCGGTAGCCAGATCGCAGACGCTGTGTACAGATATGACGTAAGAAATGATGTGCACATGTCAGATCTAACGTATCAAACCAAACCTTTGGTCCAGAAATAAGTTCCCCGTTGACATACACCAAAGCTCCATTGCGCGGCTCAACGCGCACAATACCACTATCATCTGTCACGAACGTGCAATGTTCGTCCAAGATATTCTCACCGCTCAATCGTATATCGGCACTTGTCGCGTCCCCAACGACATGAACGCCCGGCGGAAGTTGGTACAAGAGACATTCAGACATGAGGGGGTCCTCGTTGAGGTTGACAAGATGTGGCTGATTCTTGGGAACTTGGACGCCAATGACGGGTTTGTCTGTATTTAGAGATATGCCGAGCTCGGCGAGATTTTTCTCCCGAAGCTGCTGGATCTCTTGGGTTTTGCGCTGTGAAATGTATCGTCAATGCCACGCGATGTCGCCGCTTCGGCCATTAGAAAAGACGTACCAATTTCTCCTCGAAACTGAGGGTGATATCTGCCATGAGCTTTTCACTAGCCTTCAATTCATCTCGCAATGCAGCCATGTCTGCCGGTTCTACTTTCAGATTTCCGCTTGTCTCCTCTCGTCGTGTATCTGGGCCCGACTGTCCGCCCCCACTTTCCGACGGTTCATACACTGCTAACTTTGCTCTGAGAACGGCAACCTCTTCCTGCAGTTCCCGCATGACTCGTCCGTTGGGATCTTCATTTACTACAGCCTTGTTTACAATGCGTTTCGCGCGCTCGGCGTATCGGAGGGTTGAAAGTGTTTCCTCATAGTTCACATCCGCAGGAGAGATGGCGGCGATCATGACAGTTTTGGAGTTACCGCCAAGACAGTCTTTGAGCAACCATGTCAGTACCTGTGCAAATGAATGAGGACGCTTGCCGAGGATGAAATGTTTAGTTGCGAAATCTCACCGAATCTCGGTATGGTATGTAAGCTGGGAGTGTTGATGTTCCTCCATTTTTCCCTTTAACTGGATGACTTGACCGCTTGGACGGAATCGGAGGAAGTTCAAATGACTCTGACTGTCTCCTTCCCATACCAGCAGACGATGCATCAGCAAGTGCAGATATAACCTTGCCGAGTGTTGTTAACGACTTGTTGATATTTGCCCCCTCTTTCAAGCGCAGGCCCGTTGCTCCCGTTGCATCCGCGCGTTCGCTACCCGCGAGGTCAATGAGGCATATTCGCGAAATCTTTTCCGATGTTATTCCCGATATTGGTTCCCGGAGGCTTTGAGTGAGAACGATGGTAAAGACCGCATGACTTCTACTTGACGTGGCGTTCATATTTGTTGAAGCGACCGTGCGGGCCTACATGGAGAGAGAAAAGAGGAAAACCAAGGTCTGTGGGTACTGCTGATCAAGCAGATACGGCCAGCTGTACAAACCAACCTTATTTCCCTCATCCATCAAGATCACGATATCCTCAAATGTCGAAACCACCAATTTGCTCAAGTCTTCCACATAGGGGCCCAAGGAAGGATGCTCCCGTACTCTCAGCTTGCCCTTATTCCCGGGCATCAACAGATCCCGAACCCGCTCATTATAAATCTCCATATAACTAACTTCGACTCCATACGAGAGGTTGGGATCAGTGTTTTCCTTGATGCGGGCAAAGAGTTCGTTACATGCGCGTGGGATGATGCCGGTTTGTTCCTTGTAGCCCATCATGGAGTACGATTTTCCCGATCCGGTTTGACCGTACCTAAATGTACCCTTTAACAAACCTGATTGAAAATTACAAATGCAGCACAAGATCCAACTTACGCAAATATACAAGTATTGTATCCCTCAAAAGCATGATCCAACAACTCTTTTCCAATTCCCTCATAGACTGTCTCCTGGGATGCAAAATGCCCATCACGATCATCAAATGACCAATAACAATCATCATAGGTAAATGTCTTGGAAGTTTCTTCCGTACTACCGGATCCGGGTCGGAGGTCGGGACAGGATGTGATCATTGCGGGACGGCTGAGGGTAACCGTCGGACCGGTCATTGAAACGATACATCTTGAGCTTCTGGCGAGTTCACGGGAATTGAACGGGCGAACGCGGACGACCACCTTGTAGACAAAAGAATGGGGCTTAAGTGTCGATCATGTAAAAAGTACAACTCTTTTGTGGGCATAGCGCTGGGCTCCTTTCAGTACCTTTACGGACGACATTGTGGAGACGGATCTAGAGGAGAGATCTATTCGTAGGTGCCTAGTATCCAAAAGACAGCTGAGCAAGTTGGAAACCATATGCCGAATAAAGACACACAGATTCCTCCCACACTCTTTTCAAGTCTGTTGACGACCATGCATTTTCCCATTTCTCGCCCTGCATTACCCAGCACGTCAATAGCCAAAATCCACAATTGCATGTTCCCACGAGTCCCAATTCCAAACCCACAAACGACCTAAAATATCCACCCAACGGACAATCCTAACACACCACAATTACTGCAGAACACAAAAACTCACTTTTTGCTCAGCACCTCAACGACAAGACAAAAGGAAAAGCGTCATGCGAACTCTAATTGTTTGCACCGAGGACAAGTATAACCCGCCTCGCTGCAAAAGGTAGCTTGTAGTAGCCAACAAAGAGTAGGGTTCTTGACAAAAAAAAGGTAATAGTAAAATAGAAAGGACGTTGCAAATGTGGGATGTTACAAAGTCATTGTTCCTACTAGGCGGAGTATTGGTTGACGCAACCAGCTCGTGGTGCTGGGGAGGAACCAATCTGACATGATTGCAGCGCGTAACCGTGTGTGACAAAGTAAAGTTGAAGCCCAGTGCAAAAAAAAACGGTTTGTTTTTTGTTTTCTAAAGTGTTCTTTTTTTATTATTATTTGCTTCTTGAGCCAGATATCGGAGGGTCTTTGGGATCTGATACCCTCATAACGATCCCCACAACATTTATTAAGCTTGATATTCATATCATCCAACATTGCCAGTTTGCAATCCTCCTGCATAACCGTCTTGAAAAGATCCGCTTGCCTGTAGGGATTTCAGAAGATAGAGAAACAGTTTTTGCAATAGTGAGTAAAATGCGCCAGAGAAATAACTTCAATATCTATTGCCATCTGCCCAAATTCAAAAAAGGGACACACTGCGCAAGGAACTCGCAACTCAACGCTCCTCCAATAAATAACCAAAAATGGAACCCCAAATCATGAGCAACACAATCAGCATCCATTACACCGTCGCACAAGTCAACAGAACAAGAGGACAGAATCAAAATGTGTAGAGAGAATGAAACAAAGAGGTAAAAGAAAACCACACACACACACACACACACACACACACACACCCCCCACATTCCTCTCACCATCACCTGCGACCCCACACACATCAACTCGCCAAAACCCGCAACTCCAACACTCCCACATCAAAACACACGACACACACAGCACAAGAGACTGTACACACACACATGTGCACAAACCACCATCACCTCACACGACTACTGTACATTATCACACCTCGTAGGTATGCCCGCACACCCAACCCATGGCTTCATTCCACCTACAAGGCACCAGTAGGGGAAAGCGACTGTAATAGCAGTATCGAGAGAAAGTAGCACATATAGTTCCAGTACAGATCGGTAGTAGGATACGTGAGTAGCTCAGTCAACTCGAACGAAGGCCGAGCGATACTGCGTCCATTTACCATACCATACTCTCCATGCCTTGCCCACTTCTCAAAACCATATCCTGCTCGTCATTGCCAACGTCGTCCAACTTTCTCTTTACGCCCGCAATTTTCACATTGGAACTTTCCATTTCATCGCCAGCAACAGTCTCGGGGGACGGATAATAACATCCCGCTCCAAGATCAGTACTGGGATACATTTGGGGTCCCTGTGTGTCGACAAGCACATCTTGCTCGGTGGGCGGAGTAAGCGGTACATCCGTTGTGGCCAAGGGCTGCACGGCAACCTCCTTTTCGCAAACTTTGCTTTCACGGTGAACTGCGAACCGATTTGTACCATCAGGGTTTTTACCAACCACGACCAGCATGGCGCCTCCGGTCGCATCAGGTCCTAATTTTTCGATTCGAATTTGGTGCGCAACGTTCAAAAGCATTGTGCTCCACGTAACAAAGGAACGGTACGAAACGTATAGTTTCCAGTTGATGCACCGCAGAAATTCTCGCTCATTGCAAGTGATTTCTTCCACGGGCAGTCCACTGATTTTCGACCATGCCTTGTTGCTGTAATTCCGATCTTGCACGTACTTTGCGGCGACAATCAAGGCCGAAAGAAACATGCGACGGCAGCAGCAAGAAGGGTGCGCCTTCTTTGGTCCAGTGCTGATGCCGCTCGCAGCTTCGGCAGCCAAAGTACGGGTGTAGGCGGGAAGATGGTGTTTGAAACGCACGAGATACAAGAGACACAATTGCAGGGTTGAGAAGGAGGTACGAGATCGTTTCAAAATTTCCTCAATGAAAATCTTCAGGGGAACCAGTCGAGCCTTTGAGGGCTGTGCGTTATTTTTCCACGACATTTGGAGGAGCTTCACCGCGGTATCTGAAAAGGAAAAGTACAGATCGCATGAGCATCGGTTCCATCTAACGGTAAAGTTGGTCTGACATGGTCCCAAAGCTGTCGACAGAATCAGGCTTTCATGGCGGAAACTCCAGTGGACAAGACTCTAGGAAACCGTCCACTTTCCCCCATCCATACCATCCACAGTCGAACGTTGTTTTTCTCCATTTTCCAAATAGATCGTTTTTGAGGCGATCGCTAAGGTTTACAGCCTTAGGCATGGTAGGGGCACTCTTTACGCGCCCTTGTCTCAACGTTCGATTTCATGTCTTTCCAAGACTGACTGACAAATTGACACGTCAAACGGGGGAGATTCTCTATTTGCATCCCATACACCATTTGGAACCGCCAGGAAGTGTCTGCTTGGATTGTGCGTCTTCGAGTCCTTGGGGGGTATACGAACCTACTAGACTCTCAACAAAATCCGCCTTGCGCGAAAATATCTCGGCAGGCGATATCGGTTTGGGTGTCGCTGGACATTCATTTTGCGTTTGCACTGTAAAAGTGTACAACATTTCTCTCATGAGACTCTATGATTTCATAATATAAAATCCATCAAATCATACCGCACGATTCATCATAGACCGTTGTATTGGACAGTACGCTCATGTTGAACTGACGTTTCCATGTCTGCGGCTGCAGCTGCCAAAACGGCTCTGCAGCCGCCGGCGGTGCGGCGTTCACATTCCTAGGTACATCCATTTTATGCGTTCAGCGTTTCAGGGGAGTAGGGTAGCGAGAGCGGAGGACCGGGGATTCCAAAGAGGTAAAAGTACCAAGTGGCGGATGGGGCAACGGGGAATTTATGTAAACGAGGCGTGATTCGTGTTGTTAGTTCTAGGCCAAGGGGGGGAACGAGAGGTCGTGCGTTTGCGGCACAAGCGGGTTGCAGCGTAAGCGTGTGAGCGCTCAGAACCGGCCCTTGGTGGCGATAGCGAAGAAAGGGGACATGATTGTAAAAGGTAATGAGAATTAAGAGTAGAAATAGAGAGCAGACTAGATAAACATCAAAGAGACTATGTGGGGGGAAGACAAGATGCGGCGAATGCGTTAGATGCGAGAAGGTTGCATTATCGTTGCAAGTGAAGGGATGCGCGCGATGAGCGTTCGTTTGTGAAAGGGTAAACAAAAAGGCGTGGGAAACAACGACGACGACGACGACGGCGAACGAGCAAATGTACTTTTGTGTGTGCGTGCGTGGGAAAATAAAATGTCGAGGGGGAGGGCCGTGAGAAAAACCTAGAAAGTTGCTCTACCCAAAGACCAAATCGCGCGCAGTTTCCGTCGCTCTTTTTTTTGTTTTGAGGAAAGCGTCGCAGCCACCTGACTCCATGGCTGTGACTTGAGGGCTGTCATCCGCTTCACTAGTCCTCTTATGAAGACGCATGAGGTATCCAACGTTTCATCCACAGTCATGCAAATCGCTTCAACTGGCGGAAGTTTATTGCCATGTTTCCTCGCATGGGACAGCATGACAAGGCACTTATCACATCGCTTGCATTTGCTATCGCTTTTTACTTTTGCATCATATTCAACTTTGTTAGATTTGGAATAGCAGTCAAAAGAGTCATACACATTTATCGCTTGTAAAACAACATGGGTCATGTTTGACAGTTTTTGAACCGTTACTTGCCCACTTGATGGATACTGACGGATGGGCTTGGGCTGCGTCTTTGGCCATGTTATCTTGTCTCCAGTGATCTCGTGTGTGGCTGTGTGGCGCGCTATAAGGTGGCTTGGCTCATTTGCCCGAAATGTTCTTTCTCAACACGTGTATATCGTAAGCTGATTATGCAAAACTCCGACCAGATGACATCATTTCTGTGACGTCAAGAGCGCGTCTCCCCAAAAGGTGTGAAATCTCACACTTGCAAATAAACGATGATGATGATTGATGATGATGATGCTATCAAACTGTCTCCAAAAGCCAAGGAAAGGCGCAAGAGAAAAGAATAACGACAATGTTTTTGTTTACATGCGGTTATTAAGAGACAAGACAAGTTTGAGGCTCAGCTGCAAAGAAGGAATTGGGGGCAAAAAACGTCATTTCTTGACTGTTTCCCTTTTGTTTTAATCTCTTCTCTTTTGCGAGCGTGTGTTGCGTTCAAAGGGTCGTTATGACACAATGACCTAGTCAGGGACACACACACACAATAGTCAGATGAGAATGAAATCGAAAATGTATTGGCTGCGTCGCCCTTTTTATATAAACGCTTGATTCCCATCATTTCCCCCCCATCCCCAATTTCTTTTTCCTTGCAGCTCTACTCTGCAAAACAAGCAACACATACACGCAACTGTTTTTATTATTTGTTGTTTATTCTTTACAACAGCAGCAGCAGCAGCAGCAGCAGCAGCAAGTCCTCTCTGACTCTGTTCTGCGCAATCACTACATTCGACGATTAGAGACAGCTGTCCTATTCTGCCAGACAATCCTCTCAACAAATGGACCCCGTTTCCTTAGAAAGGGAGACGACCTACGTACTTCCCGCCGATCAAGCGGACGAGACGGAGCTTCGTCATCGTCACCTTCGTCGTCCAGATGAACCCGTCATCGCCACTGCTCCTCTAAGCACAAAGTTTGTTCCCATCACGACACCTGTGGTACCGTTGAGAGAGGTGCCGGATACCCCTCTTGAGGAGCTCCCTGGAGACTTTCCTGAATGTACGTACGGGAATTGCAAAATCTGTTCACAAGGACGCGTTCTCATTTGTGCCTTCTTTTTTGGTCTATCGGTTTCCAGCAGCGGATGCATATTCGTCTGACGAAGAACCAACCCTTACAGATGTAGCAAAAGACGCTGCAGCTGGCGTTCGTAGCGCTGTTGGAACCATTGCCTCGGCTGCGACTTCTTTCCTCAGCAATGCCGCTCGGCGTGTGTCAAGGTCTGCTCCCTCACCAGATACAACATCCAACGTCTCTGCAACCGGCACTCCAGTATACGGAGAAGGCAGCGTTGCTCGTGCCGCCGATCATCCCACCGCTGCCCGTGCGGGTGAAACTACAGGCGATGTGATCGGGTCGGTTGCTGGAACTGTTGCGGCTGCCGCTACAAAGGCCAAGGACGTGGCTGCCAACGTTTACAACAAGGCTGCATCAGCCGTCCAGCCTCAAGAGACCGAGACTTTTGCGACCACGGCACCCGTCACTACCCAACCACAAGTGGTCACTACGAGTACTCCCGTAACATTTATCAGCCCAGTTCGGGAGGCAGAACAGCAACCCGTGGATACCACCGCCAGAAATGCCGGTGCTGAAATTCGGGACGCGACAGCTGACGCTTACAACCGTGCAAGCGAAAACGCCAGTCAAAACATTTCCGCCACTGCTGAACAAGCAAAGCAAAAGACTGGCGAGGTCATCCAAGCGACAAAGGATACTGCAAACCAAGTTTATGAACGAGCTGTCGAGACGACCCAGCAGGTGTCGGGCAAGGCTTCCGAAGCCTACGGCGCCGGTAAAGAGACTGCTTCCGCATCGTACAGTGATTCGTATCAACAAGCAGCGGAGCGAACGGCAAACCTCCCGACGACTATCAAGCAGACCGCTCAATCAGCTGTCAACACTGTTGAATCCGTCGTCGAGTCAGCGTACGCCAAGGTTGCTCCTACCATTGGAGCCCCTGACGTGGAAACCGCGAAACAAAGTCTGTCGCACGCAGCGGAATCGACAGTCAATGCGCTGCGCCCGGAAACCATCAAGGCTAACGCCCAGCAAGCAGCCACCAAGGCAAAAGAGCTGGCAACGACTGCAGAGATTATAGCCGAAGATGCAGCACACAAGACCGCAGCCGGTGCCCAAGTTGTGTACGGAAAGACCGCTGAGACTGGTCGCGCCGTCTACGACAAAACTGCTGAAACCGGCCGAAAAGTCTACGGTACTACGAGTGAAGTCGTTTCCCCTGCTGTCCAGGTCACTCGTGAAAGCACAATAGCGTCATACAACCAATCCGAAGCGGCCACTCGCCAAGTTTTGGAAAACCTTGGAGAGAAGGCTGTCGAATACGGTACGACGGCGAAAGTCCTGGCTACAGACGCCCTTCACAAGGTTGAGGAAGTTGGTGCAGCCGTCATCCACAAGACCGTGGACGTGGCCCACACTGTCGAACAAGTCGGAGCAAACACCCTTCATCTCACTGTGGATGCTGCCCACGCTACTGCCCAAAAGACGGGAGAGTTGGCTGGAAGTGCTGCTCAAACCGCGTCAGTAGCTTCGCATCGTGCAATCGAAGCTACCGCTCCCGTCGTCTCTGTCGCCTCCACTGTCGCTCACAAAGCCGCTGATACCACCTCTGCGGTCGGACACGGTGTCTACAATGCGGCTGCAACTGTCGGTTCCGGAGTTTACAACGCCGCTGCAGGTGCAACCCAGGCTGTTGGACAGGGTGTAAGCCGTGTGGCCACAGGCACCTACAACGTTGCTGCGGGAGCTACCCGTGCTGTGGGTCAGGGTGTCTCTACGGTTGCCTCGGGCACGTACAATGCAGCAGCTGGTGCAACTCATGCCGTTGCTGAAGGTGCCTCCAATGTTGCATCAGGAACGTATAACGCTGCTGCAGGAGCTACTCGTGCAGTGGGCCACGGAGTCTCTACGGTTGCCTCGGGTACATACAATGCGGCCGCTGGTGCAACTCACGCAGTTGCTGAGGGGGCTTCCAACGCTGCATCCGGGACATACAATGCTGCTGCGGGAGCTACTCGTGCAGTTACCGAAGGTGCTTCCAATGTTGCTGCTGGCACGTACAACGCTGCAGCGGGTGCATCCAATGCAGTAGCTCAAGGTGCTTCCAACGCTGCAACTGCAGCAAAGGATACTGCCGTGCATGCTGCCGATGTGGCAGGTCCTCCTGCTCAAGGTGTTGCCTCCAAAGTCGTCGATACCGCCAAAGCCGCTACTGCGTCTGTTGCCGCAATTCCAAGCGCTGTTGGTCATGGAGTTGTCAATGCTGCGAGTGCTGTCGGGCACACTGGTGAGTTTGGTGTGCGCAACCATTCATTGATTTCTCATAGTGCTAAAGCGATTCTCCTCTCTCTTCTGAATGTTGATTCTTTGATCAGTTGGCTCCGTTGGTAAGTTTCGCTATGTACATTTTGGTTGATGAAGTCTATGTGACTAATGAAATTTTTGTTATCTAACAGTCACGTCTACTGCTCAAACAGTCGCTGCGATTCCGTCGGCCGTGGGTCATGGCATTACGTCTACCGCTCAGACCGTCGTTGCGATTCCATCAGCCGTGGGTCACGGCATCAGCAATGCTGTATCTAATGTATCATCTGGTGGTACGTGTTCGCGACAGTCCTTTCAAATGCATTGTAATCCGACTCAACCATGTTCATGTAGTTGTAGCTGCTGGCCAAACCGCTACTGAAGTTGGATCTACCGCGGTTAACAAAGCCTTGGAGCTTCCTAGTGCAGCTACTCAAACAGCATCGAACCTAGCTAGTCGCGTGGCATCCGTTCTACCTGGAGCATCGAAGCCAGCCGAAGAAGAAGTAAAAGAAATCGCCCTTCCCGAGACAGGCGCCATTATTCCGACTGAATACCACCAAGGTGCCCTTCCTCTGGCCGAAGGCCCGGCAGAAGCTGAACCGACACCTCTGGAAGATATTGTCTACGCAGAAGAGGTCGAACGTCAACGTCGTGACCGCCCCGGAGCGACCGGCCGCCAATATTATGAGCACTCTCACCAGGAAGCTCGTGCCTTTGCCGAAGGCATTCGAGTTCACCTGGGTGAAGGTGGATCGATTCCGGCACTCAATGTGCCTCGTCGTGAACTGATCCGTGAAGCCGAAAACGCCGAACGCGAGGAAAGGGTTCAGGCTGAGCGAATCCAGCGCTCCGTGGCCTCTCAACAGGCGAGGGCCTTCTCAGAGGGGTTGAGTGAAGCTGGTGCAGATGCCAGCCGAGGCCATTCCGCCGCTGACATTGCAAGGTTGAGGCAATTGGACACTGCCATTGAACAAGAACGCGAAGCTCGGGTAGAGAGCATGAGTCCAAACGCAGCTAGGGATGTGGCTTTAGCTGTCAAGGAAGGAATTGTTGAAGGCGCAGACGAGTCGAACAGTGCTGTCCATGTGGCTCGCCGCGAACTGTCTCGCATGGCAGAGGAAACGGCGCGCGATGAGCGTACATCCGGTCCGCAGCTCGAAACCCAGCAGACTGCCGAAAAAGTTGCCTCCCTGTTCCAAGCGGGCATTTCCGGTAGTACAATCAACCCCGCGACAGATGTTGCTAAAAAGGGTCAGATTCGTGAGGCAGAAGACCAAGAACGTGAGGAACGTGTCCAAGAAGGGTGGAAGCATCAACCTCATGCGCATGATGAAGCCAGGGTTGTGCGCGAGGGACTCGAAAAGGGTGTAGAGCTTAACCCTGTTGTCGGCGGTTCCTACAAGCTCAATGAATCCCGTAAGGCAGAGGAAGCTGAGCGCAACCGCCGCCTCCGCGAACAAGAGACCTGCCCTACAAGCGGCACAAACTCTGCCGAAGCACTCCGCCATGGCCTCCAGGAAATGGAGGGCGCCGTGGAGAGACCATTGGCTCTCAACATTGCTGAACGTGAGATTCGCAAAAGCCAAGAAGAAGACGAACGTCAAGATCGCATCCAGTCCAACGATTCCCTACGTGCTTCTGGATCACCTACTCAAGTAGCTTTTGCCCTTCGTGCTGGACTTCTCCGTGATGATAATGCAGCTATCGACCTTGCCCGCTCGACTGCCGAGCGCGATGGAATTAGCGACCCTTTGAATGGCAAATCTGGTGTTGGCATCACTCCCTCTGGAGTACACAAGTCCACCCATCACGGTCACATCCCGACCATCTTTGAGCAATCCAAGGGTGAAAGCCGCAATGTGCTTGTCCCTGGTCCCACTGTCGCTTTTCAAGATTGGGGCTCTCGTCCTCTTCCTGAGGGCAGTCTTTTGGGACAATCTAGTCTCCCGGTCGGAGGCGTTACAGACCAAACCATTCCGCCAAGCAGCAGCGAACTAACAGAAGAAACAGGTGGAAGACGCTCACCCCCTCCTACACCTCAACCAACCCAACAAGAATCGGCAACACCCTTCCCTCTCCCAATTTCAAAAGACATTCCCGAATCCTCTCCGACCCAAGATCGCCCACCCACCCCCTCCCGCTCTGAATCCGTTCTCATTCACGAAGCACCCGCAACCACCACTGCGGAACAAGAAGATTCCGTCGGTCTTGAAACTATCCGCCCTCGCCCATCTGATGATCCTAACGCTCTGACTGTCCCGACACCTCCACCCAAAGACGAGCAACCCCGGAATCGTACCAGCGATGACGGGAGCGTCTCGTCTACAGGAAGTCGAAGGTTCAGCGGAGAGAAACCCAACAAGCTTCATGGAAAAATTGAAAAGGCTATTGGAAGGATTGAGACAAGTTTGGGAAAAGTGATTCATAATGAGCATTTGATTGCGGAAGGTAGGGAACGGCGGGCTGCTGGGGCTGCTGAGGTGGCTTTGGCCAAAGAACGGAGGTTGAGTGGAAGTCATTCGCCCACTCCTCCATGAATATGATGTGGGGTTATGAGCTTGGTTGTTGTGGGTCATGTATCGGTCATTTAAACAACATGTTTTGGCTTTTCTTTGCTTTTTTTGATGGTGTACATAAAGAGAAATTCATTTGATAAAATCCTGTCGTATTGGTAGCTTTCCATTTGTGCATGTTAGCGAGGAGATTGGCATTGCTCACTGACGAGAACAAGTGACAGCGCATCCCGCTCATCGTCAGCAAAGCCGATTTCGTATTATCCCAATTCTAGTCTCAAACCCCGTCCGATCACAGCCAGTGATATATCTCTATGATATCTAGTCCCTGCATCTTTGTACACTTTATTAACGGCCCATCTCCACCTCTTGCAAGACTCTAACCAACCTTCGCATCCCAATTTCCAAAACCTCCCAATCAACCCCAAATACGACTCTAAACCACCCCTCCTCCCCAAACCCAAACGCCCTCCCACAAGCAATATAAACACCTTGATCGCATAATCGTTCAAACAGGGCTTGCTCACCCATTCCACTCGTCCATCTCCGTAAATCCACCAAGAGAAAAAACGCGGCGTTGGCGGGTATGTACGGCACACCATGCTCCCTCAAAAACGCTGTCAACCGAGTATATATCTCTTCAAGACGAGATTGGTTCGTACGTATGAATTGAGCTGTCGTTGGAGGGTCCAGTAACCCCATCACGAGCGTTTGGGTTGCATTCGATGGAGCAGTGAAGGGTGAAATCGGACGAAGGGCTTTGAGGATATGAGGATTCCGAGATTGGATACATCCAAGTCTTAGACCGCTACTCCCAAAATCCTTTGAAAAGCTCCAAACGATATGAATCCATTCTTCTAATCCTTCTTCCTGTACCCATGGCATAGCTAATATGCTCGTGAAAGGCTCCAATCCATCCAGAGTGGATGCCCGAAAGCAGCTCAACGCGTAGATTTCGTCGAGGATAATGTGTAGTTTGTGGGATTTTGCAAATTGGAGGTATGTTTTCAATGTTTCGGTTGGGATGACTCTACCGGTTGGATTATTTGGATTGGTGAGGAGGAGGGCGCGGATCGGTATTGGATTGGTTTGAAGGGTTTGGGCCAAGTCTTGGTCAGTCGGAAGGAAATTGGGGGGTGTGGATGAGCTGCAGGTAATGAGATTTGCTTGCGAGTAGTTGCTGACATCGGGACCAAACCCTCCGTAATAAGGAGCTTTGGAAAGATTCAAGTTAGACCGAAATCTACAATGTACCACCCACGGATTACTCACCAGGTACCAAGACCCCATCCCCAACATCACACACGACTTGCACCAGATTGCTCACCGCCGAACACGCTCCATTCGTGACAACAATCTCCCCAGCTTCCACACGCTGAATCGGTCGAAACTGTAGATTGAACATATCCGCTAACTTTTCGCGGAGCTCTTGCGACCCGTACATGAGCCCATACGAGAATGTAGCATCCACTAATTGTGCAGACATCTTTGCAACCTGTAAATGCGAAAAATATCAGTTGAACTTGGCATCTTTTGTACAGTGCTCCAAAATATCTAAATTTTCTCCCTCACCAAATCGACGAGTGTCCCAGCCATCAACTTATTCTCCGCTGTACCGAGGTTAATAATTCCATCTGGATTCTTTTCGGCATGATATTGATTTCTCCACCACTTTTGTTGCATACATGAATATTATAAGCGCCCCCAGTTTTGTTTTATCAAGGAAATACTTTATATTCTTACTTTCATCATACCGATAGCGAGTAGGTTTTCTTTTTGGATATTGGCTCGGGCCCGATTGGAAATTGGTGGTGGAGTTGTCGACATTGTCATCAATCAATCAATAAGGATCTACGATGGAAGGAATATTGGACGTTGGAATGAGGGGTGAATGGAGAATGAAGAATCGAGCAAGCTGAAAGGTTGTCTGTCCATCCAGCTGTTGTATGGCTGTGCCACAGCTGATGTCACCACCCAAATTGCAAGTGTTCAAAAGGCTCCAGTTCAATCGCCCCAGTCAACTTTACATTGGTGCTATGACGGCAGTAGATGATGAGACTATGCAGTACAGTGGTGGGCAGTTTTCTTTTTTTCGGATGATAGCACCAATGCCATACATGGACTAGAGTGTTTGTACTTGAAATTCACGTATAGTCAGACCGAACACAAGTTGCATGTGCCCAGGACCATGACCCCAGCTGGTTGACGCTATGCCCCACCGAGACCCAAAAGGATGTTTTGTAGACTATTTTAAAGAGATAGAGTAGAATGCTGTTGCCGTGATCCTCGGATGCTTTTCAGCGGGTGTTGTTGTTGAGAGATATGGTGTTAAAAGCCGCTTTGATGGCATTGTCAAAATGTGCCTCCAACTCCACCCTATCATTAAAAGCCAGAATGTTTGCTCTGTGTCATTTCGATCCAGCGTAATGCCACCAGGACCGCTATAACATATTCTGTCCAAACTTGATATCTGGCCACATAGCTTGATTTCGGATGGACTCACAACACGATCCTCATCGCACTCCCCAGTCCCTCCGTCCCATCCATTAAGGTCTGATCAATAGGAAGCCGTACGCCAACCCCAATTGCCGCATGCTTGTCACTCGCTTTCTGTGCAGCTTGTCCGCGCTCAAAAGAACTCAAAGATGAGTCCCGCGACATTGAAACCAGGTGTGCAATTTCAGACGCTGTTGATTTCAGTTCTGTGGGTACGATTGCCTTTTGGGGAGGTTTGCTTTGTTAGGTGATAATTGCATTCGAGCATTCAAGTGAGCGGTGTTTGTAGAACCTTGCCATCAGAGGTCTTTGTCAATGCGGGACATTCCGCTGCGACTTGCTCTTCCGTTGCAGACAGGACTTGAGCTCCCGTGGGAGTTGTGTCAACTTCCTTTGACATTTGGGGTATTTCACTCTTTTAGCGGAAAGTGCTGTGTTTTGTCTTTGTGGATGTTGGCGGAATTCAAAGGCTGGAGCGGGACGATCGTCCCCAAAGGGCCAAGCCTCCTTGGGATGATGTCGTAATGGCGTGTCGCATCACTTGCACGCACACTACTGTACCTTTTCGTGAGAGCTAAGGATATCCGAAAACTGCACCACTCTTTGAGTGTTGAGATTTCATTTCTGGTGAAATGATATGCCATGGCAAAACAAAAATAAAATAAAGATGAAAGAAAATCCTTTTAAGAATGCCCAAAGGCGGGTTGTAAGTTGAAATCCGCACTAACACTTTTCCCCCCAACCAGCCTTCAAATATAGAGTTATGACCTCATGATCCATTAGGTTTCCTTCTTTTTGACGTCACCCCCCAAAACCTCCAAGACTTGTATAAAAGGACGCTATCTGCCAGCAGTCTTGCCTTGGAATAACAATCTGTGTTTTGAAAAAAGACATATCAACACCATATCAAAGAATACACTCTCAAACCATGTCTACGTCCATTCACCTTCCTACTGATCCTGCCGTCAAAGCCGGAAACCCCTACCCAAAGAGCGATGCTCCCACTCCACACAGCGACGTGCATATTGGCGGTGGGGATGCTACAACAAAGACCAAATCTTTGGACAGCGGGACGACGGTTAAGAAGCAGATTGAAGATTTATACAAACTGATCGATGGAATCGAGGTAAATGCACAAAGTGCAACTGACACATCAATATCAATAAGGTTTCTAATGGAGCGACTCTTGAATAGACGGCAATGATGACTACGCGGGCACCGAATGGGTCGCTTGTCAGTCGCGCGATGCAGACGAGGAAGCGAGTCCATGGAGTTGATCTATGGTACGTTTCCAAAAAAATGACATCTAAATCAAGAGTCAGTGTCGCTCAGGGCTAAAAGGGTGGTTATTGGGCCTCGAGACATGCGTTGAACTGCATTGCCCATGCAAAGCACACCGATTTAGCTTGCCTATGCCATGCACCTTTCTAACCCATCCGTTTACAGGTTCGTGACAGACAACCAATCCCACAAACTCGATGACCTCAACTTTGACCCACACGTCAATATCGCCTATTACAGGCCCAGCACCTCCAACTGGGTCTCCGTCTCTGGCCGTGCTCGGATAGTAAACGACCGCAACAAGATCAAAGAACTCTGGTCGGATGATCTGCGAGCCTGGTTTGGTGATTTACAGGATGGTGTTCACACGGGTGGCCCCGAGGACCCTCGTATTAGTTTGATTTTTGTGGAAGCAGAATCAGCGCATTATCAAATTCAGGAAAAGTCTGCGCCCAGGGCTCTGTTTGATATCATTAAGGGGTCGTATACGGGAGAGCGTCCGCATATTGGACCGACGCGGGAGCTTGACGCTGCAGCATTAGGGGCAGCGAGAAAGCTTGAAGAATAGGGGCATTTTGTAAATATTATGTGTAGGATCCTGTTTAAAAGAGACGATTTTCTGGTATCTTTGACCAAAAGTTACTACGAACATGTTCCAACGAACATGATATGGATGACCAGATCGGTTTACAGCCGAGCGAATGATGAACTGCAAGTGCTATCCAAACCCTCTCCATATAACCTTGCTGGGGAAGATCGCACACGGTAGAATGCCACCCTATGTACTCGACTCTAGCTTCCTTGCAACCTCCACCTTTTCCTCATCAATCAAGCGTACCTTGCCAAGCTCGGGAGCCTCACCCGTCAAAGTCGACTTTGCTAATTCATACAGGACAGCTGGCTTGGACCTATCTTGAACGTAGTAGTACGCTGAGAAAGCTTTAACCTGTGCAACAGTCACTCGAGGATCGTCTGGTCCTCCAGTATGGATGCCATCGCCAAGATCATTGAACCAGGCCTATTCGTTTCCGTCAGGTCTTGATGTGCATTCAAAAAACACCGTTGACAAGAAAACAAACCTTCATATCAGGGCCCCACAATGCGTCCACCAATGACCGATCTTGTTTCACTTCCGCAGTTCCAGATATGGAGACCCACTCACCCGTTCCCTCCTTGTAAAACGAGAGGTTGACGTGTGGGTCAAACCTGAGTTCTTCGAGTTTGTGGGACTCGTTATTGGTAATAAACCTGTCAAATCGGGATGGCCACTTTTCAATTCACACGTTCTCTGCTCATCATTGAAGCCCACAGCATTGGTCTCTGCAGTTTACAACACACCACATGTCTGTTCCGATCCTTTTCCGGACTGCCATAGGTCTGCTCACTAGATGGCCGTCAGGACGACGAGTCGTCATCATGCAAACCTATAGGAATGCGCTGGACTTTTCTAATAACGTTGACAGTAATTAAAACAGAGGAAAGACAACCTTGATGCTATCCACAAGCTTGTAAAGATCTGCCAATTGGTGTTTCAAAGGCGTTGTGGTGTCCAGATTCCGCTGTGCAACCGCATCTCCAGAAAGCGATGCAGCCGTTGAAGGCTCAGATGCGCGTGGAGTTGCTTGCGCCATGTCACTTAAAAATAGTTGCAGGAGGTAAATAGTAACAAAAGAACAAAGGTAACTGAGATGTGTCGTCTCGAAGATTTCAAGTGTCGTGTCATGAAAACGCTATCGGCATCAAGCCTCCTGGGCTGCGGGGGTGTCCAGGTGTTGATCCATCATGCATCATTTGCTGCAGAATTGAAGTCGTCGGACCGAAACTGCAAGGACATTTCACCACCTCGCCATCTCTCATTTGTATAGCACAAGATAATACTACCCTGCCATCGTTCGGCTGCGTCCAGGTGCAGGGCAACTTTAAACATGGACGAGAGCTGCGGAAACCCGCCGCAGGACGCTATCCTTTACTTGTATGGTTATTGTGGATCAACGGAGCGAATAGTGTGACTTGATCGGGGGAGTGTGATCACACACGCACACACACACGCACACACACACACACACACACAAGGTGGAGATTTGGGTTCGGTGTATTTTGGCCATCTTGTTCATTGGCAAGGAACTGCCATGCGCAAAAAAGAAACAAGTGAGTTTAACCGCATCATCATCCTCATGTCGATTGCCTCACATGTTGCATCAAAAGCTGGAGATGAGCAATCTACAAGCTTTTCCACACTACTAGTAGGTGTGTGTGTGTGTGTGTGTGCTAGAGTGTGCTTCTCAACGTGCTGTTGAAAAAATCTCTTCAAGTCCAAACACGTCCACACGTTGTTCAACTTGCGCAACACACTCTTGTAATTATTTATTTTTGGGTAAAATGTCCAAGAAAAAGATTAAAAAAAAAAAAAAAGACTTAAGAAAATGGAATTTGCGGTTTGTTAAAAGTGAAGGTCAATTCCACCCGCTCGTGCACCGATCGTCGTATGCGTATGGCTGTTGCTTGTGGGGGAGGGATTAACGAAAGGAAAAAAAACTGTCTGCAAAAAAGTATACCAGTTTTTTGCTGTCCATCAAAACGTGGCAGACGAGTCTTTTGACCGTATTTTTGATGGTGGTTGTTGAAGGCAAGCTGGACATATGTAAGGGATTCATTCTGTCAAAGCTGTTCCGATTTATACAGCCATCCAAACGGATTCCTGGCTTGTCGAGAATAACGAATAATGCCACCCAATACACATCACCACAACAGTAGCGAGAGCACCTCCTTTGACCTCAACGACTCACTCACCATGATCCCTATGGACATTGAATCCACCAAATTCCAACATACGCCCGATGCCATCCCCCTCATACCTCACTCCACCTCTCCATCATCAAGACCGATCACAACTACCTCTTCCCCAATATCACCCTCATCCACCAGAGCCCAGAAGCGCCTCGCATTGGGAATCACCATCTGCTTCACCTTTTTCCTCATTGAACTGGCTGGTGGACTCTATTCCAACTCCCTCGCACTCGTTGCCGACTCGTTCCATCTCTTGACTGATGCAGCGGCGTATACAGTGTCATTTGTTGCCTTGTGGATTGCAAGAAAGAGAGCGGGGGGACGATTTACATTTGGGTTCAAGAGAGCAGAGGTTTTGGGTGCTTTGGTGCGTTTGGTTTCTTGGATTGAGAAATTTTGGAAAAAAAACAACTTACAAACTTGTCCCCGTCTTATAGATATCTGTTCTCCTCATATGGGCGCTGGTACTCGCCCTCCTAAAAGAAGCAACCGAAAGAGTTCTCGGGGACCCCGAACCCATCAATGCAACCATGATGCTTCCATTGGCGATCGCTGGTCTCGTCGTCAACATCATGTATGAACACCATGTCCATCTCTTTATATCGGGCAACATAACTAATATCTTTGTGTTCTGCCTAGATTGATTAACGTGTTTGGGCTCGATGATCACCACCACCATCACTCAAAGGAATCCAAAACCGACTCGCCAAACATTAACCTCCGCGCTGCGATTCTCCACGCCATGGGCGATTTGGTCTGCTCCATTGGTGTGGTGTTATCCTCGATAGCGATCATACTGTAAGTTGTGATTGCACCATTTGACCGAACGCAAGATACGAGAAAAATGGTATTGACTTTCAAAACGTTTTGATCCCCATGGCAGGAAACCAAGTTGGCAAATCCTTGACCCAATTTGTACATTTCTCTTCTCTTTTGTCGTCCTTTTCACGACATTCCGAATCATCCGCGACATTGTTCTTGTTTTCATGGAAGGTACGTACCGCATGTCGTATCCCTTGATGAAATTGCAAGAGGACTCATCCCCTCTCTTGACGATAGCAACTCCAGCCCATGTCTCCCCAGTCCTCCCAGAATCTCTCCACAATCTCCCACACATAAAATCCATACACGCCACCCGCATATGGTGTCTAACAACAGAGTACCCAATATGCACCGCTCACATTGTCGTCTACGACAAAACGGACGCGGAAACCCGGGATTTGGTCCTAAAAGAAGCAGGGAGAATTGTTCAGGAGGCAGGGATAAAGGAATGGACATTCCAGATAGAGAGTGAAAGTGAGGGGCAGATCTGCGTGCGCGATGAGGATATTGTGTAAGATACATGGTAGACCAGAACAAAAGACAAAAACCTTTTATCAACCAAGTCTATATAGCTGTTAAAAATGACCTGATGCGAGTCTATATTCAAAAAACCTCAAATAATAATGCTTCATACTTTCCCACCCCTGTCCCCAGAACACACACTCCTATACATGGGATGAACGTTTCCCAATCGCACCAAAAAGTGACCATTTAGTCAATTTTGAGCGCCTTTTTCAACCGGATTACCAACTGCCAGTCATCTTTACTCAAATCGTTCCGGAATGTTGTCTTTAGAATATCAATGGAAGCTCGTGTAATCTATTGGAGATGGATAAAGTCAGTATACCCAGTTATGCCTTGTCATCCAAAATCTCGACCACAATGCATACATGCGAATAAATTTCATTCCGCTCTGTGAAATGTCTTCCAAACAGTTTTGGTGTTTCGTATTCTGGTGATTCAATCTTTATGGCAACAGAGGGGCCACCTTTCTTGGCCTCCTGCTGTACCTTATGGTTGAGCTCAATACTCGTCACCCGACCAAGACTGATTACGCCCTTTGTCTACAAAAAGAAGTGCACTATGATGAGTCATTCGTTTAAAGCATGCTGTTTGAATGGCTTGCGTCGCTACCTCTTCATTTACGACACATAATGGAGTCCCGATTTTCAGATTGCCATCAATCACATCCACACCCAAAACAATTGGATTTCTCTTGTTAAACACCGCTCCAGGTACAATTCTCAACGCGCAAGGGAACACAGCCTTGGGAGCCGCATCTGCCCGCTTCTTCTCCTCCATATTCTTCATGTAGGCTGTAAACTGGTCAAAGAGATGGTAGATAATCTCGGCAGTGAAGATCTTCACCCCCATTTCTTCTGCCATTTGCTCAGCGTCCTTGTCGATGGGTACATCGAATGCCAACAATTGAGCATATTCGGGGGCCCGCTCCAACATGACGGAAGCACGAATGATGTCTTTTTTATGCACAGGGCCAATGTTGATGCCAGAGACGGGGATGTTGCAGGATTTGAGGAATGTGAGAAGTGCTTCAAGGGAACCGAGGGTGGATGCTTGAACACAGACTCCTTTTCCGGACTTGTCGATGGAAGAGAGAAGAGATGTCAAGTCTTCCATAACAACTTCCTTGATGTCATCCTCATCATCATCGGGTCCAAGAACCATTAGTCGTGACCCAGCAATGGCCTTTTCCAAATCCGGAGCTGAAATTTTGATACCTAGAGACGCCTTGACGCTCTTGTGGTGCACATACGCTGACTTGACGCGTAGCTCTCTCATCGGTTGTGGTGTCAATAGGGCTCTGATAGTGGTTACAATGGGTCCATTTAGACCACAGACCACTATCCGATCACCTTCATTCAAGACACCATTCGACAAGACAACATCAATTGTTGTACCCAGTCCTTCAATAACCTTGACTTCCAAAACCGTACATTCCAACTCGGACAGGTACATTAACCGTTCCGTCATACGCGTCTGTGTCAAATCAACCAGTAGATGCAACAGATCTGGAATACCTTCGCCTGTGATGGCAGATGTCGGGACAAGCGAGACGTTCTTTGCATAGTTTGGGTTTTCCCAGTATAGGCATGCGTTCAGTCCCTGCTCGGCAAACTCAACAATAACCTTGTTCACCCGCTCCTGGAACTCCTTCAGCACATGTGGCTTCTGTTGTGCCAGTGTGTCCCGCGTAGGATGGTTCGGCATCGCCTTCCAATCATACATACGATCAATCTTATTAAGTGCGACAATGAAAGGTGTTTTACGTTGCCGAAGAAGACCAAGGGATTCAAGCGTTTGAGGTTCCAGACCGTGAACAATGTCAACGACGAGGATAGCAATGTTACAGAGGGAAGACCCACGCGATCGGAGGTTGGTAAAGGATTCGTGACCTGGGGTATCAATGATAAGGAGACCGGGGAGTTTGTAGTCGGGCTGCTGGTCTTTGTGAAGGAGGGCGGTTTTTTCCTTGATGGCATCCATAGGGAAATATGTGGCACCTATTTGTTGTGTGATACCACCTGCTTCTCCCTCTTGCACATTTGTTTGTCGGATCTTGTCAAGAAGCTTGGTCTTTCCTGTGTCGACGTGACCCAAAATACAACAAATAGGTGATCGAAGATTTTCTGCTGATCGCTCGGCCAATGCCTGCTCGTGTCGTGCTTGTCGGCGAGCAGCCGCTTCCTCTTTCCTCTTCAAAGCCTGCTTCTGAGTTGCGGTCAACTCTTCGTCGGAATCATCTTCGTCAGACGATTCGTCTTCGCTGCTTTCTTCCTCAGACGATTCCTCTTCTGATTCTTCTTCCGATTCATCTGAGTCATCGTCTACCTTCTTCTCTTGAACCTTTGCATTCTTCGCGGCGACAGGTGCCTTTCCATTTGCAGGTTTCTTCACCTCAACCACTTTCTTGACCACTTCACTAGTTTTAGTAACCGGCGCCTTTGCAGGTTTGGCCGCCACCTTTTTGTCTTCCTCATCGCTTTCCTGATCCCAGCTGTCTTTTACAGTCTCCTCGTCGGAACTTTGATCCCAGGAATCCTTCACGTCACCGTCGCTCTCATCGTCCCAGCTCTCCTTTATACCCTCCTTCATTGTGCTCTGCATCACAGCCAGAACACGCGCTGCCTCCTCAGCAGCGGCAACCGCGGCAGCATCCTCTTCAGCCTTTTTCTCGATACGCTGCTGTTCACGTTTTCCCTCTTCCTTTTTGTTTTCCTTTTCTGGTTCTTCTGGTTTGGGAGCTTCGACCTTCACAGGTTGCTCGGCCTTGGTAGGCTGCTTCTTCTTACGGTTTGTATATACAACGCGTTTCGGCTTCTTATCGGCTTCCACATTTTCCGTGTCCAAAGCCTCCACCTTCATCCCGGCTGCAATCATAGCTTCAAGGCGCGCCTTTTGCTGAGCTTGCGCCGCCTTCTGAGCCGGTGTCAAATACTTTCCTTGTTTTTTGAGTTCTTCTTTTTTTAACTAAGAAGCAGAAACAAGTAACTCAGACGGAATTGCCCAAGGCTGATTGATATTTGTGCTCAACACGTACCCTCTCTTTCTCCTTCTTTCGCTGTTTGGCCTCCTCCTTCCGTTTCTCCTCTTCCTCTATTCTCTGTTGCTCTTCGGCTAATCTTCGCTCCTCCTCCTCCTGTTGTCGTTTTAGCTCTTCCTCGGCAGCTTTCTGTGCAGCAAGTTGCTCTCTTAGTGCAGCCAGCACACTTGGCCCCTTCTTCTTTGCTGCACCCTTCTTTTTCTTATCGGGTTTCTCATCTTCAATCGGCTCCGGTTCAGGCTCCGGTGTAGCTACAGGCGATGGTGACACCTTGCCAGCTCCCTTCGGTTGTTGCTGCTTTTTCGCCAACTTCAGACGTTCTTTTCGCTCTCGCTCCTTCTCCTTTTTCGATTTTATCCGAATTTCTCCTGTTTCCTCCTCTTCGGCGTCTTGAGCTTTGGGTGCTTTGCCCTTGGGTTTGGCTACAGGTGACGTTTCGGTCTGCTCCGTTTCTGCGGCTATTTGGTCCATCTCCGCGTCGAAATCATCCCGTGCCGCTTCTTTGCCAGATTTACCCTTCTTTCCCTTAACGGGAGCAACCGGACCTTCTGGTTTTTCTTCCGCATCTACACTACCGCCACCATCAATCTCGCTTGCGAGTTTGGCCATCTCCGCATCAAAGTCGTCGCCCTTCCCTTTCTTTCCCTTCTTTCCAGCTTTCTTATTGGGCTTGCTGACACTGTTGGCTGGCTCTTCCTGTTGTGCCGCATCCTCCTGATCCAGCTGTGCAAGAATGGCAGCGGCGTCTTCCTCGTCCTCAAACCGATTCTTCTTGCTTTTCTTCCCCTTTTTTCCTTTATTCGCCATTAAAGTGGCCATGAGCCCACCAAGATCGTTCCCTTCTTCATCAACGTTGAACGTCTCCTCTGGGCTGGCGACAGCTTCAGGTTCGGCGGCACCAAAAGCAATTTCAACTTCAGAGTCAGAATCTTGCGGGGTGACCCTGCGACCCCAATATCAATACAGTACATCGTGGCAGTCGTTACAAGAAGGCTACCTACGTCTTAACCGGCTGTTTATTGTTCTTTCCGCCCTTCTTCTTCGCCATGCTTGCGTTCGTGAGAGGTTAAAATAACAAATCTATCGTTGATGGGGTAAAGATCTCCAGTAATGAAACCGCAGCTTTATGTATCAAACGCCACGGTGGTAGGTAAAGAAGCAAGCAGTTCTCGCAGTCGTAAAGTCAGATGCGTTTCTTCCCCACCTACTGGCCTGTACAAAACTTCAAATCAGTTCCTGCGTATTGCTTTGATTTTTTGTTTAGGAGTAATGGAAGGCGCAGTTCCATTTAGCCTATTTAGGATGTGATTAAGTAATACTGGCCAGCAGTCGAAAGTTATGTTAAATAATAGTATTTCAGTTACGAAAAAGTCGGATGCATCGTTCAAGATGACAAAAGGTTCTAAGCAGAGCATGATGGGACTACATGCTGCCCTTGGCTGCTAATCTCTTCCAGCCTTCCTTTACAAAATTAGCGTTCGTACTCCCATATATCTCCAAGGTCCTCATTCCACCCCATGCCCATCCATATTCTGTATTCGTAGTGGGTGGATATTTATAAACAGCTTGCGGGTCGGCTCTTGACTGATGCTTATGACGAATCGGAAGTGTTCCGCGATTTTGTTTCGGCAGTGACGATTTTGAAACTCGTGTTGCTGTTGCAAATGGAGCAGTATAAGCAGCTGGTGGTGGTCTTGACGTAGTGTCAAAGAGAAGGTTTGGGGTAGGGCGAGCACGGAGATTCGGTGATCCGGAGAGGTAGTTGCTTCTGTCGCCCGTGACTTTATATGTTGCCGGAATGTAGTCTGGCGGCGTCGGTGGTGGTGAATTTGGAAGGACATTATTTCCTGGGGGGTTGAGAATGCTGAAAGGGCTGTTATGTGGACGCTTGGAGGATCAAAAGATTCAGTGCCCAGCAGAAATTGTCTTGGGACAAATCATGGTGTCTTACTGCTTGTGGCTTCCAAGATTCTTGAAGGGGATTACTCGAGTACAACAAAGGATCAACCAAACAACCCCATCTTTCACTCCACTCTCTCTGGGATTTCAGTTCCTTATCTAGTCGATCTTTCCTAAGAGGTCAATGTCGTCAGATGCGTACAAAGAATCACCACCGCAGTTATCATTCTCAATCATCTAGGTTCACCCAAAAGTCCAACTATATGTACGAGCTGCGTTGTATAAGGCCCAAGAGCCTAATCCAGACTACTTGCATTCCCAGTCTCAGTTGGGTTCTCCCCACACTTACCAATTTTTATCATTTATCAACCCGATAACATCTTTCTCCCTCTCTCCATTAGCAGTTCCTCTTGTCCTCTTTCCACCTCCTGCATTCACCCGCCCCAATCCCATTCTGGACCCATTCTTGACCGCATTTCTTCCTTGTCCAGACAAATGTGAAGACGATGAGCGATAGGAAAGAGAAAGATTAGATGGAGCCTTTGGGGGCAGTTGTGGCTGGTTGTGAGATTTAGGTGGCATTGCAAGTAGCAGATGCAGATGGGGGTGTTGTGGATTGCACCCGCGGGTTGATCTTGGTGCAGAAAATGAAAGGGCAGATCTTACCAGCGGGGTCTGCCACCGTCAGTCACGTAAGATGCTTATGTAATCCGGTCTTGAACAAGGGTGTCTTCCTGCATCTTCCTATGCGCAAGTCCAAACAGCTGGGTCCTACCAAGGAGCAAAGGAGTTGATAGTAGATGAGAACCATAACTATTAAGCACGGCAAAACAATTAGGAAAGCTATGTTCCATCACCATAGGAAACGACCCGAATTATCTACATATATCTACAAATTTCCGGACATATCTTGGGTATTGCCTAACCTCATGCCCTTCTAGTAACCCTCGCCAAAAAGACTAACATCAGGGCAAAACTGCTGACTCCAGCGAATGCTATAAACACTGCATTAGGAAGGCGTTCTGATGTTGCAGAATATATTGCGCTGGATGCCTAGAAAATTGCAAATATCGACAGTCTAGTTTCATTTCTCAGATAAAGTTCGTCACATAATGTCGATAGTTACCTTGATTAGCCCAGTAACACCAATAATAGCGACAGCGTTGAATATCGAATTCACAATGCCGTAGGACTCTCTGGGTACAAGGTCAAGAATGATCGCTCGGGCATGGACGTGACCAAGAGAAGCAACAGCGTCTATGGGTAGGACTGGATGAAAGTTAGCAAGTGCCCGGGCAGTTTTCAAAAACTGGTGTATACGTACTAGTGTAAACTATCCAGGCTTTGTTAGAGATGGCAAATAAAATGATGTGCACGAGTTCGACACAAGCGTAAATGCGCACTTGGTTTAACGCTATGGCAGCATTCCTCCAGACATTCTCTTGTTGCCTTTGTGGATTGTCTTCAACCACTAGCTCGTCGTCTATCCGGCTACCGTCCTCCAGTAATGGTGCTACTTCCCGCTCAGGGTTGTGCGGCTGCTCGCTGCCCCACATTTGCCTGGCCCAACCTTCCACATTGGGCAAAACCAATAAATTTGCCACAGCTGCCAGTAGGCACATTTCAACAAAGTAAAGTGTGTTCTCCCATGTTTTCCACCCAAATTCTTGCGCCGCGTAGAAGGGAAGAACAAAAAAAAACGAGGAGCGCATGGCCGTTGACAGAACAGCTGCTAGCATAATCTTGTGGGGAAGTGGTCGGAGGACACGGAGCAGTTTACTGACACTGAGTGCGGATACTTCAGTAGTTTCCGAAGGCCGTACTGGCTTTCGGGTTTCGGGAACAAAGAGGATATAGGTGACGCCGGCGAAAGTATTGCATAGTACACCCAGGAAGAACGTCGGCTCAAAACTGGATGTGTACTGGATACCGATGTAAGCCGACGCCGAGCAATACAACCAAGACGCAGTAAATCTTACCTTGACCAACCAGCCTCCCAACAGACTACCAACCATGACAGCCAGCATGCCAAAACCCTGAATAACAGCCAGGAACCTCGCTCTATCCTTTGACCCAGTCAAATCTGCAATAGCCGCCACCATCAAGGAAACCCCAGCTGCTTCCCCACCCGTGATTCCAAATACCACCTTTGATACTGCCAGCCAGTATTCATTGAGATTCCAATGCAAGACCACAAAAGGCATGGTCACATCGATAAATAGTCCCAGTAGCCATATGAGGGTGACGGGCTTGCGGCCAAAGATGTCGGATAAGTGGCCAGCTACAAGTATTGTTATGATACCTGATATCAAACGGTGAGGAGGGTGTGACATCTGTGGAGCCAGGAGTAAATAACCGTACTTGGAATTGTAGACAATACGACCAACATAGAGGAAAACTCGGCCGCAGGTGTAAGGACGCCTGGGATGGTACAATCATGTTGATCGACGGTCCCTAAGATAGGTTCGGGCGACCTGCCATTCGCCTGGTAATATTTTCCTGCACAATAAAGCAGATGTCAATACGCGCTATCAGCCACTCGATCTATCGCAAGGACACTCACCGCAAAAGAGCGCAATTACAGCCTGATCAAAGCTCTTTGAGATGACAGCTGCTCCAAAATTGATCGCCATTACAAAGGCGGCAATTCTACAGAATGCGTTGGCTCTCACGATAATTCAACATCAGGCACCTGCTTTCACTCACATATAGATTTTCGAAGCGTTCGTTGGTTCATTTTTCTTTTGGTCATTCAATAAAGGTGTGCTTTCTCCATCCTGTTCGTTGTTGGTACTTGCGTCAAGCATATTTCTTTCAGTGTCCATAGAATTGAAGCTGCGATGACCAACCGCCAAGTGTGCAGTTTATAAGCCCTGCGTAATCTACGCCCACGATTTGGCCAAGTTGGGCAATCTACCCCATGAAATGATACACGCAAATTGCAATCATATCACTGATCGCGAGATCTTGTATTGACAGCCAGTTTTGCAAAGTTTTTTTTTTTGTTAACAGATATGCTAGGCTATACACAGTGTAGTGACGTGAAGGTATGCAGGGCTAAAGGTCGCAACTAAAAAGCAAAAGATGAAGGCACTCAAGGTTCAACGGCTTTGAGTTCCTGCTCACTCGGGAACTTAGTGAGCAAGTCGCGAAGGCGATCGATCGGCGCGGCCAGCAGTCCCGCAACAGTTTCGAAAGGAGGCTTGTTGGGTGCCGATGGGTGGGACCTTAAAAGAGTAGGTACAGCTTAGCATAACTATGGTTGCATGAAATCGCTGCCTTTCGTTGCTTACCGAGTTGGAACAAAGTATTTTGTCATTTCAAAGTCTCTACCTAATCTGAGAGCGTCGTCGTTACTGATAGCCTCTCTTAACTTGGGCATATCCGTGGTCTCCTCTTGCTGAATGTGCTCGGTCAATTCATTCATCATCTTCTCCATTAGGGGAACAAAATCGGCATCCTGCCCAACAGACTTGTTTTGCAGTTGATACAAATCGTCTTTGACTTGCTGATGCTGGCTACGTTCCTTTTCAGCTATGGCGACGCCGTCAGGGACGTACTGCTCGAATGCTGGGTACACGGTCAGCTCTTCTGCGATAGAATGGACGGCGATTTGCCAAAACAGTTGATTGGCCCATTTTTGTTGCTCCGGAGGATTGCCTTCGTTAGCACGGTATTGCTGCAGCATAAATGAGAAACTGGTGTGATTGGGCGCATATGCTTGTACCTTCTTCTTACTTTGTAGTAGGCATCAATATGCTTATGGTCCTTGATGACAGCATCAACGACATGGACCTGCTCAGAGCTAGCCATATTGCAAAAAAGATGAGTTCGGTAGGCAGTTAAGGCTAGTTTCAATGTCCTCAGTCTCTTATATTAGGGTGATGGGCTGCATGGAGATGTATCTTTCATGGTCTAACGTGACGTAACTGGAAAGCCCTGCGGAGGTCTCAATCTACGGACGTCATCTACCTACATGCTACGTGGATGGAAATAACATGAGAGTACGACCCTTGCATAGTACATATAAGGAATTTCAGACGGTAGTTATGGGAGGAGTGGTGGACTAAATAGGGTGCTCTCATTTGTAGGTTATATGTCTTTCGATATGGTAATTTAGAATTTCCTAAAGATGATCGCATGAAGACCAGCCGTAGCGCGCGAGCGTCAAAGGGTAGATGGTCTTGGAGAATTGTTGGAGGATGTTGTTCATCCTCTGGCTCATTAAATACTTTATTTTGATTGCGTCCTCTGGGGCTCACCGATCATAAGGTTGTATGCTGCGATGCAAGTCCTGGAATAGCTGTAGTGTATTGGCAAGAATGGGGTCGATCAAGTGCACATTTAATCAGCATCGCGTAAGCACTCCAAGATCACTTCCACAACCTACGATCCGTCAGTTTCCAGTACGCCAAAGATGGCGACAACGGCGCCGTCAAGCCTGCCCTCGAAGAGCACCAATCTGAAACATGCAAATACTGCAAGAAAAGGCACTGCCGCCGGGGGTGTGCTACTCCCTCTCAACAAGGGTTTTACTGGCTCCTTCATGGCAATTAAAGCTCCGCCAATACAACTTCTCGATCCACTGCTCGGGCGCATGTCTACAGCATCTCTCCGCTCTGTATTCGAGCATGAGGTAAATACGTGCGTTAAAAGGGTGAGGGCTTTCCATGCCACTGTAGAAAAGGATCGTATCGCCAAGCACCATGTGCAAGATAGCGACCATCAAGAAAAATTACATTCTTCGCTAAATACACGAAGACGGATGCTATGTCTACAGCTCTCCAAGTGCTGGGACATGTTTGGTCCGCATCTTTCGGAAGAAGACTTGTATTCCAAAATGGTTGCGACTGGGGAGCAATTGTTGGGGATTCCAGGCTTTCACGACGCAGCGGACGAGATTTGCTTCACAAAATTCCTGAAAGAAGCACCTGAAGCGTTCCTAACCTCTCGATTGGCCACTCCGGTACCCTCCTCTATACCTCATACTCCACCCCAGCCAAACCCATCACCTCAAACCCTTCGTCATCGTGCACAATACGGACACCTGATGGCCACCTACTTAACACTCCGCTCTGTCGATCCACTTTTCCGATCTTGTGGTATTTTTGAGAAGATTCTTGATGTACTTTCAAGCATGTTGGATGTGATGAAAGGGAGTGTGTTTATGGAGGAGAGTGAAGGTGCTTGGTTAGTGTGGTCGGGCAGCGTGCAAGTGCGAACAATTGCGGACGAGGTCGCAAGTATCCAGTACTCGGATGAGGTGAGTCCTCCATGATGACAATAATTGCAGCTTGTATAGCCCTCTGATTCTGCGGACATGTGCAGATCGTTGATGTTCTCCTTCGAGCGATATCATATGTTGAAAGCTGCGCTCCCCTTCTCAAGCCAGAATACCTGCCATGGCGAATTGAATATTATGTCTCCGTCTATAACTGCTATATAAGACAGAAAGCCTACGCGCAAGCTGAGGAGACCATCCTAGAGGCAGTAGCCAAACTCGGTGAGACGGCAACCGACGCGGAAACAGCTGGTGACGTCGAACCGCAGACGCAAGACATCATTGACGCCACTACGCATCGACTAAACTTGCTGATCTTCGCATGTGAAGTGCGCGCTATCGTGGAAGGAAAGAAAGTTGCAAATGCCGATGCCATTCCCCAGATAATGGCTGCGGGAAATGTGGTCACCGGGGCCCTGAAACAAACAAGTGGGTCACTCAGTGGATTTGGTAGTATTCCCGAGGAAGACTTGCGTTCCTCCGTTGTTTCTCAAACGCCTTTGCGTAATTTGGAGAAAGCCTCGCCAGCACGGGGTGGACCCCTTTTTAACGGGTTTGCTGGTCGGGGAAGGCAATTGACGTCGTCTTTCTTCGATCTCGCTGGATCTATGCAAAGTATAACGGGTTTGCCGTCATCTGCTGGACCCCGTGCATCATCTGCGAGTCAGGCGACAGATGGAACAGGCGACTTACAATGGCGACCCAGAGGTGGCGGTCGAACTCTGGTCCGAACTCTATCCGTCAAGGCAATCAGTCAGCTACCCGGGCCGGATCGCGTCAACCGTTTCCCAGGGCGTCGACGCATGGACCGGGAGGGCTCGGCAATGACTACGAGTGATGCAGAAAGCCTGGTGGCATATGGACTGGGCGATGACTCCAAGGTTGATGGCGGAGAAGAGGGTGACTCGTTTTCTGAAACGATGTTTACAGACTTGGGTGGGAAGGATTACAAGGCAGGCAGCAGCAAACAGCAAACAAGTCGTAGTCGAAAAAGTAAAACAGGTCAGCGCGCGGATGATACGGAAGAGGGGCGGGCCAAACGTCAAATGGTTTTTGACGTCTTGTACATGCTTGGTTCGTTCAGTGGTGATCGGGACAGATTCCACGCGGTTGTGCAAGGCCTTCATGCTCTCGCCTCACCGGATGTAACTATGACGTACATAGAAAAGTTGTCTGAAGACTTTAACCGAAATGAGCAGCTGGCCATGAAGCTTTTGGATGTGGGATTCGAAATCATCATTTCCGAGCCCGAGAGCTTTCTGTCACTTTCCAAGCTTGTGTCTGCATACACAACCGATTTGCGACTGGGACGGTCTCCGCGCCCGGCAGATGTCTCTCGAATCATGTCTCAACGGCGGTTGGGCCTTCTTCATCTGGACGACTTGATGGCATATGCGAGACACCTCTTTGCGTACCACCAGTGGGAGAGATTCAGTATTCTCGCGAGAATTTTGGACGCATTGTTGGACACCGACGCATTCAATGGGGAGTATACCAAGGATGAGCAAGATGTTGCATCCAAAGAGCTCGTTCTACGTCTTGCAGCTATCAATTTTCAAACCGTCGTGCACTCGGAGCGCAAAGTTGGATTTGATACTCAGCGGTTGACGGCGACTACTACAGATCTTCGGATCCGGCGGTTAGAGTTTTCTAGCCAACTTCAAACAGCTGCCGCTGGCTTACTCGACGCCCTGGCGGAATGCATGGATAAATCAGATTTAGGACAGACGATGCCTCGTCTGATTGGCGACGCTTGTCAGTTTATATGGCACTTTCTTGAGCCTTTGCTTAAGGACTTTGTGTCCATATCCGATGCCCCCAAATGCAACGTATTATCGATGGATAGCATGAGTGTTATCTTGTTGCGGTCTCTCCACGCAACGCTCACGGAGTTGGACATAGATGATGCGATCTTTGCGGTGGATGTTGGTGCAAAGTTAGCAATAATATTGGAGTGCTTAGGAGAGTTCAAGGAGGCTGTCGACGTTTTGGACGATGTGGAGCGGAGGATAGCCGTTGCCAGGGTACGGATGGGCGATGGCTTGGATGGGTTAGACTCTATTACTTGCAACGTGAGATTCCATAAAGGAATACGCATCAACGGGCTGCATGACGATAGAACATCTGATGTGGAAGTAGCTGAATTGGATAATCGTAAGAAAGATTCAGCAAAACCCACTTCAACTTGTCGCGAGCTTGCATGTGCCGCTGTGAACATTTCACGTTCCCTGTTTCGGTGTCGGATGAAGTTGAAACATCACGAAAATATTGTTGTCCAAAACAAAAAGGAACAAGAGCAACTTCGGCTAACAAACAAGCACCGGCATTTGAGCGAACCTCTGACAGCGCCCAGTGAAGAGGATATAAAAGCATGCTGCGGGGAAAACCTAGTCCTGACCGCACTGATGGTGGCTGTGCACGCTTCGGAGGGCTCGAATTTGGGAAAAGAGCAGAAGGCAGTCCTCTTGGATCGGTCTGCTCAACTTCTCACGAAAGCCCAAAAGGAGGAGAGAAGGTTACTGGACAAGTTATTCTCCGCTGATACCACTTCGCATCCTACCACGCAAAACAGGTGTCCAGCACCTCTTTTTATCCGAAGAACACCCACATCTATTACTATCCGCCCTCAACCCATGTGCGATAAAACAGGACGCCAGATTTTCCCTCATGCGTATCAAGTTTTCTGCCGAAACACGACATCCCACCCCACAGGACCGGTTACCGTCAGTGACGTCTTCTATCAAGGGTCTGCCACTCCGGCACGTCCTGGAACTGACATTACCATATCTGGACTCACGCCGAATCAATCGTATGCCTTCGCATGCGCTGTATATGATACAAATGGACGCATGATAGGGGGGATGGGTGAAACCTGTCGACCGATTGTTGCATGCTTACCTCTTCCATTGGTTCTTTGTTGGGGTCAAGTTGCTCAAATTGCACATGAAGCGGGATGCGACCGTGTTGCCGGGTTGGCTTACAGCATTCTACGCTCTCATTTTGTTGCCTGGGACGCTCCTGATGCCAGTTTACGAGCATCAGAAGGGAATAAGACACTGTGTCCGCCGCAAAGCATAGACTCGTATGCTGAGGAAGTGTTCAAGTTGAACGATGAGGATGCCGAAGAGACTTCGCCGTTGATTATTCGCTCATTTATCGAAAGTGTCTATGCTCATGTAGACCGGACGTTTGCGGATACCAATGCGATTCCTTACTCCGATGCAGAAGGTACAAGAGATATATTAGGAGCGCAGATGCTACGATTACGCTCTTGCAAAGAGCTGCTAATAGCCGTCGAGCTGGCTCAAAGGATTGGGGATGATCGGTTGATGCTATTATCATCCTTCAAATGCTACGAAATCTTAATCCCAATTTTGCGAATTGAGGATGTACCAGATCCGACTTTTCTCTCGTTCAACACGCCATTGCCAACCCCCATGCCGTTCCTCATCAAAATTCTTTTGACCTGCCATGTGATATTCCTGAAGTGTTCCCCCATCTTAGGCGATGATCGGGCCCAAGGTGTGCGAGACCATTTTGCATACGTATCTTTCCATTTGGTGCGACGACTGACGTCAAAAAGACGATCAAGAGATGTTGCTCTTGCTGTGAAAGTCGCCGAAGAGGCGCTGGGAGTCATTCACTCTGTTCCAGGACTCTTGGATACGCGAATCATGAGTTCATCGTACCTAGAGCATGAGTGGTTGGGCATCGGTCAACGGGCAGCAAAGAAGAACATGGGAAAAAGAAAAGGGAAGGGGCCTGGGGGATTTTCAGTTGATTTTGCGTATCATACTGTACTCGCGATTTCCAGCGAACCCGCAAAGGGATACGGGGAACAAACTCCAAGAAAACTAGACGCCTTCTGTGAGTACTTGGAGTTGCAGATAACCAAAGCTAGTTTCCCGACAAGCAATGCATTTGCACCAGCCTCTCCATCACAGCAACCGGAAGGCAGCTTAGCGGGTATAGCGCCTTCTGTGGCTTCTTCCACTGTTTCTATCCACCGCAAAACTCTCGACGCAACAGCAACGTCCCTGAAAGAACTATTCTCTGTTCTGGTACATTCTGGACCGGACATTGCCATGGAAAATCTGACCCGTTTTCGCAAAAACCCTCGATATATGGAGTTATCATGGTTTGCTGCAGCATGGTGTCTCGCATCTACGCTGATTGATGCAGCTGTGCGTGTGTGTATTGATGCAGAAGAATGGACTGAGAGAAGGAATTTATCCATTTTGCGTTCTGATGATGGCGGGGAGGACGATACGAGGGGAAAGGATGCAGCACTGGCTAAGCGTAAAAAGAGGAGTCTGTTTGCTGACAAGAGAGTTGGTTTTGGTATTGGGAAAAGCGATGATAAGAGACGAGGAAGGAAGTGAGTTTCACGTCCTGGATTTACATACACCTGTTCACATACCGACCGTATGCTTTGCACGTACTCCTCTTATCAATACTTTTAGGGGGCGGACTTCCAGCAATGTGCCCACTCTTCGACGTCCCAAATCTGCTGCTCACACGGAACAACTTGAAGAAGAACCAGCCGAATATGGAACTACTGACACGGTTCCCGCTGTGCGACCGAAAAGCGAGGGTGGCCGGCGAGAGTCAACAGACCATCACGACCCACGGAGAACACGCAGCGAAATGGTCCATGGAGCACCTGCAACGGACAGAACACTGGGCACGTCGCGCGACACTTCTGTCGATGCAACTGCAAAGCCGCCAAAATCTGAATCACCCCGATCGAGATCTCGAAGTCCCAGTGTTCAGTCTACACGCACAGCCGCCGAAGGAGAAACCTTAGATAACGCGACCCTCCGTCGTAAACGAGGCGCGGCACGACAGACCTATTTTGCAGGACTGCCTCCCGCCGAGCTGGAACGAAAAGATCGTGCAGCCAGAATTTTGGACTTGGTTCTCTCGTCCTTATGGCGTCGCCGGCGATTTGCGCGTCGATTGCGTATTATCCTCGAGTATGAGGCGCCCTGGTCCTCTCGTCTTGCACTAGTCCACGGACTGGCAGTGTTTGAGCAGCTTCAGAGAGATGCACAAGGAAGAGATTTCGGCGGTGCAGTCGACGTAACGTTGAGGGAGGCGTTGGAGCTGCGAAATTGTGGAAGAGTGCTACTGAATGAGCTACGAGTTCCCAGCAATGCTAGCGAAGCCCGAGGACGGACATCTACCAATGCACGAGTCAGTGCAACGGAAGAAATTGCAACAAAATCTGCTCACTCCGACCTAACTCGCATGATTACGGATGCGCTTCAATCGATAGTTCAGTCAATTGTAATAGCCACCCGCGTGGGCCAATGGCTTCAAGTCCTCGAAAGCTGTCGTCACCTTTGGAGTGTACAGCGATACCTGTTGCAACGCAATATTGTCACGGGCACGGAGTTTCACCGAAATTCTTTGTGGAGGGCATGGTGGATCGCTGGGACATGCCTACTGGACCTATTGCAGGGTGTGAAAATCCGGAAGGCTGACGAAGAGGATGAAAACTCAAGTCCAGTTGGCTTAAGTTCGCGACCCAATACAGGCAGAACATTTACATATCCCTCCCGACCAACTACTGCAGCCAAAGGTTCGGATCCCTTTCGCGGTGGACAAGAGTCATCTAGTGTGTTGCCTCTCAGTAGTCTTTCCGAACTCTATGGACATCAATATCTTGCCGGGTGGATCGATCGACACGGGGAAGTGCAGGTACACATGGTGGACATTCCATTCATAGCCCAGTTCAGTCTCTTCACAATCGAAGCCATGCATAGTGCAAAAAAACACTACCGCATGATTGAGTTCGGCATGCGCTTTGATACAATTTTCAAAGGCATTTACGGACGTTTTTTACGGCCTTTGCTTGCTACAGCTTATGAGAATCTCAAAGGTGGAACAGACGTAGGAAAGAAATGGGCTGCACATGATCTGGATCGGTGGCTAGGCGCAAGTCAGCCTACAAATACACCATTGCAACTACTTCTGCATGCACGCGGGCTTCATGCCGAGTTTGTACTTGACCGCGCACAAGCGAGCATTCAGTCTCCAACTATGTCCCGTACGTTCCTTGCCGCTGTACAGGGATACGAGGAAGCATTGCGTGTGGCAAAGTCTCACGATGCACGCAATGCTATAGCGATGGCAGCAAACGAGTATGCAAATCTGCTGTTTGCCAAAGGCGACCGTGAAAGTGCATGTTTATTCTGGTCCAAATGCGTGGACGCTGTGTTTGAAAGGGAAAAGGTTGTTGCGGATTGGAAGTCTTTGGTGGCGGACCCAAGCGACTTGTGGACAAATCGGACACCAAGTAAACCACGTATATTGTCACTGGTTGGCGGAGTAAAGAACTCCATCCTAGCAGGCGTTGCAGTCACGAAAATGGTTCAGTGCTCATATATCTCGACAAACCTTGATAAACGACAGTCTTTGGTACTTCTCGCTGCACATTTGTTTAGCGCACCACTTCAAGGAACGATTCCTCATCCTGGTACACCGCCCTCGTTTGCGAGCTACCTTCCGCCTTACGTCTACCCAAGCCTGGACCTATTTTCTGACCTTTACCGATGTGATTCATGGGAATTGGCGGAATCACTATGCTTCGTGGCGGGTGACCTGACCGCGGCCGATCGTCCTGGGGAAGCTGTACCACTGACCTCGTTCATTGAGTTCATAGCTGTGAACAAGTGCAAATCATCTCCGCTGCTGGCATTTGCGCGACTCCTGAAAGCTGAAGCCTTAGTCTCGATGGGATGCATTGCCGATGGAATTGAGAGCTTCTTTTCCGTCTCATGTGGACGGGCGCTGGTACCAGATGACCGAAGAATTTACACCCCAACATCTGGAGGCGGAATTGTGCTACCCGTGTCAGATATTCAATTCGAGGATTCGGTGTACGTGCTGGATTCCCCAAATAACATCAAAATATTGAGGAACATGGCAGATCACGCCTTAACAGAGAGATTGGGATGGTTTTATGGGACAGATGTCGTCAGAGAGTATGAGTTGTGTCGATGTCGGCTACTAATCAAGATTTTGCAGATAGCGGATGTGGCGGATCCGGAGGTTGTGAACAGGAAGTTGGCCATGTTGCTGCACCAAGAGGAAGTATCCCAATCCGAACAAGGTGGACAATCCAACCCCGTTGGCGTGGGACCGCAAAAACCGTTGACCAGCGACGCAACTAGAGGATCGGTCATCGGCGAGACGCTAAGCCGCATGCCATCCCATTCCAGCAACATAAGTGTCGCCAGTCGGGGTGGCCGACACTCATCAGCAACCACATCGATTTCCCGGACACAGCGGAGAGAACCATCTGTCTTACTTGGATCAATTTTGGAACGGGTGGATCATATCATGGGAAAGTTGATTTCGGAGCTTCAGGCAGAACTGCAATCGACAAATGAGAGGACGGCAACTGAAAGCTGTGCTGAAATGATTTTGAGATGTTTCGAAATCGGAGGTGAAGCCAACATGCTGAGGTGGAACTTGGACATTGCAGCAAAAGGGTGAGTCTTGAACTAGAAGGTATTGATAGGGATCAATCTGATTACTCGTCACTTTATGCAGTTTCGCTTCCATCGTGTCCACTATCGAGGATCTCCAAGCCCAGTCTGGAACCACCGACATGGTACACCCACCCCACCGCCCGAAAACCCCATCGCGAAATATTCAATCCATGGGTTTCACCCTAAATGTAGTCTTCTATTTTCAAGCACTGCAACAATTGACTGAGGCGCTGTTAGCGCAAGGGATGTTTGCAATGGCTGCCGAGTATGCACGGAAGGGACTTGAAGAGGCCAAAAAGCGGCACTATGCTCGGTTTGCACTGATATTCCACGGGCTGGCCATTATATGTGAACGCCATACCGACACATCGCCAATAGCTAAATCAGTGCCACATGACCCTGAAATTTGGGTCCAGCGCATTGAACAGTTTGAAAGCATCTTGAAGGAGGCTTCTAACCGTGCGTGTCATGAAGGAGTTTTGGCGAGAGGATGGGAAATTCTTGGAGATACGATGCGAAGTGTGGGTACCGCGGACGAGACTCGCATCTTTGAAATCTATGATCTCGCGGGACGGTATGTTGATAAAGCATTCTCGATCTCGACCTCCCGCTGCTTGTCAGGGTATGATGCTTTAGCTCCAGCAATGGTTTCCATCAATCTAAAACGAGCACTCGCGGCGTGGAGGATGAAAAAAAGCGATCCGTCAGCAAGTTTGGCCATTCTGGATACCACAGCGTTAGCAGTACGGCATATAGTGCATCTTACTCCAAAAATTGCTGTTCCATTCGCCTTATCTCGAGCAACTGCGTGTGCCGCAAACCGATACATTTATCGCAGCGATAGCTCCGCTTATCAAGAGGCATGGTCGACTGCTGGTGCGCAACTTATCAGCGTGATAAGCGGTTTGGTGGCCGATGGATATGATCTAGCGGGTATCACGCGCGGTCTTTGCGGACTTGCTGGCTTGTACTTTGAGCGTATACAAAATGAAGATGATGGAACGGTGGAGTTCTTTGCATCCTTGGCGCATCAAGCGGCAAAATCGTATGATATGCGCGGTGAAATGTTGGAAAGTGTTCGGTTAGAAGGGAGATCCAAGCTCAAATCACAAGAGATCGGATCCCTGGTAATCAAAGAAGTTGATCAATGGAAAGCCATGACGGAAGGAAACATGGCGACTGACGATGTTACTGGGAGTGAAAATTTGCTAAAGCTGCAAAGTGGAGCACAGCTGATAGGAACTTCTGCTACCAGCATATCGCAGGCTCAAAAATGGAAAAGCGATGTACTCATGGACTGTTTATGCGCGCTTGCTCGTGAGCGCTCCGCTGTTGAGTATCCTCCATCTGACGCCTGGGAAATAGCGGTAGTCGCCCGAATCCGACGACTACATTCCTGTTTGATTGACGCGGTAGGCCCCCCATACACTCTCCAGCGATGTGTGACGGAGTCAGTTATACCAAAACTGGAGCTTCCAATTTCTCCCAACATTGGCTCACCCAGTCTTCCTGACGACGTTGGGTCCCTCATTTGGATGGGCGTCCCACCCAGCACATTTAACCACGACGGGGCTTCCCCAGGTGATGAAAGTATAACTGCAATACTTGTCCATGCGAGCAAAAGTCCTCGGCGCAGTACAAAAGGGAAAAAGGGATCCCCGCGAAGCTCTACTACTTCGGCTGTGTCAAGGGGAAGCTTGTCATCTCGTGGCTCGTCCACTATGTCTGCAAACAGCTATGAAATGCCACCATTGGTGGTATATGTCGCCCGTATACCCCATAACAAGCTGCAAGCAGTAAGAGACGTCGCGGAGAAGATGACAATGATACTCGAGATGGGAGACGACAGTGATTTTGGAGATGAAGTTCAAGACATTTGGGAGAGCCTGCTTGGGAATATCAAGACATGCTTCGGTGTGATCGATGAGGTATTGTGTTGTCCCCATTACCTGGTTTAAGAATAATATAACTAATCCAATTCATGTTATCAGGATCTCGATCCTCCACCTTTCTCTCCTTCCAATCTCACCCTTCTCCTTAACTTGTTCAGTGTCGATCAATCAACATTCCCTTTGACCGCGCAAGGCACTTCAGTTCGCTTATCTTCCTCGCCGGCTGCGTCCGTGTTCCTGCAATGGTTGGCTCGACTGGCTGCATACAGTCAGGGCCGGCTAACGGTTCGCCACTCCAGCCCTTCCCGATCGATCACCACCGCCGGAACGACGGATTCGACACAATCCGAATCTCCTCTGCCGACGCCACCAGAGAAAGATCAACGAAGACGACCTTCTTAAACCTGAGGTCGTCGTCGCCAACGAGGACCGTAACAGAAGCGAGTCTGCTACATAAGACCCTTGGGCCAAGAAATTGAATGGAATCCTGTTTCCGTTGCTGATTAGTGAATTATTTATGTTATCTATATTCGAACTAGATTTGACAAGCTTTTAGTGCATTCAATAGCCATTCTTGCCGTAATCTACATGAAGACAGATACTGATGAATATGGATTGGCACCGATATTCACAGAAACTAGGTACATGCTTTGCTATGGTACATGAACTTCCTGAAAGAGGAAAATATTTGGTGTAATGGTGATCATGAGCCATTAACGTCCAGTATCTCTCTACGCTCGTCAAGTGTGACCCTTAAATAATGTCCCCCCTGCCATCCTCTCTCTAATAACCCAGGCAAACAAGCCGCGTAAAGTGGCATGAACATATCGACAAACTCTTTAACCTCTTGATCCGACATACCATATCCACCATTCGATGCCTTCATGGTATGCTCTTGCTCCAGACGCCAGGTGTAAACATGAGACAGAGATGATGGGTGAATATGTATCAGAGCATCCATGTACTTTGTCAGACGCTGTTGGTGTGTCAGGTGTTCGAGGACGGTTTGTATATGCTCTACAGAGTGAGCGCGCAAGTGCGGAAAGGCAGGTAGGAGGGAGGTGTCCGGAACTGTGTCGGAGTTGTAAAGAGGGGTGATATCGGTTGGTGGGGTAAAGCCTAAACACCATCCTTCCAGAATGATAAGATGGAAAGGAGGTTGAGCCTTTTTCCAATGTGCCTGGTCAATCCGATCGCCCCTGCCGTTATTTAGAGACTTGTCGTACACAGGTATGTGTATGTCCTTCTTGGTTTGGTTGCCCCTCTTGAACGCCTCCAATACTTGCTCACCCAAAGCGATGTCGTGCGTACCGGGGTTTCCCCTCCACTGCAAAAGGGGGTTATCTGCATTATGGTTTGCAATGTCTTGCAAGGTGGCATGGGGATAGTAGAGGTCATCAAGGCTAAAATGTGTTGCTTTTAGGTTGTAAGGTGGGTTATTTAGAGTTTGCACGACTTGCCGTACAAGGGTGGTCTTTCCTATCCCTTGCGGCCCTGTCAATCCGACAATGAGAGGTGTCAGCGGGACAGTTGGTGGCTGCTGCGAGAGATCGGCCCCTAGCCAGCTGATCACTTGTTTAATTACAAGGGAGACAAGGGATGTGGGGTTCGTCGTCGTCGCCGACATGGTTGCGTCAGAAAGGTGAGACGGGGATGCCAGTTGAGTGGAATTGAAGAGTCGTGTCTGCCGCTTCCGGACAATCACCGTGTCGCGTTCCTCGGGGGGATTCCTTGTAATATTAATCCCCCCGCGCTTTTCCTAGGGTTTGTCTCCCCTCCTTTATTTATTTGTTTTTGTATTTTTTTTTTTTTTGTCCACGATGGAATCTACCCCCCCTTTTGCATTCAACAAACGTTTGTGTATGTTGAGGGCCCGCAGGAGTTGAGCCTGTGACCGTTGTTCCTCGACGTCATTGCGGGGATGCCGGCCAGTGCCCGTTGGGTGCTGAGTCAGTACACCCCGCCTCTTTTAAGGACGCATGGCTTCAGAAAGACCCATCCACCTTCCTGGCAACGCTCTTTGCCCAGACCCCATCCTTCACTGTCAACAAACCCAACTATCCCCCATCTAGTGACAAGTTTTCTGCACGATGGTAGAAGCGTGGTACTACAATACGACCGACCGTTCCGATGGCCGCTACCCACACCAGTACACTCCCAACCGCCCCGTCCCGCTCTCACTCCTTGCAAAAATGGGCATCCAAATTTCACGGATAGATGTATCACTCCCCAACTACATGCTCCACATTGATGAGATTTGTACAGAGCGCGCCTACAAGCACCGAGATGAAATTACAATCTCAAAAGAGCTGCTTCCTAATTATGAACAGTTGATCAACATGTTTTTCACGGAACACATGCATCCCGATGAAGAGATTCGGTTCGTTGTAGAAGGTTCTGGGTTCTTTGATGTACGAAGTCCCAATGATGTTTGGATCCGTATCAAGGCTGGGCCGAGCGACTTGATTGTCCTGGTGAGCGGATGCAAAGATGATTTAGCTGCAAAAGGGGTATTATCAAGAACTAATGCGGACATCTGTATTAGCCTGCAGGCCTCTACCATCGCTTTACCCTCGACGCTAGCAACTACATCAGATGTGTCCGTGTTTTCAAAGAGGTTCGTTCTAGATACAGAGTCAGCCTGCTGATTTTACTCTAGAGGTTACTCAAGTCGGTTTGTTCTTCTGTTCATGCAGTTGACAGTTTGGACATCCCTGAATCGGTCTCCAGACACCGATACCAACAGTCATCGCATTGCATACCTGAATAACTACGCCGATGCCGGCCGATACTTTCAGAAAGAAGCGTGCTTTTGCTGCTGCGAGGAATAATAATCACCACATAGGATAATCCTGGAGAATAAGTTTCCAGAGAATTAAATGTTATTAAATAGTTTACAGTCAAGAATCGTCAACGTAGAAGTAGTTATTTTATCATCCGTATATACCCCGTTATATTGTCTTAAACTCCGTAGTTACAGATCATGTATGAATATAAAAAAGTCAATTCCTTCCTTAAACATGGAGAAGAAGGTATGCCGATTTCACCGCCCTCCATCCATTCCCCCAGGTGAGCCTTAACAGTGCTCGCAGAGGTGCCTATATTCGCTGTCATCCGGTATTTTGGTTGGATCCAACCCAGCAGTCTTCATCTTCACCGCAATTTCAAACAGATAATCGTAGCACTCCGTCATGGATTTGGCTAAGGATGGGCAAAATCGTCAACAAATGCAAGTCCCAGGGGTGGTGAACGTATTGCAAAGTAAAACTCACCCTTTTCCCAATTCTCTCCCCATACGTACACACCATGACGTCTGACCAAAACAGCGTTCGTGTCAGGGTAATCCTCAATGGCCTTATAAGGAGGTAAAATGTTAGGCTTATGCCTCTCCGCTAGACCATGTATATCGTCACATTACCTTGGCCATCCTGTCCTTCAAATCCTCCTCTTGTGCAGTATTTTCCACAATTGGAACAACCAACTTATCAAAGTATCTCAAATTCTCTTTAGTACTGCCTTTCCTGATACCCTTGATCATCTCTTGGTGAGTTATAACAAATTCTTTGCCATACATTAACGTCGCCATGACTGCATTCTGGGAGTGCGTGTGAATGCATGCACCAGCATTACGCATATCGTAGGCATTAGCAAATAGAGGTGTGCACTGTGAGGGTTTTAGCTTGAGGGACGGGGGAGGAGATCGGAGGATGGTGCGGGGAAGGCTGGCTGTCAGAACGTAAAGATGCTTGGGTAGGATACGTTCCTTTTGAACTCCAGACGGAGCAATATATATATGGTTGTCCCGTTTGATGGTGATACCACCGCTGCAAACACGCGGGTAAGGAATCACAAGGTCGACGACGTCGAGATACGGAAAGGGGCCTAGATCACCTACCCGGTACCAGTCACCCAACCCAGAGTCCAAAACAATCGACACAGCTCCGGAATGAGGTTTGCAGGATGCTCCGCATCACTGGAAATGACCAAGTCATCTGTTGCTCCTAACTTGTCCTCATTGGGCCCATCAACTTTTGGCCGTTTGTCTGTCCCGTTGGCTTCTGCTGGGTCACCTTCTTCGGGAACAGGCCTCTTTGTTGTCATATTCACGTCGCAGGTGAACCGTTGCGCCGACTTGTGCGGTAAAAGCTTCTCCTACGTCCTGCTGACTGAGTGTTTGCCAATGGGCAATGGCTAGTAGAAGGAAAAGCAGGAGAAAGCGCAACGATCGTCGACAATCCGGTTCTAAGGCTTAGCCAGGCGGCTGTGGTGGTTCCAATGAATGTTTCGACCTTTGATGACCTTTTCCGATGCTCTAAAACCTCCGACTACCTCTCCTGAACAAGTGGGCAGGCAGTCTTTATGGCGTCAACAAAACACCGGCGGCGGCCCCCACCAGCCTACTCTGATGGCGAAGAAAAGTGGCATCCTGTTCAGGGTGTTTCTCAAGCCCTCGTTGCAAGCGTCTGGCTACGACAACTTCAACTCACCGGATGGCCCGTCGGCTATGAGCTCTTGACTATCAAAGTAGACGACGCAAAATATCATGTTCTATGTGGGCATCCTAGGTATGAATATGATGGGGAGACTATTGGGCCCCTCTGTCCAAGTGCTTTCTGATAATCCTAATTTGACACTTTGTTTATTCAACCATCATTAGTGGAGCTCGATTTACTTCCCCATCCGAGTTTAAACCTCATTTGGAATGGCTCTACGAGCAAAAGAGTGATTGTCTCTGTCTATTATGTGGAACCCCTCAATATAAACCGAAGAACATCGCGCGGAATAGGAGCTCTCTCCCCGGTCAACGCTGGCCGCTGCATAGAGGGGCAAAGTCCACCAGAAATTTGGCTGGACTGCCATGGCATTTAAGACCCGGAGCGAGTGCTCCAAGCGCCAGCTACTCACAATGGAGCACCAGCATAGATGAACGAACAAAGAGACCATCAGTGAAACAAGAAACCGTAGAAACTAATCCCAGACCTTCACCGGTGCCAACATCACGAAAGCGATCTAGTAGCACTGTACGAGATCCTCCGACGTGCCGATCACAGCATGAGATGGTTTCAAAAAGTGTACAGTCTGCGAACTCCTTCAAAGTAGTTCGTGAAGGTTCACTTGAGGTTATCGTTCTCGATGACAGCTCCGAAGAGACCCAATCGGACAGTTCTGTACCGAGTCCAAAGCGGCGAAAGAAGAAGACTTTGAGCTCCAAAGCTGATGTATATGGTGAAAGGGATGGTATCCTGACTATGGATGAGAGAGTCGCCACCACAATCGTCACACGCTCGAAACACAAGGAAGCATTGTATAACCCAATCCCCCACACTCCCACTACACCCACACCAATTGCTACACCCCGGTCGGCCACCCCTCCTATAATTGTCGCCGCCTGGGATGACTCGCCCCCTCCGCCACTGCCACGTAGAAGTGCCCGCAACAGTACTATACGTACGCCATCCCGACCACTATTCGATGGTAGCAAAGATGTAAAAGAGTACCTAAAGGAGCTAGCCGACAATCATGCTCCAATATTTCCCTTGCCAAAGAATGCCATGGATGCTCTCATACCGGGATGGCTAAGAAAAAGGTCGTGAACGTTAATGGTGCTGGATTGTTCTCCACATGAGTTGATTAGCACATCCAATTGAACCGAACATCTGTAATATAATGGATACATTCATTGCACATCATATATGGACCTGAGCGTATAGCATGAGTGGTTATGGAAAATGTTGAACGCTCCTATTGGCAAAAAGCAAAGGACCGCGGACAGGAACGTTCCATGCAAGGTTTTATATTTGGGCAGGATTTGGAACACTCTTGGGCTAAATTCCGGCTCCATTCGGGTTAGATCCGATTACTGTCGCGGTGGATCCGAGACAAACCATTCACTGGTCATCTACCACTAACTGTCATTGCCTTGCCATGTTTTCCTCGCGCCGAGGTAAATCATCACTAAACACATAGATATATACATACTTTCCCAAGACAAACAGTAAGAGAGCGGTTCAATGTTTTGATTCGATAAAGAACCATTCCCTGGTGTTTTAGGAACAACGGGAGGGGACTTTGCGACTCGGAATCCAGGACATTACAGCAAAGGTGGTACCCTGCAAGGTTTACCGGAAATCATTTCCTCGGGAAGGACAATTTGACCAGTCGAAAAGCTATGAAACCTGTCGGAAGAACCGCTTTCATGAAAGATCGCTTATCGCGCATAACCTCCTGTAGGAACTGCTGTCTCAGTGGTCGAGTGCTTGAAAGAGGTGCACGCGAAATGCATAGTCCATACCAATCCTGGTCCAGCATCATCTTGAAAAGTTTGCTGAATCCGAAGTTCGTTTGCTGAAATAGAACATCCAGGCACTTTTCTATAGTTTTTTACGGGATACTCCATGAAAGACGACATTCCACTGGACCTACCGGAGGCACTGATCGATCGCACAAGTGCTGTGTATTAGGCAGATGATGAGCGCTGCTCGTTTCTGCGACATTTCCTCGAGTCCCGTCGAATGATGTAAAATGTTTCCCTTTCCAGGGTCATTCAACAGCAGGCAATGTTACTTTCATCTCGTAATACGATCATTGGCCTTGTTTATAATGGATTTCTTGGATATGGCTGTGCCAACCTTGTTGCCATGCCACCGAATGTCATCAGTGGGAGACAGCGTCTGACGTTGGAGTTCAGTCAACTCAACCATCATCACGGATCACCAACTGCATTTTACAATTGGTCTACATCTCTTTCTTTCCGGGCTAATTGCCATTTTGCACGAATAACCTTAAAGTCGCCCTCTCGCATCTTTGGCAGATCGTCAAGATGAAGAGATACCAACGAAACCTCCTTTTATTCTATTCTTTGACTGTACTCGTTGGCTCCATTCTTCACACTTTTGCCCCACCACCACCATCTGTCTTCTCGAATAAACGAAATCCTCTCAATGTATACTTTGCCAAGCGTGGATGGGTAAAGTTGCTACACGTCGTTTTGCGCCTGTGGTGACAAACCCCTAACCCAATAGCCTTTTTTACGCACAGTTTTGGACAGGCGTCACCCTCCTTTTGTTTGCCCTCTTTGCCTCGCCACCGGGATACCGTCGACGTGCCGTCATACGCTGGACGGCAGCAACGAGCTACTGGGTGTTGTTTGCTCAGTGGGCGTTTGGACATTCGCTATTTGACCGCGTATTACTAGTGTCTGGAACGTGCAGCATTGATGGGCACGGACATCCACGGATTTGTGTTCGGAATGGGGGAGAGTGGATTGGGTTTGATACGTCAGGGCATTGTTTGTGAGTATTTTGACAGGGTTTGGATGATGGTATACGAATGTCACGGCTCACCTTTTCCCATTTACAGCATTCTTATCCACATGTCCCTCTTTATTTACGAAGAACTTCAACTCCTAGTCAGACCTCAAGTCGTCCGTCCACGATACGCAAACGCAACCGCAATCCTATCCAGCGTTCTCATTTTCCTCCTCCTTCTCTGGTACACGATGCTCATCGCGACGAGCGTTTATTTCCACACGTGGCAAGAGAAAATTGCAGGAACAATTGCAGGCTTGGCTTTTTGGGTTGTCATGTATGGATATGTATGGCCGAAATGGTTTCCCGATATGATGCCTCAGGCAACCGCGGTTGTGGCCCAAAGAAGGCAAACGGAATAGTTGGTCTGCTAAGATAATTAATGGCAAGATTATTGAGAAGAGTAGTGCAGATGGTAGATCTTGCACCAGGGCACTCGTCTCATTGATGTATTTATTTGTAATTTGATTTCATAACCTATAGATAGTGCGGAGCCGGTGGGTATTGGCACTAGCACCCGCACCAGGGATTGAACCGCGCGACAACCGGCTCGGAAAACCTAATCTAACCAATCTACGTTCTACGCTACGGCTGGAACACTCCTGCTGAACACTTCTGGTCTACCGTGTCCATCCAACATTGATCTCACAATCAATAGCATGTTGCAGGTTGACAGCATATCTCGATTCCAGTAGCGCATTCCCGATGTCCAGGCTTGCTGCAAACAGTTAGGGTTGGTACAACCCAGCAGTCCGTGGACTTTTTCAATCTTGCCTTCACGACGGCGCCAAGGTCTTGAATGAGGTCGTGTTTTGAATTTTTTCTCCACAAACTCAGATGAGGAACAGCGAGGGCAAACAGATGAGGTCTTGTACTCGTCGAGAAGGAAACAATCAATGCGGTTGCGCTTAAAGAGGGTGCGCCAGCCTTTTGTCTTTGATGAGGTCTGAAATCTCGCAGTTCGACCAGCGTCGCTCCAATCACCCATCACAACAGTAAAGTTTTCACCGTACTTGTTGCGCATGTTACTTATGAGGTCTGATTCGCTCTTCTGACGGTTTATGAAGGAGTGCCATTTCCATCGAGTATGAGCAGGATGCGAATAGAATTCCTTGCGACGATCCCAATCAGCGCGGCGAACGAGAAGGTAGCGAGTGAAGTCCATGAGGTTCATTGTTTTGTGGGATGGTATTCGTGATTCTATGAGATCAACTCCAGCTTCTTCCTTCATTGCTTCTCGTCTCTTTGCAAACCGCCGGCTTCCAGTCTCCACGGCTCGCTGGTTGGCGGTGTAGCGAAATGTCGTACCATTGCTGTCTTGGCAGTAGAGAATGTCGCGCTTGTTTGGGTCGATAACGACGACATTCTCTGCTGCTCGACAAGCAGGTAAGTTGTTCTCCACATAAAGCGCTTTAACCTCTGCAGCCACCGTGTTTGCTGACTTTCTCGCTCCGCGCTTTCCATACTTGTCTGCTTCTGGGTGCTTTAGGTATACAGACACCGAGGCTCCATCCGTGGTGATTGAGCCTTCAAAATGCATACCACAGCGAGACCGAAAAGCCTTGGTACATAGATTGCAGACGCGCATCCACAGATCATCCTTTTCGACAGTTTCTGCGTCTCGCCGCGTGATGCAAAGGATATGCTGGTACAGGATGATGGTGTCGATTCGCACGTGACTTTGAATGAGCGAGCGGCGCAGAGGTATCGCACTGAACCGTTGGAAGCCATATTGTTCATACAGCCCAGAGAGTTTGCAGTACGCGGGAAAAAATGACATCGGATCAGCAACAATGGCGTAGGCAAGGGGATCGTTAGGAAGGAATGGGAGATCCAATGACCAAATCTCTTCAAGAACCTCGCTCTCCAATGGTGTCAAGTCATCCAGGAACTCCAACTCGGGCACCACATCAAAAAGGAAAACCGACTTCAAGTAGCGTAGCCGAGTAAAGAAAGCCTTTCGCGCATCGCTTTTCGGTGGCAGTCGCTGCTTCTGTCCCTTCACGTCGAACCGCAGATTAATGTACCGGAGCAGCATCTGCATGAAATGCTCTTGAACGTTGACTTTCAGGTTCGTCATCATACTCACTGTCAGGTAATTAATTGACTGCTGCTCGCCTCGTAGATTTGGATGAATGAAGCCGACGATTTGGCAGTACCGTTGAACATATGGCAACAAACAATCCCGCCATGCCTTCTTTGCTTCCTTTCTTGGATGCCAAGCCTCCCCCTTGTTGAGAAGATAGAGAATGGCTTCGATTGTATCTTCGTGAACAACCGGGAAAGACGATGTGGATGTAGAGAGGATGTAGAATTTGAGAGCGTGGGAAGCATGGTCAGCGAGTTGATGGATGATGGCGATGTAATCTAGAAGACGCTGCCGGTAGGTCTCATTAGGCAAGAAAGCCTTTGCAAAGGACGTCTTGTTGCAGGTATGTAAGGTGGGTTTGTCGAGTTTTTTGAGCCTTTCAAGCTTTTGCTTCTTCTTTGGCGGCATGATGATATCTGTGGAAAAAGATGAAAGAAAGCCTGGGAAAATGGGCAGGGAGAGACGATAGTGGAGGGGTTTATATAGAAATGTGGCAACTGCGAAAATTCCCGCACATATTGGACCCGTTTTTCAATGGTGGAGCATCTTTTATGCATCGCACCATAGTTCATTTGCCTAAATCGAGTAAAATTATGATTAAATTGGTTGGAATCATTGCACTAGGGCCAATACCCATCGGCTCCGCACTATGTTATCCTTTGAACTCGTTTTATTTTCTCAATACTGGTGTGATGTGTGCGAAAACGGGGCATTATGTAAGCATCGTCATCACAGATCCTAGGGATATTTGAGGGTCAACCTCGGAACCACTTGCCAAGCTTTTCTTGACATCATTCCACCTGCTTGCATGGACTGAGTGCACTTTATTTCACTCACTCTTCAAAACACAACCATAATGAATTTGCTACAAAAAAAGCCGAATGTAAAAGGTCTGCTGCCGTGTTTCCTGCCAAGTCTTTTTGCAATGGGAATACTTATATGCTGACTGGAAATAGATCAGGTACGGGCAACCAGTCGCGAAGTACGGACCATTCAGCGAGAGCTGGGGAAAGATCGTAGCGGATTGGAGCGCCAAGAGAAGCAGATTGTGAGTATTTTTCGGCACATAGCAAAACGAGGGGTGGGAGATGTATTACCGTAACTGCTGCAAACGGTGGTTATCGATGGGAGGCTAGAGAGTGTTGGAAACTATCTTTCCAGCAACGTTTCTCACGCTGCATTCACCATAACAGATCGCGGACATCAAAAAGGCTGCAAAACAAGGGCGAACAGCCGAAGCAAAAACCCTAGCAAAACAACTCCTCCAGCTTCGAAAGCACATTGAAAAAAACACCCGTGTCAATGCCCAGGTTGGAGGACTCCGAGTCAAAGCGACTGTAAGCAAGATGAGAAATGTGCCGATCTTTTTTGCATAGATGCTGATAGATTACTTGGTAGACGATGGCCTCACAAGCAGCCACAGCCAAGGCAATGAGTTCGGCTACCCGTGTCATGGCGGCATCAAACAAGGCTACCGATTTAGGACAATTACAGAAAACCATGATGCAATTTGGGGAAGAGAATACAAAGATGGATATGAAGGATGACATGAGTGAGTTTTTACAAAAAGCCCATCCATGTTCATTAATGTTTTTTTGTGACTTACTGGTGTCATTATCCCCAGTAAACGACGTCCTAGATTCAATGATGGACGAAGAGGGTGATCAAGAAGAATCACAAAACATCATGAACGCCGTCTTTGATGAAATTGGATTGGATCTAACAACAAAGGTAAACAAATTCTTTTTTGTTCGCATAACCCATATTTCAAAAAAAAAATGGGACGAAAAGGATTGAATGGTAATAACCCTGGTTTTTCCTGGATTTTTAGGCTGCTCAAGTACCGCGGACACGATTGGACGCAACCCAATCTGTCCAAAGAGAGGATGAATCGGATGCGTTAATGAAGCGGTTGGCGCAGTTGAAATCATAAGATGAATTTATCAGTGTATGTATTTAAAGGTTTTGAGAGAGAGAGACATAGATTTGCAATGCAGTGTATCATTGATCAGAGATTGGCAAAAGCAAGTTACGTAGGAGGGCGATGTTGCCCACTTGCGCGCACCAGCCGAAAACATACAGCAATAATCCGATGCAAAACTATGAAAATCTATTATTAAACTTGAAACTATCTATCAAGAGCCCATCCGGTATACTATTCGGATGGGACACATTGCCAAGTAATTACAGACCGACAACGATTACAGGAAAAGACATTATGCAATGTAGCGATTTTAACAACCGTTAACGGTAGGGCAGCACCAGCACTTGCCATCGACCCAGCATTCCTATTTGGGTATTTGAGTCAGCGGCAGGGTAAAAATGAATATTTAGCAGTTGGATTCTCACCTTGTAGGGCAAGCTACTGCTGCAGCCTCCAGCGCCAGGTCCGGCAGGTGCGCAATGCGGGCATGGGTTTTCACGCTAATGATTCAACAAAGCATATATCAGTAAAGAGCTTGTATTGTCAGAGGTTGGATCTAGCAATGTAATCTTACAGCTGGAATGGGAACAGGAGCTGGGCTCGCTTCCACGCCTGTGGAGATGGTGGTCGCACCGATGGCGACAATAGCAAAGAGAGAGATGAGGCTGAATTTCATGATTGTGTTGAAAGAGGTTGTAGTTACTGATGGAGTGTGGGGGGGTAGCCTGCTGTTCACCCCACCTTTTATAATAATTCGTTGATTATAGTGGGGGTGCAGAGGGCCGCAAACCAAAAAAAAAAAAAGCCATGAAAGAAAACCGAGTAGCACAATGCCAGCTTTTTCATCACTTTCACCGTTAATGTCTTGCCATGCAAAAACCATTTTTAACGTCGACCGCAATCCGAAAGAGCAGTAGAATGCACTGCGCCGTTGTCTGAAATAATTTCTTTTTGCTTGACCTTCTTCATTTTCTATGCCCATTGTCATGGGTTTCAAGAATAAAAAATCAACATTTTTGAAAATCCAGCTATCGGAGCAAGCGTCCTCCGCGTTCCCCGCATAATTACACTCTCCCAAAATTTAATTTTTGGTCTGAAATTATTATAAACAATATAAACAAAGAATCCATTAGACATTGAAAACTTGTTGGAAAATGGCTGAAGCTTCGAACTTTCCACCACGTGCGGAGAGACTTGCAAACTCGGAAACATTTGGTGTGCTGTCTGGTGGTATCCTTGCACTTTGAAATTTCCATCCAGTGTCCGAAAAATCAACAAGGTGCAATACTCGTATCGATCTTTTCATCGGATAGATACAGCAGATACATAGCAGCGCCGCTAACTAGGTGCGAGAGTTAAAGCATGCACCCACAACAACTCACAATGGAAGAAAATACGAATCTGCCTCAGCAATCGCATGGAACACTCGGATTTTGTTACGGGCACGCAGCAAATGGGGACATATTAGTCATTTAGATACTTTGACTTGAGTTGTAGACAATGGCACTACTGTAAAATGTTTGGAGCAACCGGTGCATTGCAGCGCTGAATGCATGATATTGAACCAACATTGGGAATTTGCCTGATCTGCATTTCGCATGTCCTTGCGCAGGAGATCCAACAGCCCGTTGAATGGTTGTCGAGAAACTTTTTAGACCGTTGCTTCTAATTTCTATATTGTAACATGACGACCCATTGCCAAACGTCGATGAATCTGACTTTCTAGCAGCGTTCATTTTGCTGTGTCAGTTTCTGTGAATATCTAGGCGAACAATTTGGAATTGCAATCTAATTTGTTGCGCATTTCAATTCGGCGTATGTTTAAGGGTCCATAGACCAAGTTTGGTGTCGCCGATGCAAGCTTGAGGAGAAACTTTCTGAATATCCACTGTGTAGCGTCTTTGCCATAATCATCAAGATTACAAGCAGCTCATCTGTGTAATAAATAACACCAAGAAGTGTTAGCGATATGCCCCCATCTTCTGAATAATCCACCTCAACTTCAAAAGAATGAATCAATCTCACAATTGCGGATGCCGCCACTGGCTGATACGGTAGACCTGAAAGACAAAGTTCTGATGTGGACACACAGTTGGATGATGGTAATGCAGCACACAACTTTTCAAATGCCAGTAATATCTGATGCTCTTCGAATGCCAATCGCATTGGTACTTTGACTAAAGGAACATAGTTTCAAATGTACAATTTTCAATCGACACAAAAAAAAGGGTATACCACACATATAGCAACATGAAGGAAACGGAAAAGAAAGATCCTCACTACACCACCGATTTCTACAAGAAAATATAAAAGTTCCAACCGGAGCGAAATCGCCGCCCAATCTGTATCGCAGGCTCTCGATACGACACTAGATCTCGACACCCTGCTCGACCACCGTTGGAGCAAGAAGGGGACGCATGTAATGGTAGTGTTCTGCGACTTTGCGGACGCGGAGAGCGTTCAGGCGTTTGTTTTCGAGGTTATTGTACACGATGGTGGAGGCCACGGCAGCGCCGACGAGGGTGGAAGCTGTAGAGGTGAACGACAAAGAGTGAGTGAAAGAGCACATGAACTAAAAGACACGACAGGTAACGTACCGATGCCAAGGACGCTGGAACGTGGGACGGCAAGGCGTCCTAAACCATATCCTAGTCATCAGATAAATGGTTTGTTCAGCAATGCTATCAAAAAGTGTACCGGCAACTCTATTTGCGCACCTGCAACACCACCGGCAGCTCCAGCCACGATAGCCCAAGAAGCACACTCCTTCCGCAACTGCACAAACTCGGCAGAGTTGCGGAGGATCCCTACGTCCACTGACTTTATCGACATTGCGTACTTTGAAAAAAGGGAGCGGAGAACGTGTAGTAAGAGTGGATGAGGAAGGAGGGACTCAAAGCAAACAATGGCCGAAAACGTCAGACCAGTAAGGGAAGGTGCGGTAGAAGGCACACTAGAGTCCGACAAAAAAAGGTCGACAAGTGCAGTCACAGAAAATGTGCAAGTGTATGTTATAAACAGTTGGTTATTGGATTGGAGGGGGGGGAAGGAATGAAATGGAACACTTTATATTTCTGTGCGTTTGCAGTTATCCTCAACACGCATATTAACCCCCCAATATCCAAACGAATGACTAGAAAAAACAATACCAGAACGTTCGAAAAAAAAAAAAGCGCAAAACGGGGACCGTTCTTGGCATTTACCACCCATTTTGCCCAAAGAAGCACTTTAAAAAACAACACAAAAACCAAAATACAACAAGAAAAAAAAAAAAGAATGACCGCCCTTTGGGGATGATAAAAAAGAAGGTCAGTTGCTTTTCCTTCCAGGACTTGAATCACTCCAGTCAGTTTGTTGTTGTTGTTGTTGTTTGAATGGAAATCCCCCAATTGCAAAGTGACCAGCGTGACCCTCCAGCAAGTCAACTTGCAAAAGGTTAAAAATTCCAAACAGCAAAAAGGAACACTTTGCGCCCCCAAATTGACGTATTGAACGCTCTTTGTCCACCCAGCCCATTGCCGTGTTTGTTACGCCCGTCGATTTGAACAAAGGGGCGATAGCCAACTTGGGCAAGGACAAAAAACGCTACTTAGATTTCGCAATTTACTTGCGTTTGTTACTTCGAGCGACATTGTTTTGTTCGCTTCTTTTGGTAAATTCAGGTGGCAATTCGTACCTTGCAGAGCAAATCAAAAAGCCTTGCCGTTCCCTCCTACTTTTGGCTCATTACGACAGGGGGGGGGGAACAGCATGGTCTACCCATGGGGGCGGAAGCAAAACATAAAGTGAGCGCGCCATAAAAAGTACTTCTTTTGCGTAAGAACGGATTGTATTGTTTTTTGACAACGAGTTTTTTGTGTGTGTTTTTGCTGAGTGATTAAAGGGAGAGAAGATTGTAGGGATCCTTCCCCTCCTCTGCTATCAAAAGACATACAAAATAGCGCTCTTGGCATCTGATAAAATTCGGGAGACATTTATTCAGCAATCTCTCCCCAGCCGAACCATCCCGATTACGGGTGAGTGGCCAACAGCCGTTTGAACGGTCCAAGAATACAAGAGATTTCTGGCAGCAGGGCGAGTGAAATGTGTTACAAACAAGAGAAGGGAAACGATTTTCAATACACACACACGACAGTCCATACATGTACTTGGCTAAAGATTCATGATTCCCCTAGGCTCACGCACTCATATCCTGAATCAACCAGTGCTTCACCTTTCTCACTTTTTCATCATAAGAATTAATGTCGTCCTCCACCTGTCCCTCAGCACCGACTGTTCTCCTGTATTTCGTCCTCTTGCCAGTGCCATGTCCATCCAGATGGTCAACCCCATCGACTTCCAGGATCAGCAAGGCCAAGTTATTTTCCCTTGTCTCCTCCGGTGACTCTTGAGGCTCCGCTACCATTTTACCGGATTGACTCAGCAGTTCGGAAGGGTAGGACTCCACAATGGAGAATCGACGTAGAGGGCGGCCGACCGTGTTTAGGGATGGATTGGAAAGGCTGTTGCGTCGGTGCGCGGGAAGCGCGGCCCAAGTGCTTTGGCGTTTAGCTTCCCAATCAATGTCGTTGGAAGTTGACATTGGCGGTGCAATCTGGGCTGTCCCATGTAAGGGGTGGGAAGGGGGAAGAATGACGTGAAGGGTACCTGAGAGGCGAAATTGGTCTGGACTGTGAGGCATGGGCCTGGCAAACAAGAAAGGTGAGTTATAACGATTGAGAAAACCAAAAAAACATGAGAAAAAAGTAAAAACGTACCAAGACGCCTCGGTAAACCTGCTCCCAAACAACGCATCCTCCACAACCTTACTCCTAGCATCAACAGCAAACAAAATCGCTTCATTCAATCTCGCACGGGGATCACATTTGGTTCGGGCCTTGCTTCCCATTATGGATTCGATCAAGGTATCATCGTACTCGTTGCTGCTCATCAATTCTGCCAAAAAGGACGAGAGAGCCGTGCCGATTTTACTGTTTGCTACTGGTTTTGGCGTGCTGGCTCTTTTGATTTCAGTTGCCCCAGCTTGGGGCGTGCCAGTGGCAAGAGGAAGGTCTGTCATAAAGCCGCTAAAATTGACCACCCGATTGGCAGGCCGCCCAAAAGGGCGGATGGTGGCCAGTGAAACTTGGACTATACATATGCCGCACCATAAGATACAAATTCCGTTTAAAGCATGATGCATGTCAAGCAATGGTCTTACCATCCCCGGCACCTTGCTGATAATTCTTGTGGATGCATTCCTCCAATACCGCCCTCCAAGGAGGAAACTCTGAGGCAACGTCGTCTGTCGACGGGTCACGTATAGCACCAGTTTTTGCGCTACTAAAAGTCGCTTGAACCGGTGGTACCGAAATAGGCGCCATGTTTGCAAAAAAGTCTTTTTGCTCTGGATAATTAAGGACGTAATGTGCTGGCCCAAAGATATCTGCAACTTTTATAAAGTGTCAGACATGCAGGGACGCCTGAATAAACGAGAAATAGTTGGGGGCGTCATGATGAATCGTTTCCCCCTCTTTTTATGTATGGGTTCTTTTTTTTCCAACGAGTCAGTGCTGTGTTGGACAGTTGCAGGTGACCTTTTCACCCTCGTTCCCGTTCAAGGTTCGCGTTCTCCCCCCTTGGCTTACGTTAGTGTGATCACACTCTACAAAAGCGATAGCCAGCGTTTTTCTTTCACTTGGAGTGTCCAGAGGTATGCGATATGACAAAGTGAATACATCTTTAGACTTCAAAGCAAGGAAAGCCAATGCAGACATACTTTAGCGCTTGATATCCTTTGTCCATTACATGTAGCAGACCCATTTCAAGTAACCCTGCCACCGCAAAGGATCACGATGAATACCTGATGTCAATGGATTCATGACTCGAGATGCATCAAAGAACCTCGGATCAGTTGTCATCGCCAATACATTTGCTTACCAAGATAACATGACAATATCCCCTTGTCTTGGGAGTTTCGAGATGAAATGGTATTCATCCCTTTTCAGCATCCAATTTTTTCAATCGCTTTTCAAATTTCCTGGCATTTGAGGGCATTGCACTCTTAGGCATATCATGTTCCATTATATACACGGAGAGCACTACTAGTATGAAGACCCAGAGAGTAACTGTATCTGAAAGGACTTGTTGCCTCCAGAAGAATGATAGCTGCCGCATATTTCATCGAAGCTCTCCACTGTATGCATCTAACGGAAATATCTGTACCATTCTGTAGACACGTTTAGAGGTCCACAATTGATTGGATCCGTGTACTGTTAGCCCTATTGTTTGATCATATTCCGGACGGGTACGAGAGTTATATCGGCATCATTGTTTGCATCAAGTAGTTCAGCCATCATAAAAAGCAGACAACTAAATCGCGCTCTTGTTGGCTTACAGGGTGACCATGCATTATAAAAGTATACAACTAAAGACAGAGCATGCAAAAAAATACACTTGCTAGATATCACTTTCCACCGTGCTTTTCGTGAATGGCTTTCTTGGCAATTTCAACCATACGTTTGTCATACTCAAACTCTTCCTCTAACCCCATCTGTATGAAAAAGTCTCTGATCTGGATGCGAGCAGGGATTCATCAACGAGTTACCAGTAACAGCACAAGTGGGACTATACAAACCTGTTTGCCCTGACACACTTCCAGATCCGTCCCAGTCTCCTTTAAAGCCCTGTAAGAGTTTTGCATGGCAAGCATGGCTGGAATAAAGCCGGTGCAAGGGTATATAGCTAGCTTGAAACCGAGTTCTGCGCATTCCTTGGTAGTGAGGTTTGGCGTCAGCCCGTGAGGGAGGACGTTGATGAGAACAGGGCGCGGGGCAAGAGATTCTACGACTTTTTTGCATTCTTCTTTAGTCATCTGATGACAATGTTTGAATAAGACGTCAAGAGTATCTGTATTGAAAATATAAAACTCTTGCTTTACTCACCGGACTCTCAACGAAACCGACATCCGCACCAACTTCAAATGCTGCTTTCAACCTCCTAATACACTCATCAATGTTTCCAATAGCCTGTCGAGAATCCGTACGAGCGATAATGACAAAATCGGGATCGGTTCGTGCTTGGACGGCCGCTGCGATGCGTTCAAGGAACTCGTCCAAGGCGACCACATGCTTGCCTTCCAGCTGACCACATCGTTTAGGAAATGTTTGATCCTCAAAGTGAGCGCCTGCTACACCTGCGCCTTCAAAGAGCTGCATCGTCCGTCGGATGTTGAGGGGACCGCCAAAGCCAGTGTCGGCGTCGGCAATGACTGGGACAGAGCTGCAGTGGACGACCGTTCTGTAGAGATAGTGTGATCACCTGTCAGTTGGCATTATTTGCCTGGTAAGCTGAAAACGTCAATTGACCTTGCCAGAGCGGCCATCTCTGTTTGAGTAATCTATTGGCGCACCCGTTGTATGATGAGTACTTTGTACTGTGGTTATGGATAAAAGTAAGTATTTACCACTGAAAGATCTGGTTCCCCAATGTATGAGCCACTGGCTCCCGAGCCAGCCAAGTAAAGAAAGTCAAATCCAACTGAATTGGCAACATGGGCTCTAAATGCGACTCATGAATTGGTCTCTTCCATGGAGAATAGAGCAATATGGATACTCACGAAATGCCATCAAACACTCCCGGACCAACAAGAAGATCCTCTGCACAAAATCAACGTTCATAAAACAGACCTATCCCGGATCTTGTCACTTGGACATTTGATATGCTACATACTTTCTTTGATCAACTGCCGCAAGACAGTGGTCATTTTCTTCTTGCCCTGAGGAGTGTCGAGAGTAGCTGGCATATCGATGCAATGTAGGTAGCAATGTACAAAGTGATATTCCTCGTTGGGGCCTTGGGCTGGATGAACCAGCATCTAATATATACAGGCAAGTTACGTGATTTTGGTGACGCCCTTCGCGGGGCTTTGACGTCAGTTGCCCGCGCAGCGTTCGACTCTTCCAGCAGAAGCAGAGAACATTCGAATAGATTATATGGCTTAACGACTATCAAAAAACATTCCACTGTTTAGGAAGATGTTCCAAGTATTGCTGTTCGTCGTTGGACCAGCGTCAACCATATGGAATGGATGTGGGGATGGATTTCATTTGGACGCAGACGGCCTCACTCCACCGTCTCATGCCCAGACGGAACTGTTTGACACAGGAGGAATTGGCAAAACTCTTTTTGCATACACATCCTTCTACTCGTTCTTGGACGTTGAAATCCCATCCAAAAATAAAATAAAAAACCCCAAACGACAAACGGCAAAAAGCAGAAATGTGTGCGGGCCCCCCAAGTTGATTATCAGTTGTGATGAGGTCAGCGAATTCGCGATTTCATGCGCCACATGATCTAATTGGCTGAATATCGTGTAATCGTTAATCAACTGCGAGCTTGTCGCTCCGCCCAAAAAGCACGCCATTTGGAGCAATTGAACGGATTTTTTGACTGCGTAGGGTTTTTTAAAGCGAGGGCAACTCGCCGTTTGTCTCCCCCCCACAAATCTCGTGAAATACCCATACACAGCCAAACATTGCGCAATCCCATGGTGCATCTGTCGACGTACTCGATAGACAACATAAAAAGTGTATAGACGGCACCCGACTTTCTCTTGTCAAGATGCACCTCCCACCCCAACATAGCCCACCCTCTCGTCGGTCCGCAGCCATTTCGGTTCATGTATCTTTTGACTTTCTTTGCCCGCTCATAGCGCAACCCGCAAGGCAGCATCATCATCATCGTCGCACCGACCGTAGAAAGAGTGGATTCCTTCAGAGCGAGCCAACAATAATACGACGAGGAAGGAAAGGTTCCATGGTTCTTCTCCGACTTGCCCCAGCTTCTACAAAGGGTCTTTTCCCTCGTCGTATCTGCAAGACGCAAGCATCGAAACTCCATATCACGCCAAGCCAGAACGCGACCGAGAGACCCTTCCCACTCTTTTCATCGCCTGCCGCCAAAGTCAAACATTACCTGTTCGGATATGGCTCTCTCATCAATCCACAATCCCGTCTCCGCACTGTGGCAACACCTACAATTGCTATACCCGTTCTTGTGCACGGACTGGAACGGAGCTGGTCCTACAACTGCACAAGGAAACAATATACCGCCGTCGGTGTCCGTCGCGCTACAAAGTGCGCGCTATCCGATGAACCAGCAACCTGCAATGGTGTCCTGATTCCCATCGAAAATCCCCATAGCGAACTTCCTAAATTAGATGACCGCGAAAGTAACTATATCCGCTCGACAATCTCCTTATCCGACATTTCCTTTCTATACCCTTCCCAGTCTCGCCTCTCAGACAATGCCATTGTTTGGGTTTACGAACTCCCACCTACTCCCGCGCCCTTTACGCCGACACCATGCACTCCTATACCGCAGTCCTATGTGGACTGCATCCTGGCGGGTTGTCTACTGTACGGCACAACATTTGCTCATGAATTTGTGAGATTGACAAAAGGTTGGGACAGTGGTACGTGGCTGAATGACCGGCACGCAGCCATGGATGTTCAACGATACGTAAGGAATAGAGAATGTGGGGAAACTATGAGTGTAGAACCTGATGTGGTGGATAACATGTTGCGGGAGATTGTTCCTAGTGCCTTATCAATGAGAGTTGACGTTGCATAGAGATAGAAGATAATACAATCACACTATATTCTGTCGCATGAATGCCCCTGTCCTTTGAAAAGTATCCCATCTCAGTTCATCAACACTAAAAGATTGCCGACAAAAATAACGGTACTGCAAAACAATGTGGGCTGCAGTAGGGTTGTTTTTGTCTGCGAATCTTTTAGTGTATGTATGTGAAAGGAATTTGAGCAGGCATTCCACTCGCAGAATCCATTATTTGCTGGTTCTTTCGAGACTCGATAACTCTAGACCCCTGAACAGCCTGCGTCGACCCTTCCCCGATAAGTATTGGGGTATGGGGGGTATGCTGAGGAAGGTGCCGATGCAGGTGGGCAGTAGGTCAGGAGCATATCGAGTGTCGATCGTGTGCAAAAGAAAGTAACGTTGATGGGTTGAGGGATAGCTGAAAGGAAATGAGCCCTTTTTATAAAGTACATGAACTGCCCCGAACTCGGGTCTCTTGAAGATGTTTCATGGGATCGCAAAGCGGCGCAGGGAAAAGCGGTTCAGCAAAATCGCCGTTCGACACGACACGGTCGCAGCTGTCAAGTTGGAAGTTTTGGCGCTAAGACCCAAAAGGTTCAATTTAACGCGTTCGGTCCATCGACTCTGCCGATGGAAGAAAGAACAAGACAAAAAAAAAAGAGATGACAAGACCTTTGCTTCGCTGTCGTTTCCTCGTGGTAAAAATTGGCAGGCGATGAACAAAGATGGTGAATAGCGCAAGTCGCCGCCAAGGAGATGCTGTAAAACTTTATATATCATTCCATCTTGTGCAAGTTAACACCAGCTGGCTGATGTAAGCGTGGCTTGACTTCCTAGCGTTATGGCCTGACGCGTAGGATGCGCGAGAGGACTTCGGACTCAACGGTCTACACATTGTACAATATGCAGCACATCAAATCCGCCCTTCAGTCTATTACTCCTTTGGCCCTCGCATCAAAGCCGCAGAGTCAACCGAATTATCCTACCGGCCGCCCACCGCTTGACAAGCGAAAATTCACAAGCCTCGCGGTTGAGAACACAATCAACCGTGTCCGCTTGGTACTAGAAAAAAACGGCCACGACAACCTCGCAGAACTCTTTGAAACATGTTATCCCAACACACTGGACACGACCATCCAGTTCCACGGACGCGATGAGGAAGGGAATTTGGATACGTTTGTTATTACTGGAGACATCCCCGCCATGTGGTTACGAGACTCGACCAACCAGGTTGTTCCATACCTACCTTTAGCGGCCTCAGATTCCTCTATTAGTGCTTTGATCCATGGTGTGATCAATCGACAGGTCAAGTGTGTATTGGCCTCGACGTATTCGAATGCATTCAAAAGGTCCAAACATCAATGGGGGGAATGGGAGAAAGATTTCGTTAAGCCGGCTGTGGATCCATTAGTGTGGGAGGGCAAGTTTGAACTGGATAGTTTGGCGGCGTTCTTAAAGGTAGATTCCCAAGAGAGTGCTCAACAACAAGAGCGTAATTTTGACCTGGGATGTCTTTTCTCCTAGCTCTCAACGTTGTTTTACGCCTCCACGTCCGATGCGTCCTTCATAACACCAGAGTGGGCCCGTGCAGTCGAGCTTGTTATTGGAACGCTCAAGATACAACAAAAAGGGACAATGGAAGAATTGGATGATCCAGCTTACTTGTTTAGAAGGGAGGGCATTGAGCCAATAGATACGCTCATGTTGGACGGAAGAGGTCCGCCAGCTAAACGATGTGGTGAGTCTAGCGGATGCCTCTGAGATAATTGAAACAAACATGTAAATCATTGAACTGGCGTGGATTCTTCTTGATAGGGCTCGTCAAATCTCCGTTCAGGCCCTCTGACGACGCATCTACTCTTCCTTTCATCGCAAGTATTCAATTTATTTAACGTTATGCATTATCCTGCCCAAACGAACCCTTACCTAAACCCCACAGATACCGTCAAATGCGATGGCAAGTGTTGCACTCAAGGACCTTTCTCAAATGCTCACTACCGCCGATATCCATCTCGAATTGGCTCAACAAGCTCAGTCTCTAGCCGTGGAGATATCAGACGCAATATACCGTTACGGTGTCATTGAGCATAGCGTTTTTGGCAAAGTGTTTGCGTACGAGGTGGACGGGTTTGGAAATGCCCTGTTCATGGATGTGAGTGTTGTGGATTCATACAATACGTTTGCTTGACTTGACAGTGTAATGATTTCAGGACGCCAATATTCCATCGCTTCTCAGTCTCCCCTACATTGACTTTCTCCCACCCTCTGACCCAATCTATCTAAAGACCCGTGCGTACATCCTCAGCGACGCTAATCCCTACTACTTTACTGGAACGGCTGGCGCCGGCGTAGGGGGCCCGCACTGCGGGTTAGGGTACATATGGCCCATGTCCATCATCATCCAGGTAAATTGCGTGGTTATTGATAAATACGACCCTATCTTGTAGTTCACCTCGCAGAGGCTTGTTTTTAGGCTTTAACGACTCAATCCAAATCCGAGCGGGCCCAATGCATCAATACTCTTATTCAGTCAACCGCTGGGACAGGATTCATGCATGAGAGTTTCTGGAAAGATGATGTACACAAATTTACTCGAGGATGGTAAGTTTCTTGTTTCTTGCTTTTCGCTACCATTCGCAGAGCATTTAGCAAGCTGGCTTTTACAGGTTCGCCTGGGCAAATTCCTTATTTGCTGAACTTGTTCTTCGAATCGTTACCGAGATGGAGGATAGTGATTCAGCTTTAATCAAACGCCAGCAAGTGGACGCAAGCCAGCCTGAAGACAATAAAGATGGTGTCGAACCGGGGGAAGAGAAACCTCAGGAGGAGATTAGTAAGATACAAGGATAATGTAACCTTTTATTGAATGTCACTCAATATATGCGAGGAATAGTCCTCCTCCCCCTGATCTATCAGAATTGCATTGAATATACGAGAATGCCGATCGATCGTAGACAAGTATTGATGGTCAAAATGCAATCCAGATATACTTCAATCTTGCAACAAGATAGGTTATGGCAAACCAACCCATTTTGTTGTAAATCCATGTTGCACGGATCTATTCCAAAGACATGGCCGATATGGTTGTGCACCCTCCAGTGGTACGAAGAATGTCCTTGCAGTGGTTACGGTCCTATCTCCATTCTCAACTACCTTTTGTCTCTACGTCCATCGCAGGATGTGCTGCACATTTTCTGTCCCCTGGGCTTGTGAAGAGTGTTCCTGTCATGAAATTTGATTCATGTTGTTCAGAATCATTCATTGCGTGGTTAGCACTTATGGCAGAACTTCTGAAAGTTCCCCTCGCTTCGTCCATGTACATGTACACCAACAACTGCCCTTATATAGTGAGCAATCCCGTTCATATTTGCGCCTTCTAGGGCAAATCGTTTTAACTTTATGAACAATGGATCAAAGTTCAACAGAAGCAAGACTCAATTGTGGCTGACTACTCTGCTTAACGCCATTCTTGTCCCAATGCACTGCGTATTTTGACAGCCTCAATTGGCATTGGATTCTCCGCGAGAAAAAAAAATTGGTAGCCAAATGTCTAGGACTGCAAGAGTTGTTGCAACTCATGTTAGGCCACACATAATCAAGTACAATCTCGCCAACCCTTCTCTGTATTCATAACCCCCATTTCAATATCGTCCAAGTCTTCCTCAATAGGCACAGCGCCCGGGATAATATGCACATCTATATCACTTTTTCGACGTGGTAATTCTTGTATATGTTGGAGATCGGATTGAGAGGCATCTAATGGTGGGGGTGAGGTGAGCGCCGTTGGCTCCAACGGTGGTGCTGTAACGGATGCGAGAGGTGCTGCTGGCAGTGGCGGACTGGAAGGTTGGATTGTAGGCCGGGCGGTACTAGGACGAGAACGGGAGCGAGAGAGGGTTTGAGACATTGCGGTATTGGGTCGGTATATTTCTGGTAGTTTGATGCGGAGGAGGGATTGCACGACTGGAACACGCATGGAAAACCGTCATGAGCCTACCTTGAAACCCCAAAAATAAGGCAATCAAAAAACTTACTCGTTCTACAAATGGGGCACCTCGGTACTCCAACACCTCTATCACTACTTCGCCCCTGCATTCTAACCGCCTCCGCACATCCAATACATAGACAGAAATGCCGACATGGCACGACGACAACATCCTTGGGCTCGGAAAGACAAATAACGCAGTCCATCGAACTTGCATCCTGCGGCGCAGACTGAGAAATGGAGGAGAGACCATATATTTCTTGAAGGGTATATGTTATGGAGTTTATCTAATGGTGACTTTTGAGTGCTGAGCTGGTTGATCAGAAAAAAGACAATCATAACATACCACAACGTCCTGGCGAATGACCCTAACTTCAGCCACGCCTCCGCCCTCCTCCTCCCCTTCCTCCTCCTCCCTTCTCTCTTTCTGATGCATAACAGTCAAGAAAGTTATCTGAGTCTGCCGGTCATCTTCAGAATCTGCGTCATTCTCCACAACAAGAACCATGGTCACATCTTCCCCACTCTCTGCAGGCATCCCAAACTGGATCGACAGACTCTGATCTAAGCCTGGTTTCACATGTGTATCTCTATTGGGTATACAAGAGTACGGTGAATGGGCGGGAACATTTATTCGGATGACGCAGGGAACGGTTGTGTCAAGTTGGAAGGAGAGTGTTGCAGTGTTGGAAGATGTTCGAACGAGTTTGAGCGTGTTCCTGCGGAGATGGAAATGGGATTGAAGTGTTGTGGTGGGTTTTTGCGGGGTCTTGAAAGGGAGACGTTTAGACTGTTTGTGTTAAAAAGGAATACAGCTAAAAAAAAAACCTACCTGGTCATACAAGCACTTTACCCTCCCCGCGTCCGTATCCCCAAAACTCTGCCCAATTTTTGCCTTCCACCCCAGCATACTATCTATCTGATTCTGCTGAACCTCACTGCTTTCCTCCTCATCTTCGGCGCCCCATCCACCCGCCAGGCCTTTGCCAAGCGGTCCCACAAATGCCGGCCCAAAGTCGAGGTTGACGTCTGCATCCCTTGATTTTGATGTTGGATTGGAGGTGGATTGGGCTCTGGACTGTGGGAGAAGATTTGGAGTGGAGCGGGAGAAAATGGTGCCCATTGCTGGAGACGCTGGATAAAAAATAGAAACGATCGACCACCCTATGGTCGGAATCAGTGCGGTAAGCCATCAAGTAAGCGGGACACGTGACCAAACAAAGTTCAAGTCCCATCTATTCGTTCAGTATCAACCTACGGCGAACTATTACTGCTACTACTACTACTACGACGACGACTACTCTATAAATGTTTTAACTAACTACCTAATCCTATACAACAAGTTCCCTCTGGACGCTTTTGAATTCAAACATTCTATCACTAAGAGCTGCTACAGCAGCACGTGTTGCCATGGAGGTGAATCGCCTGTACATCTGCAAAGATACGGTATTAGAATAAGTAATCAAACTCTTACAATTATAAAGACATGATTGAATTATCATCTTGTCGATCTTACCCTTCCACAGATTCGTAACGGATTCTTCCTTTGCCTCGAGTCTTTAGGTCCTGCCGGTGCCCCTATTTTGGATCCTCTTGACAGATCCTTAACAAGAAGGAGGAGTGACGAGTCGACAGTGACACAGAGATGGCTGGCGACAAGTGTAATGCGAAGACGGTGTAATCGATCTGGTGATGCACATGTGAGATCAGGGATAGAAGCTCCCGGCATTATCTGTGGTTCATTTTCTTCGATTTGAGGGGATGATTGAACAGATGCAATCGATAGCTCGTCAGACGAGGTACTGGAGCGCTTATCGAACTCGGAACTATCGTTGGAAAACAAGTCATCCATTGGTTCACGCTTAGTATCTGATTCTTTCGCAATAGTGTCCACCGCTTCCACTATAGTATTCGCAACCAAAAGCTCAACTTTGCCTACATCGGCAAGAACTCTATCCACTTCGTCATCTCTCTCAAAGAGCCATAGCTGCATGCGCTTCATGACAACTTTCTCTTTTCCCGAATCGCCTGTCTGTGCTTGAATACCGCCACCTACTATCGGATCCTCCACAATGTCCCAGTAGGACCCTACAACAGCCTCCTGAACAGTGACACACCACATGAATCTCTTCCGGGTAACTTGCTCCAATGTTGAGCGCGCGACATGGTACTCAACGAGCGCGGATTCAAATCCACCATGCAGGTGAGAATCTCGCGGAGACTGGCGAAAGAGGTTGACAAGGGTTTCGCGAATGGTTGGAGATGGTATGGGACGGTCGTAGCGACCAGGGATACCTGGAGATAATGGGCCACTGACGTCGGAAGCCGAGGGAAGGTGTATCTTTAGATCAGTGATAGAAAGACGAATCAATGGCAAAATAATGTTGACGGCAATGTACGAGACAATGGCGTGAATGCTTCGTGACAGAGGACTGGGTGGCATACTGGGAATAGGGAAGCCCAACCAGCTTGCAGCGGGGAGATAGATCCGAATGGTTGTCAGACGCAGGTTAAGGTATGGAGGGCTGACTTTCTGCCTGAGTCGTGCCCAGAAGCCGCAATGGGTAGGCACGGCCGAGGGCCGCTTATGAACCGCAGCTTCTACCCGTTCAATGGTAATCACCATCTTACCAGACAACAATGCTGCCTTCAGTGCCCTCTCCTCCTCAGTAACTTGATGTAGTACTTTTTTCGGTACCTCACCCTTGGTTCCTTTACTAAGTGATCTGGACCTGGTACCCGTGGATGGCGGCTGACAACCCGGCGGTACACCGATCCACACTCTACACCAGCGCTTCCCAGCATCGCCATGCAGAGATATTCGTAATCCGAGTCTCAGAAGAATACTCCTTCCCACAGTCCATATCAAGGCCACACTGAATCCACACAACAAGAGCCGGAATACCAGGGGATGGTTCACAAAATCTATCACACCAACTACTCGCAACAGCGGAGGCACAAACGGACCGAGCAAAAGGGACAAAAGTATGGCGATAGGTATTGCATGTCGCGTGATTTCCTGAGAGTCTATTGTCTGCTTTGCCTTGTCTAACGACACGGACGGCCTGGGAGGGGCCACAGGAACTCTACCGACCATGATTGGATGCTGAATATCATGTCCCCGTAACCCGAGCCCAAGTGAGCCCGTGGAGCGGAAGGACGGGTTCTTGGCGCCTGCATGATCCTTTCGAGTCCGGTCGACATTAGGGACATGTTTTAGTGACTCATTCGACAACGCTCCGTGCAGCCGCGTAAGTTCTGGGAATTCAGAGACTAATGACGGCGCGCTTGGGTATTTAGACTTTGAAGTTTTGGCAGTAGGGAGCTGTCCCGGGTTCGACAGCCATGGGTTACTGGTAGGGTTGTTGAAACCTATAAGCACACCGTAAGTGCAAGCTGTGCCAAATGTTTGTAACCGAAGATAGGATACCCTGTAATGTCCTCATTGCACTGCTCAAAAGGCTCCGAAGAATTCACACAGGCCTTCCGGGGCAAAAATCATGAGAAGCTGGCACGTATCTTCTCGCCGGTTTGACACTCTGACGTTCTGCCCTCAACACATTGGTGGTGAACAAATTGCAAACGCGGGTTGTCCTCCGAAAGAAGCTGTCGAAAAGTTCTGGTGGCTGGCCATAAAGTCATACTTGATGACGTAAGCCATTACTTCATCTGGAGCACACATCGGTATCTCACAAATAAATGTCGATGATGGAGCATTGCATTGGACAAGCATGTGAGCGATTCAAAAAGGAATGTTTCGGAAGCGCTGATTTAAGCGTTGAAACGTCTGAGGTTTAATGCCCACACGTAGGAATTGATTGGCCTTATGCCTCAGGGACATGGCAAGTGCAAAGAGGTTGCAAACACTCTTTGATGTGCAGTATGTCGAACGTACTTTGGACGTTAGCAATGCACATGTGAACCTCTGCGTCCAATTTGGATTCCTTTATGCGTACTTCCTCTCTTTGCGTTTCCAGAAGAGCTCGATCGTAATAAACGGGATGATCCTTAAAAGCTCGTATGCAAAGATAAACAAGCCTGATCCCTGCTATATATAGACCGGAATCTACGACACCTTCTTACTCACTTTTGTAGCCTGCTTTATTACGTGCTTTTCAATGATTCAAACGTTGCCTGCTGATATCAAACCGATCGAGAGTGCGACAAAGACGATCGCCCATTCCAGGGTCCGCATAACGCTGAAAACGAAGCCCGCTGATTATTCTTACCCCTTTCTACTCGTTTTTGCCGTAGTCATCCTGGGTATGTTCAGAAAATAATGCTATATGCAGCAGTATTCCATTTGTTCCATATTTTAGGCGCTTAACCATGCTATTGGACATAGTGGGCTTGTCTGTTCTTTAAAGAGTAGGCACAGCCTCGACAACGTGGCAAAATCAAAGCGAAGAACTCTCAAGTCATGGTAGTGTTATATTTAAGCGATATGCCGATAGGCGTCAGTTGTCGTTATTAAGCCTCTGAGATACCAAAACAGCTGGCTATAGCCTTTGCGTATGCAAACCGAAAGGGAGAGTGTAGAGGGAATAGACCTATTAGAGGGTACAATGGAACGGGCGTGATGATCTATTATTACTGTATGTCGTTTAATGAAGACGCTGAAGATGATCTTTTCCTGATTGCAGGATGAATTGAGTACCTATCCGCTTGAAGAGCGTCATTCTCATCATTCTACAGCATTTAGTGGTCTGTGGAACCAGTGAACTGTTGCATAGCCTTGTCATGTGCTAGTTTCTGGGGATATTTTAGTCTGCCAACATAAGACCTGCACGCAATCGTGCGGAGAAAATGGAAGAGAAGCATTGGAAGGGAGTTTGATCGATGACACGTAAATGTGACGTGGGTGCGGTGAACCATTTATAAAAGCCCAGATCCTGGCCAAAAGCCCCAGTAACTATCAAGCCAAAATGTCCGACGCCGGCCGCAAGAGTATACACACGCATTTAGCAGAAAACCTCACACCCGACTTCCTCAAGAGCCAGGAGAAGCAAAACGCGCAACTCAAGAGTGGTCAGGAAGATGATGCCATCGGTCGCAATACTCCGCAGAACGAGAAAGGCAAAGTTCAGAAAGTTTGGGACAAGATTCAAGGCAATGTCCCCAATGCTTCTGGAAATGAGGTGAGTATGACTTGTGATTGATATTTCATTCACATAATGATGCTGATCTGTCTTTTATTACCAAGCCTGGAAACATTCTTGCCGGCGGCCCTACTACAGGACACAGGGAGGACCTAAAATAGTAGCATCGCAGAGATTCTCGTCCATATATCATGTACATTTTCAATCAATAAGAACACAATAAGAGTAAATCAATGCTTTCCAACGTAACCTTCTTTCATGGCAAGTAAGACTTGCAAGCAAGTAAAAGTAGGAGATGGCAATGACGAATGTGTACGTAAGCGAACTGCTGTGCCATCCGTGGAAATGCTTGCTGCTCTATTAATTAGCAGATCTGGTCAAGTCAAACTCCGTATGGGGCCTTCCCATCATATTCCTCGGCAACCATCACCTTTTGCGAAGTCGTGCCCACGGGCTTGGAGAGTGGGATATTTGTACATTTGACAGTATTAAAAAATGTCTTTGCCAGAGAAATTATGTGGAGGAAAACCATGGGTAAGCAAAGTGAAGTGCCTAAATAGCAAAAGAGATACCAACTTACGTTATTGTAAGGGCCCTTGGGTTGATTCGGACTTCACCGATTGTTTTGAACGGAGGTATGGTTGATCATTGCATGCGAGAGTTCAGAATTTGTACTTCAGCTAGAACAACTCTCGAAATTGCAGTATAATTGTGTCGATAATACCCACGGCGTATATTCTCCTAGTCGGAACATTTGCACTCCTCCGTCACGTATTTTGGCAACGCCGGAATCTCGATCCTCGAGCATATTTACCCGTCCTTCAGAACGACCCAGGCCGCCATGGTGCGGATAATGATTATGGTGCCGGTGACGAGAGTTATCCCGTGTCCTCTGACGAGGAAGGGCCGAGAAGGAGGGATATGTGGGTCTGGATCTGTTTGTTGGGGCTGGCGTTGTCTCATATTGGCGTGAGCTTGATCGGGTATGGCATTGAAACTGCACAAAATGGGAACACAGTTAACGAGAACGAGCCGTACGTAACAATGGAAGTCATCACTGTCACGTTCCAATGGGTACGTTTGTATATTAGATTTCGTTTCGACGTGGAGCTTGATATAATTTATTAATCTTTCTTCATCATAGCTCTACGTGAACATTATTTTAGGATACCTAACTGTTGCGACCTGCCCAGCCAATCGCCCCTCACTCTACTTCCCCTGTGAAAGATCTAAACGAAAGTCGTTATGCTATCTCCTGAGCTATTTTGGACTCTTTGCCTTATGTAAAAGTGTGCAGCTTCGTTCAGTATGGGCGTGGTATGGATCTGGACATATGAGCAGAGCGATCGTCATCATTGTTGGAGCACAAGCAAGCATTGCGCTTGTGATGCTTGCTATGGGAGCATGGATTTCTGGAGAGCGTCTATTGAGGAGAAGGCGACATATTTTTGGCGGCTTTCAGTCGGAGGTTGATGTCATTTGCAGAAGAGTAATTCACCTAAATCGCTGAAACGGTTCGTTTGCAGCATAGGGAACCGCCAGCGTCACGAGAGACCGGAGCTTCTCTTTATGCCAAGTTTTCCTTCTCATGGTTCAATAATGTGATTGAGCGAGGCTACCGAAAGACGCTGGACATGAACGATGTCCCTCATCTGGTGGACGGGGACAAGGCTGCGAACGTGTGTGACCGATTCAACCGAATTCGGTCAGTGGACCTTCGCACTTTTACTATATAAATTGCGCCACGGACAGCTAAATTCTCAAAGCAGGCTCCAGCATAGTAGCTTACTTAGGGCTCTTTACCATCTCGTCCGTCCGGAACTCTCAATACAAGCTGCATACGCGTTCGTTTCTGCCCTATTATCTTTCTCGGGTCCCTATTTATTGAATCGTATTCTCGCTCATGTGTCGCGTCCCCGCGAGGATTCTTCGCCGAAGGAAGGCCTGGCGTATACGTTTGCTCTATTGATCACGGCCCTGATACGAGCAGCATGTGATGGCCAAGTCTATTTTAATGGAAGAAGAATTGGTACCCGTGTGCGCGCGGTTCTCATAGGGCAAATTTATGGAAAGGCTCTACGCAGGCGGGCGGTGGCAGTCCCAACGAAAGAAGAGCAAGCTGGCGCGTCGACCGGTCAGATCACTAATTTGATGTCGGTTGGTAAGTCAGGGCCTTACAATGGAAGGATGTTGTTCTTGAACTCATGTTTCGCTCATGCTACACAAAGATACGCAAAAGATTCTCGAAGTTTCTTGCTACATTATGTATCTATGGACTGCTCCCCTACAGATTGCTATATGCGTGACACTTCTGATGGTTGTCCTCGGGTGGCCAGCTATTGCAGGGCTTGCTGTGATGATAGCGATGCTCCCAATTGGGGCTACCTTAGGCAAGATGGTTGCTATGAAGCAGAAAATGTTAATTAAAGCCACAGACCGACGGATTACAGCCATGAATGAGGTGAACCCAGTTCCGCTGTCTTCCCTCCCGTACTACCATTAACCCGGGTTTCTGACAGACCTTGCAAGGAATTCGCATTGTGAAATTCTTTGCATGGGAGACACATTATTTCAATATGCTCACAAGTTATCGAAATTCCGAGATTAACCGTTTACGAGGATACCTCTATACTGTTGCCACGTCCCGTCTTCTTTGGTACGCTGCACCGATTATCGTGTCATTCTTGACCTTCATGACGTTCACTATCGTCGCCCATCGAGAGTTGACTGCCGAAATTGCGTTCACTGGACTGGCTTTGTTTAATGCGCTGCGGCAACCGTTGCAGCTTTTCCCAGACATGATCGTTCGCGTGAGTGAAGCACTCGTGAGCATGAAGCGAGTGGAAGACTTTTTGGGAGAGAATGAACTGGAACGATATCAGTCGGAAAAAGCCGATGGCCATCGCGCGGAGGGCGGCCCAGGCAGCGAAGATGGAACAGAGATCGTTGGCTTTACAGGCCCCGCAAAGTTTTCCTGGCAAGGCAAAGATGGAGATAGCGATTCGATGCAGAAGGAGTTTGTTTTGAAGGATCTGGAAATCACTTTCCCAGTTGGTGGCCTGAGCTTGGTAGTGGGAACCACTGGATGTGGCAAGACAAGTTTGGTTATGGCGCTACTAGGAGGTACAGTCTGGCGGGCACAGTTTTGAAACTTCAAAAGAGTGGTTCTGAACTTTTGCGCTCTACCTTTTGAAGAGATGAATCGTCTGGCTGGCGAGGTATATTTGCCGGACAGTCGGTACGGGCGGCTGAATCCTTCAACTGGTCTTACGAATAGCGTCGCTTACGCTGCACAGCAAGGTAAATTGACTCCTTTAGCAAGTGCAATGATGAAAGTCTCTTTCTAAAATATCTTGCAGCATGGCTCATGAACGCAACTATTCGCGATAATATTTTATTCGGTCAACCATATGATCCAGCCAAATATGATCGTGTAATTCACGCGTGCGCCTTATTGAGAGATTTGGAAACCCTTGAAGGCGGGGATATGACCGAAATCGGCGAGAAAGGTCTGCTGCTCTGTGCTGACTAGTTACTCCAACGCTGAGGCTGATATGCACACTCCTCTGACCAGGCGTAAACCTGTCGGGTGGACAGAAAGCACGAATTTCGCTTGCGCGTGCAGCCTATTCTCCAGCGGCATTTGTTTTGATGGATGACCCTTTATCAGCTGTTGATGCTCCAACAGCCCGACACCTGTTTGAACACTGCATTCTGGGACTGCTGGGCGGACGAACTCGAGTCCTCGTCACGCATGCTGTACATCTATGTGTTCCCCGTGCGGACCATGTTGTAGTGATGCGGAGAGGAGGCATCGCCACACAAGGTCCTCCCAGCGCGGTCGTAGGAAGAGGGCCTGGAAAAATTGACCTTGTACCAGACGAGGAGAGGGAAGAGGGGTTGCCGACGGATTCTCGAAGTCTGACAACTTTGTATGAAACACCTGAGGCAGAAGTCGAGAAGTGTGACGGAGAAGGCGATATTATGAGCACTGCTCCCTCCCCAGAGATAAACGATGCCTCATCTATGGAACCACTGCTCGACATGGAGGATGGAGACTCGGATCCAGACCAAGACGTAGACATTGAATTTGATGACGGTGCAAGCTTGGAATCTGATCAAGCATTAAGACCGGCCGGTATTCAACCTTCTCAGCGCAAGATCCTTCGACTCACCGAAGATGAGGCTCGCGCTGTTGGTTCCGTCAAGGGCAAAGTGTACTGGGCGTACATTAGCGCGGCGGGTGGCTTTGTGTTCTTGATGGCCTTGATTTTTGCCTACCTTACCGTTCAACTATCTACTATTGGCCAAGATTGGTGGTTAAAGTCTTGGGCAGCAGCTTACCGACGAGCTACCTATCGTGTCACAATGGGAGGTTCAGAATCGCCGCAGATAGTTTTGTCGGTTTTCCCGACATATCATCTTGGACCTTCCTCAAAACTAGAAGACAGAAAGGGGGTCAACTATTACCTTATTATCTACGCGCTGATCGGACTGCTGACGATGTTAACTCTGTTCATCCGAATCCTTGTGAATTGCACTGGTTCCCTCCATGCGTCGCGCCACCTCCATAGCGCAATGCTGGCAAGGCTCCTTCATGCTCCGATGCGGTTCTTTGATACTACTCCCATGGGACGCATTTTGAATAGATTTTCGAAAGATGTTCAGTCTTTGGATCAAGAGGTTGCAGCGTTTGGGGGCGACTTTTTGTCAAATACAGTTGCCGCAGTAGGAGTCGTCGCAGTTGTCGCGGTCGTCACGCCAGTGTTTTTGGGTGGTATTGTTCCAATTGGTAGGTTGAGTTTTCGGGACTTGCCTGTACCTGTGGTCTTTTGTGGACTCATGTGAATGCTTTTTTCATTAGCGCTAATATATATCTCGGTTGCCCGGTTATACCTTCGAACCTCAAGGGAGCTGAAGCGTTTAGAGTCGACTACCCGATCTCCTATATTCTCGCACTTTAGCGAAACGATTGTGTAAGTTGGATAAAACTTCTTTTCCTGAAACTCTGTATCGTAACGTATGCTCTCTTCATTTGTAGGGGGGCATCAACTATTCGTGCATATGGCGCGGAAGACAAATTCATGAAAGAAAATTACGCTCGGTAGGCTCGCATCATCTGCATATAGTGCTGACTGATTTCTCATGTTTTGGCTGCAATGATAGTGTGGATACCAATCATCGAGCGTTTTTCTACCTCTGGGTGTCGAATCGCTGGCTTGGAGTGCGAGTTGACTTGGTTGGTGCCATGGTTTCGTTTTGCTCGGCAGCCGCAATTTTGGCAACCGTCCATTGGGGCCATGGCATGGACCCAGGCGCTGCTGGTTTAAGTTTGAGTTACGCGTTGACATTTACGGACTCGCTGTTGGTAAGGATGGGTTTGTGTAAATCCCCTGCTTGTGTCCTTGCTCTTTCTTACCAATACGGGACTGGTGCAGTGGGTCGTCAGAATGCACGCGTTGATGGAAATGAGTATGAACTCTGTGGAACGTATACAGGAATATCTGTCTATTGAGCAGGAGGCGCCTCCCGTCATTGAGGGCTCAAGACCACCCGTATCGGTATGTATCAGATATTTTTGATTGTCATGGAGATCGATATCTGACCCCCAGCACAGTGGCCAGCTGCTGGAAGAGTAGAATTTCAAGATCTCACTGTTCGGTACGTTTATCGCTCTGGTGTTATCGTACGGCAGCCCTTTTTTCATGACATCTTGCTTGATTAGATATTCCGCTGATTTGACTCCTGTTCTTCGACATGTTAACTTTATTGCCAAGGCAGGAGAGAAAGTCGGAATTGTTGGTATGTATCGTGAAGGGAATGATTGTTCTGGATCTTTTCGGACATAGCTAGAATACATTTTATTTAGGGCGTACTGGAGCAGGGAAATCTACCCTGTCCTTGGCTCTGTTCCGATTTTTGGAAGCTTCTGGCGGACGAATATTGGTTGATGATATTGACATATCGCAGATTGGATTGCAAGATCTTAGGTCACGGTTGACTATCATTCCGCAAGACCCTATCCTATTCACGGGGACAGTTCGCTCCAATCTTGATCCATTTTCTGAGCACACCGATTTGCAACTATGGACAGCGTTGCGTAGAGCGCATCTTTTAGATTCGCATGCTACTGCAGTGTCCATTCCCGGTAGAGATGCAGCTGGAGTTAGCTGTGACGGTTCAAGCTTGACTACTAACCTGGTACAAGATCGGACAGGATCCTTGGTTCCCTCCCGCCACCAAAGTTTAACACCGACACCAACTCTTTCCCGGCGCGCGTCTGTCAATTCCCTTGCTTCTGAAACCCGTACCACGAGAAGGCGTTCATCAAACACTTCGCTTGCATCCTATCGCTCTGCTAACATCCTTACCTTGGATACCATTGTAAGTGAAGGTGGTCAAAACTTTTCTCAAGGCCAGCGGCAGCTCCTTTGCCTTGCGCGAGCGTTGTTGCGAAGCTGTAAAGTTATTGTGTTGGATGAGGCAACGGCGAGTGTAGACCATGAAACGGATGCAAGGATTCAGGAAACGATTCGTACAGAGTTCCGAGGAGCGACGTTGCTTTGTGTTGCACATCGGTTGAGGTACGAATCCCAGCAATTGGAAAACATTGGTTATTCAACAAGTGTGTAACGTGCCTTGTTTACAACTCACAGGACTGTAGCCGATTACGATAAGATCCTTGTTCTATCGCAGGGAACTGTTGCTGAATTCGGGTCACCTTACGAGCTGATGACCAAGCCGCCCGGCCCCGATGCAGTGTTTCGTGGCATGTGTGAAGAGACGGGCGAGTACCCGATTTTGGTGGAGATGGCAAAGCGAGCCGACAAGGACCGGGGACATTGAGCTGTTTGGTCTGTCCGGGACTATTTTGTCTAGTACTTTTCTCTTATCTAGCCGTTTTTTTTTTTGGTTTTTCATCCTGTATGCAAGTTTGCCTTTAGAACCCTTGTTTGTACTATGTTTTTCTGTGATAAACTATTCTGTTCTGTCTTCTTGTTGTTGATCAAAAAATAAGTTGAGATCTCTAATTTCGCTCTAAATGCCATCGAAGTCAGTACTACTCGTCCCGATGGGCATGTCCACTGTCAAAAGCTTCAGTGGTGAACATCTGCGAAGCCTCGGCTCTCAGGAAGGTTTGCCCCTCCGAGCCAAGACCAAAATTTAAAAACGTTGGTTATGATCCAAAGTTTAAATGACAGTTTTTATCTGGACAGGGCAAATCCAATAACCAAACCAAGTCAATGAGCGAGGCGACCTTTCGCCACTCGGCCATTCTAAGCAGGCGAAGTGATTCTCTGTGGAACATTTTCTCGTTGAAGTTGACGCTGCTTTATCCATTTAAACTAGGACCTCACAATTGAGTTCGAACATCAAATGGCCAAAGTACATATAACGTCGTGATATCTTGAGATGGGGTGCACTGAGCTGGTTTAAACTTGCGCGGATATTTGGTTTGTCGTTGTTCATGTGTACTCTCCAAATGTTGATGCTGCACATGGGAGCCTTAAGCACGGAACATCCCGAGTTCTCGACAACGGACAGTTTGGGAAGCAACGTAATGGAATTTGGAAAATGATGCGACAGACGCTGTGGGAATTGGCTCATATTCGATTTCGGGTAGATGTCTCTGAAGAGCTGTAGAAGTTGTTTACCAACTGTGGAGCAACAGTCCAGGATCTTCATTGATGCCTGGCTCCAAATAACATCGCTATACATTACGTGACTCTTGCCTATGTGGTTTGGAAAAGAATCAGACCTTGGTGTGGAAGGGAGACGATTGTCGGCTGTCCAGCATCCAGCAGCTGGAGATGGGTGAGACTGTCGTGTAAATTCCACGGATGAGAACTCAATGACTGTTGTTTCTTGTGCCATGAACTGATCTGTTATTAACAGCTAGCTGAATATGCTGATGCACCAATGCCATGCATTGCTATGAACGAGAATGATGATCGGATGTCCTTCTGCGCAAAAAAAAATAAGCTGTACCAATAGTCTTGTGCATTTGCCAGCGTGTGCTATGCTTGCAAAGGACCACTGCCAAAGTGATCCACGTAATCAACGCGTCAGAGCGCGACGCCAACAGCACAGCAGGATTCCAACCATATATATTGGCCCTCCTCGTCAGGCAGGAATACTGGCAATATCCTGCTATATTGGTCGTGCTCCTTCTTCCTTCGCGAGGTATCGGAGAGCGCTATTGAACGTTTACACATAAGCCGGCGCCCAGCGAAGCCCTCTTTGTTGCTCCTGTCCAAGGGACACCTTATTGGCTTAAACGGCTTCCAAACCCTACGCTTTGATGACCATGTCACCTACATCAGTTAGCATTCCTCCCTGTCCAACCCCTTCTCTCGCAGCAGCGGGTACGGCCGAAGCAACATCCATGAAGAAAAAGACTTTGCAGAAGAGGAGGACAAAGATTGTTGGGACACTGGGTCCAGCTTCCATCCCAAGGATTAAGGAATTGATTCTCGCCGGTATGTTGCCTAAATGACACATAAGACATTTTTGATGGATGCACTGATAAATCTTCTTTGGTAGGGGTCAACATGTTTCGTTTGAATTTTTCGCATATTGAAAACCCTGAAACGCAAACACCGATCATTGAGGAGATTCGGAAACATAGCGATGAACTCAACATCGCTGTAGCTATTCTAGGTTTGTTCTAACAAATGACTTTTAATTACGTCCATGGTTCATCATCTCCTTCCCCAGGTGATCTCTGCGGACCAAAGATCCGTTGCAATGATTTCAAACCAGGGCCGACTATTCAACTTACGCCGGGTCGTCCCGTGCGCCTGGTTGTTTCATCTGGCCCAGGAACTGATGGTGTCATCACGGTATGCTATGCCATTTATATCCTATGAATTGTATCCTCTAACGAAGGGCCTCTGCAGACCAAGATCCCCGAGGTCGTTCAACAACTCGAGAATGGCCATCGGATCCTTCTAGACGACGGAAATTTAACACTTCGCGTAGCCCGTCGCATCTCTGACACTGAATTGGAATGCGACGTTCTTGTTGGCGGCGAACTTAAATCACACAAGGGTATCAACGTACCAGATATTCGATTGGGAGTAGCAGCTCTAACTGACAAGGACAAAAGAGATGCCCAGTACGCCTATCGAATGCGCCTAGAGTACGTTGCCATGTCCTTTGTTCAGAGAGTGGAGGATGTCGAGGAGTTGAAACGATTATTTGGAGAGTGGAAGAACTCCGATGCTCAGTTGTCGGCCAACAGCCGTGGCAGTGTCCGCCACCACCCAATTCACGATGACATTGAAGCAGAAGTCGATGAGCTAGAGGAGAATTGGAGACCGCACATTATACTCAAAATTGAAAAGCCGCAGGCGTTGGATGTTATTGATGATTTGATCAGGGTTGGGGACGGGATAATGGTTGCACGGGGGGATATGGGTGTGGAAATTAGTCTGGAGAGAGTCCCAGTGATCCAAAAGATGTTAATACGAAAGGCTAATGCTGCCGGTGAGTGCAGGAGCAGATGAAATGAGCACTTTGGAGGACGCTGGAAATAACTCTCTGTTTATAGACAAGCCAGTCATTACTGCCACGCAAATGTTGGAGACCATGATCAACTCTCCGGTACCAACTCGTGCAGAAGTCAGCGATGTTGCGAATGCTGTATTTGATGGTACAGATGCGGTGATGCTTTCAGCAGAGTGTGCCACTGGCAAATATCCCGTTGAAACAGTCCAGATGGTATGTATGAAACGACTTCATTCCTATTCTGAATCTCGCCATAACGATACCATTCGCCTCTTCAGATGGCGAGAGTTTGCCAGCAGGCCGAAGACGGAGACACGTATATGCATCCTCAAGTCATTACTGCCCGTGACCGTGGTAACCGTGTCAACGATGGCTCTGGAGAGTTTGCGTATCCGATCGCGGATGCGACGGTTGCTGCTGCAGAAGAAGCAAATGCCTCCGCCATCATAGTATTTACAACGCTAGGCAGCATGGCCATATATGTCGCAAAACGGCGTCCTAATCGCCCTATTATAGCTGTAACGTCCAGCTATTCCCTCTATCGCCGCTTGGTTCTCAATTACGGCGTGTACCCAACTCTCACACCCGTGCTCAAGATCCGGTCTCTGCTGTCAAAAGGCCCGGTTTCAACCAAAAGCCTACCTCCTGAAGCGGATACCAGTCCAACAAAGACGAGTCCGACGGGTCAATCGCCCACAAAATCGGGTACAATGCTATTGGTGTCCAACACTGACCAAATTTACGCACAAGCCGAACGGGACATTTTAAAAACCGCAGAAGAATTGGGATTACAGAAAGGAGACCCTGTTGTGTTCTGTGCTGGTTTCCATGCGCCTTGGCCCGGATTGAGTAACACCCTACGGATTGCTCGGTTTGGAGACGCAGTCCGAAGTGCCAAAGCTAGACATCTTTGGGGCGATGTGGTATCTGGTGTTAGGGCAGGGCATGCAACTTCCAAGCAATCATCGGCTTAATAATTTCTAAAGGTTTCACCCTTGATCGTTCTTCTTGTTATCGACGCATGAAATTACAGGTGTTAAAAAGCCGTTCAAATTGCACCGCATGGGTGCTTATGCAATCCCTCCGATCATGCCATGTGCCTTCCATGTGGGCTCCCGTAATCTGATTAGGATCACGTGGATAAATATTCGGCCCATTTTCTTTGTGACGCTTCTTTAGGACGAGATCCATACGCCACTGGACAAGGCCTGTGGAATATAAAAGGAGGCCTTCCCTCATGCATTCCCCTCCCATCTTCATCCGATACGCCTGAAAGCACATCATAGAAGTGACACCGAATAGACGACAAGCGGGAGCATTAAAGACTTGGACTATCCTTGTCCTTTATTTGGTGGCCGTCTTCTATCCATGGGCTTGCATTTCTGGCGTATTTGGACGTTTTTGGCGTACTTTGTTTGCTCTATGAGGTCATTTCTAATCCTTAGTTTTGAATTGACTTTTTTGAATGTGTCATTCAACGCCAAGGATCGGAAGAGACCCTCACTGAGCAATGACAAAAAGTGTCAAGTTTGGAGCGAGTTTTATATTAATACTTCCAGTGAAAAGGTGCATGACTCCATCGTCATCGTTGTCAACTTGCAATGGCCAAGAAGTTCGAGTTGACTTCCGCACTCGCCCATAAACCATTACGGGAGATCCCAATTTATGATAAACAATTGATAGTGCCCACTGTGGCGAACGTCTTGTCGACGTCCCCTCGCCTTCTGCTGCAGAACCAGTGGGGGTCATGACATCCTCAACCAAAGAGATGAAAACTGAAGACATTCGAAACAGAATTCACCTACTTTGTGCTGATTCGAAACAGTCAACTGAATCCTAAAACCAGTAAGTAGGCAGTAGTCAAACGGTAACATTCTCGCCAAATTGAAAGAATATTTGCGCTATCCTGCTGGGTACACCACCTTGATTGCAACGTCGAGCAGTTAATCGTCCATACACCTGTAGTTCCAATTGAACTTGAGAGACCGCGGTGGTGCACTGTGAAAAAGAATGCGAAAGAGGATGACGCATAACTACTGTCCTTTGACTGGGGTTAGCTGTGCCATTGCAAATTGCGGTGAGGGTTAGGCGGTGAACGCAAGGAAGGCAGCCAAGAGTATTTTGTCTGCAAGCTTAGGAGCAACACTGCGGGTCTGACAGGGCTTTGGATGGTTTTGGTCCCTTGAACGTTGAGATCCAAACACGTACAGATGACGCTGTCAGCATTGATCTTTTCCCACCCATCTTAGTCTGGGCAACGAACCTTGGTTTTGCTCAACCCCCAACGTTGAATGTCATGTCAGCTAGACCCTCATACAGAAACTGATAACCAAAGCATTCGACACGTGATGCTAACCTTGTTCTTTTGGCTTTCTTTTTAATTTCGTGCGCCTTTTGGCATTGAAGACGTATGGAATGTTTGCATTTCTTGCCGCTGGGCAAACGAAACGGAGAAAAGGATCGTTAAAACTATCGACTTCCACGGGCCCAGCCCAACCTAAAAGAGTGAAAGTGATTGTTGAAAGGGAAGCGGAACGCACTGTATAGCGCAGACCCTTCCCATTGGATGTGCATTAAGCTGCGCGTTCGATCTAAGGTTAATTTAAGCATAGCGAGTTCTATAATGATCCAAAGCTTCTAGAAGTTCCGCTCTTGCAAGCGTTTTTCCCGCGGGGGCCCAAGGAAAAAAGGAGGCGTCCCCAGCAAAAGAAGCAAGATCGTTGAAAGAAACAAAGGTAAAGAAGGAAACGTCCAGAAGCCTAAACGCGAACAATCGCGACCAGAACGCGTTGAATGCGCCTCATGTGGCGAGTAAACAATGAGTCCATATATAGAAATTGACTATTTCCATAGGGGAAATCCAAGCAAAATTCAAGTGGCTTCAACCCTTTCAGGCACAGCGTGGGCCCCATTGCAAAAGGCAAAGGGGATTGTTATAAAAAGGGTGTATCGTCTTCCCCCCCAAACTTGCTTCCCATCGCTTAACACATACCCTACGTTTTCTACTTTTCCACCTAATATCAGTAAACACACACATTCGCCATGTCTGACGACGTTGCTGCTGTAAGTTGACACGCTTTTGTGAGCTTTTTGGCGTTCAATAACGCGCGATCCGCTCGCGATCCACTCATCTGCGAGATTCGTATTCACGTTTTTTCTTTTTTTATTGCAGCTCGTGATTGACAACGGTTCCGGTATGTGCAAAGCCGGCTTTGCCGGTGACGATGCACCCCGTGCCGTGTTCCCCTCCATTGTTGGACGGCCCCGTCACCAAGGTGTGATGGTTGGAATGGGACAAAAGGACTCTTACGTTGGTGACGAGGCCCAATCCAAGCGAGGTATCTTGACCCTCAAGTACCCCATTGAGCACGGTATTGTCACCAACTGGGATGACATGGAGAAGATTTGGCACCACACCTTTTACAACGAACTCCGTGTTGCCCCTGAGGAACACCCCGTCCTCTTGACTGAGGCTCCCCTCAACCCCAAGGCCAACAGGGAGAAGATGACTCAAATCATGTTTGAGACCTTCAACACACCCGCCTTCTACGTTGCCATCCAGGTGAGTCACTGACGCGTTTACGGCGGACAATTATTTTTGGACAAGGACGCGACAATCTTTGGACTTTGCATAACATTCCGTTTCTTTGCTTTTAGGCCGTCTTGTCCTTGTACGCTTCCGGTCGTACCACTGGTATCGTGCTCGACTCTGGAGATGGTGTGTCCCACACCGTCCCCATCTACGAAGGTTACGCCCTTCCCCATGCCATCCTTCGTCTCGACCTTGCCGGTCGTGACCTTACCGACTACCTCATGAAGATTCTCACTGAGCGTGGTTACTCTTTCACTACCACTGCCGAACGTGAAATCGTGCGTGATATCAAGGAGAAGCTCTGCTACGTTGCCCTTGACTTTGAGCAGGAGATGCAGACTGCTGCCCAATCATCTGCCTTGGAAAAGTCCTACGAGCTTCCTGACGGTCAAGTCATCACAATTGGTAACGAACGTTTCCGTGCTCCCGAGGCTCTCTTCCAACCCTCCTTCTTGGGTCTTGAGGCTGCTGGTATTCACGAGACAACTTACAACTCCATCATGAAGTGTGATGTTGATATTCGTAAGGACTTGTACGGTAACATTGTGCTCTCTGGTGGTACCACCATGTACCCCGGTATTGCCGACCGTATGCAGCGTGAGATCACCGCCCTTGCACCATCTTCGATGAAGATCAAGATTGTTGCACCTCCGGAACGTAAATACTCTGTGTGGATCGGTGGTTCCATCTTGGCCTCCCTCTCGACCTTCCAACAAATGTGGATCTCGAAGCAGGAGTACGATGAATCTGGCCCATCCATCGTTCACCGCAAGTGTTTCTAAGAGTATTCACTGCAAAAGAACAGTGGAAATACAACAAAAAGTAAAACCGTTGAAAATCAATAAAAAGGGTGGATATCTCATGGGCGTTAAATGTCGGGGAGTGTCCTGGCTTATTGCTGCTTGAGTAAAAAATGTTGTCGGGGTAGATGGTAGTAATTGTATGCTTAAACGATACCAATTATATTTTTCATATTTCTTTAATTCGGAATATTTTTTTATTCGACGTATGGCAAAACACCGTTAGTCTTGATGCGCAGCCACACTAGAGCCACGCTTTGACTCACTCAACTTTACACGTCACATTTTGACCACAGTTCCATTTCCGAAGATTGGTCGACCAACGCTGGAAGAAACGATGCAATCGTTGAGAGTCGTTCATCGACATTCACCCATGAGGCTATTGGGTCCTCTCAGCTTGAAAGCTGCGTTTGGAACACCCATCCCACGCGCTTCACTATCACAACCAAAGTGGTCGGCCTCATGTCGGAGTTATAGCGCTCGTCTCAGTTCAGGTAAGTAATGAATATCAAGCAATCAGCAGGCAGCGTACATTCTCAACTGCATCTGCAGACCGCTTTGCTCGTCGCACCATTCCTCGCCCTCCAATACGTCGACCCACACATGAACCCGCGTCTGCAGTTGAGCCAGATCTGTCCCTGGGCGCTTTGCAAACCACGGTAGAAAATACCGTCCCGGTTCGTTTACCAGAGCGGGATCCAGAGGGTGCGGTCCTCACGAAAGCGTCGGGTGCATATTCGGTGTTGGCTCATCCTGCTTTGATGGTGACGAGGCAACTTGAGATGATGAATGTCCTTATTGGTACGTTTGCCGCGCTGTTATTGTCTGTATCAAGGAGGATCAAATTATGACTAGTGTCTGGGTGATAGGGTATGAACAAGCAAACAAGTACGCCATCAAGAACGCCAATGGCCAAGATGTTGGATTTATTGCAGAGGAGGAGACCTCATTTTCTGGTGTTTTGGCTCGACAGTTTCTGCGTACCAGACGGCCTTTCAAGGCAGTGGTCCTGGATCAAAGTGGGAATGTAGTGTTGAAAGTATGTGTTCACTGCTCATGTAACTGCATGTCAGTAGCTGACATCCAATCCCATTTAGGTATCTCGTCCGTTGAAGTGGTTCCTTAACAGTACGATATTGATACATGACGCGGATGACAACCTCATTGGTGAAGTCACACAGTATGTATAACCACTGTAGGTTGCTTACATGGGAGACTAACAATTGCAACACCTCTCAGAGTATGGCATCTCTGGCGCCGAAAGTATGACTTGTTCTGGAAACGCCGCCAATTTGCCCAGATAGATGCAGGTACCAATCTATCCGCGAAACTCGTATAGCTTGCATTTTTAAAGCGTTCATTATCAGGTTTTTGGGCATGGGACTTTCATATACTCGACGAGAGCGGGATACGGATCGGTGAAGTGAATCGCAATTTTGTGGGCTTTGCTCGTGAGGTATAATAAAGCAACTGGCTGTTAACGAAGCGTCAGGGAAACCTTTCTGATGACCACGTCAATGGCAGATCTTTACAGATACTGGTACATACGCGATTCATATGGACGATGTTGAAAGAGTTGATCGCCCGTTGTCTCTGGATGAGCGCGCTGTGATGCTAGCTTGCGCCGTCAACATTGATATTGATTATTTTAGCAGACACTCTTCACATGGGTACGTTTTTAGCATTGCATCCCACAGTGTACATGTATTTAACCTCAATGTTGTCTTAGTGGTGGCTTCATGCCAATACCCTTCTTCGGAGGTATGGGTGAAGCGGAGAATACCGGCTCCGGTGTGCCAGCTCCAACCGCTGGAGGGGACGTTACCCCTTCAGCGGGCGCCGGCGGAACAGGTACCGGAGTCTTTGTTCCGTTTGGTATGATGGGCGGTATGGGAGGAAACGAGGGAGCTGCCGGACAGGCACCCCAAGGCGGTGCGTCAGGCCAGACGTCCCCCGCTCCACCTCCACCTCCAACAGATTCTCAGACAAACCAATGGGGGGAGAGCCCTTTCATCTCGGATGAAGAGGCGGGAGTGGGCAGTGGAGCAGGTGGATTCTTCGATGGGTTTTTTGATGATGACTGAATTTTGGCATAGAGTAATATATTATTTCCGTTGCGTGCTGATTCATCGCCATTAGCAGAGCACTTGCTGGCCAATGGGTTCGAGTCCTGGTTGCAGCAATTTTGCAACAGTCTATAATTTCACTTTTGCGGGCTATCGAATCCTTGTTACCATGACAATACATCTCGTCCACTTCATGTCATTGACACAGAAATCACCCAGGCGCACACGATTGCCCAAGGACTACAAGATGGGAGCCAAGTCCTCAAAGAAGGAGCCTATTGTAATATACAATGAGCCTGATGTGGCAATCCAGGTATGTTCATCTCCTTGTCCGCTGGTCAACCATGGTCCGCGGAGGGCAAAGTGTAGAGAAACAAGGCTAAACAATCGACTGTTGCGCGCTTTGTTTCTTTGTTCACATAGTTCTCTCCCAATCTCCTCCGAAAGTTGGAAGGCCAACCACCAGACGTAAGTCGGCATTGTGCATAAACAATAATCTACAAGATTGGGTTGATTGCGTTATTGAATGTGCTAATAAGTGTTCCTGCACAAGCCCGTTCTTGCCCGCTTCTCCGGCCTTCCCACTCCCCCACCTCCGCCGCACATGCCCCTCGGAGCACAATCCGTTCCACCCAACCGAAAGTCCGCACCCGAGCAGTCCCAACAACCGGCAGTCGAGTCAGCAGATATTGACAAAATTGTAAAGCAGCGTGTAGAAAGGGAGATTGAGCTTCATCAACAGAAGCGGTTGGTGCATGAGCAAAGATCTGCAGACCAGGTTCGGAGGGAAGTGGAGGATTTGCTAAAGAGGCAGAAGATGTAGGTTTTCAAATGGCTTATGATGAGATGTGAAGACCTGGAATTTTTTACTTTGTGACTTTGACAGTCCACCAAAGACAAAAGTTGATCCAGAATGTGTGGCAGCGCAAGACGCTGTCGTATCATGCTATAGGTACTTATTTTGACTTCTGCATTATCTGTTCCACATAGCCTAATCATGCCCTTTGTAGAAACAATCCATCACGGCCTCTAGACTGTTGGCGCGAAGTAGAGAACATGAAGGAAAAGGCCAAACAAGCACAAAGGGTCAGTATAATGTCTGTGCAATTTCCAAAAATGTCCTTGTTCTCATTTCATCTTCTGCTATAGAACTTTGTTGAATCACACTGAGTGGAAACGTGACAAACAGAATCTAGGTGGACTCTGGTGTGGCTTTGCTGTTGGGATGGATCATATGCTTGCGTACGCCAATATAATTGTAGATTACTCTATGCGAAGTTACTGCAAACTTGAGCACATTCCTCTTTACTTGTTACAGCCATTGAAAATGAAGCAATTGGCAAGTTGAGCAGCTGGCATTTCGGGTGGGAAGGCAGTCGCTCAGGATCCATCAAAGGCCGCACAAATCAAAGCCGTGTCTTATAAGGCTAGTGTACAATGCAGTTTACTTATTATACCATTCTTTCCTCAATAATAAATCAGTTTTTGTTACAATGAAAAATCTTACAAGAATTCACCAGAAAAATCGTCGAGAAAATTACTCCAGCAGCTCGGATGGCCACTGCAGGTGCAGCGCAATCACAATCCTCCGTTCAGTATATTGGCGGAATCAATTCTACTCTCCGTGCATGAAGATGTGTTTCCCCCTTTGCTGGAACTGCGTCATAGGCTTCCCACTCCCAATTACGCCAACCTTTGCCATTGGATCATCAGGAGTAGCAAAAATACTAGGCTTTTTTAATGGAGGTTTGGCTGCGACCACAGAAGCTTTGCGCTTCTTACTATCCCCTGTCGCAAACGACAGCCATGCCTTTTGCTTCTCGAGCTGCTCCTTATCCCGCTTTGATACGCTAGCACCGTCTTTGGACTTGAACTTCTTTTTCTTCTTGTTCACATCTGGGTTGGTTGCTGCTGTTGTTGCTGGTGTTACCGGTGGTGCAATTGGACGCTTTTTGGCGGCGGATTGGGATGTGGTAGCGGTAGACACAGGTCGTATATCGGATGACATGACTGTTTCTTGGTTTCCATATCCCTTGAATGTGACCATGTACTTTGAAGAGCCATCCGCCGTTGTGGATTCCTCAAGAACAGCATCTATGACTGCCTCGTAATACTTGCCGTCACCGGAAAACTTTGCCATAACCGTAGCACCCACCGTGCATATTTTTTTCGCAGCTTCCTCCCCATATCCCCCGACGGGTCGCTTTCGCTTATTGTCGCTTGTAGTTATCGTAGCAGTTTGTTGCTGTTGTTTGACGGCTTCGCTGTAGAGATTGATGAGTTCGGTAATGTTTTCGCGCAGCTTGTGCAGTTCGGGATTGTCTGGATCTTTGGCTATAGCTTCGTCTACCTGATCGAGTTGAAATTGGTATTGTGCGAGTTCTTCAGCCATGGTTTGCTACTGTTGTGCGTCTGGGGGCTGAAATGGAGGAGGACACAGCAGATGCAGGAATGTAAAGGAGGTTGTGCACTGGAACTTGATTTTTGCTTGGGGGACATTTCATTTCAATATCACGTGATCATATCTCACAAACCGCTGTTTTCACATTCATGAAATGGATTTTAAGATTAGTCTATGGTGGTCTTTTTGACAATCATGAATATTATTTATTATCAGTAGTCGTTATAAGCAAGTGTTGCCAAGTGTAAGAGTATTATTTACCAACAGGACCATGACCCTCAGCGTGAGCTCAAGAGAGGGAGCGACTGCATTTGCTCCATAAAATCCAACTTTATAGTATGCACATCGGAGAATTTAAATGCTTCTGACCAGGGGAGCTTACGGTAACCCTGCATTTCGTGCACTGCGTTATTCACCGATAGCTATTTTGGTATCATTCCGACCTCAAGTCATTGATACCCCCAAAACACGGTCGACCAAGCTGGAACGCTTCACTTCTTTCACTTTGATATTAGAACTTGATCTACTGTCCAATCCAAATCACATAATCATGGCGGAAGCAGCTGTTCAACGAGGACAACCTCCTCGAGTACGGAATCAGGTTCATGATGATGCGATATGGTATTTCATTTGTGCATTAGAAGACGCAGTCGTTTTCATCATCAACAATATACTGAAATTATCAGGCGGCAAACGACAAACTATGAACTGTCGACCGCAAAGAACTGGAACGAAAATTGGGGATTTATGCGAGAGCTCTACAAGGTTGCAACATTCCGCGTTACGAAATATGAATGAGGTTAATCATACCCAGCTTTTTGTCCTTTTCTAGTATCAGGAAGCCAACAGTAAATCAAATGTGAAACTACCTCCTCTGTCCAGCACCACTCCCCGCCCCTTTATCTCTGGCCTACCTTCCAAACTCCCGCAAGGCCTAACAACAGATCCTAAATCGTACACGGCAGATCTCCTCTGCATCCATGACGTGCCCCGTATCATCCGAACTCGCTACCCACGCCAAAAATATACATACCCTGCCACAACCCAACATGAAATTGGATGGGACTGGGAACGAGATGAGGCGGAGGAAGCAGGGCTGGGAATCGAAAAGGGTCTCAAGGCGGATCAATCGAAAACAGGAGACCCGAATAAAATGGTCCCATGCGAAAAGTCTGGGTTGGAGTACATTCAGAGGCGCTTGGTAGCAGATGCGAATCCTACACCAATTAAATTTAGAACACTGGAGAAGTTTGGACGTTTTGCTAGAGGCAAAGAAGATGTATTGAAGTGGTGGGGAGGGTCAAGGGAATCTTTGCCTTGATCGACGGTTCAAAGCTCAATTGGTGGCATTGGAGAGAGTGATTCTGTGCAATGGTTCGTAAAAAGTCAATGACTTTGATTTTTGGTACATATGCAACGCCGAATAAACCAAATGAATTCCAAACAGTACAACCTGCGTAAATCGAAACATTTTGCAGCACAGCATAAAGCAAGGCAATTGAATCCTCAGTATTACAAGTATGGACCATGGTTATAAGAAAAATATGTATTTCCATTTATTGGAACAATGAACGTCCGCCAGGCGATAGAGCGTTTATCAAGATGGGTATATGCTTAATTCGAGACCCCAGTTGATCCAAAGCCCCCAGCTCCACGGACGGTCTCTTCCAGCGTCTTTGAGTTACAGACAAATAGCCGATCAGGACAACGTACGGAGGGATACGGTAGAAATGCTCTCCAAGATCTCACCTTAACTTCGACAACCTCAGGCGTGACAATTCGTTCCAATACCAATTGAGCGATGCGATCACCCTCCTCAACTAACAGATGCCCAACCATGTGAGCGTTCGTAAACCATTACATAAATCAATTACTAGTTACTCACTCTTGAACTCATTTTCACCAAAGTTGAACAAAACAACACCGACAGGACCTCGGTAGTCGGCATCCACAACACCAGCACCAACATCAATAAAATGTTTTACAGCCAACCCGCTTCTAGGGGCAACGCGGCCGTATGTGTTTGGAGGTACAGCAATTGATAGGTCAGTAGGCACGATTGCTCGTGAATGGGGTGGAATGCTCATAGCCTTGGCACTAATAATCGCCATTATGAGCTCAGGAATATGCATGGGATAGGCTGAGAGACAAAATAAAGGCCAGAATGTACCTGCAGAGGTCGTAACCAGCAGCGAAAGCGCTTCCCCGTCTTGGGAGCCTCGCCTTTTCGCTCAACCGCTTTACAAGTAGAGGAGCGGCGGCTGTAGACTGAACAGCAGCGACAATAGGTTCGGCGGCGGTCATTCTCACAAAATGCAGATGGATGTAAAGGAGTTACAAATTGTCTGTGCAAGGACCAAGTGGACGAATCAAGCGGGGTTTTGTCCGAAAGAAACCACATTTTAATGCTTTCTAGCCGGCGTGAACCATATCCAATATCCAGCAGCTCAGTCATTAATGGCTTCTCCCAAATCCCAGACTCATCCGAGGCCGACCATCGTCGTCGGCAGTATCCTACATCCCATAAAGAAATGGGTAAAATCCATTGCCCACAACGGGGGCCGTGGCCGTCTGGTCAAAGGGTGTTACATTCGAGAGGCCCGCAAGCAAAAACTGAGGAATCAGGTGACAGAAACCTGCTGACGTGTCGTGTTTACAAAGCAACACGCGCAGAAGGGCAACTCGTGGCCAAGTTGGACGGGTCCAGCTGTTGCGCTGCGTTTTCGTTGAGACCTTTTGGTTAAAAGGTTCAGTGAAAGTAACTGAACGGCGTCTAAAAGGCGTTTATATTTTAGCTAGCCCTTGTGCACTTGAAGCGCACCGCCAAAAGGACAGCAACAGGAATGTTCAACTGTTCTGTAGAATACAGGGACTCTAAAAAGGACATCACTTTCCCACACACGCCAAGTTTTAACGAACTACGGGAATGTGTGTGCAAGGCCCACTCTATTGCAGACAGAAACTCTATTGAGCTGAGGTTGGCAGTGGACGATGAAACTGTGCTGCAAAGCGATGAGTAAGTTATGGGCCCTCATAACATTCTATTATATTTGACTGACACCAGAAAAATGAAGGGACGTAAACCGCTTACTGAACGGAGACATAACAGAGGTTTCTTTAGTTGTCATGGATCAGGAAGGCGACGAGTCGGGGGATGAATTTGTGGTTGTCAGCAAAGATGTGGTTGAGGATGCCTGTATAGTAACCGCAACGGATGCAGTTGGTTCAGAGCACGACCCTACCGCGCCAGATAGCGGGGACAAGGCCGTTCTGAGCAACATTCTCCGTGCTCCGCTGTTGGTCGATGCTGATGAAGGCGAATGCGAGAAATGCGAGTTGGTGGCAGAGGAGATACCAGCAGAACCGCATATTGGGGAGCGTGGAGCGACGGAAGCGATAAGGGATGCACTATCCAGTAATGAAGACGAGCACGAGGGCACATCTGCAAAGCATAATCAATCTGACGAGGCTTCGGCCGGGATATCAGGAACCAGCGAGGTCAAGGAATCATCTAATTCTTTTGACAGCTTCCTCTGCGAGGTTCAGCCTTTGATCGACACTTTGCTAACCAAACTGGAATCTAACCCTCAACATCTTTCGCGCCTACAAATGCACATGAACTCGACACTGGCAAACCGAAACTGGGGAATTACTGTTCTTCCAAATGCATCGCCGCAAGTACGACCAGGATCGTCTGCATCCAATCGGACATCGACATCCGAAATGCAGACCCATCCAGTGGTAAAGTGGAATTCTGTAATCTGTGATGGCTGTGAAAGGCGTCACTTTACAGGACCTCGATACAAATGCTTAAGCTGTCCGGACTATGACCTCTGTGGCCGCTGTTTCGAAAACAGACGAGACGTGCACGATACTGCTCATGGCTTTGAAGAACTGAAAAATGTCAAGGATGTATGGGTTGGAGTATCATGTGATGGTTGCGGAAGACGTGGGTTTGCGGGAAAGAGGTACAAATGCTCAGAATGCCGACACTATGGTAATGCTTCAACTCTGCACAGATTTTGAGTGTTGTAATTAGTATTAACCACATTTATGTCGTTGTGCAGATCTCTGCGAAAATTGCTATAGTTCTCTCCGCACTTCTACCCTCCACGTCCCGTGGCACACGTTCACAGCTCTTGATCCCACCTCATACCCTAGATCTACGCGCCCGTTGACGACACGGTATGATGAGATATTCATCTAAGCTGTGTAGCTAGGGGAGGCCAAAAGCGGGCATATTGGGAGATTGCATTGCTGTAACCAGTTTAACGGTTGCATGGTTCCTCATATTTTGGTTTTAGCATCTGTACAGGGGATGTAGCTAGTTAGCATCTCATGTAGGAATTCTGTGTATATTGATTTCAGTGTATATCTGTTGTTTGGTGTCCATGCTCTGGATCAAAAAATATCACTTATTGCATGGTACTTTTCCTGTCCACTATAGTGTGGAGGTCATTGAAAATGGCACTAAGACCCATTATTATCCGGATTAATCCGGTTAGTCATATCGCATAATCAGCACCCCCTCTATCGCTCAAAACGGTGAGGCATGCTAATGTAATGTTTTTTTTTTAAACTGCGGTGAGGCGCATGCCAAAGGTCCATAAAAGGGGGGCCTTCTGTCTCTTCCCTCTTGTTTCTTTATCCCTCAACTCAAAGCATCTGTGCAACTCTTCTCATCGCGACTGTCGGTCGAATCATGAGAATACAGATGTGGTGGTGTCGAGGACCTCGACCGCCCGACAGCAACCGTGATCAGAACCAGCGGCAACCAATCGGATCCGATAACAAAACCTACTATTATACTGCCACATTAGTTGAGCTTGGTTGGTATGTATCGATGTCATTTCTTGCATTTCTTGTCATCGGGTCATCTTCTGACATGCAGTTTTTAGTCTCCAAGCCTTGTCACTGAAGATCCTCCAGCTTGCGAGTCTCCCCAATGTTGCGAAGACTCTGGCTTCAATGGCATCAAGAGTTCTGGATCAAGGCCTAGTAGGGACCGCGTGTGGTGGTGGGCAATTATCCGGTTAGAACAACCGCTACGTATTACGTGTATAATTGCCTAGTAGTAGTTAGTTAGCTTTTCCGAACCGGTTGTCGCCGGTTCATTCCCTGGTGTAGTAGCTAGTGCCAGTTTCTGTCACCTCTACACTACTAAATGTTCATGGTATTTTCATCTGATCACGGGTGTCACGCTTACATAAGCACGGGTGGCAGACGTCAACTGCGGTTCGTGCCTTCTTTCCAACTAGCAAAGAAGGTATAATCTTGTTCAAACCTTGGTGAACCATGCTACGATCCTTTTTGGGCAGCCTTTGGCGGCCCGTGAAGGGGCTCGGGCATCCTCTCCAAGGCCGACTCGCAAGGCCGTGGGAGGCGACCGAGGTGTCTGTTAGCCAAGGCTATTCTTCCAGCGGCATTCCCTCTCCTTCGTCGAGTCGGCTGTTGCAGGTTGCTCGTCGTACGGTTTTGCACCAGTTATTTCTTCGTGCTGGAGTGACCCAGGTTGGTAACTTACAGCGTTTGCAATACAGCTAAACCAAGGACTCAGTATCTTCTTTGTTACAGAAAGCCGCCCCTCAGTTACCTCTTCTTCCATACAGTCACCTTCTTGATGCGCTTCGGTCCGTATTCCCAGGGATTGCTCGAAAAATGGCAACTCAGAATATTACTTCAACTGCATGGGCATTGCCGAAGAACACATCAGCCTTCCGAGGCAGGTTCTATACTGGAAGGGGTCCAATTGGCCAAGCTCCACCTTTCGGCCGTATTTTCCCGGCGCAAAACACCATGTTTGGCGCTTACAGTACTCGAGGATTCACTCAAGGATCCAGACAGTTTGGCGGTCGGAGGAATTTCACCACTGGATTTGGCCAGCAAACTTTTCAAAGTCATGGGCCTTCTGTGTCGAACTCATTTGCTGGCTTCAAAGTGTTACCTGGTGCTGTGACAGAGGAGATGAAGGACAAGAATGGGATGGGTGATGATTTGAAAGCTAGGTTACGGGCACGTGTGACCAGGACTCCAAAAAGGAGACTGGTTCCAAAGGCGGTGAAGTCTATTCGCCCTGCCCGCTTGGGTGTCTTGTTGAAGCGCGCTGTGGACGTTGAACCCGCTGGTCTGGGTGCGGCTGTAGAGAACACTGGCACTGCCGTTGTAGTACGTACTGCAAAGAAAGTCGTAACAAAGCGGTCGCCCGTGCAGGTCAACCCTGCATCCAGCAAGGCCGTCTCGGTCTCCATGTCCATCTTGTAAGTCCTATTCGTCGAATGTGACATGGGGACATGAAATATAACCTAACCTCCCACCTATTTTCACACAGCCTCTATGGTCCCCCTGCCTGGGAAATGGACTCTATTTCGAGAGCTGGTTCACAGAACCTGACAGTAGCCCTCATTACCGAAATCCGTTCCCTCGCCCGATTACACAAAGATCATCTAACAGCCACAGCGATAATCCTGGAGAAGCTGCTGCAAAGTGGACTCAGAGATTTACATGTGCGAGAGGAGGAAGGCGGGACTTATGAGCTAATTGTCGCGTTTCCGACAGGCTTGTCTTTGACAGATGTAGTGGATTATCTGTTGGTTATGGGCATCGATCCCTGTAGCCCCCACTTCAAGCTAGAAGAGCATCAGCTTAAAAGCGATATGCCTCGTAGGCAAGAGCCCGCAATGAATGGCGTCAACTTTCCATGGCCCGCGGCTCACTCATGCACAAGCTCACTTGACTCCCACCATGTGTCCGACAACCTCCCGGCGGATGCGAGCGCATTTTTAAGCATGGTGGAAAGTTTGATAAGTGCAAGTGAACAGTTTGGGAGCGGGTCCAGGGGAACAGTAAAGTGAAATGAACTAGTTTAGAAGGATCATTATTGTTTCCCTGATAGTCCATGTAGTATAGGTGTTTTTTCGTTGGTGGTGGGAGTGTTCTACCTCATTTATGTTATATACGCGGTTTCTCTCCATGTTAACAGATGGTTGCAAGTGGCTAAAAATAGCTACCCTGCGGCTTGTTCAATATGACTGACTGTAATGACGATCTGCGCTGATCCACTCATCTGGCATATCCTTCATCAAGTTTCTCTTTCGCTGGAGACATGGCCTACTTCATGATCGCTGGACGAGCAAATGATCCCGAATATGCACGGGCAAGCCTCAATTTATTGCAATTAAAGCCTCATCCCAATCCACTAACCCACTCGATCCACAGGCTGAAATGCTTGCCCATCATCTCAATATCAACCTCCCTTCTTTCCATATCACTCTTCTCCCCCAACATCCTGACGATTGGCCAGACTATGCACGTCAGATATTCATCCAAAACGGGTGGGCAAACCGTATGGCCCACGATCGGACATTCAAGACTCCGGAAGGACTGGAACAGATGGTCTGGCGAGAAAGTGGCGAGTTGATAGGTACGCTTTTTTGCAAGCTATCATATATGTGACCACTATGTGTAACACCTGGATTTTGCCACAGGCGATACAAAAGATTTCTTGAAATTTGTAGGTTATTCACTCCCTAGCCTCAGATTATTTTGTGGTTAACTAAACCTTTTTGGACAGATCAAGCAAGCATATGATCAAGAATACAATCTTGATGATGGCACGCTAGCGGATATTGCAAAAGAGAATTACGAAGAGCTATTGGCGAGTAAGCAGGCTAGTAAGTAGAGATAGAAGTAGTAGTAGATGAGGTTAGCGAAGTGTTGTCACCTCTGGAATACTGTATAGCATTGCTGGAAACTGGTGCATGAAATGGGAATTTTCTCATAGTGACGATTAGATAGATACAAAACAGAAGCGACATCTAAGCAGATACCATCACATACAAAAAGGTACAGCACCATACGAATCGTTATAAAAAGGTTACTAAACATTGCTACCTACACTGTCTCCATATAACGAAGTCTCTCCCATGCAGTGACAGCCCCACACCATTCTTTCCATTCCGCCACTCGCGTTCCTCCAAAATGTTCAATAAATTCATCGCCAAGCACTTTTCTCGCCACACTCCCTTCCTCCAACATCTTGCTGGTTGCCTCCTTCAAGTCCCCTGGTAATCTCTGGACTGGGACATCGTTCAAATCAAGTTCATTTTCAATGCCCCAAACTCCTGCAGCCAAACATCCAGCAATTGCCAGATAAGGGTTCACGTCTGCTCCAGGGACACGGAACTCAATCCGTGAAGGCGGAATGAGTCGTATGGCCGAGGTGCGGTTTTGAAGACCGTACGACGTAGTAGTAGGTGCCCAGTAATTTTCCACGAGTCGCTTGTAAGAGTTGACAGTTGGTGCGAAGAGAGGTAAAAGCGAAGGAAGAGCGGTCAATATCCCTGCGATAAACTGTCTGCAGACCTTATTGATGGAATCTTCGGTTTCCTTCATTTCGAACACGGATTTTTTTGTAGAGATGGATTTGAGACTGAAGTGGATGTGTCCTGAGCATCCAGGTAGATTGCTGTGTGGTTTTGCCATGAAACTTGGCATGATTCCATACTGCATTCCGATCTGTTTGGCAGCTGTTTTGAACAAATGGGCTCGGTCTGCCATCTCAAGAGCATCAGTGTACGCCAGAGCAGCTTCGTACACTCCTGGCCCAGTCTCCGTATGAAACCCTTCGATGGGGATGCGGTAGGAAAGGCAGGACGTATATATGCTGTTGAAATACGATTGGTTTAAAGTTGGTCGTAGGAGAGAGTACCCGAACATGCCAGGTGTGAGTGGCTTCAAATCTTGACCTTGCTTTGACGCCAAGGTCTCGGGTGTTTCTGGTACAGATCAGAAAGCTGATGATCAAATGCAAATCTGCAATGATCATGGACGACGGTCAACATACCTTGAAAGCTGAAGAACTCATATTCCATTCCACAAAATGGCATATACCCAGCCTTCTCACAATGTTTGATCACTCTTTTCAACAGGGCACGAGGACAAAATGGGTACGGCTCATTAGTGTCGGGAGTATAAAAGTCCAAGAGAAAGTGCGGAACATTATCGTCCCATGGTACCCGGCGGAGAGTGGATAGGTCAGGACGGGCGAGGATGTCTGGATACGCTGTTTCCCGGGCTTTATTGGGAAAAACGTTTGGATCATACGTTTTGTCATGCATATCCCAGCCAAATGTTACGTTGCAAAAGCCTTGTCGATACCAACTGGTTAGTGCTAAAGCCTCATCAGGGCAAGCCCATTCAGCAGCTACCAAATCCCTCTTCGGCAGCTTTCAAGAACTTTTCAGTTGACATTATTTTGCCTCTATTTAAAAACAGAGTTAATATCTGAATTTTCCAGGGTCGTTTGGCATTCCTCATTGCTTCTCCCTACCGTGCTATACCATCGATATCGCAACCAGAGACTTTAACGCGGGTGTCATTTTTGAGCTGAGATGCAAGGTCCGAAGGCTTGACGGCCATATTTGATGAATCTGACATTTCTTACTGACGACGGCGGGTATGCGATGGTTGGACAACTCTTCCAACGTTGCGGACGGGCGTCCCCACCCACAACGGACGCGACGCGTGCATAATCGGCCGACAAAAACCGTTGCTGGCTCAATTCTAAAATGTCTCCAGCGAGATTCGAAAGGTGTCTATTTACCCGAAATGGCAACTGAGCAATTCAGAGTCTGTTGATGATCGCTTTTAGGAGAATCGGCTTTTGGGTTTCGCTGATCCTCCCCGCCCCGGATCCTCAATTGGCTTCTTTGTAGAGAAGCTCCATCTCTTCTCTACCCGTATCCTGATCCCTGTGCTCTTCCTGTGGTTGGTCACGTCCCCGCGCTTCTGAGAACACCGTTGGAACTGTCTCGGGTATCGCAAACTGGCGCCAAACATCAAGGATAAACATACCTTGCCTCAGAACCTAAAAGTCAAGAACCTCATCGATGCTTGAGAACGGCCGTCGCTTATCTCAACCAGTGCGTCCAATTGATGCCATTCAGCCCGCTAAACAAGTCCCATTAACGTGCCCGGGACATACGCGGCCGGTGGTGGATTTGGGATTTTCTTCGTTTACCTATACCGGCGACTTCTTTTTGATTAGTGCTTGTAAAGGTTGGCATTTCTATGGCGGTTAACGTGGCTTGGACTACACTTCCAGAGCTGATATCGCCGTGGTAACATAGATTCAGTGCCAATCTTGAGGAGAGGCAATACTGGGGATTGGGTTGGCAGCTTCCAAGGTATGCATTGTACAACGCTTCCCTCACGAAGTATCGTTGTTGATGCTAGTACATAACGGTGTGATAGGTCATAAAGGGGCGGTCTGGTCAGCCCGTCTAAGCCGAGACGCCACTCTCTCCGTTACCGGTTCCGCAGATTTTACGGCAAAGATTTGGGATAACCTTACAGGTGTCGCAAAGGTTACCTTGGACCATTCTCATGTCGTTCGCTGTGTGGATATCACGGGAGAAGGGCGTTACGTTCTTACGGGCGGTTACGAGAAGAAGGTCCGCATTTTTGACCTGCAGGGGGATGGGAAGAGGGAGCCTATGAGAGTATTGGAGGGATGTGAGAACGAGATCAAAACAGCCTTATTGGATGGTGATCATGGGTGAGTATATCCCCGTGACGGAATCGACATATTTGCGGTCACTCAACTGAATCAAATGTTCAGCTTGGTTTTTGCCGGAGATGGGAAAAACCTTCGCGTGTGGGATCTCCGGACATCAAGCGAAATCAGCAACCGGGAATTTGAATCCGAAATTTCCAGTTTACGATTCTCGTGGGATAAAAAGTTCATCATCTGCACCGCAGGGAAGAAAGTGTTGTTTTATAATGCATTGAGGTGAGCATCTTACTGTGGATGCCTGACATTATCTTCTGTTCCCCTGATTCCAGCCTTTTGAAATAGCTCTGCTCTGGAAAAATCCTTTGACGTCAATATCAGTGCATCGTCGGCAAGTCTCCATCCCTCTGGAGGCAAATTTGTCGTTGGCGGAAGTCAAGACCTGTGGGTGCGCGTGTACGATTGGAAGACCGGGGAAGAGCAAGGTGAGTGGGAAATTAAAATTCGCAGCTAAGGACAGCCAGTGGTAAATTTGCTCGTTCTGCTATGATATTATTGCGATTGGCAGAGGTATATAAAGGACATCATGGACCCATTCATTGCGTAAGCTATAGCCCAGATGGTCATCTCTATGCCACGGGAAGTGAGGACGGAACTGTGAGGTAATTTATTGGTGGGTTTGCGTGGCTCTTTTTGATGTCGAGCTAATATGGGGCTCTACTGTCGCAGATTGTGGCAAACCGTTCCCGGCATCAAATACGGCTTGTGGGAACAACAGTAATTCGTTATGAAGCGACCAAACCGGTCCGATTTTTTTTTATCTTGCTCTTCTTTGGACCCGATTGGGCGACCTCATACCACATAAAAAGTGTCCAACTGTTCGTCTTTATCTAACATTTTCTTATATACGTACAGTCAGGAATAGGGAAGGGGGGTTCGGGCATGAGAATATCTCACGCTTCCTTATTGACGTGTGATTTGAAAGGATCAGACGTACTATTTGTAATTAACCAGAAAAGGTGTAAACCAAAAAGAAAATAAAAAAAGCCAAGAACGAGATATAGGCAAATGATGCTTTTGCACGCGTCTGCGCAGTTGCTGATCAGAGACCGTTGTTTTTACCATAACCACAACAACAGCAGAGATATAGGTAGAGGCCGATAGACGGTCTGTCCATAATGACTTCAACGCCATTTCTGGCAGTGTTCACCTCTCCGGAGGTTCAATTACCAGAACTTACCTCTTACCTCTCCCTTGACGGCATCCATGTTCCCAACGACAGGCCATATGTATGGCAAAATGCAGTCACATCCTTAGACGGGGTGATTGGGCTTGCGGAAATTGGATGCACTGATGCTGGGTATGTATGTAAAGCTGCTACCGGATGGGTGGTACCATTTGAAGTTCTTTGATACTCTGTGCTAGGCCTATTGCCATGAAGCACATGGAGCAAGTGAAAGGCTCGTTGACCGATTGGAGAATACTCAATTTTGGATGGGCATGCGCAGACGGCGTGCTGGTGACTGGCGCCAACCTGAGAAATGAACCAGAATTTGATGGGTGGTTTACAAGGTGAGACGATTTGGGCATTTTCCGTTGTGAGCGTATCGATGACCAAATTGTATATGTGCTTCCTTAGGTTCCAAGATCTACAAAACTATCGCCAGACAAACCTCAAAAGCCCTGATCACCCTCTTCAAATCATTGTAACGAACAGCGGGGAATTGCCTCTGGACCATCCCGTTTTCCAACGGGTTGACTTGAAAGTTCTTATCGTCACAGGCGGACGCGGAAGCAGGTGCTTGGCTGAGCGCGGGAAATCAGAGAATGTCGTTGTTTGCGGTGAAGATGTGGTGGATTTGAGACAGTTGATGAAAGTTTTGAAGGAGAGTTATCAGATCCAGGTCCGTCCGTCATCCGAGGCACAAAATCTTGATAATCCTTCAAGGGCCCTCTACTCACAGACAACCATAGACATTAGATATTTCCACAGGCGGAGCTTTTGCATCTGACTGCCTGAACCTTGGTCTAATTGATGAAGTGCGATATACTTTATCAGGGCAGATATGCGGACGAGTCAACTCGCAAAATCAGCAGCGACCAGTTTTATTTCCCAACGTTCGATTCAATTGGGTAGATCGTCCGGCAGGGCTGGGTAATCCTTTGATACATTATTTGGGGATTAGAGCTGTCGATGAGCATTTTGTTTTTGTCAGGGGTCGGGTGGAATACAGGTAGAATGAGTGTATGGAAATATATATACTATCAAATATGTTTGACATCAAGAAACTTGTGTTCAGGGCACTTTAGTATCTTCATAGTTTGCACGCAGAGGAGGGAAGTGGGCGTAAGGAAATCTGCACGAAACATGTGTGTATTCGCCTTGCCAACGTTCAAAAGCGACCGACGTATTGACCAGGACCCAGTACAATCACGTTTAAATTCCGATAAATGTGAGTTGGATCAGCGCGCTGGGATTGTAGAGGATGAGACGGCAACGGGGTTTACTTGACGAACAAGATTTACGAAAACGCCACAGAACAGGCGATATCAATCATCCGCAACAGCCATACACAGTCAAAGGCTCTGATGATGCCGATTCCTCTTCCCAAGTCCTCGCTGCAACAAATCTGGCGGATGTCTTCCAGAGCCTCCCTGCAGAACACATCCGGGCAGCCAGCAATCTGGTTGAGCGGATCTTACGACTGTCTCCAGACAAGCTACAGCGGACGAACAAATTCCTTGATGGATTAGGACCTGATGAGAGCGGAAAGGGGAACCTGGAAGGACCAGTGGTGTCTGGACCTACGATTGGGACCACTTCATCCACATCTGCTGACGAGCATGAGCGTCCGAAACCTGCGGATAAAATAACATTACCATTCAAGGTGCCTTCACCACAAGTAAGCCATTTCAATGGAGGAATTGGAAGGACCAAGGGCAAGCAACCAATGGACAGGTGGGCGCGGGATTCTCGGACAATCCAAAATACAAGTACTGTACCATTTCAGGGTCCGTCTGATGGTAATCGGCCTCCTGTGCTACACCTTTTACAAGGGCTACAGCATTGGCTTAGAAGTGCCGAAGAAAACTCACGTCCGCCCTTGCAAGACCCGTTGGCTAGAGGACAGTTATCCAATGTGACAGGATTCTCTGATTGTCGGAAAGTGGTTGAGAATGTGTTGCATGATTACGGACGAGAGGAAACGAAACAGATGCTGGATGAGGCAGCGACAAAGTTAAGCCAACGCGTATGTGAGCTGTGCTCCACCACGCCATTTTACTGCCTTCTATTGGCACTGTTTGAGAACCATCCTCAACTACGGGAGTTTCATGCTGAAAGCTTCAGGAATGCAGTTGATGCCCATGATTTCAATCCTGAGCAGTTGAGTGCCGTACTGGCGGATAAGGAACGCCCACTACTGGTTAACGCTGGGTACGTCGCATTCAGGGACATCTTTGAATTGAAGATGTTTCTCATAACTTGGCAGTCCAGGCACAGGGAAAACCGCTACTTTAGTTGGCAGGATCCTGTTCCTCTTGTCCCAACAGATCTCTCCCCACAGACTGATTGTCATCACCTTTACAAAAAATGCAGCGGAAACCTTGAAGACTCGTATAAGTTCACTGGCGGGGTATCACAGACCTATTAATTTGCCGTTTGTTCGCACCATCGATTCTCTCGCCTCATTTTATTGCCGCCAGTTCATCGAAGATCCTCCAAACACTGTCATTCCAGACGAGGAATATATTAAAAAGCTATTGGACCGACTCTATGAATCAAATCCCGATATCGAGGCGTCCAGGACGTCTTTGGAGAACGCACTGAGCTCGCTTTATCGCACTGCTCATCTATGTGATGCGTTGCGGCCGTATGCCGAGAGAATCACGGAGATTGAACATGAACTATGGAGGGAGGGAATATGTACACATCGAGCGAGATTGATACGGGTGGTGAAGCATCTTAGCTCGACTCCGCAGCTGGCGGAACACTTCCGAGACCAGTATTACCTTCTCGTGGATGAATTTCAGGATGTTGATAGATGGCAAGAGGTAATTTGTTTGGTACTCGACAAATGGTCTGGAAACTAACATCGGTATGATTGGACGCCAGATGTTTATTAAACATATGATATCCGGAAGCCGCTCCCCAGGTATCGAAAAATCGCCCAGGCCTTACCGAATCACAGTCGTCGGAGACGATGATCAGACGATTTATCATTTTCGTGGTGCAGCTCCAGAGGTTATGGAGAGATTCAAGAAACGATTTGACCGTCATCATCTCAATGAAGTCACCCTCTTGTCGAACTATCGTACAATTCAGAGCATCATTGATTTCAATTCTTCGGTAATTGCGTTGGCGTCCCGACGGCAAAAGGAAAACAAAGGGGCCTTCAGATCTTGCGTCCCTGCTGGCAGCAGAGAGATGAACTGTAGCGACATTGGAGTCTGTTACGAAACTACAGTAAGCGGTACAATGGGTGGTTCAAGTTAAAGATCACTTATCAACCATTTGTTTATAATTATGAATTTTAGCTCGACGAAGCGTGCCGGCACACATACAAAACCGCTTCTAAACTAGTAGCAATGGAAAACGTTCCATCATCGGACATCGCCATCCTCGCTTACCGTAACGATGAGTGCTCTCGTTTCACAGATTTTTGCACAGCGGAGACAACCAATGTTCTCGCAGAAACCCTCATTTCAACCATCCATGGTGCCAAGGGTTTAGAGCGTGGCCATGTGTTTGTTCTCTTAAAGCTTAAGAACGGTAAAATTGGGGTGTCAGGCGAGGAGGAGAGAAGAAGGGTGTATGTAGCGCTGACTAGAGCCAAGTACACACTCCATATCGTGTTCTTTGGTGCACCGACCACAATGACATGGCGTACATTGATGGAGGAGTTTATGGAATCGAGGAGCGTGTCTTGGAGCCAACCAAGGTGTATCTTTGCTGAGGTTACGGAGGATTTGGAATTGAGTGATCATGAAGAAGAGGATGGTGCCGCCGTCTCGCAAAAGCTTCATATCGCCACTCCCATGAGCTGTCCTACCCAAGATTCCGAACGAACCACTATTGGTGCGCTGTCGCAAGAAAATATGACAGGGTGCTCATTGTCGTATTCGCCCACTCCGTCAAATTTACCTGGTCAGCCAACACCCTCCAGCCTACCTTTGACGAGCCTAAGTTTGCATGATGTCACCGGTACATTCGGGCCGCTTCTCCCAGAAACTCACTCTTTGAGTGCAACAAAGATTGCGAGCTACTTTATTACGCGCTGTCCTCGACTCCTTCATCGCCTTGCAACGCCATTGGTCGCATTCCAGAATGGAAACGATACTCCGATTTCTTCACTCTTAAAGCGCAGCGGAGATGACTGGGAGCGGCGAATAACGGAGTGGATCGAGAAGAGCGGCTATATGTGCTCATCTCGCGAAAAGGTCGGCTCAGCAGAGCAACTTATTGCTCTGATAGAACGTGTCCCTAGCGGCCACTATATTTACGAGCCGAACATTCAAGTGCCGGTCGAGGTGAATGCCATGATTGGCTTGGCAAGATCGGGAGCCCGCTTGCAGCCACGTATCAAGACCATTAAGCCAGACTTTCTCCACTTGACAAGGGCTGAAAATGGTACTACTGTGCTTCAGATAATCGATGCAAAGTTCAGTACTGGGATCAAAGCATACCAGGTAGGAAGCAATTTTGTTGGATTATCGACAACGGATTCACCTCGCACTTTTCCTTCGCAGAAAATACAAGTCTCGCTTTATAGCATGATACTACAATCGATGTTGCAGCTTGCAAAGAATCACCAGATAGTAATCGATCAAGTTGGGCAAATATGGCTCCCAGGTTCTGACCGACAACCTAGTGGAGTCAACTATCCATTGGAACCCGGTGAACGGATTCCCTTTTCTATTCCAAATATCACTTTGGGCATCCGCTCTTTTTTTACCAATGAGCTTCCCAGTATTCTTTCACCTGAAGGTGAAGCCGATTTCCACCTCACACCGGATTGTGCTGATTGCAAGTACTTGAATGAATGCTATAACGAAGCAAAAGAGAAGATGGATTTGATGATTGTCCCTGGGGTGAATAGACGGGTAAAAGACCTGTGTGGGGAATTAGGAATTCGAGATATTGAAGATTTGGGAAGTCCAAACGAAAAAGCCAGCCGAGTAATTGACAAACCTGCATTACGGGTGAGGATTCTTTGTCTTCAATTTGGAATACACTTGTTCCTTACGTTCCACAGGCTTTGTCGGTTAAATCCAGTCGTCTCATTCATCTCAATCGACCTTCCCTCCGGATTCCTTGCCGCTCAGACCAAACCCTGATTATCAGCATTTCCCAAGACCCCATTGACCACACCCCTCTCCTCCTCGGATATGGAATTTTTGCGGGGACGTCGCTAAGTTCTTGGAAAGTCTACCCTGTGGGAACGCCCACAACGGTTGAAGCCTATATAAACGTACTGCACAGTATCATGTCAGCAGCAGAAACCGCTGGAAAAAGTCTCACTGTTTGGGTAGGCGAAGCCGAGGAACTGGGAAACTTCGGCGTGATGTTAGTGGACGTACTTGCCAAAGGTGGTACTAATAGTCAAGTAAAAATAGCAGCGGAGACCATGCTGAGAACAATTGTGGTGGATGAAGCTATAGGGGCCGCCATGAAGGAAGGCCATGCCGATCCAACAAGAGTACATACAGGTGCTCTGTGTGCTGTGGAAGAGGCTCGCACAATGTTTGCGCTGCCTTTTCCCGTTTCTACGATATCGCAGTTGCATCATATTATGACTGGGGCTGACATTGTTGATGTCTCCGCCTTTGTCCGCGAGGACCCGCGAGGAACGCTGGCCGTTGACATCCATAATCTCCGAATAAGCCAAAATGGTAACATCGAGGAGATGGAACGAAGAGTGGACAGCGAACTATTCACTTATATCAACAGCACCTTCGCCGTCATTCAGAACATGTACAAGGTTACAACGCCTCTCCTCCTACCCATTCAAGAAAAGCCCTTCACTTTCGTACCCCCACTACAGATTCGCACACCTTTGCTATCTCAGCTAGCGTATTCGCGGCTCATGGACGCTACTCGAGATATGCAGGAGCTTTCACAAGAGCGGCTGCTTGCTGTCAGTCCCATGGTAGTCTTGCCCATTAAAGCACTAGACAATGGCAAATCGTGGCAATGCCAGATAATGTCCGAAGCGATAGACGACCAAATCAGCACCGAGCCAGCAGCCTTTACCCAGTATTTTGTGATACCCGAGGATGATCAGCAACTTCGAACCGAACTGCTTCTACATCGGGATCTCTCATATTCCTCAATGTTTAGGTGTGATGCATTCAACCGGTATCAGGCAAAGCGGGCAGCAGATCGTGGCCATGCATCATATCTTTGCGTTGCAACCATTCACTTCGAAGACAATGTAACAAGTGAACATGTCATTCTCAATTTTGATGCGCAAACAAATCTTTCAGTCTCCACTCAGTATCTGCTTTTCCGACGCTATACCAATCAAACTCTCAAGCCAGCCCTCAATCATCTTCAGGCTTTGGATGCCGATGTTGTAACACAAAACATTGGACGAAGCGATGATGAGCAAACTCTCCCAGTTGTCATGCGACTTGTGAATGGTGACGTTTTGCCCTCGTCAAAACCGAATGGTATTCCAATGAATGGTTGGTGGCCCATAGATGAGGATGGCTGTTTGGCTGTGGATGCCGGGAAGAAAATTACTTTGACTCGACAGCACAAAGTTATCATAAAAGCAATCCAGAGTCGTCCGGTGCAGCTTCTCATTGGACCTCCTGGAACAGGTAAGATCTGAGCTAGACTTTCCACCCACACAAATTGTGCCTGATTTCTATCTCGTAGGTAAAAGCTTCTTCCTTGGTGCTCTCATCCTCTCAAGAATACATCAAGCTATCGTCCATCGCCCGACCAGATCCCAGATTATTCTACTTGCCGCTCAAACTCATAGCGCAATTGACACTGTCATCCAAAAAATGCTTCAGCACACAAACAGTCCCGATATTGGAGCTCGCATCATTCGGCTGACAACTTCCGAATCCACGCCTCGTCTTTTTGAAGGCAAAATAATATACTACACAACAACTTCAAAACGCTGTCAGTGCAGCCGAAAATGTTCACACACACCCTTGCAAAATATGCTGAAAGCCAAACGCCACGTCGTCATTGCAGGCACCGTCTGGGCATTGCAAAAGGTTGCACATGTCCTCCCATACATGTCAGAAGCGGATGTAATGCTTTGCATTGAAGAGGCATCTCTTTTACCCATTCTTGAGACGAGCGTAGCATTGCAGCTTTTGCCGTGGTGCCCTCGTAACGGGTCCGTTTTAATGGTGGGGGATCATTTGCAGATTGGTACGCTGGCAAAAGGACGACTCGGGGCGAAACGAGACGAAGGTTGGTTGGGTGAAAGCCTGTTCAACTGGATCGTTAGACGTGGCGGGGAAGGGGTTGTACCGGTTAGTTTGGTTGATACCTGGAGATTGAATAAGGTAACAAACAACCACCTACTCTCACTATCTGTACCATGTTTACGCTATTCTTCAATTCAGGTCTCTGCGAGCATTCTTCGTAGATTCGTCGGGTACTCCAGTTATGCACCAGCCACATCTGAAATTGCCCGGCAGAATATCGGGCAAATAATTGGACGAAATCCCATCTCCCGGCCCGAATTCCAAGAACACATCCGAACTGCCAAAAGTCTAGTACCAGTCTTCGCGACCATCGTGGATAGACGGAAACCAATGGTTATGGTGATCTTGAGGTGAGAGAAGATCTCCTTGGCCAATTTAGTAGTATACTGCTCACGTACTTTACAATCTGCAGAGACAGGACTCGGAAGAGTTCGTTAATTGAATCGGCTGAAGCTGCATTAGCAGCGAATGTAACCAACCTTCTTCGTCGACTTCCTCATTCCCGACCAATGTCCATCCTTCACCTAATAACACACCACAAAAAGCGACTGCCGTTGCAACAACTCCTTCCAGAAACGCCCACACCTCAAATATTTACAATACACAAATCGCAAGGGATGGAATCAGATGTCACTCTAATCCTCTACGCGTCTTCACATCCATCATCGGAAACCACATTTCTCTTCTCCCGCAACCTCCTCAATGTGGCCCTCAGCAGAGCACGAAGCAAATGTGTCATCTTTCTTAGTGAGCCGCTCTTGGGGTGTTTGAGCGCGCTTGGGGACAAGTCAACTGCGGAAGGATTTGAGCTCCTGACGGGGTTGGTGGAGGAGCTAAAGCGCAGAGGAACATTCTTTGAGCTGGATTGTATTGATGTGATGCAGGAAATTCGCTCTGAGATTGACACATTGACATGAGCAGTATTGGTCAGATGTGCACAAAGATAACATTTTTTCTGACTGCCATGAAACTGTATATGCTAAAATGCTGCAACGATCATACATATGGAGTGTCCCGAGTAGGATATACTCTTAAATTCAAGCCATGAATCACGTCTACAAAGTCACAGTGAGCGCTGCTGTTTATGCTTCACATCAATGGCTATTGTCAAAATTGCGACCAAAGCTATAGCTACACAGAATGGGGTATCATACGTTGATAAACGCACTTTTGCAATCACAACGGCCACAATTCACTACTTTGCTGACTTGATCGGTTTTGCCCGTTTTGACCATTTCGCGGCAGCATAATCCAATTCGATTATGACCTCCTTTGGTACCAGACGACCGCTTTTGCCCGGTATATTTGCCACACCCAGTGAAATGCGATATATCTCAGCATGGGGTTCTGTTGGTGGATGATTCAGGCCATCTCAATGCAACATACGAAGAGAGGAATATCGCGCTTACCGTACTGTCCCAGTAAGAAGGCCACCAGCTTCTCCCGGTGTTCCACGCTCACATCAGCATCACCTAATATGACTGCCGCCGTCTGTTCCGCAGATTGTCGCTCTGGCGTCTGCGCTGACTCTTCAGTATCAGCACGATCCGGGGATTCTGATTTCACTGGACCTAAAACAGTTTCAGGAGACTGGACTCGAGAGGAAGTAAGGTATGGATCGAATAAAATTGGAGGAGGTGTCAGTGTGGTCCGTCTAGCTGTCGTTTTGTGTCGCTTGTCGGGATCTGTGTGCTGATGTTAGTATCAGGTAGACCAAGGCAGAAAAAACGTTCAGCAGATGGTATGTTACCTTCAGAATCACTTAGACTGAGGCGTCTCTTCAAGCCTGCACGAGAGCGAGAGTATGTTAAATGTGACCATATATCCACTACAATGAAACTAGCTACGTACGCCCTGTATGCCGCTCCTCGACTGACTCGTGGGCATTCATAGTATTCATGTCGTCAATGGGATTTGTGTCCGACTGCCCATTCAAAGCAGCCTGCTTTGCTTCTTCGACTGCTGATTCCTTATCTTCCAATGCCCGCTGCTCCTCTTCGACAGCTAATTTCCTCTCTTCAGCCAACTTTTCTTCCTCCTCTTCGATCTTTTTCTGGATCTCTTCCTCTTTTCGTCGCTCACGTTCCAGTTTTTCCCGTTGTTTTTCCTGTTGTTTGCGTTCCTTTTCTGCCTTCTTTTCTGTAGACGACAATGGGAGATAAATCCACCAGGTCGGACATCATCGAGAACAGATTTTCTCACCGTCCTTCTCCGCTTTTCTTGCGTCTTCTACCCTTCGCATTTCGTCCAAACCAAGGATGGCAACTTTGCGTTCACGTTCGAAGCCTTTGCGGAGACCGCTGGTTCCGGCACTTGTGCCTATAAGAGATTTCAGAAAGGCCGTTGGCAGCGCATGACCATATGGTATACTCACGTCTTGTGCCATATGCAGAGTTTTTCAAACCACCAGCGCCTTTTCTAAGCATCCATGCTGGTGTACTCGGTGTTGCAGTGGTTGGAGAGATGGTAGTGGGTGAAGAGACTTTCGGAATCTCCATTGGGGTTGCGGGGCTCACTGGTGAGGGCACTATACAGATTCAACGATGTGTGAGATATCGCATTGCTTTGAACGTCCGCGGAACTCTGCGAGATAGAACCACATTGTGATACCTGGTTCTCTTTTGAATCCATAGCTCTTCAGGCGTTCCAACAAGGAAGGCACACCGTGCCCGGCCTTAATGTTAAGGCCAGGTTTCTCGACGTGGTCCGAACCGCTTCTTTTGATGGACTGAATGACTCGGTCATTCAGATACGAGAATTCACGGGGATAAAACTTGAAGTCGAGGGAGCTCACTTGATATCAATGGCAAGAGGACATAAATATTAGTTCCATCTGCTGACAACGCTAAATCGATGGGTCGCTACACTTACATGACTCTTTCAGCTTCTTGTGTGCATCGACGAATGTAGGCCCCATCCTGTCAATTTCAACGTCAAACTTTCCTCCGTTGACTCGATTTCCGCCCAGCGTTCCCAGGGCGCGGACATATTCGTCCTCGTCTTGTTGGGCTAAGGCGACCAACTGCATGTGAAAATGGAATGGCGGAATGGCGAAATGCCGAGGTCAGATACTCGCACCATATAGGACATACAGACATACAGATACAGGCTACATAGCGGACGCTGTGGCAAATGCAGGAGACATTTATGCAAGAACTAGGTGGGGTGGGGAAAGCATTTGCAGACATGGCCAGAATTGCGAACAGCGCCGCCATGATGTTGAGAGTGGGCAATAGTGTTCTTAAAAGATACGATATTGACACCAATCATCAACTGAGCAAGCAAGCACCTGTCCATCACTTTGGCAGTTTGTCTCTAATGCTTTTGAAGCTGGGACTTTTGGTCCACTGAATCGGTTCTCTCTCCTCAACATGCGTGTGAACATCCTTCCCCCACATAAAAAACCCGCCTTACGTTCTACATGTATATAGATGTCTATAGTCCGATGAACACAGTCCCTATGTGTCAACCTTCCACAACACCCCCATGCCCCTTGAAAAAGCTTGCGGCGGTAACCAGCTGGGATGGCGGCAGGCAACGGAGACAGCGGGAGACGTGGGGTCGACTGACAGACCAGTCGACAGTCTGAGTTCTGATCGCCGAACCCACAACGCTAGGACCTGCGCACAATAGCCCAGGTAAATCATCCACTCACCTTCTCAGCAGCAGGTTTGGCATCCAACATCAACTTTTTCCGCGATGGTATGAGAACCGCCAGCACCAGGCCTGCACGCAAAGCACTATGCTCAGCTCCCTGAATTGTAGGCCACCGCTCGTTCACTATATACTCCAACAAGTTTTTATCAAGGTTCACAGAGACAGTTTCGTAGAGACCCCAGTCACGGGAGACGGCATTTGAGACATTCTGCCACACTTGCTCTTTGTTAGCTGCCAAGCCGGGATCGTCCATGTGCAAGATCGTGCTTTTTGGTTTTGCTGCGACAAGTGTTCTATTGTAAAGGCCTAAAAGCTGATGAGTCTGCTACTATCTCAACCACTTACTCGCCAAAGCAGGCTTTTGCACCCAGCCTTTTTTTACGCGAAGTGACTAGCTTCAGATCACGTGAGTGCATCATCCTGTGAGTCACACCGCTCATGCATAAATCGGATTCTTCTGCATGCTTTCGCCGGTTGCCAACACTGCCGACTGTTTGAAAAGGTCACAGTATTTGCTCCCTTCCTGATGCAGAGGATATGGTTTGTGATGGGGTTAGATGAAGGAATTTTTTTCAATAATTCTGTAAGATCCATAAAGTCGGGTTGCCCTTCACACATCACCAATTCCCACGGGTTTAAGGAATTAGCTTAAGCGTAATGAAATAAAGTTGAAAGCAGATATGCGTCTCGGGCCCTGAGAAGTGTCTTCGGACTCCCTCCTGGTTAATCCGGTGTTAAAGATGACTATTACTGACGACTATATTGAATCAATGACGGAGACATATCTCCAATGAGAAAAATGCATTCATCCCATCAGTCAACTAGTTGGTAAAGAATGGCTATCTCTGATGACTACATTGAATAGACGACGGAGATAACATATCTCCAATGATTCATCTCAACAAACAACTAGTTGCTCGTCACATCATATCTGCCTAAGCATTAAGGGCATTACCACTCTTCGCCAGGGACTGCTTTGATTTCCTTGTAGTCGAGTTTTCACTTTGAGACTGTGAGCCCTTACTACCGGATTTGTTGCTGCTGCTTGCGGGAGCGGGCTTTCTATGAATGATTCTGCAAAACACGACATGTGAGCCATCCAGATAATAAATAGCGAATAATATCCAACTCACCCCAGGCCTACGGCGACATATATGGGTGCTATCATAAAAGGTGTGACAAAGATCCAAATAAATCCAACAATGACGGAGAGAGGAAAGATGCCTTGAACCAATCTCCTCCAAATGGCGTAAACGATGAGAACGATAGCGAAGCTTATCAGAATAACAGTTATTCCGAGTAGGGTAACAATCAGCTGCATATTGAAGCAGAACAGGAATCAGTTTCACAGAACGCGTGCGCAACATTACCTTCAAAAGCAAACAAGAAACTCACAATAATCATAGCCCTTTTCAGAAGAGTAGTCTGTGACACCCCGTTTTCCGAAGATTTCACTCCCGTCACCGCATTGGCTTTCAAGATCATGACCATCTTAAGGCCAAAATACAGCACAACGGCTGCCAACGACCAGCAATAGGCTGACCAACAAACATAATGTGCGGTATTGAATGCATTAGCCAAGACGTAGTTTTCAGTATCACGGCCATATCCGTCTATGATGGAGAACCATGGAAGTGTCAAAGGGGGCAGAGCATTGAAGAAGTAGAAAAGAAAGTTGAGCGTGCGTTGACTGGGGAGTCGAACTTTTGTGAGAGTACTAAGTTCATCCAAAGTTCCTTTGCCGTTCATATAGGTCTTTGGCGTAGCATGAATACTGTGAAGAAAGTAAGAGGTTTGAAGAAATTCTTTTATGATGATGGATCGGCAGCTACTTACATTCCAATTGTGAAGGAGACGCAAGCAAAGTACAAAGTCTCCCAGGGCCATTCATGCTGCAATAGCAGGTAAATTAAACCATCTCCCAGGCTGAACACATGTGATGCGCATACCATGAATTCAGCCGCGGCCTGACTCTTGAATCCGTCCCCGAGCACGATTGCGGTATAAAGTCCTCTTCCTGTTGAGATACTGCTGTGAATAACCGTGCAGGAGTACAGAAAGACGCAGTAATCAGCTGCATACCAAAAAGATGCACACACGAGGCAATCAAGAAGACCTCGGTACCGCGGGGCTTCACAATTCCATTGCTAAATTCAAACAGCCTTAACTTCTTTTGCCAGAGGTCTCTGTACACCCTTCTGTAGATGACCCACGAGCCGAGAACTACGGAAATGACATTAATGGGTTTCCTAACTTTGAGGTCACCGCCTGCAAGGGCAACACTCACTAACTAGGATGAAGCATGCGATTGTATGGGCTAAAAAGGACAAAGTCTTGTCAGAGGATTATAATATTGACAAGGTTGTGAGAAGTTGACATACCGATATAAAACCCCTTCCAAACTTCTGCGTGTTCACAGCCAGTGATGCGCCCTGTATCCGTTGCCGGGTTAAAATTCAACTCGATATAACCGGGAAAGAGACTCTACCTACACCTCCAATCACACCATTCCGAGTTTAGCCACTGGTATCAGGAAAAATACATTAGATGTCCGGCTCTGAATAAGCTCCGAAAATCCCGGAAGAGCGCCATACCAGGTCTTGGTCAACGGGCACCATCTTATTTAGAATAACGAAACACGAAAGAAGCACGAGTATGTGAAAATAAACTCGAGAAAACAGAGCTATTCTCCGCTTTAAAGAAAGTAGCGCAAGAGTGTCCGATTGAGCACTGTGAGACGATACATGGTTTTTGCTTTACCGGAAGCCATTGTTCTTAAGATGAGATTATTCTTTGTCATCTAAACTATGGGATTCTACTAGGCCGTATCCGTACCGGCTCAGCTACCCAGTAAGGATGTGTAAGGATCTGCCAAAGTTCAGTGCGCCTCATATCAAAGGAAATTTCTGGGTAATTGACTCCAAAAGCGATTTTGTTTTGCTTCCAAAGTCAGATCGCTGTCATGATGATGACCGTGGCGCCCGGATCCCCAAGGGAGCGTGTTGTATCAGTCTTAAAGCTAGACCTGTCTATTATCCCTTAATGTTGTTCGGAGAGGTGATTGTTCGGTAAATAAAGATATAAATTTCCCATTTGAGACAATTTTCCGCAGACAATCCACAACCCTGATGATGGGATACAAATCTTGGTATTGTTTCCAAATGGAACAAAACAACGGAGGTACTCAGAATAGTCCACCAAAATTAGTATCAGGGAAGATGTGATTATGCCTCAATGAATTGAAACCAAAGAATATACAAGAACCAAAATGCACTGCCACGGCCACACCGTGGGTACACCAAACAGACGACCTTTTACTGCTCCACGGCCATCATCCCATCCGGTACAAGTGTACTCAGGACATCGGAGAGAGTTACGACACCAATAGGCTTATCCCCCTCTCCTGCAATCCACACACGATGTACATGGGACCCAAGCATCTATAAATGATTGATCAGTAAGATGACAATTGCAAAGGTTGCAAAAGTGTTATCCGCTTGATCATCATCTTACCAAATTGACGACCTGTTGCAATGATGCTTCAGGTTCAACAAACTTGAGTTGGTCTGCTTTCACTTGATCCGCTCGTCTTCTAGTGTCTACCTCAAGGAAGGTATAGACGTTATCAAGGAGACACTCTAGATTTGTTGTACTGATCCCACGAAGGTCCGATGCACTCAAGTTGGCAGCTAATCCGCCGTCTTTATCAATGACTGGAACGGCGGTTACTCCGTGTGTGTACATGACACTTGAAAATATGGACCCAACTGTAACTTCACTGCTGCTATGTAAGAATCTCATAGACAGACCTACCGGAATGCTTCAAGCGCGGTAACCGAATCTGGCACTGTCACTACCCTACTGGTATGTTTACGGTTTCCTGACACTTGGTTTGCATCTCCTTCTGTGGCACGTCGTGCAGCAAGTTCGTCAACAGTTTGAGCAGGCAAATTGAGAATAGTAGCCATCAATTTTGGGGCGATATCTGTATGTTCCATGAGGAAATATAACAAGTCCGTCTTGGTATAAAACAATCAGCTAGAGAAATGCCTTAACCGCTGCTACTAATCACACCTACCTGAGTCACCATTGTGATAGATGATCCAGTTGGTGGAGCAGTCGGACCAGGTCCATCGTCGTCGCCCATGGCAGAGGCAGCCAAAGCGTCCTCGTCAATTACCAATACGCGATGATAGGCTGCGGTGGTGAGCATTTGCAAAAGGCTTGATATAGGACTGGACGAGTTCAACGTCCAGGATTCTTGGCTTTCGCGACTCATGCCTACAAGATCCCTAACCTACACACGAATTGCATGGCATGAGGCTCCATGACTAAAAATGTCAATATGAACCCGACCTCACCGGAGTGTTAAAGTAAACTTGCTGCCCCTCCACTATGGAGTCGATAAAGTCTTTCAGTTTGTCTTCGTCATCTCCAACAAACTCGCTACTCCCCGGGCTGGTAAATCCAGAGAGGGTTTAGACTCCAGACATACCAGGGGGTTCACAGCGTGGGTAAACGGAACAACATACTCCATTTGATCAAATATTTTTTGAAAGACCGTGAACGCCAGAACATCATAGATGCTGACGATGCCTACCGAAAAGCATTGTAAATTAAAGTCGATACCGGCGTTTTCTACGAATACCCACCAGTATATTCTTTGCCAAAGGTATCCCCTTCAACTTCTTTATAAACGGGAACTGCGAGGATTCCCTCAGTCCGCAACAGCGACATCACTTCGCCTAACGTTGTGTCGTCTGGGACAGAAATCAAACCCGACGACCCCTTTCTGTACCTTCGGTGCCTCAGCAGAGCTGATATGGGAACCTTGCCAAGAGCATTGTAGCCTTCAGTGATGGCAGACTGAACACCAGGATCCATATTGGCTTTACAAGAATTCTGATAGCTGGAAGCATAAAGCGACGGGTGCGAGGAACATGAGGATGACCATGTACCAAGGAGAACATTATCTCGTGGCTTGCCGACTGATGACACATCATGACACAATCCAAACAGTCGCGCATTTAGTGACATTCCATTCGGCTGTAAGTGAGGTTATTAAGACAACAGATAGCACCAAGTCAATGCAGGCGTTAGGTAAAAGGCAATATCAGTTTAATGTGCGATATACACAGCCAAAGCAGTGAACATCAAATATATTAGAGACTTTGGCCCTAGGAATAAGGCACTCCTTGCACAACGGCATACAAAGTCTTTAGACTCCCCAAAACTCGATCCCGAACAGCGTCCTCATCACTTTCCAATGCTTCTTAGCGCTCTCAATTTGTAATTTGGGCAACATGTTTTTCTTATCCGTCATCAGCTCCCCAGCCACGGTTCTGAAATCCAGATCAACCCGATGATCATCAAATGTCTTGAGAAACTCTGCATACAAGCCTCCTCTCGCCATGTCATCCTGGCTCGGGGGGAGAAATACAATCCGCTTGCTCGACGCAAAGAAAACAATGTTATATATGGCATCCGGACCGGCTGCTTCTTTAGGGTCTTCTGTATAGCATTCGAGGTTCGGAAACACCTGTTATAATTGATAAGTAGCAGCCACGGAATGACATGAAAGACGTGACATACTGTATGTAAAGTCTTGATGACGGCCTTAGTGGCGAGAGAATCCAGTGTTCCAACGTAGTTCTAACATCAGATATCAATTTAAGAAAAAGCCGTTCGGCTTGTCAAGACAGAGTAAGAGATAAGCCATACCAAAGCCAAAACTCCGTTGGGCTTCAACACCCTGCGGACATTCTGAAGCGCTTCAACCGAAAATAACGTTGACGGAACCAAGCCTCCCGTGAACACATCATGTAAAACATAATCGTATACACCGTCGGGAGATTCATCGAGGAAAGCCCGGCCGTCCCCAAAGTGAACAGAATGAGGTTCCGGTAGATCAAAATACTTGCGTGCATAGGTATACACAATCGGGTCGAGTTCCACCAAGTCTACCTGGATTGGTGTGTGAAGGGTCAGCGACCGCGTTGTCACACCTATGCCCAATCCGCTATATTGCCGTCAGTATCAAGCTTGTAGAAAGGAAAGATACCACGACGAGGTGCTTACATCTGCAAAGCCCTCTCAGTGTCGTCCTTTTTGCGGTCGACAAAGCGAACAAAGTCAAGATAGTAGAACGATCCAAAGACAGAATCCATCTCATGCTGCAGGTAAGCACCGCCGATGAGAGAATGATCACAGCGCAAAAAGCGTGTACCATCGTGGAGATTGGGATCCTCAATGACCGACAGGTAGCCAGTGACAGACTCGTCACGCGCTAGAATTGAGTACTTGCCGTGTTGCTCAGGCTAAAGAGGGTGACTTAGATTCCATTACGATCTCCCAATAAATACAAGACGATGTGAGGTTTGGATGTCTAAATCCAATCACTCACCTTCTCACCTTGACAGAGGGCAAGTTGCACTGAAGTCCTCCATCGAAAGAGCTCCGTAGGAGCAGCGGTAGTGCGATAGCCAATATAAGGTTAAAGCTCTTGCTCATCACACTACGACCGTCGGATGCTGGAAGAGGTGCGGTCGATTGCACACCAGTCTCCTTTTTTTCTTCTTGTTTGCCAGATGTTCTCTTTTTCCCCTTTTTTTCTCCTTTACTATCTGCGTTGGATTTCTCTTCCTGCAACGCAGGTGATGGTACGTCTACCGTGCGGGGCCACATGTCCAGTGCATCCAAGAACGCTAATGTAATCCATCCATAAATTGCCAGGTCGATGATGCCGCACGTCTTCACATCCACCAACTTCCGAGCTAATGTGTCTACTTTCTTCGCATTCAAAAAACTGCCAACTAACACTCCGCAAACGAGGAGAGCACTGTCCATCTTCTTTTGCGGGAGTCTCGATACTAATGCTGCGGCTTGGAGGCCCAGGACTGGATAGACTATTGCCATGCTCACAAGAGGGCCGAATGTAGGACCTAGTGTGCCACTATAGTCGAAGGAGAAGCGCATGTAGCCAATCATTAGTCCCAATAGGGACGCTATGCCTATCGACAAAGGCAACCGTGCATTCTTTGGAACTCTAAAGTAACCCAACACCCCACCGATCAAAACTGACGCAGTTGCAGCGTGAAAGTGGTACTGGCTTGCGAGGAAGTGACCGTAGATTGGCGCAACAAAACGAGCAACATTTGCAAAAAGGAGCGGAGCAGTCAGACATGTTAGCGCAAGTGTCAAGACGTATTGGATGGGCAATGCTCTCCGTGTTCGTGCCATTGCTACGCAAGATCTCGGTTCTCCACCCCAACCTGCTTTTCAGTTGCCAGCTTTCTGCGCTGTCTCTGTCCCTTTGTTTCCCTTTCAATGGGCTGGGAAAGACCAAGGACAAGGTTCAGGAAAAGTTGCAGGCTATAGCATATTTAAGGTTCGCACGTGCATCTCGGAGCTAAGCCATCATCCAGCGGTCTCTCTGGTACTGCATTGCATTGGACAAAAGAATGGATTCCAGGGATATGCATCGTGACATCCAAGAATTCCCTTCCGGCTTTAATGATCGATCCATATAAATATATCTTGCAGCCGATGCAAGATATTGGATTGTGTAATTGGGAGGCTTTGCGAAATGGCATTAGGACGGTGGACAAAAGTCCGACAAAGTTCTTTCAGGCACTGCGAATGCGTTCTAATCCGTTCGGTCCACACATGAAGCAATGCCTTACCACCCAGTAAGCACGCAGCTCGCACTCCGGCTGGGATAACCATTTTTGAACACTAATGCACACAGTTTCAAGTATTGTTGTGTACGCGTGTGCTCTGGCGTATGCGGTCCAATGCGTGATTCTACTACAAGTCATAACCAAATGCCCAAACAACCTTGCCTTTGCAAGCAAATAGCAAAAGGGTAAACAACCTCATGGGTGTTGATGGCGTTCAGTCCTACCAACCGCACAGCAACTGCTGGAAACGCGCGCCCCAAACTCGCCTTAGGGGATCACCCCCCTTCATAACAGGAAGTTTGTTCTCCGTCATCACATTTCGCTTTTGCGCAGCAGCGCTCTGCTTGCTTTTCCAAAACCTTTTTTTTGCAATGCGGAACAGATGGAAACGAAGCGAAAAAGGAAAGAAGCCTCACGTCGTTAACGTGACGTGAATTTCATTTTGTCCCAAAGAAGCAAAAATCGGGCTGGGAATTCCATTTGTTCGCAGTACAAAAAGCACTGGCTGCTTTGACTTGCCTTGCATCTCATCGCTACACACTCATCTAACACTTGAACAGCCATGAAGTCCTTGACTATCATTTTGACTCTCTTCGCCTCGGTCCTCGCGCAAGCACCATGTGACATGAATGGTTTCACCGCTTGCAAGACAAGCATTGACCAGTTTAGGCAGGCCACTTGCGGCCCTCTTCAGACGGGTCCTAGGGCAAATGCGACATTATACTCGTACTGTTTGTGTTATGCCGCAGTCAACAATGTGTATGTTCTTTGCCTGCTGTGTTTGCAGTGTGTTCTGATTCTTTACCCGACGCTAACACGCTATTTTTTTTCTTGTGTTCTTCAGCAACTGTTACAACCTGTGCGCGAGCAGCCCTAACGTCACTGCTGAACGGGATGGAGGAGCTTTACCGCAGCAAACTGCTCTTTGCGGAGCCGCAGGTCTGAACCCTGCCGCCCTTCCTCGACCTGCACCTTGGGACTTGACTGCCACTACCTCTGTTCTTCCCTCCGCGACGCCCACACCGGTCGGCTCAGCGCCGTCTGCTACAGCTACTCCTCCTGCAACGTCAGCCCAGAAGAACAGTGCGGTTGGCCAGAACTTGATGAATGTTGTTACTGGTGCTGCTGCGGCTGGCTTGGCTGGTGTCGTAGCTCTTGTGCTCTAGTTTGATTGTTTCTCGGAGCCTCGTTTCTTATATATGTACTTTTGAATCACTGTAGTTAGATGGTATGTGTAGTTGTACCAGAGTGTTAATAGGCAACCGTGATGTATTTCGGGAATAATGCTCATCCCTGATTTTACACTGGGTAACCTCAACTTTCAACCAATGCTCAGACGATTGGATAAAATCCAGTTGGTAGCTACAGTTGATGTATTCGACCACATGAGATAATTACACATATTAAAATGGATATACAATCTTGAGTCCGGGTTAGGCATATACAACCTTCCAATCATCCAGCCATTTGCGCTTCACACCCCCATCGTTCCCTGTAACGTCCACTTCTTTCAAGTCATTGACGCACAGATCAGGTTCCATCCCAGGAGTTAGTACGCGAGTCATAAACGTCTCCTTAGTTTCCGTTGGCTGTCGGTGATAGATTTCAAAATAGTCCTCCGCATCATTCTGTCCCGTTTGTTGATCGCCCAGAGTTGTCTCATCTATACTCATATCATGCAGCATGTTCTCCAACTCTTGCTTTCCCCTGGACTTTTTTACAGCAACAGTTCCAATCGCTGCCCCGGCATGTGCCAATACCCACTCCACACTTGGTGGGGCATTCGTGGCTCTCCATTTCAAGAATCCCGCCACGTCCCTACAAACCGTCACCCCATTGCTGTCAACAGAAAGAAACGAGTTTGATGCGCCACCAACATTGATGCCAGTCAACCACATCCCGGGATTCTCGGGGTTGCAATCAATAATGCCAGCCAAGTTCATCATCGATGAGCCACGAAGACCAGCGACTCCGAGGGTAGTCGATGACGCTGGGCCGGATTCGGCTAGATGGAGGTTTGCGTTGCTCTCCACGTCCCCCTCGTGTTCCGCTGCTCCAGCAGGTAGAACGCCAGCACCGACAATTGCACAGTCCAAATTATCAAACGCCACCTTATTGTAAGAAAACACTGAGACGACAAGGTACCTCGTCTGAGGACTCGCTTGAAGGACATCTCGAATGCGAAAGCGAACATATTCTGAAGCCCCGTTAGGTGCTGACATCAGGTCTCCACTATGCTGCATTGCACCGCCGAAAGCGTCTAGGGAGGTATAATCGCATTTCGTATCACCTGCGACAGCCACGCATTGTTCGTCAACTCCGAATACGGATAGATCTAGGTCGACTCGGTCTATTTTCTGCTTCCAATAGATATACGCCAGAATTTCAGAGTTCAAAGGAAGGGGTATGAAGTCGCCCCGATTGAAAATCTGCTTCAGTGCCCATTGAGGAACGTTGGGTGGGTTGCCACGTGGCAGTAGGCGGTCTCTGTAGCCTAACCGTGATGTTGGGGTATCCTCCAAAAGCACGCCATGGAATCTGTCGGACAAGGTGAGTTTACTCTCAATTTGTGCTTCCAGACACTGGAGAGCAACATGCGTTATGTCCTTTCGTGGATAGAGGGGGAAAGCCTCGTCAGAATCACTGATTGGTGGCTCCTGATACAGCGATCCCTTCCGGGTAAGTATGACTCGCCTACATTTCGTGGTCTGCTCCGCCGATTCACCAACAGGATTCGAGGCAGCTCCTATCTCTACATTGTTATCGTCCTCTGACTGTTCCAAGCACTTTACGAATATATGCTTGAGTTCAATCAACTGTCGAACACTCCACTGTGGCGCCATCTTTTCCACGAAAGCTCTCCATTTCTCTACATCCTCGATGCTATCTCGCAAACGTGTAGCCAGTAAGCGAAGATATCGGAAACACAGGCCACTATCTTTGGACAAGCTAGCCACTATAGCTGACACGTCGCGATCACGTATGGCAACATTCAGATCATGGATTGATGTTTTCGGACGTTGTCCATTCGTATCCAAAACTTTAAACTTGATCGCCTCAGCACGTTGGTCGTCGGAGAGCTTATTTGTCCTGAGCACGGTGGCTGGGGGAAAGCTTTAAAACTGTCGCTCATTTAGGGTTGAAGTCACATAAATACATACCGGTAGCCTGAGCCTTCGCAAACCTTTTGCGCTTTCTCTTCTCCGTGATATGCACTTTTGCAAAAAGCATTTTCCAAAAGCCCTTGTCGTCTCTCCGATGAAAGTCTACGGAATCAGCGCCGGATTTGATATTATTCACAATATGCGTCACTAATGTTCGGAGTTTACGGGGCATTGAGCGGCTAATCTGGGCATCGGTAGTAGGATCATTGCCAGCAATGACGGCGAGAAATCGGTGGAGTTGCGATGGTGTAGTGACATTTCGAACAATTCTATTGAAAAAGACGGTCAAAGTCAAGGCCATACGTTGAACGACACGTATAAGTCACTTACTCGAACGCTGTTTGCCTTTCTGCTTCCGTCCATGGCTTGCCCTTATGAAGCGGTGCAAGCTTTAGGATCAATTTTGCGCAAACCCAGGCTTTGGTCTCCTGTGATCGGAAAGGATTTGACTGTGTTGCAGTCTTAACAGTATCCGGTGCCCGATCAACCAACAGATTCCATTCTGTCTTTTCAGCTTCATCCAGCGTAGTTGTGTTGCACTGAAGAGCCTCAATACGCTCTACCAAATATGCAGATTTATCCTTTCGCAATTCTAAAGATTGACGCGCACGCTGTGGTGCTGACTTGACAGGCGCCTCTATCTCCATAGCACTGGCATTTCGAACGTCGGATAGATGCATCCGATGCGCAGGATCCTTGATGTTTCTCCGACAAAAGGGGCATCGTTCGAATATCTGTAATGAGCATTCCTCGCAGAGAACATGACCGCATTCAAAGACAATATCGACACTGCGATCCATGCATACGAAGCAGACATCAGCGTGCTCCAGCAGATCCAGCAGTCTTTTATATAAAGATTCAACCGACGCGTCACTTTTGCTCAACGTCTCGCATTTTTCCAAGAAACTGACAAAACTCATCCGCTTCGTATCAGTTCCTAGTGACCCAGCGGGAAGGGACATGACGTGGCGCTCGATCTCAACCACATCGGGAGCCATTCCACATAGGGTGGAGAACAAGATTTCAAGGACATCAGGATGGCGTACAAGGTACGAAGTCAGCCCCTTTGATCGACGTAAATCAAACTTTGAACCGAGAAGAGCGAGAAGGGAGTATGGACTTTCTTGACTGGACGGATTGTGTAGAACACTAGCGGCTAGCAAATCCGGCACAACAACCCCTCTATTCCGTGCGTAGAATTGGAAGAGATCCGACATTTTCTGATTATTTGGATACCTTTTGGACTGGGGGAGGATACGCTGACGGCCTAAATAAAAGAAATGGGCCGCGCGCGGGGAAGAAATGCAATGCACAAGTTGCTTCCCCACACACACCATGCGCAGGCAATGTGTGATCGACACTTAGGAGAATGCCGCAATCACGTGCCGTGTTGATCGGCTGGATCGGCGAGCAAACCAGCGCTCAACACCCAAACAAAATAACTTCTTTCCATTCTGTCCTTGACTTGCAAGTTCGTCTAACGCATACTGTCTCCATCTGCTCCCGCGCTTTATCAATAGCCCTGGGATCATACATCATACACTCGATTCCAAAGCTATATTGCATTGCTGGAAGGCACATCCTCTAGACGGCACTGTATCGGGCAAGAGAAGTTGCTTTGAAAACCATCAACAAGCGTGACAGTTTATTGAACAAGGTTGAATCGTCAACGATCGATTAATTGATGTGATGGTGATCACCGAAAACAAACCACTTTAAGCCGGTTATAATTTTATCGGAGCTGTCCGAAAATGTCCGTTGCACACCCCTCATAACTGGAGTTAGGGTTGCGTAGGGATTGGCATAAGTTTGGGGTAGTTTGGCCAAATTTATGAAAACATTTGTCGCAACTCAGCACCCAGTTGGCGGGTCGCCCTGTTCCACGCCGCCGTGATGGACGCTTTTTACACGTGCAAAACTCGTCTGGCTGTGTTCCTGCAGAGGCTTCGCGAGTTGTTCCTTCTACTTGTCTTTGACACTTGAGCAGAGCCGCAAAGTCTCGGCAAATGACGTCGACGGCGGCCGAATTTCAAACGCTCATGTGTCAAATTGCTCGCAATCTTGCCTTTTGTTTTTGTGTTGATAAAAACCATGCGGATGACAAAGTTTGCCCAATGTTTGCCTTGTCCGCTTGCATGACGGGATTTTTTGCTTTTTGCCTTTGTGCTCCATTTTCACCTTTGCTCTCTGTCCATTTCTGATAAATGATTAAATTATCCAAAAATCGAATGCATAACACATGCCAAAAGTCCAAATAACAATCCGCATTGGAATCATTTATCACTCATCAAGGGGCTTGGAAACCAACATGGAGTGGGAGGAGGTCAGGAAGGAACTCTGCCTTGGCCGGCGCTTCGTTTTGACGTCCTTTTCCCCCTCTCGATTTCCTTACCCATAGATCGCACATCTCGTTCCTTCCCAGCTGCTTTTGTGAAACAGCTGCATGTCGAGAATTTTTGTTTCGTGCAAGAGGATCAGCACAAGCTAACATTGCCTCCCAGCGCTATTCTGTGCATTCCCATTCCTTTGACACAACGTGATTTGAGAGAGTCGCCCAAGGAAACCACTACCGTTTTGTCTATCACGGGTGGACGTGTCAGCTCAGCGTTAAGACCCACATACTGGCGGCACCGCACAGACATCAAGAGAGCTACCCAAACGTCAGAACCAGCCTCAAACCTTCAACCTCTGCTGAACAGACTGACATTGAAACTTAGCCCCGCCGTGGTCTTGTCTGCGCAGCCTCGTCGGACGAGCCTCTCTGCCTGCTTGGAACGCAGAAAGGCACGCTTCAAAACGCTCTTGTTCGCTGTTTACGATCGCTTCGCTTGAACAGGGAAAACAGTGTTCATATTTGGAATCAAAGAAGAACCAGAACGTAAGTTTCGGTGTATGGAACAAAGCAGAGCATCGCTGTGGCCATTTGTCATTTGAGAGTTTACTGAAGAGGATCATTATATTTCATGTAGACTGGCGCTCGTGTTGCTACGATGCTTACAACTGAGGAAGTAGCTCCTGGCGATGCCCCGCAGATGGTTCTGCCGGGAAAAGGCGAAGGATCGCACCTTGAGGGATCACTAGACTGCCATTATTCCCTACCCGAGATCCCGATATCCTTAGGTGTAACAACGTTGGAGCACTGGATCCCAGAGCATTTCACCTCCATCCATGCAGAGAAAGCAACGCCCACTTCGTCACCCAATACATTAGATTATAAACCCGTGAGCATCTTTAAATCATCGAGACCACACCCCGGAGCCCGCAAAACTCCACTGCGCCGCGTGGACGGACAGCACATACTACGAGAGTGTGACATAGGTACTGGAGTCTCACCGTTTTTTGAATTGGTCCTTTGCACTCTCATTGACATGTCTCTGGTATATCAGCGCGTCGCTCACCTTCACCACCGGTGGGTAACCGTCAGGCTACGTCGCTTCCGCGGTCTCCGGAAAAGGATGAAAGCTGCGATGAGCAGCATCTTCTCAACCCTGCGAATTTGACACTTTGCATCACGAGCTACCCATACACAGCGGACAAAAATGATGAGTTGTCCTTTGTAGAGGGCCAGGTGATTCGGGTGGTGAGGAAGGTAGAAGGAGGTTGGTGGGAAGGACAGCTGGACCAGCGTGTCGGATGGTTTCCTGCGAATCATGTGGAGAACTACACCGTGGCTCCAGAGGATCTGGCGGACGGAGAGGTAAAATCGTCTCATTAATTGATCCGCCACATAGGGAACATAGCACCCGATGCTGATACATTTGATCATGTAGATTGGACCATTTGCCAACACACTTGAAGAGCTGGACGACCTCCGTGTCAAAACAATGCTTATGAACAACGAAATCCAAAGTGTACAATGCCCGTCCGATGCAAATACCGATCCAGAGACTGCAAAGCAGGAGGGATATCGAATCGCACTGGCTGGCTCACTTATCGCTGCGGAAAAGCAATATCTTGAGTCTCTCCAGCGGTTTATGGATGTGAGTGTGACATGTGACAATTGCTGGCATCACGACGTTCGAAACTCATTATTTTCTGTCATAAAGGAATTTGTCTACCCACTGTATCAGCTCGATTGGTTTCCGCCCAACGATCATCAGACAATTTTTGGAAACATAGAAGATTTGGTTGATTTTGAAAAGGATTTGGTAGAGGCCCTTGAAAGCGCTGCCGGAGGGTCACAATTATTTGGCCAAGCGTTCCTGAGTTTGGTAAGATGTCGCCAATGCAATTACTTGCAAAAAAACAATTGTACTGAAGCGAAAGAACCTTGTCAGTCCGATCGATTCAGCGAAGTTTATAATGAGTACTGTGGAAATCTACCGAATGCTATGACGGTTTCGACCAAGTATGGGCAGAATTCATTGATGACACGATTTTTACAGGTATGTCTGGACATCATATACTTGAGCATGACATAGCCGATTGAACCATATCTAAACTTGCTGTAGACGACGAGCAGCAATTCCACTCCGCCCATTCTCCATATGGTTTCATTCCTGCACAAACCTGCTCAATGGAAAAACAAGTTTTCCATGGCTTTGAAGAATCTATTGAGTGGAACCGATCCGCAACACGCTGATTTCGAATCACTCTCTACCGCCTGCCAGCGATTAGATAAGATTTTGACCAGCATTGAGGATAGAAGGAAGCTCATTGAGCGCAGGGCCATGATCCGGAGCCTCAGTGGGCGAATCGATGGGTGGGAGGTACGGGAATATTACTGTTTAACATTGTCGGACCATGCGAATCTAATCTATCAACAGGGCCCGTCTCTTGAGTTGTACGGTGACATGGTACTAGAAGGAAATCTCAAACTGCAGGAGAGCGTTCGGAAACGAGAGCGAAAATTCTATCTACTCGAATACGTCTTGGTCATCGCTCGGCCACTGAACAATAAAACTGGAGACATAACCTTTAAGCTTATTGAGAAATTACCATTGAGTAGGACGGTAGTGCTTGCGGTGAATGACCATGTGGAAGGAGATGGTAGGTGCCCAGTTTGATCTTGCCTGGAGACTATTCTAGGATCCTGATCTCGTTTGCAGCTTTCAATCTATCGTTTCAAATATCGTACCTCACTGAAGAGAGCAAAGCGAGGACACTATCCATTACTGCGTTCAATCCGGAACAAAAAGAGAAATGGGTTGCTGCGTTGAACGCCCTGCTTGATAGAAACATACGAGCAGTATTCCCTATTTCTCAGTCTACTGGTGCAGAGGACATGAATGCGTCAGACGGTGTGGAGGGGAAGCCAGGACGGTCATTAAAGTGGTTTGCTACCTGGAGCGCCAAGATTCGGAAGAAGCGGCCAAGTGTGCCAAACTTGAGGGAATATGCGGAAAGCATGGTGGAGAGTGACAAGGATGGGGATGGGAACATTTTCATCCGGGTTATTCGAAAGAAAGAGACTCGCGAGAAACTCAAGGGATCAGAGTTATCGCCAACGGAATTGGACCAAGCATCGCAGACTCGAAACACCCACTATCCGGTACCCCTTCCACGAGCGAGCATTATCTCCAATGCTGAAATGGCTCTTCCTCATCACGCTGCGGACGAGCCAGGGGATGTCGGCCCACTCTCGGGCGCAATGGACTCGCAGAGGACCCCACCGCGTGAGCGGTTGAGCGGTGGGTCTTCGCGGTCCTGGAAAACATCGTCTCTAGCAATACCAAGTCCGGATGAAGCTCTTGCACAAGCAATACTAGAGCCGCCGCCACCAATGCCGCCGTTGCCTTCCATCGTAAAAGAGAGCATACGCAGGCGCAGTCGTGCGCATAGCGGAAGTTCAAGTGGAAGCGCGACAACGTTGACAACTGCTGTTATGAATTCGTTGCGGCTGTCGATGTCAAGCCCATCTGTTAACGCAGTTAAACAGCCGTCTTCCCCAGTAAAGCTTACCATCGCGACAACGGACCTCGGTTCAAGCGGTCCGCACGAACTGGAACGTGCTCACACGCCAGTTAGTGCCACTAATAGTGAATCCAGTAGTCCTGCGAGCTTTCTCTGGATGCATACTCCAAGGTCGTCGATTGGTAATCGCCTTCGACCACCCACTCCCGGTCCTGAATCGGCCGGCTCGGTTGGAATGTCGAAGCATCTTCAGGGGCATTTGCCATTGATATCAAATCCTGCTCACCATACTCTCTCGAGGGATTCGTTCAAGGAGAGCATTCTCGCGCCTCTAGCAAATGCTCCCACCGTAGCTTCACTAGAACCATTGGAAAACAGGACAAATATTCAGCCCCGGTGGGACGGCAAGACTACGGTCTCATCCATGGGTCGGAGGCAACGAATACTGAGTCATCCACCGGTACTGGAGGGTTCGTCATTATCTGAAACTGAGCTTGTCGAATGGCAAAAGTTTATCAGTTACCACTCAGATACGGGAGAATCTACTTCTGACGAGATCCGCGGTGAAGTGTCCGTGAGTGCGCAACCCGTCGCTACTGTTGCCGAGACAAAAAGTAGACGGGCGTCTTTAGATCGCATGTCACTGAAATCGCAAAGCCAGCAATCGACATCAACATCGACGATAACAGGGCATAGGTCGGTGGTACCAACGGCACCACCACCGTCACCCGTGCGCGAGAATGGCAATCATGGGCAAGTATCTGCGAGTGGGTCAGACTCTTTCACACGGCAAAGACAGCAGAGCGAAGGTGGAGGAGATGGTATGCGATACGGCGTTATTGGAGCTCGGTTGGGTCGCCAATACCAGTCAAGTGAAGACAGCTCCTCGTTTGTGACGTCGCACAGAGGGTCGTCGTCGGTACAACTCCCGCACTACGAGGAGGGCGAGACTAGCAGCAACAGAAGATTCCCGTACCATTTACCCTCCTCACTGTCGATGGCAGATTTGCCCAGTCTGAACAAATCACCACAGCGTAAATCATCTAGTTCAAATTTGGTGCAAGTAGTGCGCGGGTCAATCGACAGTTTGTTCAGACGGAGTCGGTCTTCCGATGCGCTGAAAGCGGGCAAGATGAAGGCTGATTCATCGTCGGAGAGTGTGCGGCTAAAGCAAGAGTCGAGAAAATCTAGTTTTGCAGATCTGAAAGGTCTTTTAACAAAGGCGCGACGGAGGAGTAAGAGTGCAGGGAATGAACAAGGCCTGGCAGGTGCTTCCAAAACCACGGTCGTTTCTTCTATGCAAGTTCCATCTCCTGTTGTGTTGCAACAGCCGTACATGTCGCCTTCACCCCCCAGAAGTGTTCGAGTCTCGGGTGAAAGTGTACAACCTGGCAAAACACGGCCTTATACGCCATCGGTTCAATCAGTACCGTTTCCTTCCCCACTTCCGTCGGCTCCCTTAACTTCTGCCTCTGCGGCCACCTCTTCTACAGGTGCCCCGAAGAGATCACTTGCGAATGTGGCCGCTCCTCCTGAGGAGGGTGCCGTAGAAGACGGACGAAGAGGGTTAGACAGTGGCGTTTATGGATTATTGAGTGCAGAAGGTTCACGGGCCCAGGAACCGATGGAACCCGTTCCACCTATTCCAGACATTTATTCAAAGAATGGCCAAACTGCCAATCTTGAGAAGGAAATGGATGCCGTCCCACCTCCGCCTCCTGAAAAGGACTTCATCCCAGTTGTTGCGGTTCCACCAAGGGAAGAAGCATCTGGATCGGAAAAGGTGACATCATTGCTTCGAGACGAGATTAGTGTTCCTCCTTCTCCGTCAAGAGCAGAACGAGCCAAGCGACAGACCATTTTTGAAACCCTAAAGAATCGATTTGGCGGTGAAGCTGGGACTTCCATCAACAATGGTACCACGTCGCCTCCCACGTCGTTCCCTCATTGGATCGCTTCCACAGAGTCAACATCTTCTCGACTGTCAGTGCGACTGAGGAGCAAGAGTAGCGGGGCGCCACCAGCATATGAGCACCACACTCCAGATGACACGCAAGAATCAGGGGATCAGACGTCGACGGCGAACCCAACTCGTGTATTAAGAAGGGCTCGTAGCAACCTTGCTGGACTCAATTCTGACAATGCAAACAGCCTCAAGCGGGCCATGGAGAACAGCGCCCCACGAAACGGACTCCGACTAGGACGACTGGCAAGTGTCGAAAACTTTTGTGCATCAAAATCGACACGAGAAGGTCTGGACTCGCTTCCGACTCCTGAGGACGAGGAAGAAGAGTATGGACCGGTCATTGGACGGCTAGAAAAGGCGTGGTATGCGGATCTGGTCAACAAGTGTGAGGCTATGGCAACTGAAATTCGACAGCTAAAGAATCAGTTGAAAGCTGTTGAAGCCAAAGTTGGCACAGAAGAATCTGAGAAAGCGAGTCCTGTTGGCGTATGTGTTGGGCGGGATGGGCCTGTATAGGTCTCTGGAGACTCGATTCCCTGTATAGGTTCTTTATTTTTTTTGTTTTGTGTATTCTTGTTTGTTTTTTTATTTTCTTTTATCTCGCGTTTCTGCATGGTGTGCGGATGTGCGGAGATGATGTGGATGCGATGGCGTAGTTGAAAGATGGATGTGAGTGTATGCTTTTTTTTGCGTAAAATGGAGCTTTTCATATCCGGCGTAGGAATCTGGCAATGGTCATCTACCAGACTGCCTTTTGTTTTTCTATCCTTTTTTTTTGTGTATAGTAGTATAGAAATATATAGGAGATGCGTGATTGTTATCTTGCAAACATTGTTTTGCAAACATTACTCTGAGCTGAGCTGTTTAAACTCGAGTGTTTTTGGGCAAACGAAACTAGTTGCGAAAATGAACACTCTTCATGTGCGCGCAGCAGAGGGCGAACAATTAAACTAAAACGCGTCCAACCAAATCTGGTCAATTTGCTAGTCGCTCAGTAAACCCTTTTGCAAAGTTCGCTAAACAAAAAAAAAACATAAGTTGGTAGGGCGCGTACCTACTGTACGTGTAAAAGGCAGAAGAAGAAAAAACACTTTGGAAGAAAGTAAAAACCTTTTCTGTTGTTGGCAACTACTTTGCATTGGAGTGGGTTGCGCTTGGATATAATCAGTAGTTGAGTTGAATCCAATGCACACTCTTGCCTGTGGCTTGCTGGTTTAGTTTGCTTGGTTTAGCTTTGCTGGTTGCCCTTGTCAACCGGAGGTGGTTTAAGCCGCTTGTCCTTTAGCTTTTCACCGCTTTGCTTTTTTCGAATTGTTCGACGGGCAAACCTTTGTCGTCGTTCATACCAAAGAAGGTTGCGGGGCTATCGGAGGGTCTTTTGGTCAAAAAAGAAGCTCAGAGTCGGTTTTATTTGGTGGTTTATATTCCCCTTCCCTTTGTCGTATATATTTTTTCTTTGGAGGTTCCTACCTGCCCTTTCCAGCGAGGAAACCCTTTTTTTGTGTGTCGAGTCTATTTGACACACGCAGCCCTGTGCCTACGTTGGAAGAGCTTCCGTTCGCTTGGTTTTATCCCCATGTCACTGAGGGTCAGCGCGTACATGTCGTCGGTTCAGTTGGTGAGTAGATCACGCTTGACTTGGAGGGTGGAGATGAGACAACAGGGGTGTGGGAATCGAGTCTTTTGGCAAGCGACCTATGATACCGGGTGGAAAAGAGGAAGGCTTGGTGGATAATGTCCTGAATGTCGCAGATCTTGTCGACATGTCAACTGGACTAGGTGACTGTCCAAGGTTTCACGTGCAAAAGTAGCTTGCTTGGTTTTTTGCATGACGATCCGGCGAGAACGCGGGAGGTGGGAAACTTGGTTTTCTTGATGCAGTTTACAGTTGCGTTTGCGTTGGTTTCGGATTTGTTTTTATTGCCCTTTGTCCTCACCCTTCCTTCCTTCCGCCCACCCATCAGTAAAAATAAATCCTTGCCCTTTGACGTGTTCTGTTCAAGTTTATTTTCTGTTTCCTGTTCCTTCCTTTCTGTGTATTTTATATACCATACCCTTTTGTTTTTGCATTCGGAGGTGCGGCTTTCTTGTTATTCTTTTACTTTTTTTGGTGCGGTCGTCGGAGACCATCTGCGTGATCTGCCAGGATCTTGTACTAATATGTCGTATTCTCTTCCATGTTTCATTAGATCCATTGTCGACACTGGCTTTTTGAGACACCTCCCTAGCTGTATCATAGTATATTGGTACAGGTTTATCGTAAGTGGCATGAAGGCAAACGTATGATTGATCGATGATCACTAATAGATCTGGTTCTAGTCTCCTCTCGGATTGTATTTTAATTTCTAATTCGAATTATTTGCGACGACTTTTTTGTTGTCGCCATTGAAATCTAAGGTTGGTGAATCTGTGCAGGCAAATCTGGAGTGTGACAAGCCTAAATCCTTGTCTTCCTCTATGACTTACTAGCAAACTGCCATCCCTACTTCAACCCGTCATTGCCGCGATGAAGCGCAGCAATGACTATGGTCCTCAGCCAGCCGTGGATAATTATAAGAAACAGCGGTTTAGTCCGCAGACTCCCTATGGATATCCTCTCGGTGCCAGCCCCCCCGGAGGCTTCAATCAAAACAATGCTGATCTTTACGGACAGTTCGGATCAATGGGCCCCTACGTGAACGTTCTCTCCGGTATGGGTGGCATGGCTGGACTCGGCAGTCCTCCCCCGCAGGCGAGCGCAAGTCAAGGCCTTGGCCCATATCAAGGGATGAACCCGAATCAGTACCAGACGCAGTTCTCCCAGAGCGGTTCCTATAACCAGTTTCCGTCAACGGCATTCCATACGAGCCAGCACTATCAGGCTGCCAGCCATGCTTTCAATCAGACGATGCGTACAATCTATCTTGGTAACCTTCCGCCGTTGGTTTCATATGAGGAAGTCATCAACATAGTGAAAGGAGGGTCACTTGAGCAAGTCAAGATTCTCGAGGAGAAGAATTGCGCATTTGTTACCTTTGTAGAAGCAACCGCTGCCCACGCGTTTCACGCGGATTCGCAAGCCAAACGGCCTCACATTGGCACCCAGGAGATCAAGGTCGGATGGGGAAAGCACTCTACTATTCCCCCAACCATTCTCGCTGCAATCCAGGGAGGCGCCTCGCGGAACGTCTTCATTGGAAACATTGACGAAGGAGTGACGGAACCAATGTTGACGCAAGAGTTTGGCCGGTTTGGTCCTGTGGATCAGATCAAGATTCTTTTTGAAAAGCGGATTGCTTTCGTTCACATGGCGAGCATTGCTGCAGCGATGAAGGCGGTTAGTACTCTTCCCAACGACTCGCGTTGGGCAAATCGCCGTATCAACTATGGAAAGGATCGATGTGCCTACCAACCAAAAGTCGCTGGTATGTTTTTGGGTGTGATCAAGTACATTTCTTTCAGCTCCACCGATTTATCGTCTTTTTTGCAGGACTCGTACAAAATATGGGCTTTGGGATGACATTTGATCCGTTCAATGGCCTTTCGGGCCAGATGAATGGCAATGCGGGTACAAATCGCACAGTATATCTCGGAAGTATTCACCCGGATGTTACGACCAAGGACTTGTGTGATGTATGTTTCTACTTTCACGATTCCCGAATAGTGCTTTGGCTTTTCTGATTTTCGTTATGCGCAGGTCATTCGCGGTGGTATTCTTCAAAATATCAAGTATATGCCCGACAAGAACATTGCATTTGTCACGTTCATCGATCCTAGTTCAGCTGTCAACTTTTATAACCGAGGTACTTACGAAGGGGTTGTGCTGAAGGGGAAGCGGCTCAAGGTTGGTTGGGGAAAGGCGACCTCCCTGCCACAGTCAGTTGCAGTTGCCGTTCAATCGGGAGCTTCGCGTAACGTCTACATTGGAGCGATTGACGAATTGATTACGGAAGACCGTTTGCGCAAGGACTTTAGCGAGTTTGGCGACATTGAGCTGGTCAACATCATTCCGGAAAAAAATATTGGTTTCGTGAATTTTGTGGACATTATGAGCGCTGTCAAGGCTGTTGAATCAATGAAGTTGGTTCCTGACTACGGAAAGTACAAGATAAACTATGGGAAGGACCGATGCGGCAACCCACCGCGCCCACCTAGGGAGAGTGCTGTGCAAAGAGCCGCTGCTGTTGCCGCTGCTGCTGCCGCAGGCCCTGCGAATGAAAACGGATACGGTGGAGACAAGGTCTCAACTGGTGGGATGGGATTGAGTGCCATGGAGGAGACTGAGTCGTTATTGAATGGAACTTCGCTGTTGGGTAGCAGTGGAAGCTTTCTCTGAACGGACACAGCGTACATTTCTATAATAGGCAGATACCTTGCGGTTGGGATTGTACTACAAATAGGCGTTAAGTATGGGCTCAGTATTGCATTTCTCCCTCTTCTCAGCGATTTGAGCCTTTCGGTTTTATTTCGCGACATACCTTTCATTGCTGTTGGAGTTGGGCTGGAGCTTTGGAAAGAGGATACCGTATTGGGCAGGGCGTGTTTTCTTTTATTTGATACTTTTGTTATTCATTCTTTTGTGGTACTTTCTGTAATTTCACATTGAATTTATTATTTGTGCACACATATATGACACCAAAACTGTCGGTATGTTGACAGCAATATATTATCAAATAAGGTATGGTAGCAGAGGTAGCTACAGTTTGCGTTTCTTAACGCCTTTCGCAGCTCAACCCAGTCCCACTCATTGAGCCACCTCGCTTTTCAAACTCTTCCATCGAAATGGGGTTATTGTAGCGTACATCCGCGACCTTGATGGATGATCAGTTAGAATTGAATTTGTTCAAAAACACTGTGATGTAGGGGATCAATACCTTGGGAGCGGCTGTCTGATGTTCATAGATGGGCTGTGCAGTGTGCACAACGTGCTAAAACATGACAAAGATATGAGACTTTGTCCGTGTGTAGAATGCGACCGCATAGGGTTGCAGCCGATCGCTTAACATACTAACATACCGTCTGGTCAATGGTCCTCTCAATAACGGGCTGAACTTCCTCAATAACGTGCTTATTGACCTTTTCCTTTACGATCGGGGCAGTGACTCTGACGCCCTCATTCTCTTGTTCCACCGTACGTCCCCCAGTAACTAACTCTCTGTTTTTCTGGTACCGCCTTGCGTCCTCCGCATTCAGCTCCTCGCTGGATTCACGGGCGATACCGGCGTTCTGAGCGTAGTGATGCTGAGTCTCGGCTTGAACGTGGTCGTGGATGGGTTGGACGGATTGTTGGACGATGGTTTCGTCGCGTTCGCGAGAGACAATGGGTGTCACTTCTGTAGCGTGGTGTTCACGAACATTTTCGCGAGTTACGGGGGCGTTTTGAGTGTGGCAGTACTCGGAGGCACCGGCGGTTGGGTTAGCCGAAGATGTGTCGGTAGTTGTGGTCGATTGGGGTGCGGAAGATTGGTTTACAGTACTGTCGGAATCCACATTGGAAGACTTTTCATTGTTGGAGTGGGAGTGGCCAGCGTTTTTCAAGGCGCTAATGAGACCCATCTTGTTTCTTTGATTAATGTGAAGGTGTAGTGACTAGTTATTTGAAGTAGATGTTGAGAGTTGATGTTCTGGAGGTCGACCTCCTCCATGCCTCCCTTTTAAAGTGCTGCTGCAGATTGACGCAGCTGCACCTCCACTGTTTTTTTGCTGCAGCATCACAATGACGGTATTAACCCTCAAGAAGTTCAGTGGCGTTACCCAAGTCCATCTTACACGCGCTGCAACGGAAAATGCGCGCGCTCGGTAGACCATCCATATACTGCAAGGACAATCCCGCTCATCGAAAGGACTAGCATGCCTGACGCATGAGGTAATTTGAAGCAAATACCTAGCAAGAAGAATTGTTGGAAAGTTGGCATATGACGAAGGATGCACTTTTGAATCGCAAAGCAACTGGAATGAAAAAGACCAACCAGTTATGAAAACCTTATTTTTTTTCGTGTCTATCTGATGCATGACGAAAACAGATCGGAGTTACGGATTACGTATGATTTCGTAGTCCATACGCTTGAAAAATCGAATTCCGCCAATGCGGGAACTTTACGCGTGCAATTTGCAATGAGTTATTTCATATGTTATTTCATATGCAAATGGCAATTCGTATTCCACGAGCAGTCAAATGGGTTTATCATGGTGACCATCATCGTACATATGGGAGGCGGACTTGTGTGAAGCATGATGAGCTGCATCCCCCCGTGCATGCAGTTGGATTTCCATGCTCGTCTTCATAGTCGAGATTCCGTTTGTGGAATATATATCCGAACCTCCAGTGGCTTTGTTCCATTGTTTGCATTCTTGCTCTTACGTTGTTCAACAATTCATCTTGAATAAGTTGAAATACAGAAATCTCTTACATGATCATCGGAGGCCCCCCCTTATGTTTCATAATTTAGACGAGACGCCACTGCGGTACGTGCCCCACATGGCCGCGTGTTTGGGCCTCCATTTTGCCCCCCAGGATCGCCATTTGAACTTCTTTAGATTTCTCCGTCGTTAACTTGGGGTTTTCTTTCAAACTGCTCTGGCTTGACAGCGACTTTGGCCTTTGGAAATAGCAGAAATGAGTGGAAAAGACAAGATGGACGACAAGACCGCGGCGACCGTAGCAATGGAAACGGAAAACCTTGACCATGCTGAAGGAACGTCCAAGGTCAAGTTTGTGTTTGGAATGCTAAAAAAGTTGGTGGGTGTCAAGGATTTGAGCAGCATGTAAGTACGAGTGATGTGAATGAACGAATTGGATAGATCGAATGCTCATTTTCTTAAAAATACTTGTAGGCGCCTCTCCCTTCCGGCTTCTCTTATGGAACCCGAGTCTAACCTCGAGTTCTGGAACTACATGGACCGTCCTGACTACTTTGTTACAATCCCAGATGGTGAAGACCCTCTCGAGCGTATGCTTCGTGTCATTAGATGGTGGTATTCAAAAGACACGAAATGGAAGGACCAGCGCATTCGGAAACCGTACAATTCGATCCTGGGGGAGCGGTTCCTGTGCTGGTGGGATGTACCCCTCAATGATGTCTCTCCTTCCGCCGAGCCACGGTCGAGTACATCGACAGACCAGACAAACACCGACCAGGAGAGCGAGAAAACGCTTGTAGATGATACTCCGCTCAAAGTCACATGTATCACCGAGCAAATTTCGCATCACCCTCCCGTATCCGCCTACTATTATGAATGTAAGGAGAAGGGTATTATTGGACGTGGTGTAGATCATATTTCTGCGAGATTCACAGGAACAAGTGAGTCGTTTGGCTTTCTATATCTGCTGTGTTGCGTGACTAGGGTTTCCAAAACTTATGTGATCATCCAGACATCAAAGTCGGTCCAGGTGCCCAAAACCACGGCATCTACATAACGCTCACCTCCCTTGACGACGAAGAATACAACATCCAACACCCATGGGCATCAGTCACAGGCTGGCTTTCTGGGTCTCCATACGTCGTCGTGGGCGAGAGCGCCATTATCACCTGCCCAAAGACAGGCCTTAAAGCCGTATTGGAGTATAAGGAAGAGTCCATGTTTGGCAAGGCCAAGTTCGCCATTGAAGGAAAGATTTTCAAGTATGATTACGAAGCCGACAAATCATATACGGACAAGGAGCGCAAAGAAAAGGAAAAATTGAGTAAAATCAAGGACAAGGATGTGGTGTGCCGACTTTACGGCCAATGGAATGGTCAAATCTTTTGTGTGAAAACTACTCAAGACAGCGACGCAAAACCCCGTCTTCTTTTCGACATGCACACGTCCACTCCCGCCAAAAAGCAAACACTCCCCCTGGAAGACCAACATCCACTCGAGTCCCGCCGAATATGGGAACCAGTCACCTCAGCACTGTTAGCCAAGGACTTTACACTCGCCACGAATGAGAAAAGAAGGATAGAAGATGCACAGAGAAAGCTGGCTGCTGAACGTGCTGCACGTGACGAAGACTTTGTGAGCGAGTACTTTGAGTTCAAAGGTGATCGCGCTGGCAGGCCAGGCCCACCTGTCGATATGAATAGAGCAAAACCATTTTTAAAGGAAGGAAAGCAGTTTGTGTGTAAGTAGCGCTGCTGCTGGTATACGTTACATGTATATAGATGAGACGAACGTAAACAAAAGTGCGCAAGTAGATCCATAGCTGGTCTCAATGTTTATAGCAAACAAGATCTGTAAAGTAGATTAGCTGTTGTATGTGCTGTAAAAACCCAAAACAAGTGTAAATTTCTGATCCGTAACTGAAATCTCAAGTCGGGCTTTGCCACAGGATCCAAAGTAATCAGATTTGTTGTGTTCCATACTTAAGGATGCTCTATCTTTTATATGCCGTGTGATTCTTGATGAGGCAACCAAGGTAACGCCACGAGAAATCAGAAGCACTTCGGAGTTGTCTTATGCAGATACAGCAGGATCTTAGGGTTGACTGTAAGGCAGTATAGAGTCTATCGGATGTCTATAAAATACACCAAACTTGGAAACCCACAGAAGCCACGACACCAAGCTACCACACTCTCGCCACTCTATTCTGTACGTTTTTCTTCCCCAATGCTCTAGAATCTTTAAATCATTTGTGAAATGTCTAAACCCTCAAATCTCCGATTCCTCGTTCGGCTTCTGGCCATAAAATGTACTCCACCACACCAATCACAGTCCGTCGTTTACTACTGCTCTCTCCAGCTCTCTCTGATCCCACAAAAGGACTCATACTCACAGAAAATCCGCCAGGGCCAAGCGTCTTTCCAGAGGCAAGGGTCATCGATTCCTTGGTCCCATCAGATGATAATTCCATGTCTACCACGATGGGGAATGTCAGGCGCAAAGGCGTACGTCCGGTACCAAAGTACAAGACAACGGACGGCGAGAGTGGCGTAGCGAGGGTGAACCCGCGAAGGTAACGCGAATCAAAGGTCTGACGCAGGGAGGCGGAGTGGCAGTGGACTTTAAAACGCGGATTCTAGTGGTTCGGAGAACAGATTTCAGTTGTGCTTGAAAACATAGCACAGCGAGAATGACAACATACTGGTTCCCCATTCGGAAGTGGCCGTTGCGCCAATCCAACCTGCAATGTTCCCTCCGCACCCGAAGAGCAAAATGTGATGGACGACTTTTTCGCGGAAATGATCACTAATACGACATGTTGAGCAATTGGTTCTGCGAGAGCATTGTATCACCATATGTTTCCCTCACCTTTATCGCTGGTATCACCCAAGGCTCCAAAGATCTTTGCGAATTCTTGGGATGCAATCTGACAAATGTGATGATACCGCGGTCGTGGGAGGGGACCTAACCTATCTAATCGAGGCATAGCGTCCATTTCGTACATACACTTTTTTCCACCATCTGAATTGCAAGCAGCAGCAAAATAATGAGCAAATGTGTTTTTGGCAGTCGCATGCAAAATATGATGTCTCACCAGAGGATTCAAAATACAATTCATATAGCATCACAACGCCAGCTTCGCCTACGTCTGCTCGAATGGTCAGACTATCCTCATCATCCAAAAGTATGAGCTGCTGCAGAAGCACCCGCGGATTCAGCCCAATCGCGACCTGGGGCTTGCGGAGATGGTAGGTTGAGAACGGACTTGTCCACCCAGAGACCCCAGCATGCGCAATGTGCGGCCATATAGACTTTGGTGTGACCGTGTCGGCATCTACTTCGCTTCCAGCACGGCTAGATACACTCGATATGCTAGCAGCCGAAGGGGGACGCGAAATGTTGAGTGAGAGGCCATTGCTCGGGGCGGCTAATGATGTACTGGAACCGGAGAGCCTGGTTCCAGCTCCCCATCCAGCGCCACCTCCCGCGCTGACGGTGCTTCCACCTGAAGCCCGTCTAGGAGCATCCCATTTTGATTGTCCCCAAGCACTTGGGAATCCTGATCCAATCGTTCCGGCCGGGTTGTTTGCAGCATTTCCGCCCGACACTCGTCGAGATGAATCCCACGTTCCGCCACCGCTACTGCCTCCCGTCCCAGCACCCCACAAGTTAGGACCGTCCGCAGGTACACTCCCTGAGGAATCCCTCCTCCATGCACCTCCTTCACTCGCAACGGACGATCCAGGGCTTGCTGGCTCATCTTCTACCGTTTCGCCTTCTTGAACTGGTGCATCGAGCGTGAATGATACGACAGCCTTATCGTCTGTTGGATGCGCAGCAAACCGAACGGACAGCCCACGGGAGGTGAAAACAAAGTTAACGGATGGGTTCGGTGAAAAGTCTTTGACTGATGCGAGCAAGGCTGACAGAATGTGCTTCCCGCCAGGACGGAATGTAACTTCGAGGTCCATTTCTGGCGACTGCGGGGGTTGCGATTGTTGAGAAGTGCGACGAGACATGCTGGCGTTTTTCAAATCCCGGAGAGTCACTCGTGGTTATCACTTGTCAATACAGAGACGCCGAGGTTGTCGCCTTGTTCCGCAGTTTACAGCCAAAGGGCACTAATATCAATGCGCAGGCCAGTAAGGACAGGTGACCAATTACTTGTCTCATAAAACAGTACGCACCTCTGGGTTTCCGGTGCTATGTTCAAATGGCGGGTTCCGAAAAGAAAAAAAAAAGCGAAAACCTAAGCCGGCAGCCCCTTGGGGTCGGGTTGATCGGAGTGCTTTGAAGCGAGTTTCCCGCGACAAGTTAAATAAATTGATAAACCACGCTGTTGCCGATTAAGCAGTTTTTGAAATTCCTGTTTTCCACGCGATTTGCTTTTGATAGTGGCGTTTTCTTGGAAACTTTTTGCAAAAGAAAGTGTCATTTGAGGTTATTGTTTTTGTTCTTGCAACCTCCCCCAGCAACCCCAGAGGTGCAATCGAAGCCTTATTCGCAAGTGCCGGCCTCGTTTCGTTCGTTCCCCGCGTTTAGAACCACTGGATCTGCATTTCGTCACGCAATCTCATGGTGGTGCGAGATCACCTTCACATTTGGTGACGGATAAATGCCATCTGAGGTCGCACCTTTTCCTGGAGTTCCACTCTCCACTCCACCTCACGTCATTCTCCCCCCAGAACTCACTTACAATATTCTCATCAACCTCATTTCCCATCCTCAAACCCTTCTGTCCGCACTCTACGTTTCCCATTCGTTTCACATTTCCGCAAAATGCCTCCTCCAGACATACCATCCAAGGTCTATCGAAGCCATAAAGACCCTAAAGTCTCTTTCGTCAGCACAACCAGAAGTGGTTGCTAATGATCTGTTCCAGCTATTATGGTCTGTCGTAACGGACGCGGAAGTGGAGGAGACGGATGAGAGCGTTGGCTCGACGCTGACAGCAAAAGAAACACTCACCTGTATCCTTAACCTCCTTCAAACAAGCGCTCAAACCATGCCCCTTCATCTGACATCAAAATACACTACGACATTCACACTCCTTACACAAAAGTGGTCAAAAAGGTGCTGTAGAAAGCGGTACACGCACCTAGGCAACCTCGTTCAGACGATCCTACTACAGCAACCCTTACAGCAATTGTTTGATCTACTTTTGCAAAGGCCTATATCACCATACCCTACAGTTGTTCTCACGCACCAAATCATGCCCAATCTCCTCGTACCAACAAACTCGTTGCATTCCTTGATCAAAATGTCTTTTGATGGACATCCGAATTCGCTTTGGTTGACGTGCGAGATGTTGGCGTTAGTGGGTAAGAGACTGGACAAGGTCTCGGGGGAAAAGGAGAACAATGTCTACTACAGGAGATTGAGAAAATGTGTCGAGAATGCCAATGTCGAGCAGAAATCTAGAATGGCAGTCACGGTAGTGTGTCCTTTCCATTTTCCATCTCAAACCCTCCTCATGTCCACTAATGATATTCCTACTAGCATCTTCTCCAGCTTCGTAAGACAAAGTGGATCCATCCGTCATCTGCATCGTCAGAACTCTCATGCTGCTCTTTTATTTGCGTCTCGTAGTGTACCGCGCGACCAGTGGTACTTGTATATAGCTGGTTTTACAATATCTGTATACGTGCGCACTTGACCATTGATCGTCCATGGATTAGTTTTTAGACCACTTAAAACACCCGTCACCAAAGGAACCCTATTTTTGCCCACCAGCGGTCACTGCTTTGGAAATAAAAGCAGAGAAGACGGAAGGATCACACAAGTGTGCCAATGCCTCAACAAGGGATGAGCTATAAACCCATTGTATTGTTTCTTCAACCCAAATTGTACACCTTCCACCTCTTGCAAAGCCCAATACCGAAAAACAACCATTAACGTTATTTTACAAACCAAGAAAAAAAGGAGGCAACAAAGGGACACAATTCGAAAAACGAAAATTATAATAACGCAAGCAAAAGAAAAAAAAAGGAAATAAAAAGGACCGCACATCTCCCTGAGCATCGCCATCTCACTTTCAACCCATAACCCCTTCAGAAACACTTGGCTTCCTTTCCAGTGCAATTCGATAGAAGCTGTCAAATAGCTCGCCAAAGAATATCGGGAGTTGACCGCAAGCCTCGTCGCACGTTGTAGTGTACGTAACACAGCGACGATGGTACTCTGGCAGTCTGCAAGAGTATAAGGATGAGCATGTGTATAATGTAGCCTCTACTTGAAGGCAGTTGAACATTACCTGTCAATGATTGCTTGCACTCGTTCAGCACACCGGTCAGCTTCCAATGCGACGGCTAAGCAGGCCCCTCGTTGCATCTATTCATGCCAGACATGTTAGCTTAGTTCTGCTTCATACCAATACGTGAGCATCTTACCAATTTCCATGGCGGGGCATCATCAGTAATCACCGTAGTCCCCTGTTCAGTTTTGAGCCTCTCAGACCAGGAGGCCACCTCGGAAGATGCCACATTCGGATCCCATTGCGGACAAAACTTTTGCCATTCCGTAATGGCCGATTCACCACAGACAACATAGCGACATGCCACTAAACGAGGCGCCGGAATGTCGGGTGACGATGGCCTCGGCTCCATCATACCGTCTGATTCTTCCAGAACGGCTACCATCTCTTTCTCCTTCTTCTGCTTTCTCCTCTTTTTACCACCACTCCGCTTCTGCCTCTCCTGCTCATTCCCACCACCGGGTTTGGCACTTCCTGAGTCACTAGCTACATCTCCAAACCCATCCTCACTTCCATCAGCACCCTTCTTCGACTCCAAAAGCAGAGCATCCAAAATCGCGCCCCAGCTCCTGTATGTGTCGTCCGTCTTCAAGTGTGCTGGAAGTAAAGTGACACATACGAGCTCCGGGGGATCCTTTTGTTCCATTTCCGAGACTGGTGTGGGTGGAGGAGACGCCATTGAAGAGCGGGAGCTGGCTGAGGTTGCAAGTGTTGGTTCTCGGATCTGCTCCATAAAATAGCTGTCCCGGCGACGGTTCGAAGTCAACGTGCGGGGATAGCGTGGTGTCTCGGTAATCAAGTCCGTGGGATGGAGAGACTTCTCAAACTGAATGTACATAGGATGTCAGATCCAGATGGCTACGGAATACAACTTTCGATAACGTACCCTGTCTCTCCCACGCCAGTAGCGTAGTCTCAAAGTAGGTCCTTCGGGAAACAACGCAATCCTATGGGCATGCGCGAGTCGGTGCGATGTGGATGCAAATATGCCTCCCTGGAACAGAGATTCGGAGGAAGGAGTTTTCGAATTCTTCCGAATATCACCTAGACAGTCAAATACGTAAGGCTCCGAAAAAGCACCGAGTGAACGACAGACTACCGCTGATTAGTACTTACTCATAACGTCGAGCCACCGCTTGACAGCGTTGGTTCGTTGCAGCATGAAAACAGCGACGGGTCCTTCCGTGAGCTCATGATAAAAGCGGTCCAATACCTCGGGCCCATGACGAATAGCGTCCTCGTCGTGGGCGAGCATTTTCCGGGCAGTGTGATAGTTCATGCGTGTAACCTTCAACCCCGCTATGTCAAAGTCCTCCTTTCGCATACGATTGATGATTCTGCCGAGGTGTGGAAACTAGACATAATGCAACATTAGCACAGGTCAACAGGACATCTTCAACCGATACCACGCAAGCATGCTCACCAGACTAGCTTTCACAACACATATGGTCGTAAGGAAAGGTGCATGCTCGAGGAGAGTCTTGCCAATGTAAGGATCGTGAAGGTACCATTGTGGATGATACTGCCTGTCTTCCCACGTCTGCGTGCCTCCTGGGACTAGCTCGGAGTCGCGGAAGAAGATGGTGATCTGGTTGTAGCATGCTTCAACGTTCGGCGACACAAGCACGTTTAGCCGAAGAGCCTCCAAGGGATCAAATAGTTCAGGCTCGTTAATGGAAGGCACATCCGTAGCCTTTTGACTAACACCGCGGCGTCTCCTTCCCAGCTTAGGACCCTCGGTATCAACGCTGTCCGAAATACTCAAGTACGATTTCAGATATGACCCTACGTTATGAGCGGTGAGCATTTGATGATTTCTGTAACACCAGGTGACCTATATACATACCGACAATCTCTTCCACTCTCTCAAAACCGTTGCTTTTACGCACTACCATCATCACCCATCCTTGACCATCCTGCCCCTTCTGCGTAATCTTTTCCAGACTAGGATGCCATTTCACGTCACCAACTTCGTAGGGCGTAAGATATTTGGCATGATCGACGCTCAAATCCTTCAGGTACTTGAGACCTAGAAGCTCGAACCGATTGGTTGCCTCCAACAGTTTCTTCATAATCGGCGTTGCAAAGCTCATTCTAGCCGCAATAAATACCGCCTGAGGTAACTCTGGATCAGAGTAGAAAACCTCAGCTCTAGAAATCCGCAGCTCTGCCTTCTCCCTGGAGACATAGACATAGAGTACTTTGGGTTAACCTCCTGTTACGGTGAAGAATGGCTCAAATACGTACCTGGGAGGGAGCCTCCTTTCCGTGGTATCAGGAGATGCCGCTGCGTTCTTCGTCCTGACTTCACGAGATACATGAAAAAGATCGTCGGCAGTCAAATTGGTCAGTCCCTCGCGTTCCGCTGCCGTGAGTCCCGGTGACTGGACCGCTCGCATTAAAAAGGCCCGTAAGGATTCAAGACATCGAGCGGCAGACAATGGAACACCGCCCGGCTTTTTGCTGAGCTGAAGTAAAAAGGAGAAGTTGGTGACGCTCTTCAGATCCTGTCGCCAGTCATCTGTTCCCATTGGTCTCCGTAGGCCTTGCTTATACGTGCGTTCAAGATTGCCAAAGTATTCGGACCTCCTACAAACAAGCTTCCACGTTAATATCCACGGCCATGTTCGCAAAGCATGCGTGTCCTCAAATTACCTCGAAATGCCTTCGAGCTCGTACCCGAGACTCATGACCTCCTCCAAGAGTGGACCATATAACGCAGATGGCACCATCGGAGAGATGGTAAGGCTATGAATATCCGAGCCTAAATCTGCTTGAGCGAGTGGAGCTGCGCCTTCCATTGTCTTGGGCGCCGGGGTAGGCGAGCATGTTGTTGACCCTTTGGAGGAAACAGAGCTTCGTCGGACATCTGAAAAGCTAGATTTCCGTGCGTGACTGGGGAAAGATGGCTTCCTTTTGACTGAATTATTTTCAGCAGTCTGAGGGGCAACCAAGGTGGGTTCTGCGGCCGCCGCTGCAACACTGGTCGCGCTTGCATCTGTATGGTCTACAACAGTTGCATCGATGCGAGGGGTTTTATCCTCACAAACCTCCTTTGCCTTTTCATCCATATTGATGCTACTCTTCTTCTTCTTTGGCTTCTTCTTACGCTTCTTCTTCTGTGTCGCGTCCGAAGCAGGAACATCTGGAGAATTACTAGGTGCCTGCTGCTCACCAAGATGGTTCTCCCGCGCCCGACGTAGAATGCTCTCAAAATCGGTTTCCTTCAGCAGTTCTACGGCAGGAAACGAGGGTGAGTCGGTAGGCAGAAACCTTTCAAATTCGCGGGAGCTCCGTGTAGTTTCAAACACGTTGCGAGTATTGGGAGGGAAGGTCTTGAATTTTTTGTACTCCTGGAAGCGGTGGGCCGCGTCCAAATCCCTTTGCGTGCGACGAGCGGCATTTGCAAGATCAATATCCCAATGGAAAGGCAGGATGGTTGAAGGTGGAGGGACAGAAGGTCGTGGGAGCGTGGTCACCGTTTCTTGCGGCTTGTAACCTGACCGGGATCGAAGCCAGGGATCGTCATCGCGAAGGATAGGGTCCGTTGAGTCGGAAAAGCTCTATAAAATCATGAACAGAGAAAAGGACCAATTTGTTAGCGATAGCACCAGATTTTCACACGCCGGATGAGTAGTGCTTACCCGATCATCTGCAAAGTTCCAATCGCCAGATTCTTGTGAGCTCGTTGGACTGGAACTTGTAGAAGACGGAGGACGAGGAACGACACTAATGCCATTCACTTTGTGTCGTGGATAAATGCGACGCTCGGTAGTGTGAAACGGCATGTTGCGCAGTACAAAAGCTCCAATGTCGTGATCAGAAGGAAGCTAAGATGCAGTCTGAAACTAGGTGCGAGTAAGTAAACATCCAACTACGACAGTAAAGAACCATACAAAACTCCTATAGAACCGATGACAAACCTCCGACTTCTGTGATTTGGAGTAGTGAGCGAAAATAAATGATAGAAACGCGGGAAAGTGAGGACGGAGGGTATAACTCGTGTGTCGCAAGGTGTGAAGAAATCAAGTATGCGGTAGTGTACGAGTGAGTCGATAATCGTAAGGGAATGGACGAGAGACAAGATGCTACGGGGATGATGAAAAAAGGTTCAAGGGAGAAAAACGAAAAGGATGCGGGGGAAAAGCTTGTGGTATGCGCAGTCTTATCCTGGATTGGCATTACCAACACATTTGTCCGAAATCTGCGGGTCTCCCATTGGAACCCCGTGGGCTTAGTCATGTCGGAGTGTGACGCGCTTTTGAACAAAGAACGATCGCGCTCTCCTGCTGATGCGGGTTCTTGTTTGTCTTGATGGTAGTTGGTGCAATTGGTGGTGGTGCTGCAAGTTCCATGGCAGTATAGACGGGTGGCATAGGGTCATGGGTTAAGCACGTTGGGAAGAACTTGGGTGGCATCGTTTGTTTGGACATGGTTTATCAGCACTCTCTGTGAATGAATAGACATTTTAGATGATGATCCAACATGATCCAACAAGAAGTTCCATATATCTGCCAATCGCAATCCTGCAACGTCAAAATGACGTTCGTTCCGGATACGCCGCAGCATTGGTGGTATCAGTAACAAGATGCCCATCGGAAACTCCCGACATGGTCGCGTGGTATATCACGTATTTTTGATATTCGACCTCCTTCTCACCTGTCCGAAGGGGCCCCTGAAGAACCACGGAGGACCAAAGGACCAGAGCATGCATAGTGTGGCGGTGATTGAAAATGGCACTAGAACTCATTATTATCCGGATTAATCCGGTTAGTCATATCGCATAATCAGCACCCCCGCTGTCGCCCAAAGCGGTGAGGCATGCAGCGGTGTAGCATGCTAATGTAATGTTGTTTTTTTTTAAAACTGCGGTGAGGCGCATGCCAAAGGTCTATAAAAAGGGGGCCTTTGCTGTCTCTTCCCTCTTTCCTCTTTACCCATCCTCGACTCACAAGCATCTGCCCAACTCTCATCAATCATGAGAACACCGATGTGGTGGTGCCGAGGACCTCGCCCACCCGACTACAACAACAACATAACTCCTTGCAAACATTGCTACTACTATGCTGCAACGATCGCAGGTATGTGTTGTCTTCGTATTTTCCCACGCGTATTCCGAGTCTAATTCTGGTTTAATTAGTATCTGAACATCCTCCGACTAAAGAATTTCGGAATCAAGGGCTTAGTAGGATTTCTCTCGTGTGGTGGGCTTAGTTACCCGGTTAGAACAACCGTTATGTATTGCATGTGTAATTGGGCCTAGTAGTACTTAGTTGTAAGGAGGGAATTACTTGGCTTTTCCGAACCGGTTGTCGCCGGTTTATTCCCTGGTGTAGTAGCTAGTGCCAGTTTCTGTCCCCTCTACACTACCAAGCCCCTGGTGTTAAAGCAAATCCATCTTACATGATCAATGTCACGTGATGAGTCCGATCGTCCTTCACCTCCCGTATGGACATTCGCACGATTTCTTCCTTGCGAGCCAATGTCCCTTCCCATTAGTTCGTATTTTACGAGAAAGCCCGCTCTTCAGTTCGAGAGCCGCTCATCGAGTTCGGGAGGGGTGGTCAACGTTGATGCCAAGAGCACCATCGAGCTGAAGAAAACTCTGCAGAATGGTACAAGCGCGAAGGAACTTTGGCTATCTGTTATTCCCACCAAACATTTATGTATATGTGGGATATCCAACCGTCATTGCAGTATTTGGTCTTTCAGAATTTCGGGGAGATCAAGAGGCTGTTATCAAGGCAGCCCTTGCTGGTATTTGCCAAGTCCTCGTTAACGTTTTTGCAGCGAGCTTCTGATTATTGATAACTCATAACATTACTAGGAAATGATTGCCTTGTTCTAATGCCAACAGGTGCGGGGTGCACAGTTTATTTCTTCCTTTTGGTTTTCGACCGTGGGTTTAGTCAGTTGAATGCGATAGGTGGAGGGAAATCGTTGACATATCAACTTCCCGCGGTGCTCGATCAAGGTGTAACCCTCGTCGTATCTCCACTTCTTGGTATGTGTTAAGGTGAACGGAAAAGCAAGCCACCAATCCAGTACAAAAATCTAAAACATCTCTGTTGAGCAGCATTGATGGTGCGTAATCACGTCCAATTCACGGTGCGTTGAGATGAATCAGCATTGAATGGCTTCTTTCGCAGCAAAATCAAGTGGATGCTTTGAAAAAGATCAATATAAAGGCTGCAACCTTGAACTCTACTCTGAAGGTCAAAGAGCGCAGAGAGGTTCGTGCCTGAAATCATGCAAAACATTGCGTAACTACTCACAACGCTTCCAGGTGCTGACCGATCTCGCCCTGGTCAAACCGAGGATCAAGCTTCTTTACGGTACTAGTGTACTCCCAATCCCTATGAAATGCCTGCCTCATTACTCACTCATTCTATCTGTCCAGTGACACCTGAGTTAATGGCAACGGATCACTTTCGGACGACTCTCGAGAAGCTTCATCAGAGAGCCATGCTATCACGGCTCGTCATTGATGAAGCACATTGCATCTCAGAATGGGGTAAGTATGACTCTTTGAACTTGTCTAGTCGATGATTCTTAACAATATCATTTGGCACGGCCAGGCCACGATTTCAGGTACGCTCGCTCTCCCCTCTGAGAAACACTCTATGCCATGTATTTTCTAAGACTTTGACTTGCAGGCACGATTATCGAAAGCTGAGTTGGTTCAAGGAGACCTTTCCCAAGATTCCAGTGATGGCATTGACAGCGACGGCCACTAACAGGTGAAGTCAGTTGGAACTTGCGATGTCGCAACGCTCCTCGATATCAACATTCCCATACAGGGTCCGTGCCGACATTATCAAGCAGCTCCACTTACCTGCGCCACATTCGCTCAAGCTTTTTGTGTGCTCCTTCAACCGACCCAATCTTCATTACGAGGTCCGATTTAAGCCGCGCTCTAACAACGATCCCTACCCGGATATACTAAGCTTCCTCAAATCTATTTACGAAAACCGACGAAAGCGGATCGAAGAGACGAGTTCAAAGGAGCGGGTTGAAGGTGTCTGTGGAATTATTTACTGTGCAACGAGATCCACATGTGATGATGTTGCACAAAAGCTGCGAGTGGATGGCGTGCGAGCTCAGAGTTATCATGCCGGATTAAAAAGTTCAGAACGGCATTCTGTATTGAAAGCGTGGAGTGGAACAGATCCTTTCAGTGTGGTCCGTGATAATGACGCAGAGAACGCGGTGACAGGGGGAGGACACAGTAGCGAGGTGGTGGATGTGGTGGTAGCAACAATTAGTTTCGGCATGGGTATCGACAAAAAGGATGTCCGATTCGTGATACATTGGGATATGTCGAAATCTCTTGAAGGTGCGAAACTTGGTATACTGTCGTCTCTTTTTTCAGCAGTAACTGATGAAGTATCAGGATACTATCAGGAAAGCGGTCGCGCGGGTCGCGACGGCAAAGTCAGTCGTTGTATATTGTATTATAGCCATGAAGATAGAGATCGCCATACGTATTTAATAGGGTTGGAGAATGAGAAAAGAAGAGCGAAAGGGTTGCCACCATCGGAAAATGCTAGCTTTAATAAGGTACGTTCTGCTGGGGCTGAACCTTCCCGTCGATTTCTGTAATGAACATACGTCAAGATGGTAGAGTATTGCGAGGACGTAAAAACATGTAGACATGTCTTTTTCGACCGCTATTTCGGTGCAGATGAGGCTACCCTGAAAGCCGAGATTTTATGCCCTTCAAAGCGGTGCGACGTATGCAAAGATCCAATAAAGTTGGAGAAGGAAAAGAAAGCTGCTTTGGTTACACCCGGAAGTTCTGAAGATTTCATAACAGGGCGCCAGTTCGAGGCCGGAGGGTATGCTCAAGTTAACAGTGGTATTCAGTTGCCCGAATTCATTTTCCATATCACCAGGAATATGCGCTTGAGGGATGGAACGTGGATAGGACCAACGGACACGAACAAACGAACTCGTCAGAATGACTCCTCACTCGATTACGGGTTTGATGGAAGCTCAACCAGTGACCCCAGAGCCAGGAAAAGAGAGCGACAAGAAACCGGCTGGGAAGATATTCAAGATGATTATGATGCGTCTAGTTTTGGCTTTCGGAGAGGGTCGGGTAAAGCCGTAAAGGAATCGAATGCAACCATCTTTGAGCAACTGGGTCGGAAATCAACTCGCAAGGATGCCGTATTTGGTATGAAATTTATCGCTCGCTTATTATTGCCCGTATAGATTAGATGTTGATCAAGCCGTATGAATACGTCTAGTTAGCGCAAAGGATATGGCCAGAACAAAGTATCCTCTGGTCATGACCTCGTCGCACTCGGTTGCAGACCTGAAGGTCCAAGATCGGGAAAACGCCTTTCTTCAATTATCTAAAGCTCTGGACGGTACACTAAATGTCCAAAACGATGAATGCTGGGCGTGGAGAACCGATGATGGATTACTAGATCGCGGATTCCGCAAGTACGTTTAATTGCATCCAAAGCCCTACTGAGTTCAAATTCACAAAGATAATCTCTTGAAGGGCCATCATCGAATCCACTGCAGCTGCTATTGAGAGCAGATGTTTTACGGGGTCCAAACTTCTTGTAATGTACAAGCATACCTGGATGCAGCGCGTTCGAGAGATCAAACGGTTAACTAGTGATGCGGAGGGCCTCGTTAGAGAGCTGTTGGAAGAGGAACGACACAAGCGTTTTGAAAAGTAATTTTTAAAATGTCGTGACATTTGACAAAGGGGATTATTACTGCGTACATGTCATCTTTGTCAAGACTGTAGTGATGCAAAGGAAATTCTAACAAATTTAAAAGTGTAGTATACGGCAGATTCTGAGATGATGTGAATAGATAACTGTGGATTGGCTGGCGACATATTGTTTTGCATCACACTGTGTGCGCAGGATCCATAAAACAGGGCATTCCAACCGAGGATCTTGCCTTGAACGTCCAGTCTGCAATGATTAGAAGGTTTAAAAGGGAAGCCCGTCCTTTGGATCTCCAATGTATTACGCAAAAAGTGTGGCGGGGCGTGCCACATTATGGCTCAGCTGACCCAGCGCAATCACGAGCATTTTGAATGCACCGACAGCGGATTGACCGCTTTGGCACCCTCAGCCTCTTCACTCGCTCTGTACATTTTGGTGTTTTTCTTTTAACCAGCACTTTGTATCTCGCGTACACATCTAAATCGTGCAAGGATCTTATACTCGCGTTTCGTGTATATCTGCACGAGATTGATCGATTAGAGTTCGAGACGTCATTTATTCGTAGATAAGATGAGCAAGGACGACGAGTACGATTACCTTTTTAAGGGTAGGTTCTGTAGGCATGTATGTGATAGGAGGTGTTGGGGTGCTGTATGTCCGTGCGCATGCGGGTGAGATAACAGTAGGATTGAGTGGTATGCAACGGCCGTCGCGTGTGGAAGGTTATGGATGATTGTAAGAATTTGCAACGCGAAAGGGTGTCAAGCTTCGGTTTGACCGCATATTCAGATGATGCAGATGCATATACTTTTGCAAATGACCTTTTATAACATCTCACACCGACATGTCACTAATGTATCTCAAATTCTACCTCAAAGTTGTTCTTATCGGCGACTCGGGGGTTGGAAAATCCAACCTTCTCGGCCGATTCACCAGGAACGAATTCAACCTCGAATCCAAATCTACCATTGGGGTTGAGTTTGCGACGCGAAGCATAAACGTTGATGGAAAGGTCATTAAAGCACAGATTTGGGATACGGCTGGGCAGGAGCGGTACAGAGCTATTACGAGCGCGTATGTCATGTCGCATTCTGCTACTTGGGGTTGAGGGGCAGGTGTTGCGGAAGGCTAACATTAACTGCGTGTTTTACCAGTTATTACCGTGGAGCTGTCGGTGCTCTCCTTGTATACGACATTGCAAAACAACAAACCTACGAGAACGTGAACCGTTGGTTAAAGGAGTTGCGAGACCATGCTGATACCAACATCGTTATTATGTTGGTGGGGAACAAGAGTGATTTGAAGTATGCAAGGGCGGTGCCAACGGAGGAGGCTAAGCAGTTTGCCAGTGAGTGATGGTCGGTTAGAGGAGTGTGCGGGAGACTTGTAGATAACCGGTCCTCTCCCTTTCGTAGCCGAAAATGGTCTCTCTTTCATCGAGACTTCTGCTCTGGATGCGACAAACGTTGAGCTTGCGTTCCAAAAAATTTTGACGGGTGGGCAAGATTGGAGGCAGCGCTTCGATTTGGCTGAATTTTACTAAATTTGAAATATCTGTTCCAGAAATCTACCGAATTGTTTCCAACAAGGCGCTCGAATCGGAAAACAACGAGCGTGGCGCAGGGCCTGGAGCTGGGCAGACCATCACCGTTGCTCCAACAGACACGAATGCTCCGGTATGTGCTACCTTCTTTTTCTTGCCAGGTGATCCATCATTCATAAGGCTTCTTTTTTTTTCGTCGCGCGTGCAGAAAAAGGCGGGAGGATGCTGCTAGATTGGGGGATCTGTGTGCTGATCCTTGTGCGTTTGTGTGTGGTTTAAAACTTTTCTCTATAGTGTTAGCGAATATTGCCAAGTCTTTTTCTACCTTGCGTGTTTCTTTGGAAGGGGTGCATGTGCAAAGAGTTTGACTGGACACTTGTGCTAGGGAGTGGAAGTGGGAGATCGTCATCTCCTTCTTGTTCAATGGATGGCTTGCGGGCGCCCGGTGCAAATACCTGTAATTGCGCCAGGTTTGCCAGTATTCTCAAAGCTAGAACCGCTTGATGCAGTTCCAACGCATCACCCACCTCACCCATCTAATTGGCATGAACTCTCGTACAGCTCGTGGGTGCTTTCATGAGAGGTATAAAAGCGGTGAGATCAATCTGCTACGCACAAGGCATCTGAGCATATCAGACCCAAACTGATCTTCAGGATGATAACGAGTCTTTATATACAGTCTCACTGACACCTGCCCACGCCACACACATGCCCACAAGCACAGTTTGCATGAGATTGATCAATTATCTGGCAGGACTTTGAACCTCACGTTCACTTGAAGTCAGGAACTCATGATAAACATCTGCCATGCTAGACTGACCAAATCAAGCTTGAAAGATAGTCTGCTATTGACGAATCATGACATGGCGGTGCCGGCCGAAGCCTGAAAAAGATCTGAATGTCAAAGCACATTGACGTTGTGATCACATAAGCAGGTGGCGCAGTGATCGCCCGCACTTTTGGGGTGAACAGTTTCTTGCCAGATGTCTGTTGGGTTTGCTGCTTTTTGGGTCTTTGGTCCAGTGGTAACCGCCGTATGGAACACTTACTTTAATGTTGAAGTGATCTCCACATGTGACTCGCACCACTTTGACTCACGAGTAATGTGACTGAATAAGCCCCATATGTGGCGGATGACTTGATGACATGCCTTCATTAAAGACCGTCTTGTTTTGTCTGTTTAACAAAGCGCTCTGCAAGAATGACCAATTTCTCTCCATCTGCTGGATCTTTGTCTTTTCCATCAGATCAACAAAGAGACGAATTTCAGTATATGACGACATTTGGCTTAATTGATGATGAAGGTGTTGAGAGGAAGGATAATCAAATGGTGAATAAAGGTTGGCACTGCTAGACCGTCAATTGCAGAGGAAGGCCGAATTTAACTGCAACTTGCAAAATGAGTAGATGGAATGGAAAAGGCACAAAGGGAGATGACAGCCAGTCTGCCAGACACGGAACTTTCACAAAGCACTATCCGTGTGCCAAGTGGAAAGCAGCCTACTAAAATTCGGACGCTGTTGAACAGCCTCAAGAGGATTCACATCTTGCAGGGAGTCGAAAAGTCATGCCCAAGTAAGTGATTTTTTTCCTGGCATTAGGGAGATTTCATCTAGACGGCTGTTGATTGACCTTACCACACAATGTTGTATTGTGCATGCCAGATGTTGATCAAGCGTCTCCCGTGCCTGTAGTGAACAAGTCCAATAATTTCGCAGACACGAGTCCAAGCACAGGTACCAGTGACAAACAAAAACAGCCACCAGTATTTGCCTCAGATCAATCAAGATGTAAGTATGACTGTTCCTCATTCGTACATGAGCATACTGCTTATGCCTGGCACGTCAGTTGTAAATAGCACTGGAAAGTGGGCTGTTCGCACACCAAAGATTGTAGCGGACCCCACCGTCATCCCAACAGAGCATACAGCAACCCAACGTCCCTTCTTCAAGGATTGCTCTGTAGAACAGAAAACGCATGGAGTAGAAGACTCGGAAGATGGGGAAGCTGAAAATGCGAGTGGTGATAACCATACGAATAGAGGAGCAGATGCAAGTACAAAAGATACGCACGTGTGTGATGACGATCGTCAAGTAACTTCAGATCAAGATACGCAAACAATCCCCAGTTTGGACGCGCAAGCTGAAGCCTTTGACAAGCACGATGATGCATCACAGGCCTCTCGTGTGGCCAAATTCCGCATCCTCGCACTTGTGTCTCAACTACTCCACGTCCGTCGCCTATGGTCGGCGCTACGATTAGAGATTCCCCTTCATTTAGCGCGAAAGACTGGATCGTTTGCGCGGCAAACCCTTGAACATAATTCAGATTCTGAACCTGCTAGCGTGAGCAAAGCCTCGCAACAAGAACCTGCCCAGCTGACATCTTTAGAACAGAGCCTAGCAATCCAACGCTCACTCCAGAGCCTTCAGTCCCAATTAGACGCCACGCAAACCTCTCTGGGAGCATTAGACCAATCCACGCAAAACCGACACTCAAATATGGTGTCAGCACTCGAACGTCTGCAGACGATGTTAAACAATTTACAAAATATTGTCGAAAAGCGTCATTCAGATTTGGACACTGTACTCAGTGACCAAATAGCAAAGACCAACAAACGCATTGATCAGAATGTGATGAGAGCGGAAGCTCTCGCAAATCGTATCACGGCCATACGAGATTCTATTGAAGATGGACTGGATCGGATGGTCATGAAGAGACGACATGAAAGTGAAATGGATGAAATTGAGGAAAGGAAAAGGCATAAATGTAAAGCAGTAAATGGATGGGCCGTGGGCTGTGGAGCGGGGGTCGGTGCAATGATAGGATATGTGATAGGATTGGGAACATGAGATTTTAGCTCTGAGCATTTCCTATCCGTTCAACTTAACCCTTTCATTTTGTAGTGAAGGTCGTTTGCTGGCAACAGCTGTCAGTTTGCTTGTTTTGGTCCATATGACCGCCTCCTTGCCATAGCTTGTAGCGGGGGTCTGTGAAGCAATGCAGCAAACCCTCTCTTAACTGACTCGTAGAACCGCGATCATACGTTGCAAATGGTAACTAGTTGGGCATCTCTTTTCAGTCAAGACAGGCCAATCCTTTTGTCAAAGGAATCGAAATGGCAGCACATGCAAGCAAACTATCAACCCATTCGTTGTCCTCTTGGTTGGAAGGAGGATGGGGGCAAATCTAAACAACCCCTCAAACTCCAAACCAAAATGATGTCAGTCAGAAAAGTCAAAAAGTCAAAAAGCAAGCGCAAAATTCCCTAAAATCGCAAACAAAGGGCAGTTAAATAATCGGAAAATGGACAAAGAGTTTTTGTTGTACGATTGCCGTTGACTCCAACACTTTGGGACGTCATAAACTGAACGCTTTTGGAACACTTTTTGGTTGCACGCTTTCTGTGACATTCCGCAGCAGCAGCAGCAGCAGCAAGCAGAGAGTTGCTCATTACAAATAGCCTCATTCAAAACATTTCATACATTGCATTGCAATGCATTGAACCTCGCACCAATGCATTTCCTGTCCACACTCCTCTTGGCGTCAATACCCACTGCGATCGCATTGACCTCGTCCCCACTACCATGGTCACCCTGCTCCGCGGATGGAGACGCACAACTCAAGATTTCAAATGTGCAAGCGACCTATGATTCCGAGACGAGGTTAATTGACGTATATGGGGAAGGAACGACACAGAAAGCACTCACGAATGGGACTGGTATGTATTGCTCAAGAGACAGCGTCAAGGGATCTTGCTCATCCTGCATCCATTCTCTATTTGGCTCTAGTAAAAACGAATTTGGCGGTTATTGGGTTCGAGTATTGGGAGGTGAGTGAGCAAGTGTTGAGTACGATGGTGCGAAAACCCTTCTAAACGCATCACTGCTTGTCCAGAATAAGGAGGATATTTGCAATTCCGTTCAATGCCCTGTTGCCGCGGGCAAATTCATTTTCAACAAAGTACGGATAACCTCTCTTTGCTTATAATGATCACGCTATGCAGCTCGCAAGAGACTAATATAATCTTTAATTCAGAACATATCCCTTCCAGCAAATGTGCCATTGCTGGACTGGAAGCCCCGTATCATATTCCAAGATGCGACATCGGATGAAATCCAGCTGGGCTGCATCAGCATTCACCTTGGCCTTAGCTACTCGGTCATCAATTACGTCGGAACTTGGGGATCCGTCTTCACCGCAGTAGCAGCAGGGGTAACGACGACAATCGCTCGATTGATGAGATTTGGTTACCATCCTACGATATATGATCTCTCCTCGGGGTGGGCACCCACTGCTCGTTTGCTGCCATCGCGTATTGGTCCCGGCTTTATGGATGTAGCGCTTTTGGCTCAGTTCGCAGCAGCATCTGGGCAATTGAACTTTGATTACCCTATTATCTACCAGGACTTCGTTAGCCGGCTTGCCTGGGCAACTGGGACATGGAACGTGGGTTTTATTACTTCCATTGCCAACAATATTCGAGGAGGTGGAGTGGAGACTCTACGCCAAGAGACGGAAGATATCAAGGCACGCACTGGAGACGTCAGGTTGAACAGGCGGCAGACGCAACCGGCCAATGGGACCAGTACACCGACGCCGGTGGCCAAGCCAAAGATTGCTCCAACGAACGGCATAAAGCCGGATGGCTTTGTGACAGGGTATGATCGCTATGCGGCAATGCTGGGATTACATCCGAAAGATATCTTCCTGCATACCTTGATACCATTTGTGCTGGTGGTGTTGATCGCATTTGTATCCTGTACATGTCTTGCTGTGGCAAGAGCAGGTATGTTCACATCATCCGTGTTTTTTTTAGATTGCGATTGACGTTTGTATTTGGTAGTGGTACGTTCTCGTCACCACCTCTCACAAACGGATGCTTTCTCGCATGATGACCAACATCACCACATCCGTCACTATCTTGGTGGATGGCTTGTTCGCATATTGATTCTTTTTTATTTCGGCCTGACGTCAACGAGTTTACACCAACTTACACTGTCCGGTGAACCGTCTATTGTATACACCCTTGCTGGACTGGTGTTTGCTACCTTGGGTGTCATCGTACCTATAACCATGACTCTCCGCCTCATTGCCATTGCACGAATGAATAGGAGGTTGGACGACGAAGATCCAGAAATTGCAGACCAAGTTTATGCTCGCAGTATTCGAGACAACATTGGAAGTTTTACAAAGGAGTCAGTACCTGTGGTAGGAAGTGGAGCGTCCATAAGATCCTACTCGGAAGATACCGTTGTGGCGAAAGAAGCCGCCCAAGTGTATACTCGCATGAGAGCACTATCTGTATCCACTGCGGGTACGAAACCTGGACCCGAGTCAGCGTCGAGTATAATAGCACCCAGATTGCGAGCATTCTCCGTCTCTTCGAAACGCTCAAACCAAACCGCTGCTACCTCCGCATCTCGTTCAGCTTCTTGGCCACTTCCCCCTCTATACCTTTCGCAAAAGTTTATGCTCCTCTATGGCCCTTTCTTCAACCAATATGATCCGACTCACTATATCTCACATGCCGAGTTTTTGATAGCTCTGACCTGGTGGTTACGGGTGGCACCCGCCTTTTCGGTGGGAATTCTCGGCAAACTGATACCACCTTATCTCCAGTTTGCGATCATGATTAGCGGAGATGCAGCGTTATTTGCGTACTTGATATGGAAGAATCCTTTTGTCGGAAAACCGGCGAATCGTTGGCAGCTCTTCTTGGTGTTTTGCCGGAGCGGCATATTTTTCTTTCTCTTTGTTTCCTTTTTGTTTAGAAACGCCTGGCATATTGGTGAGTGGTCGGACTTCCCGGAATATTTTATTCGAAATTATTGACGAGGATCCTTTCTTTAGACTGGATTGCCCAATTGATCTCATACATTCAGATTCTGTCCATAATCGGCATACATCTTCTTTTCCTCACAGCTGCCGGTCTCAAATTCGTCTTTGCAGCACTGAAAGGTTTCAAGCGTAAGGAAGGACCTCCAATTGCTCTTGCAACGGATCCGGTCAATGTAAGAGTGGAGGACGATAAATCGGAATCGTCCCAGCCAAGTTTACCTCGTGAGCCGATGGCAGGTCGGAGAATGGGACGCAGCCGAGTTGGTACGGTACAGCGAGTACTGGAAACGCCCAAGCTGGTTAGCTCCCCCGGCACGATCCAGGATGACGATGCAGAATACTTTGGTGTAATTAAACCCAAGAAGAGTGAAATGAGAAGTGCGGGTCAGCCTATTACTAACAAACGCGACGAGAAACCTTCTGAATCAAATGCAATTGTTGAACAACGGGATGCAAAAACGGTTATCGAAGACGGGAATCCTTATTTAGATGTATAAGTTCTTTCGAATCTTCTGACTTGTGTATATTATTAGGTAAATTAGATATCATATTTTAGGACAGTAGAAGACATGTAATAAAGCGATAGAGATTATATGTATTCACGAGATTGTGGAATAATTATAGGTATGCCTTATCCAAATATAATATTATGTTAAAATCTGGCACGTATCTTTTAGCACCTATATCTTTGCAAGTTGCAACCACAGAGCCCGAAAGTTAGCCACGAGACTTCCTTTTGGTACGAGGATCAGCCCTTAAATTTTCGAAAGTTCCAAAACCTTACCCAATCCAAACTCCGATCACCTTACATTAAGATCTTGGATCGGACTTTTTCATCAAGCACTCCTGGAACCGGCATACAACTCGGGAGACATATATATTGATCTGTTCAGTCCGAGTCCTAGATCACCGACCAGGATGATGGCGGTAAAGCCGTCCCCGAAAGGGGCGCCAAATAACCGCACCCGCCCAACCCAGTTCACATCTCTCATCGCCGTCAGCACCAAGTCCACCCTGTCAGCGATCAGACGAGACAAACATTTGCAAGAATCCTTCCATTCAATCCGTGTTACACCCCGCCATGTTCTAATCAAAGACTACGAGCCGAACGTTTGTCAATCTCGTACCATCAAGCTTACCAACCTCACGCGGCGGGTCCAACGCATCGCGATCCAGCCGCCGACTACTGGCGCATTTCGGGTGAAAGAATTGGAGACTGGATGGATTCTGGTTGCCCCTGGGTTGGATGTAAGCGTTGTCGTCGAGTTTTCTGCTGAATGGGCTTCAAAGAAGAGTAGTGGAGCGGGGGATGGTGTCGACGCCTTTGTGGATCGACTACGCGTTGTTGTGGAAGAAGGTCAGGATATTGATGTGAAATTGGAGGCGTACCCTGCTGGACCGCACTTGGAAGCAGACGAAGAGGTAGATTTTGGAACACTCATTGCAAAAAAGGAGATGGGGTTGGAGGATGGGTGGATTACGAGATATGTGGAAGTCAGGAACACTGGCAAAAGGAGGGCCCAAATTTCGTGTACTTGGGATTCAAAGATACCAATTCGGGTAACACCTTCCTCCATTACACTGGCAGCACCACAGGAAGCTTTGGCTCAACCTCAGCCAGCATCTCGAGTAACGACTGCCACACGTCCCCTCCTGTCATCCTGCTCCCTCCGTATCGACTTTTATCCACACATCGTGGGCAAATTGCTTGATACAGTCAAGATCAAGCTTGACAGCGACGTTCCCAAACCCAATTCGGAGCTTAAAGCAGATACCGAGATTGCAGTGAGATTGAAGGCGACAGTAATTGACCATAAATTGCGCTTCAGAAATGCGGGAAACACTATCACCTTGGATCCTGGGAATATCGATTTCGGGACGATTTATTACGCACAGAGTGCGGGTATTCCCGTCAGATTGGAGAATCGCGGGCCAACCCCTGTACGGTGGTAAGATACGCAATTCCTTCCTTGGCGTATTGGTTGTCGTTGTGTTGGTAAGGTCGAATTTTGAGACGTATTGAATACTTTTGCACTCCATAGGGTCATCACCCACACAGGGGAGAGCAAACCTATGGTATTCAGTCAAATCCTTCTCGAAACTGCCAACACCAGCACGGACGATACAGCAGCGGATAATGCGTCCGAGGATGCCGACTTGCGCGCTTCAATGTCAGTCTACCCATCAGAAGGCACCTTAGAACCCTACCAATCTGTTCCAATAGAGTTCGCTTTCTCTCCTCGACTTCCTACCCCTTCCCGAGGGTTCAAATCGTCACTCCAGTCGCCATTACCTAGAGCATACAAGGTTCCGATGGAACTCAAGATTGTGAATTCTTCTGCACATCCTTACGTTCGTGAAGGGGAGGAGAGTGTCCCGATTACCTTGACAGGACGGGCTTGTCCTATTCGGGCGGTACTCCAGCCACGTACAATCGAGTTTGCGGCCACACCGCAGGGCCAGCAGAATGTCACCGAAGCGGTACTGAGGAACAACGGAGAGAATATGAGTTTTCACTTCAGGTTTTTGTCCGTTGCGCACTTTCACGCGGTGCCAACCGTGGGCACTTTGCGACCTGGCGAAGAGGTCTTAGTGCGTGTCTCATTCAAGCCAAATCAGCTGGGTGATTTTCATTGTAGCATGCCCTGCCTGATCGAATCTATCGGCCCTCATGCTCGTGATTCTACGGAAGTGGGATCAGTGGGATTGGTGAGGCTTGAAGGGGACAAACTTGTGGAAAAGCTCGCAATTACACTTCATGGCGTCTGTGCATCGAAAGTTTCTGTCGACTCTTACCTCGCCCGGTTTCGAGCACAACCAGAAAACCAATTTCATTCAAAAACAAATAGCGGCAGTAAGGATGATGTCGATGGCTTGCCTGATCACGACACGGAGTTTGCAGATTGGGGGACTGTCACAGGCCGTGGTACAATGAGCAAGTTCTCAAGTTTGGATTGCCTCTCTGAGCAGCCCTCACCACTAAAGACCAATCCAGAGTGGGAGCAAAAAGTTGCACACCGAAAGCATTACACCGACCATTTACGTCAGTGTCGAGCAGAGAGAGTGAGACGGATGAGGATATGCCGACTAGGAGATGATGGAGTAGCAATTGATCCGAATAAGCTGAATAGTACTGAAAACTACGGGAGTTTCGATCGGGAAAATGGACTTGTTGCCCCTGAACCGATTGATTGCCCGGACACCGAGAGTGACGAAGGTGAACTCCGCAAGTCGAACAACAAGAGAAGCTCACACCTGCGATCCGACGACTCTCAACACACAAACAATGATCCTCGCAAACTCCGGGCACTGTTTCAAAAACTTTTAACACCAACCTCAACCAAAGCCAAATCTGTCAGTCCGATGCTTCCGCCGAGTACAGCAGCAGCATCAACCTTTGACATCCCACTCAGTGGCGCTGATCTCGCCAACATCTTCACGGCACATTCCCTTATTGATTTTGGCAATATAACAACCCACTCTATCAATATTACCCCACTCAATTTCTTGAATGCTACACCGGGCAGGCATCCTATTCACATCTCCATTCTAGACCTTGACGACCAACTCAGCAATGACGAGTCGAATGGTGTGGTAGTTATGCCGCAGCATTTGGTGATTCCCCCAATGAGTGTAGGAGGATTTGAAGTACGAGTTTGCTCGCACGAACCGGGAATCATTGAAAAGAAAATTACGTACTTGATCAACGGGCGGTACAAGTATTCTATACCCGTGAAAGTAGAGGTCACTCCAGTTGCGCTGGAATTGTCCACGGACACAGTCGATATTAACGTGGAGATGCGTGAAACGACGGCAATACCTAGTGCCTCAGCTGAGGTTAAAGTGATCAATAAAGGAAACTACGGAGCTGGTTTCCAATGGATTATCCCAGATAGTGATCAGTCAGCGGAATTTGATGCGACTCGAATGGAAGGGTGCTTTGCAGTAGAGCCGGCCTCAGGTTTCGTTGGTCCAGAAAGTAACATGAAGGTCCGTATTACCTACCTTCCTGGCGTGAGGCCCACCCGCGAAGATACACTCCAACTGCAAGTATTCCATGAGTTTGAGGGGGAGAAGACAATCACTCAAACTCTTAGTCTTCGTTGCAAAGGAAGCATTCCACCAGCTACATGTTCTCTGCTAACGTCCATAAAGCAAGGACCTTTGAACTTGGGAATACTGCCTGTGGGGTACGCAGATAATGCCGAAGGAGGTTTGCAACGTTGGAACGCAGTGTATCCAACGATTTTTAGCCTATCACAACAAAGCGGGAGCACACCAGACACTCCTTGGGGAAAAGCCTCTATCCGCATCAAAAACACTTCAGGTCATCCTGCTATCTTCTCGGCTCGTAAGGAGCAGATTGCATCGGAAGTCAGCATTGTACCAGCATCCGGAAGTATTGCTCCATCTGGAACACTGGAATTCACCCTCCAAGCTCTCCCTACCCACCCTGGGACAGTCGAAGACGTGATCCTCATTACCGTCATAGGAAGCGGGCGCATTATTCGCCTACCGTTCAAGTACGATGCCAGGATTCCTGACGTGGATGTTGAGTTCCAAGGCGGTGACATGGGAAAAGGAACGATCATTGGTTCAACAGGGTTCAAGCGTATGGCGCTGACCAACAAAGCTTCAGTTCCTGCGGGTGTAGTCGTTGACTTGACAAATCATCCAGATTTCGAACTACGAATTCGTGATAACCTTGCTGCTTCTAGGAAGGCGTCTGCCCCAAGAGCTAGGACTACTTCTGGGCGGCATCGTCGAGTAAGGGAGACGGAAAGCCCTACCAAGCAAGGGCATTTGATCAGAGCATTGGGACCTTCGCATCCTTTGTACGCTACTCTGGGAGCTCGTGAGGATATGCATGGACGATTAGATGAGTCTCAAGGGAAGGGGCGGATCTATTTGGTGGAGGTGCCTCCGACGGAAACGATTTCGGTTGACATTTCATTCCGACCCACGATCGTGAAGAAGCACAGCTTTGATCTCCCAATATATATCATTGGCTCTGCACAAACGCCAACGACTCACGTCGATGCGGAAGGCATAGCTTCCCCTCTAGCTGTTTCCAAGTCCTCCATCAATTTCAAAAACCGCGTAGTCCACCGGGACCAAGGTCCCAATTCCGTGTCGCACCTGCGCATAGCCGCCAAAGAAACTATCACCTTAACCAATACTAGTAAACGGTCCATGGAATGGTGGTTTGATCTCGATTCACTGGACGATAGCGAAAAGGTATTCAAAATTGAGCCATGGAGAGGAATTTTGGGACCTGGTGAAGCGCATCCGGTCACAATTTCATTCTACCCGGAGACGACGGGACTGTTTGAAGCCGCGGTTCCTCTTCATTTGGATTATTTGGGGCCCAAACCTTTACTATCACTTCCTCTTCAAGGTACTGGAGTGGAACCTTCCTTGGCGTTCGATCCTCCGGAGCTCTTCCTCCCGATTGTTCCGCGCGCAACTGAAGCGATGGCAGTTTTCTCTATTATCAACTACGGCTGCGAGCGAACAGAAGTTCGCGAGACAATTCCTGAAGAACTACGCGGAATGGTGGAACTCGTCTTCCCTGAAGGAAAATTGCTAAAAAGTGATGGAGAAAAGTTGACAATCGTAGCGAAATTCATTTGTCAAGAAGGTCAACCGGCAACTTTTATGGCGAAATTCGAGTTTTCGAATGATGGGCGTCGTGCATTTTATTTGCCAGTTCATGGAACGAGTGATGGGTCATTGTTGAGTTTGCAACCGTTTTTCTGGTTGAACAAGGAGGAAAAGAAACCTGTTGAGAACTTGACGGAAAATCAAAAGAGGTAATGCATTGCTATGTTAAGGGAAATTTGTCCTAATCTTCTAACTGCTTTACAACAAAACTCCAGAAATCGAATATTGACCGGTCCCCGTCCTTTCAAAACACCCTGCGGGATTCCCTTGGAAAGCGGACTAAACTTGCAATCTGTTGATAAGTTCTATTCAGATTTTGGTGAGACTCTTTTGAGATGGCTCGAAGACCATTTGGGTGCAATGGAGGTAAATAAGCGTCGTGAAATCCAACACCGCGAAATTGTACCAGCTAATAACTGGCATTTGTGTATTAGCCATGGCGATCTTTTCCGGAGCAGCTGACAGCCTCCAACGGAAAAATATTGTCCGATTTGGTTCAGTCGCTTTCGGGCAAGAAACCGCCAACGTCTCCTTCCTCTGCGACTCCGGGAGGTAAATGCACGAGACAATCAACGGGTAACTTTAGTTTTATTTAACAATTTGTTTAGGAAGCTCACCGGAAGAAAGGACCAAAGCACTCTATAAACAGTATTGCGATATCTTAACCCACTTGACAAGTTTGGGGGCCCTTTTGAGTGCCGTCAAGCCAGAGTTTCTAATGACATTTGAAGACTACAAAATGATCATACAATGGAGGATTGAGCAGATGGTGAGCTCTTCAGTTTTAATCATGTCAAGCTTTATATTGAGACTCTCCTACTTCTAAACTTTAGAAAACCGATGTGGGCTCCTCCCTCCACGACGAGTATCATGAATATAACCGCAAACTCGAGCACCACTTTCCCCTTATTTCTAAGGAAGCTTGGTGCACCTTAATAGCCCAGGTGGTTCGGGTATATGTTACGCTTCTGGTTACGCCGCGGCACTTTCGAAGCTTGCCCGGGGTGGGAAAGGATGAAGCTGAGATGGTGTGGCAAGGGACACCAAAGGGAACCGATTGTGAAGGGGTGTTGTTGAGATGGGCTGCTTATCACTTTTGGAAGGTAGTGGGTTTCGTTGCTTGCATACATGAGAGGAAAATTAATGTTTGGCTTGGTTCATGCTGGAAAGTCGACCGGTACTCCCAAGGCTTTCAAAAACTTTACGACCGACTTCCAAAGCATCCTGCCCTTCGCATATATCATCCAAAGCCATCTACCCAACATGTCTGTAACCCATTTCTCGACCTTGCACCCAGATCCAACAACAACCGAACAACTTCTCCATAACGCCTCCCTGGTAGCTAACGCCCTCCTTGACCTCCTTCCCGGGTGCACGGCTAGCTGTATGTCAGTTGAGCGTATCTCCAAGGGACAAAGCAACGGAGTGGACGCCTTCCTCCTCACTTTGTTCTTATACCAGATTCTACCAAACTTTATACCAAAATCGCTTGTTGAGTTCCACGGAGCTCTCCATGAGCATATCACAAGGGACATTGAGCTCGTCAACCCGACCTTCCGCTCCCTAACCTATGTCCCCGACTTGCAAGGGTCAGACGAGTTTTTATTACGCGATCTCACCAACGGGGCAATATCCATTGGACCAAAGGGTACCGCTACACTTTCAATTGAATTTGTTTCAAAGTTCTTTCGATCCGTGCAGGGAAGTTTGGTGCTAAGGAGTAGGAGGATGGGATTGAATAGTGGCAGTGTTCTGGTGTTTGAATTGAAGAGTGCCGTGAAAGAGGCGGCGCCGAAACGGGTTATAAAGATCGATGGGGTCATGTATGGTGTTCCTCCCACAGTTGTGAATGTAGAGGTTGTGAATCCGCTGAATGTAAAGGGGAGATTTGCCATTACGGTGAAACAGACCAAGGTATGGCGTGTGCTTTCGTCTTTTTCTTTTCTTTATCCTGATTTTGTTTTGATGGTGGGGTTTTTTTGGGGAGAGCAGGGTGCATCACAACAGGCAATTCCATCTTCCTTCCGGACCAGTACCGACGAACTTGCTTTGGAAGCCCACCAACTGGCCACTATTCAAATAACGTTTCTTCCATTCGAAGTAAGCCAATTATCTATCTGCCAAAAGGACGTTGATTGTGATTTCTGACTCTACCACAGCTAGGCACCCATGACTGTATCCTCCATTTTTTCGATCCCAATGCCGGAGAATTTTCCTACCAAGTCATTGGCCGGGGCCTGCCACCACCTCCTATGGAAACCTTCCTGTGGACAAGTAAAGCTGGTGATACATTAGAAAAGGGTATTCGAATTGCACCTGTGAATCAGGCAAAAGAAAAAGCTGTTCAGTTTCTTTTGGGGAGTCCCAAGACGAGAGCGCCAAAGGCGAAAGGCAGCATAAAGGAGAGGGGAGAAGAAGGCAAAGAGGAAACAGCTGGTGTGGCAAGGCGGCCTATAAGATTTAAGGTGAGTTAAATGAGAGCCGGTAGAGCTGGTTATTGCGTTCGACGTTTATCTTGTGGTCTGAATTTTCCTCGAAAGGTGGAATGCTCTTCTCCTTTCTTCCGCGGACCGAATGAGATAGTTGTGAAACCGGCCATTGATCCGTCAAAAGAGAAGAAACATATTGCCGCCCTTGAACAAAGTTATACTGAGCTACCTATAACCTTCAACCCGCGTGTAAGTATTTGTATTTCCATCTTTTGATATCATCGCTTGACGGTCCAAATTCTTTACGCCAGGGTCCTGGAAAATACTCATGCCGAGTAACACTCACTTCTCTCGACAGCTCTGATGTCCGCATCTTTACTGTCAATGGACTGGCAATTTCCGAAGGGTCTCGAGCTGCCCTAGAGTTTTCCATTCCAGCCCGACAAACTGTGTCACAGGAGATTCCCATTGTAAACAGAACGGACGAAGATTGGACCATCAAGGTAACCGTCTTTCCTCCAACAACCAACTCACGCAAAAAACTATCAATATAACTCACAAGTGATGATATAGGCTCATATCCAAGGACCAAAGACGTTTACTGGCCCGTACACCGTAACCGCTCGCGCACATAGCACAACCCCGTACAGCATAACGTTTGCACCTTCCAAGGCAGGGGAGTCGCATGCGCTATTGACCCTGTCAAATCTTCAGACTGCTCAGAAACATCTATATCAATTGAGGGGCGTCGGCATGGACCCGCTACCTGAAGAGCGGAGGGAAGTAGAGTGTCAGGCACGGGATCTGGTATGGGCGATGCGTAGTTCGCTTGTGCCGACCAGTTCATCCCTGAAGTTCGTCACACTGGCTGGAATTAGGTAACTCAACGTTTCAAAGTTCACAACCCTCATGACCAAGACGCCGAGTACGATGTTACGACTGACATACCATACGCCAGCGGTCCTAAAAGTCTTCGAATTGGAGCAGGGCAAGCTGTTGAATACGAGCTCACAATTGCAGCAAGATGTTCTGGGAAATTTGTGTCAAACATTACGTTTACAAATAGGGTTGATAAGAGTTTTGTTTGGTATATAGTTTCGGTAGGTCGCCACCTTAGTGCTTTTCTGACCGTATTGGAAAACAAACTTGAACCGGCTATTACTTTCTTGCCGATAGCTTCAAATTCAGGCGCCACCGCCGGAAGGCACGCTGCGAGTCTCCACTACGGTGCGCCAGCCAGTTCAAGTAGAGATTCCGCTAATAAATCCCTTGGATCATCCGATTACCTATACCGCCGAGATAACGGGCACCGGACTCGTCGGAGATGAGAATGTCACTATTGGGTCCAACGAAGAATTATCGTACAGCCTTTCCTTTGAGCCAAGTACGTAACGCCGAGTATGCGGAAATTAACATGAAAGCTAATGTACGTGATCTGGTGATGTAGTGCTTCGCATGAAAGCACCGGGTACCATAAAGTTCTTTAATGAGGAGATTGGGGAATTTTGGTATCAGCTCAAGTTGGAGGCAGAGGAAGCTCCCCCAGTTGAGTTGCCGGAGATGTCATGTGCGTTGGGAAAATGCTGTGTGAGTGCATCCGTTCTTCCATGTTCGTTCATTATACCATTTCGATTCCACTTATTGTTCAATCACCTCATATGGCAGTTCCAACTACTCCCTCTTGTCAACCCCCTTAACCGACCCATTATTCTCGCCATCTCCCTTTCCAACACTCGCGATTTTGCGCTCCACCACCCGCCGATCGATCTTGGTGGTATAACCCGTGGCGAGGCGGCATCTCGGATGTCCCAAGGTCGCTCGTCCCTGAATGTTTCTTTGGGGCCTCTGGAAGCGACGGAAATTCAGTTGGTATTTTGGCCTAGTTCGCTGACAGAGAAGAGAAAGGGTAGTGTGGAAATTGTCAGTCTTGACGTTGGGAATTTTGTGTTTTGGGTTGAGGTTTGTGTCCGTTGTCACGTTTTGCTACCTTGGGTACATTACTTATTTTGATTTGCTCACGCTACAGGGACGAGGTCACCTCCCTACCTCGTACGATCCAACATTTATCACCTCCTTCCTGCATGAACCCACAACCTCGTCCATCACGTTCACAAATCCCCTAGTAGATCCAATACCTGTCTCAATAACCCTAGACCAAGACGCTGAAACGCCAGATTTCTCTCTCATACATCGGCAAAAGCGAGTTCACGTGGGCGGAATGGAGGATTTAGATATTCCTTTTGTGTACAAGCCGGAGAAGATGTTGGGTAAGGAGATGAAAATTATAGTTGCGATGGAAGGAACAGGAGGGTTAAAGTGGGTTTTCCCTGTAAAGGTATGATTTAGATCGTATGTTTTTTTGGATCGATACTCTACTAATTAACGAATTTGACCTGCAGGGAATTCCGGAGCGCACAATTTCCCTCACACCTTACACATTCGAAACCCGCACCCGAGAAGCCATCACCAAGGACATTGACCTAACTCTCAAAGACTTTATACCCATTCATGCGCCCTCCCCAATGGACTTTACTTACGCCTTCGAAGAAACACCAAACCCACTTTTAGCACCAACCGATAAATCTCTCGAATCTGATGCAAGGGAGTCATTGAACATGAGATTGGAGGATGTTAAGATGGGCGAAGGAGAGACCATCGTAAAATTCAAGGCGATTTACACACCTTCTCGACCTTTCACGCACTCTTTACACCTGTGCTTGAAGCATACACCGTCGTCTTCATTCTGGAGATTACCTCTACGACTGATATCCCATCCACCGTCTCTAGACGATACTATTACAATTGAAGGGACACTCAACAAGCTGTCCTGCGTTTCTTTCCGAATTACGAGTAAGGCGAATCGAGACAGACATTTCAAAGCTTACTTTGTGGAACAAGATAAGGGATTCGTTGTGTTACCGCAAGCGGGCGTGTTGGTACCCGAGGAACGGATGGGAGAAAAGGATAATTCGTTGGTGGTAGGATACAGAGCTAGAGAGTACGGCAAGACGGTCGTCGGAGTTTTGGTTGTTGAGGTATTTTACTGCTGCTGATGTCTGCGCGTTTCTCCGTAACATGAGAGAATGCTAATTTCACTGTTTTATCTATGAAAGTGCGAGGACGTATCCTGGACGTTTGAAATCCGTGGAATAACCCCGGGTACTCCGCCCACCCACACGACCTCCCGCGCCAGCTCTTCGCGAACAACGTCCACACATCCGCGAAAGAGAAATCCGCCATTTGCACCAAGGCGAAATTTCATTCGTGAGAATTCCTTAAATCCGGTCGTTATGCAGGCTTCTGGGGGATAAGCGCGGTTGGCATCTATGGGTAGCCATACCATTCTATGTACATTGTTGGTGAAAAAAGGCGGTTGCTTCAAAGCCTGGTTAAATAAACAAATGCTAGATTACTGACTATTGGCCAACTACAGAGCTGTATGCACATCAAAGGCGATATACAGTATATTCCATAATGAAAGAGACCGAAAAAATAATAAATGTCTAGACACAACAGTCCCTTCTGTCCCCATCCTCCTGCACCCAGCCAACATATATAACCAGGTCAATGAACAGATCAGCAAAGCAATGTACAAAGTTCCCTAGAAGTAAGCAGTTACAGACACTGCACGCAAGCTAGGTGCCAAAAAATTGGTCAATCTCCTTCACCGTCTCCCTGGAAAGGCAGCATCCACTTTCGGCAGCCACCTCTTGCACATTCATACGTAAATGCGCCGATAAAGGTTTAATAATGGTGGCCGGTGGCTCGCCCACAATGTGTGTCTCAGCACACTCAGTTTGTATGTCGTCGTAAAAGTCCTCCACGAGGGCGCTATCCATCACATTGACTCCGTACCCGGTTTTGCGTACCAGGCCCTTCAGTGCAGCCCTCATCCACGTAGTCGGTGCACAAAAAGGTTCCACAGCAGCGTACGCGCGGACGTGGACACGAAGAGCTTCGATGCTCTTTTCGCTTCGCTCTTTGCCGTTGACGGGGTGAGCTGTGAGAGCGTGGACCAACGCCGCCTGAAAATTGCAGCACATTGCAAAAGGGTGAAAATGGTCCAAGAGGAGAATGCGATCGCAGGGACGGGACTCGAGGTATTCTTTGCCACCGGGGAGGCGACAAATAACACGGCGGACGAGAACCGTGACGTCGTCAGCAGCTTTGACGCAGATTTGGTAAGAAGGCTGATGCATGGCGGTTTTGGGGGACGATTGAAGTGCTGCGATCATTTGTGGGCGATGGATGACAATTACAGCTGCTCGAAAATAAATGTTGAGCCATTCTAGCTCGGTTGGATCTGTCCAGTCAGCTGGTGTGTTGTCGTCTATCTGAGGTTCTATTCGGACCCAGGAAGGAAGTGAGCGGTAGAGCTTGTCAATGGTCGCGTATGTTCTGTCAAGATGTTGTAGGTATTCGAATGGCAGACCGTCTGGTGTATATCCGCTGGTGGTTGGTGAGTGTAGGACCTGGAAGGTATCCATGACATGCTCGAATTCAATTGCAAGGAGGATCTTAAATGTAGTGGGACTCTTCCAGTCTGGTACATCGGGTAGGGTTTGTCGAAAGAATAATGTTCCTCTGAGGGACGGATCCAGGAGTTCACCTTCATTGAGTTTATCGGCGATTTCAACCCAGTAGCGTTCGTCGCACGGTAACGCGACTTGATTAATGCCGCGTAATCCTTCAGCTCTTTCAGAGTACAGTGGACGTCGGTCAGCCCAACTTGCGCAAAATCGGTCGAGCACAACCCCGCACCACCAAGTGCGCCGAGCGACTTCGCGGTCGATCCACGTTGGCAGACGCTCGCTATCTGGCACCTGGTCTGGATCTTGTGTCAGACCCATAGTCAATGCCATGATCATGCCCATCGATAAAAGCATCCAGCCTGCGGAAACTGTGAGTAACGTGCATTGAGTCAGCAAGATGTGCGAGAAATGGTGCAAAGAAGCTTGGAGCTACATACCTTTACCATAGGCCATGGAAAACCATCCAAGAAGTAACAACGCCTGTACAAGCTCCAAAGACTTCTCCTCTTTGACCAAAGTAGCATTCGAAACCGCGCGCCTAGCCTCATTATAAAAAGGCTCACTAGAGAGATACCGCATCACAGAGTTCCGCAAGATTGATGGATGATTTGAAAATGGGGCCGCACAGGTTTGGATGGCGAGCAACAGAGGCCTAGGGAGTGTACCTTCGGCGATCTTTTTCCGGATTGAATGAAGATGGAACATGCTTATAGGGAGGATCGCTGGCATATGTTTGAAGAAGAGCTCTGGGAGTTCGGCGATAGCCTGTTCATCGCTTGATTCAGACGAGTCATGACTGGTGGCAGACACTGGTGTTCCCTGTGCGGCACAGAGATACAAATATGATAAATGATCAAAACTAGGCTAATGCAAAACATAGGGCATGACACTCACCTGCTGTTGCCTTTGGTCTCTCTGCGGTTGACTCTGATGTCTCGCTGCAGCATTCTCATTCGCAAATGGTGTTGTGGGGTCGGTGTGCGAGAAATTCGAGTAGGTCTCAATGGGGCTGGCCGATAACGCCCCTTGAACGGTCAAGCCCTGCCCGGCTGGTTGAGAGTCTGATACAGGCAAACGGTTCAAAATCGTTCCGTACACCATCTCGGCTGGGCGAGAAATGTGATGCCGAGGTACCATATGCGGATCCGGTTCGCGGGACACGAGAGAATCAAACAATGTCCATCCGTTCCCACGCTGACCAAGATTGGGCACTTGGAATGGTTGTTCGTCGACGATGCGCAACAATGGGCCCTGGCTTTTGACCGGTTTGTACTGGATATCTTGTTCGTTCCTCACAGCAATTTCTGCTTCGAGGTCTACAACTTTCTGTTCCAATTGTCGATGGTAGTCGGCCACAGTAGACCCCTTTAACTCTGTAGCAGATCCAGCAGTGGCCGTTGATACAGACAACGGACAACGCGGCGCATGCTTGCCGATGACAAATCTATCTGCCACTTGCTTAACCCGAGAAGGTTCCCATGTACATGGCACATTGGATCGGAAGCAACGGGAACAGGGAGATTGGCCATCGCACTTGAGCTGTTGGAAACCAGAAGAGTCAATGACGGACAGACACAACTTGCAGCATCACAATGGTCAATCGCACCTTTCTCCGATGACAAGCATCACACGCCACCAATGTCCTTGCCTTTGGCCCAACCGGCTCATTCCTGGGTTCAGTGCGGGAAACTGCCACTGCTTTGTTCAGTGCAGCAGCAGTGCTCGATAAATCGTTCATGCACCCCAAAAGCTACAGTTGCAAATCAATCGCCACAAACGTAACCGTAAGTAAAATGCTGGCAAAGGCAAACCAAAATGCGGCCCGCATAATGTCGATAAAAATTAGTTGAAAAAATTCCATTTAATTACAGTAATCCATGAAAAGCAAATGAATTCACGTGTGGTCCATTGGTCTGCCATCATGATCAGTTATGGCTTTTAACGGCTTGTCCAACGATTTACGCACCATTCTTCCAGAGAACTTCTGGAAAGGCTTTCACCCCCCATTCGTACCATTGGATCACATCATCATGTCCCTATCATGATCCCTTTCTCCCCAAGGTTCGATCAACGATGCAGTGGCCCCAAGGTACCAATTACTAGTACGATCCGATAGCCCTTGCCTTGTCCACATATAAGCAAAGTGTACTAAACATGAGTGCAAGTGACGTGGTGTCGATCTTCTCATTCTAGCGACCGTAGCATTTCGATACGCTATAAAAAGGACCTCATTAAATCCTCCCTTGTTTGCCCGATTCCCAGCAACCAGCGCAGCAAATCAACTTTAGAAGCGTGCATTTTGCCCAAAACTACGAGAGATAGCTCATCATGACTCATATATGCTCATCCTTGTGTGACATATTTATTATCTACAATTATGTGGACTTTTCCATCGTTTGACCAATCAATGCATGGCAATATAACCATAAAAGGTAAGATGAGGCCAGGTCTAGATGCCATCCATTTGGGTTAGGGTTTTTGCTTCCGATGCCTTTTGGCCGCCCCCACTTTTGGTTTTCCTGCTGGACGGTTTCCTCCCCTTCCGCCTCTGTTGACTCGTCCTCCTTTCCGTCAAAACCCCGGAGCTTATTCTTTGCGCGCATCTGTTTCTGATACCGTCACGTCTACGTGAGCATCTCGCACCATGTGCTATTTCAAGTCAGTTAAAGCCCTTGAACGCGGGACCATTTCCCCGTCCATTGGCATTTCTCAACCCTTCCAAGTCCAACAAGAACAACAGCAGCAGCAGGAGCAGCAGCAGGAGCAGCAGCAGGAGCAGCAGCAAGTGCAGCCGCAACAGAAACCCGGTTACTTTGATCCTAGCTTTGTGGCAGAGGACCCTTTTGTTGCGTCGGGCCTGTACGACTTTACAGGTATTTACCAAGGTAAGCACGACCAGTCGGCTCCTGGTTTCTTGTCGATTCCCAAGTCCTTACACCCATCACTGTTCATAGACCCCAGTCCTGCGACAAGCTGGAACTCTCCCATTGCAGTCACTGGAAGCTATTCCCCCTTCGCAGACATCCTCCAACAAGATATCCCCGCCCAAAATGACTTTACTCTATACACAAACAACCAGGACTCGCTGGATGACTGGCTCGCAAGTTTGACGAGCTCCACGAATAGCATCACGTCACCCGAGCTTTATTCTACTGATGTGTCGTCATCGTCGTCCTTGTCTCCAAAGGGAGCTCCTTTCCCCGACGCGCATTCCCCCGTCATCGATGAGAAGCCCGTGAAAAAGGAAGCAAAACGGGCTGCAGAAGATGAAGACATCTCTGATCCCACTTTGCGTAAGAGGATGAAGAACACGGAAGCCGCTCGTCGCTCCCGCCAGCGCAAGATGGAGCGCCTTGACACACTTGAACACCAAGTCACGAACCTCGAAGGCGACAAGTCCAAGCTGTTGATGCGCGTGGCTGTCTTGGAAAATGAACGTTCAACGTTTCAGCAACGTGAAAAGGAGCTGAATGCAAGAATTGCTTCTCTCGAAAAACAGCTCCAAGAATCCCATCGGACCATGTTGCAGGTCGGGATGAGGGCTTAACTATCTGGATTTAGGCGAAGAGAATGGTTTCATTCATACGATTGTCGCATCTGGGCTAGTTTGTACATTTTTGAATTTTTGATATTTTGATGTTGTTAGCATGCTTGTTTCGTATATCGTGAGGGTGTTTTGTTATTGAAAGATCATCATATAACCGGTTGTGTATCCCCTTCCGGAACGTAAAAAATAAATCTCTAAAGTACCCCTGAGTGTGATGATGCATACTTGATTCAACCAGGCTACGACAATGTACCAGTATATCCTAGCTACTTTTACAACTTGCTCTTTGCACCCGGAACGAGCACAACAGTTCCATTGCTGATCACCACAGCATCTCGTTCCTTGACCTTTGTCACGAATGCGACAGTGACCTGCCCATTCTGTTCGCCCGCTTTCCACATGAGGGTTTGGAGGGTTTCACCTGGGTAAACCTGACCGTACAATGGATCGTGAGTGGTCATAATAGGATACAGGAAATCAACGGAGCACATACCGGTGAGGCAAACCGGCCATAAATGGACTTGAAAGCAACGGGGTTGTTGTCGGCAAAATGGCGCAAAACAGCAGCTGCAGCAAACCCGTACTACTCCCAAGTGATAGCACCGTTCAGCCTCGGCGGTCTTGTCGTAAAACACACTCATGACGGGCTTACCGTGCACAATCCATGCAAAATGGCACCCTTCATGCCAAGACGCTCGCCAATGCGTGGGTCAGCGTGCAGAGGATTATAGTCACTAATTCATTAATCCCTGTAAGTTGCTATTCATTCCATGACCCGCTCAGATCGATGACATGCACGTACCCAGACAAACGGTACAGCAAGGCTTGGTTGGTGTGCGTCTTTGATTCATGTACTGCATCCGGAGCCCGCTTTGGTGTATCGACCACGTTGGAAGGCTTGGGTTTGCGAGGCCCCTATGAGAATATCTCAACGTCAACGTCTGCCCAGAAACACACACGCCAACATCAACAACATCAACTCACCCCAAATCCTCCATAACCAATCACAAAAGCACTCGTAATCATCTTGGCCAACTTTTTTCCACTCGCATCCACCAGGAAGGTTTCCCGATCCATAATCATCCCCTTACCCGCATCGTATACCCCCGCCAATGTTGAATCCAAGGTAAACTCGCCTTGAACGGGTAAAGGCTCCAAAAGCTCCAGGTATTGTTCGCCGTGCACAAGGCGGTTCAGGTCGATCTTGGGCATACCGGGGATCTCCCCGCCCGTGTTGGAGCGTTCAGCATAGGAGTTTACATCAGAGGTGGGGCCTTTGAGAGGAAGGACGAGGGGGTAGGTGGGAAACGCGGCGAACTGTTTATCTGAACAAAGTAACCGAGGTCACTGAAACTGCATATGAACATGAATAAGATGGAGAATTCAACTAACCCAACTCGTAGGTGAACTTTGGTTCTTCCAAATTCAAGCCAGCGGCATACAAAAGCAAGTCCCTCCTGTTATAAGCGACCTGCCATCCAGACAAAGTCATTAGGCGTTACCGCGTTTTCAAAAAAGTAGGACAATGCAAACCTTGTCGGAAGGGTACTTGAAGCCGACGGCCTTGTTAACGTCAACCTGAATTTGCTTCTTTGCACTCATTATTATTCAAAGTTAATGGTAATGTAGCGACAGTAGATGAGGATAAAATGATGTAAATGGGATGGTGAAATGCTTGCATACCAGTTTCAAGCGGTATAATGTAATGCCGATCACGCATGTGACTTGGTAAACATGTGAGTTTGTTTACGCCCACATCTCGGAGGTTGGTCCCGAGAAATTGATTCTGAAATATTTGTATTGAAGGCAGCAGACGAATATGAGAAGAGCCCACAACATCAGGAGTTTGCTTTGGTTGTTCTGACACTCGAACGGCTTGTTGCATCCTGCTTACTTGTGGTGCAGAGAAACGCTGCCTGCCAGAATACTCGAGATTTAGGCAGAAAACATATTTTGTAGTGATGAGGGTCCGCATGAACTTTTGAATAGTATGATAGTTCATACAAGGCGCTACTAGTAATCTTGTGCGATCGAGTTTTCATTGCATGGCGGATGATTGGTGTCGGCACCGGAATCATTCCCAAGTGGTCTTCTCCTGATGGCGCCGCAACATGTCATGCATCGATGTTTTTGCGAAGAACTCTAAAAGAGTGTCCAGGCCCTATTGGCAATACAGGAATTTTGCAAATGCGTTCTGATTGTCCAGTGAATCTTCTCGATCAGCTGTCCAATCTTGTCTTTATGGCTAGGGCGTCATAGGCATTGTATCTTTCTCCTCTTTGAGGAATCGTATTTGGATTTATGTTCTGCTTGTGAATCGTTCAAGATGGCCACTGTCTACCGGATGGATTCTGGACATTTGCCTGCCTGCCCTCCAGGAGCGCTCGCAAACTTGTAGAAACAGGATACAGATCCTGGAGATGTATGTACATTGTAGGTCAAGAAACAGGGACAACGGGATCAATGGCGAAGAGTTGCCTTGGTTTTTCCCGTTGTACAGATTGAGCGTGTTTAGACAATATATGAAAGAAATGACAGTAATCCATCACTCTGCAGACCCGCTACCCTTTTTAACTTTTGAGAATTGTATTGAGAAAGAACATGAACTATATTTGAGAAAGAGGATAATTTGGGAACTGTTTCCAATTGTATGCCCATCCTACCAATTAGATATGAACTACAGGGCCTAAACAACTGGAAGAAAAAGCTGAGGGATTCCATCACGATCATCCACGGTCTACACTACATACTGCCTACCTAACTACCCATCTAAGCAAGTACTTACTATACCTAGACGGATGACTTGGAAGCTGTACTCTTTGTTGTGGCGTCTTCTCGTAGGCGGTCGACCTTCAGGAAGCCAAGGGTAAATGGTTATAAAACTGGCATGACCAGAGTTCAACCAAGAAAGGGAACTCACTCGTTCGCTGTACTCATTCATCCTCACCAGTTTCTCATGCTTGAAACGAGAAAGTATTAAAAAAATGTGAGATGATCTGCGGAATCCTTGCATATTCAAAGCAAATTAGCGCCTTACAGCTTTTCTAAACGTCTCATCCTCTTTTCTTGGTCCTACACCCGTAGCCAATTTCATCTCACGATCCCTTTTCCGAAACTCTGCCCACTCCTTCAACCCATATGGCTGATAATCTGCTCCAGTTCTCTCGATAGATCCAGGTCCCGCACGATACGTCGTGTATCGCTCCTTTGTTGTCATCGGGGCATGAGGACGAGGTGAGGGATCTAGAGGGTACGCCTGTTGGAGAATTGGAGGACGATAGTAAGGTTGTTGGCTATGTTGGGTGTGGTGAGGGCGTTGATGGTTGTACTGAGAAGGGAGGCTATCATTTCTGGCGTCAAAAATACCGATATACCTTTCCTTCAAAGTGGTTTCAAGTGTTAAAGCTTCTGTCGGTGTTCTTGCTGGAATTGCTGAAACCACGGTGGTGGAGGTGCATGCATCCCATACGACGATGCATTCTGCTGCATAAACATCCTTGGATCGTAGTACGGCATAGGGGGAGGTGGGTACGCATATCCTGGATACCCATAGGCCATCGGATCAGGCGGCTGCGGATTCCGTGCCCCATCAGCGAATCTCTTTTGTGAGAAGGGCTTTCGCGATGGAGATGTGGAAGTATGTGAAGGAATGTAGGCGTTTTCGGGAGATGGACGAGGCCGCATGGTGTTGGTATTAAGCATGCACCCTCGAATTGGATAAGAAGGTGAGTGAGTTGAAAATGTTCATCAGTTTCATTTGATGCCCATCATGCATTGATGAATGCACGCAACCCGCGTGTGGACGGATATAGACCAGGGTCACCAAAATAGTAACATGAACGTGTATCTCATCAATGTCGCTGACTTACATCTTGACTAACATGGTTGACCTTGGTATGTACAGACCAGCGAAGCCAGAGTTCCACGCTCTCCCCACAAAGATCATTTCCTAGCATATGACTTGGTAACTTGGATGTTTCTTTGAACTTGCACATTTTTAATCCTGAAAGTTTCTTTGAACTTGCTCGAGGTTTTGTACTTGTAATGCTGGTCACGTGGATTCGAGAGTTGCAGGCAAAATGCAAACAGTAGTGCGAAGTCTCGCTAATTGTCCCACAAACTTGCAAACCTGCAGATGTTTCCTTTGCAACCCATCGCCTCTCTGCTACAGCTCCCCCAGCAGTTGTTAGTAGGCAGCACCGACAATGCTAATGTACGTTGGCGGCGTGCACCTAGGCTGCACCCGAGTCACTGGGATTGTTTATAAACTCTTAACCCTCAGCTTCCCTCCACCCGGTTGCTTTGTTTCCCTTGGCAGCTATCAATATTGAATATATATGGGCGTCTTTGCAATACTGAACCGTTTCAGAGCAATAAATAAACAAATTGCATCCCGCAGCTTTCGTCTTAGGTCAGGTGTGGCCCATTCACTGCTGCGGAGAGCAATGACCCTGATTTGGTCCACTTAATGATGTGCACAAAAGCATCATCAAGCTCAGTGCTCTCCCCCTTGGTCACATTTTGGAAGGAGGCTCCGTAGCTATAGCTGATTATGCAGTCTGTAACAGTCAAGCTTATCTAGTCTCCTGCCCGTATTTAAAACTATTTTTGGGGATTCGATATTCTATGCACGCGTGATCACTCCTTTTCTTGGCTAATGCCTTTGAAGTGGCTGTCTTGGTTGATAGTAATCTATGACAGGAAATATTGGTAATCGCCTGTAAAACGAATGAGGGAGCCTGCGTTTCCCTGTCGTGGGACATCCACCCTTGATCTATACCCATCTTTGTCAAGTGCTTAATGTAACAATGTCCTGTTGCAACTAGAATTTGAAACCATGATGCGATGCTGTTCCAAGTTCGGCGTTGGCATGCTAACTGACTAAGCGACCGGAGCATGCCCAGCCATTTCGATTGCTTAATCAGTACTCATGACGAGATATTGAACGAAGTCAGCCGTTGTACTCGGATGTAAAAGCAACGTGGGTTGTGTTCTGTGCGGATAGAACGTGCTACTATGTGTCGTGCACGTTGATGGAAAAGTTTGGATTCGATTCAGAACGCCGTAAGATGGACCACTTGTTCGGGGCCTTACCCTAAAAGCGAAGGGATTGGATCCGACCCTATTTTTCAGTAGCACAAGCACTGCATCGGGGCCCATCATCTGAGCGATTTTGGTGGTTACCCTAGCGGTTCTGTCACTGTACGGCAAGAACCACAGGTTACTCACCTCCCAATAACGATTACTCTAGCAATACTGGCAACCATGTCTTCCCATGTGACCTACTTTAAAGCCAAAATTTGACTGGCTGAGTGGCTGTGTGGAAACCAATGAAAAAAAGCACATGACACAACCAACCTTAAAATGACAAATAATTAAACCTTGTTTGACTCATCATTGGTGGACCTCCGTGTTTCCCGAACAAGCTGCGCACACAGCCCCAAATTCAACTCATGTGAGCAAGTGACCGGATCTTCAAGTGCAACGTTCAAAGGAACTCATTTGTGTGGAAGCAGTTTTCGTGGCTCCTTTTTTGCCTGCTTATTCTTGGCGAATTTGCCTCCTGTGTTGCTGATTTCCAAAGAATTTGATTCACTGTGCTGGTACAAGGACGAAATGAATCAGATGAGATATCATGTGGAACGTTGTGGAAGGTGCGAGGCGATGACGCTGGGGGGATGAGGAATTCTATAAAAGAAGGGAATGCTTTGAACATCCCCTCCCATCAGACAACCAACACTCAAAGCAGTCAAAACACTTTCTCCTTCTCACACAAACAAAAGAACAACCAACAACAATGGGCCACGTTACTCCATCTCACCTTGCCATCTTCGCTCCCAAGAAGGGTCTCCTTCAAGGAAAGAACGCCGCAAAGCTTGATTCGCCCACAGCGACATCAACACGAGGTTTGAAGCTCTCCAAGAGTTTGACCCGCGATTCCTCGGATTCCACAGCCTCGAAAACGGACAAGGTCCGAGGATGGATCTCGGGCTTGTTCAAGTGATTTGAGCCACGGAAGACTCTCCTGTTTAATCGCCTTTCCGGTACTTTAACTTCGGCAAACACCAATACAAACCCGACGGGTATCAATCATTATGAAACGCTACCCGGGAGCTGCATAAAATGCGACACAAACTGCGGGGATATACCTGCGGTCATTCGGCAGGTCAAAAAAATGCACTGAAAGTCCATCGACCAAACCGAAACTAAATCGATGATCCGACCGCCGTGATGGGCAAAGAAGTAATGGTCATCACCTTGGATCCATGGCGGGCAAAAACGACCGGGTGGCAAACTATGCATAGGGAGGGGACATGATATAGGATTTACCATCTGAAGGATATTACTTTGAAAATATAATACTCCCCTGATAATCATATTTGTATCTTTGCGCGAGAAAGCCTTTGATTTATTTTCCATTTAAGAATCTCTGGAGCACTGTCCTTGCATTCCTGAGTGCGTCTGTATTACCAATGAGTACTCAACTCATGTGTCCTTGTCCGCGATCTTGCAAGCACAGGCATGAAGGCAAGAAATAGTGTCCAATCGAGAAATATTTTCAATATTCCAAGTTCAGGTTATTTCTACCTTCAATATTGGTCTCGCATCAACACAAAGAGAGTAATTGATGGCTGCCCAATATCTGGAGATTAGAGGTGTCCTTTGCCTATCGAATAATGGCGGCTGAGTTCGTCCCATAAGCTTGGCGCGTGCCTAAGCATCAAAGTAAACGCGCAGAGTACGAGCGTCCACACCCTGTCCATGTCATGAATAAGAAGCAATCTCAATGGTTGAGGGAATAGAAACAATTCCATAGCATACACAAGGTCATGCTCCATCCTTGTCTGCCTCCACGTACTGCCTTTGTCGTTCACAACAGCAGTAAACCTGATGGCTCTGATCTGACAGTTTGGAATATATTCTACGCCTCGACATCAACAATGATGTCAGTAAATAAAAATGATCCTATGCCAAGTAAAGGTGTCCCATTCTGCACCTATGTAAAAATCAACAAATATCAACCGAGGCAGCGACCAGGAGACCAAAATAGACGGGTAAAGAGTTCACGGCACGTAATCCATTCGTCACTAACTGAGGGTCTTCATTTTTCGCTATATTGGTTCCAGCGCATATATGTGATAGGTATCCCCATCTTCTGACTACGACAAGGGGCCAATGCACGTCATTGATCATGTTGAACAAGTTGACTAGTGTTCTGGCCCTGGCCGGGAAGAGATGCGTTGTCGCGTATGACACGGACGCCTGGGATATGGGGCTGCATTTAAAAAAGATTGTGCGTTCGGTCCCTCCTCATCTTGTATAGGCACTTACAACTCAAGTGCATCTGATATCCCAACTGGGACTTGTACCTTTTGAAAACATATATTTTGCATAATGCACCTCCCGAATGCCCTCCGTGGGAGTCGTCAGCCAAGCGACGCCCCCGCGCAAGCCTTGAACAACCCGACAAACTATACATACCCTAGTACATACACGCTAGGCGATGCAGGAGGCGCCCTTTCTGATCGTCCTGGCACCGCAACAGGCGGAGGGTACGACCTTCCCAATGCGCCTCCACCTGTTCGAATACACCTTAAGCCTATTGCTCCTCCGTCGGCTATGGGCCTGGCCAGCTATGCGACGGCAACGTTCATTGTAGCGACGTGGTTGACAGAGTGGTACGGGAATCCCGAGACTCCCTTCAGGCTTTGGCCTTTTGTGTTGACATTTGGCGGATTCGGTCAATTCGCGGCTGGAATGTGGGCTTTCAAGTGAGTTTCTTCTCGTTTCAAGCATCATACCCTTCTTTTGGTGCTGATATGTACATCACAATGCAGTGCTCGTGATACCCTTGCTTCGATCTTCCACACAATGTGGGGCAGCTTTTATATCGCTGTCAGTTTGTCCCTTGGTCTAATGGGTGCTGGCTCAATCCCTCTTAACGATCGCTATGATTACAATGCTGGTTGGGGCATTTGGATGGCTCCACTGGCGGCTTTCACTTATGTTTTGACGGCTGCTGCGTAAGTGTTTTGCGCCATATTTACCGTCAATATCGGGTGTGGAAAGATGTCAACGCTAACCGATTTTGTGCGTAGCATGTTCCGGGATCTTGCTTGGACTGGTACCTTATTCACGCTGGCGACGGGATCCGTCTTTGGTGTGCTAGGTAACATCTAGATGAATAATTTTCTTATTCTAAACATGGTTTCTTAACCTTATTTGCTATCCCAAAGGCTGGTTTCTGCACTCCACAGCTCTTATCAAAATCCTCGGGGTAAGTTCTATTTCTCTCCAACGTTCTGAATATCACCAACTAAAAGTGTCCCTCATGCAGTACTTTTGGCTTGCATCCTCCTTGCTGGCACTCTATCGTGTAGCCTGCTACGTTATGACTGAAGCCGTGCCTCACAGGGATGTTCTCCCTCGCTTCAGGCACCCGGCTCGCAGGCACCATTTCTCAAAGCAGTACCATTACCCTTACCATGAACCCGGTGTCGTTGCTGGAAACTAGAGGGTCTGAAAGGTTTTCAGCGAAAGAATGAATGGATGTTAGTTGGAAAGGAAATTCAATACTTTAAAGAATGACCGTTTATTTGAAGTTTGAGAGTTCTGGGATTTCTGTGTACAAAGTTATCAAATGAATACTTGATCTATTTCTTGAAATGTCCACCTCTGGTGCACGCTGCATAAATAGTGACAAGATTAGTGTATTGGCAAAGACAAATGTCAGTGCCTCCACACCAGGGAATAAACCAGCGACAACCGGTTCGGAAAAGCTAACTAACTACTAGACAATTATACACGCAATACGTAATCCAGAACTCTTGATGGCATTGAAGCCAGAGTCTTTGCAACATTGGGGAGACTCGCAAGCTGGAGGATCTTCAGTGACAAGGCTTGGAGACTATAAAAAACTGCATGTCAGCGAGATGAATGACAGAATGAAAAGAAATGCTGTTGGTAGATACCAACCAAGCTCAACAAATGTGGCAGCATAATAGCAGTTTTGTTGGTTCCGAGTAATTGTTGCTGGTTCCAGTTGGTTGTAGTCATCGGGAAGGTCCTCGGCACCAGAGCAGTATTCTCATGATGGACTTGAGACTTGAGCGTTGGGCAGATGCTTTGAGAGTCAAGGATAAAGAAACGAGAGGGAAGAAGAAGAGGGGGGTTTATATAGAAAAAAGACTGGATATATTGAGTCATGCATGTATGCAGGTGGCAACCGCAGAATATTCCTCTCATAGATGGGCCGCAAGGGATAGTAATTGCACCGTTCATGTTTTGTATTGGACCCGTTTTTCATGATGGAGCTTGTGCATAGTTCATTTGCCTAAATCGAAGGAGGCATCTTGCATTTCATCTCATTCTGCATCTATCTGCAGACTCTTCAGTCCTTTTTGCCCACACACTATGACAGGTACAGGATCGCCTCCTCAGCAGTTTTGGATGCCGTGGTGCAGCTACTTTTCGCTCGCAATCACTCATGCTTCGGTACCACTCCTCGTGTCAACAGCATTTGGATAGTCAATCGAAAATATTGCTTGACGATATTGAAAGCAGCTCCCATGCTTGTTTCTGCCAGTTTTTTATAGGGGTAGATAGCGACCCATCAAAACCGTGACAGGGGACAATCTGTTGGTGTGAAGTGTCCTCCTCCGATTAAGATTCTGGTAATATGGCTTGACGGGACTTGTGCACGAGCAAGCATGAGTGTGCACTGGAGAACGTGACGCACACATTACTGGTACTGTGCAAACCCGCCAGGTAGAAACCCGTCACTCCATCCGCGGTATATTTGCCCAGTGTAGTCAACTCAACACAGCCAAACCAAACGTCAGGCTTCAAATTACCCCACACTCGCTTTTAAAGGTTGACCCCACGAGCTTCTTCCCCACATTCCAAATCTTTACCAATCTAGGCCTATCCACCAGTCACAACTACACAGTCCCCAATACTGAATCATATAATGATGGACGCTAAATTCCGCATGAAGCATTCCAACTCTCTTGCTCAATGTATGCTGACCTGCGAAGAATGTGCTAACCGCGCTATCGAAGAAAACATGGATTGTTACGGCCATTGCAAAGCTTGTGCTGGTATATAATTCACGTTGTCTGTGCAATGGTGTGAGTGACTTACTTATGGACATGTATGTTTGACAGAACTATGTAATGTTACCATGCGCTTGATGTCCGTCAATTCCATGCACGCAGGCGAGACTGCTGCTATTTGCGCCAAAGCATGCGACCACTGTGCTGAGATGTGCGCCAGTGTACGTCTTTGCTGTTTTCCACATTTCGGTATTACGATGCTATATCTCTCTTGTCTTTCTCGCAGCACAAAACCGATCACTGCCAGACTTGCGCTCAGTCTTGCCGCGAAGCTTCCGCGGCTTGCAGGGACATTCAAGCCGCGTACGAGAAGATGGGAAAGAAGTAATCCGTTGATCCGTTGGATGAGAGAGTATTCCTGGGCACGATGGGAAAACACTTGGGTCGGATATGTAGCAACCCGTAGCAACCCCGCGTAATGTTAGGGCGGGACATGTATATGATGAATTGCAGAAAATTTTGTATATTCGAGATATCGTACGCAGGCTCACTCAAGAAGAGATGGGATAGCCATTAGCTGAAATATATTCATTTTGACATGATGCATTTCGTTTTTCTGTTTATCCGCAAGTTGAGCAGGGCAGCTTTGCGATCGAGATCGTTAGGCCGTGACGTAAGCGGCTTTAGTGTCCTTTTTGCCGCAAGCGTTAAAAAACCTGTCCAATGCTGCCTTGCCTGAACTGTGATATCGTTTTAGAATGCCAAGAATCGACGAACTATTCCAACCCTCTTCGAAACGCCGCAGGTCCGCCGACGAGAAGGCAGACGATGAGTCCGCGCAGGCTCCAGCTTCAAAATTACCCAAAAGAGACGCACCGGACGTATCTCCCGCAATCAATGTAGCGCTTCGTAGGGTTATCAAAAAGTCACCAGGACTAGATTTGCTATACTTTAAGCAGTTTATCACTAAATCGATGGCGAAAGAGTTCATGACGTGGTGTCTCGAGTCACTGAACTGGTACAAGGTGCAATACAAGATCAGAGGAATGGAGGTAGAATTGATGACTGCGCAAGCTGATTTCTCTTGGCTATCTACTAAAGATTCGTAACAGGTCAACACGCCACGATTTACGACTGTCTTTGGAATTGACGAAACCAAGTCTCCCGCATCATTCTACAAACAGCCACCTCGTCCGATTCCCATGCCACTTCAGATCCTCAAAGCGCATGTCGAAAGTGCAACGGGTGCCACCTACAACTTTACCCTCCTAAACTATTACCATGATGGTTCCCACTCTATCACTTATCATGCAGATGATGAGTCCTTCCTTGGTCCTAACCCCTCCATAGCCTCGCTGACGTTGGGCGGAACGAGGGACTTTTTGATGAAACACAAAGAAGATAAATCCAAGAAGGAGAAGTTTGTCCTGGAAGACGGGGATCTGCTGGTGATGCAAGGGACAACACAGAAAGAATGGCTCCATGCCATTCCGAAGCGCGCAACGGCTTCACCAAGGATCAACATTACTTTCCGAAAGGCGATTAATGTCGCTGGCACGAACAATTATTACAAGTATAACGTAGGAGATGGTGCAAGTTATCGTTATATAAATGGGAAGATGGTGCCTTCCACCGACGCGATGACTGGGAAGGCTTTGTAGGGCACACTGGTATTGATGCTAAGACTAGTCTGGGCAGCTAGCTAACTACGCTCGCGAACTATATACACCTTCTGATCAAACCCTGCACGGTATATCGCCCTACCCGAAAACAACGTCAAAGTTATTAGCCATCAACTCCAACGCAGCCGCTTGCGGAGTCAATGGAGCACAGCACCAATCGCCTTGGATACATTTTTCAAAGTCATCGTTCGTCAAGCATGTCAGCATGATCTCCCTCTCGTCATCCTCTGTCAATTCCGCAGCAGACAACGTGGGTAGTAGTGGACTCAGGGGTGGAGCTTCAGCTGCTTCTTGCGGACGGAATCCTGGGACAGGTCGCAGATCGCTGAGCTTGATAAGAGGTGTTTGCGGCTGGCTTGCTGATGAGGGTGGGCAGTATTTTTGAGGAAGAATGAGAGGTGCGAATGATGATGAGAGGCTAGTGATAAGGGTATGTGGATGAGGAATCGTTATTCGGGATAGTCTGTTGAAGTAAATCGTTATACGAGGATCTTTTCGCGGTGCTAGGCTTACACTTGGTTCTCACCTGTGAATGTGTCCAATAATGGCCTTTAAAAAGAGATATCGTTTTCGATCCAAGTTGAAAACCTCTGATCGTAGAAAGGAGAGCTTATCCTGGTCCGTAACCCCTGATTTACCTAGTAAATGACAAACATATTCAAGTCAGAAGATGTAAGGCAACCTGTTGATAGAAGAGCAGCATACCCATAAAAGTCAACATTCTGCCAGCCGCATCATCGGGCAATAACCCCTTATTTGTTGGTACACCCGCATCCCCACATCTTAGATATTTGAACAGATTCCAGCACATGTTGGGAACATCCGAAGCATCAATCGTCCTTTCGGTCCACCCTTGGGGCTTCATTCCAATTGCATCCACATCCCGTAAAACGTATTGCATTTCTATATCCTGGAGAGTGGTTGCATGCGTCGACAGAATGGTAAAATCTGTAACAGGATGGAATGTTATTTTGGATTGAAGTAACCAAGAGGCATTATACGACGGCATACCATTCAGGAATATAGTGCGGAGTGTGTGATTTTGACTTGGTGGCAAAGGGGCTTCAACTGTAGCTGCAAGAGGGTTAAAACGTGATTGATACAAACTCCACATATGGAAAACCAGAAACGCGAACCAAGAATTTACCTTCTTCCTCTACTTCCATATCATCTTCCTCCGCTCCCGTTCTTTTTCGGGCTTTTGGAGGTTTTGAGAGACGGGGGTAAGCGCCTGAGTGAGGCGGTGCCAATCGATTTGTAGCATCGTATGTCTGGGCAGTGGTAATTTCAGGATCTTGAATTCGTCGGACAATCGACCTTCGTCGTAGAATGGGAGCGACTGGGAGCTGGAGGGTGGAAGCGGTATCAGGGCGGTCTAAATAAAAGGAATTCAAGAAATGAGAGATTTTCAATGGCTCTGCACGTACTTGCAAGGCAATGCTTACCATCATCTAGTTTTCTTCCGCGGCTCGCTCTAGACTTTCGTTCATTGTCTTCTGCAAAAGTCACTCGAACGACTTCCTTTGCAACTCCTTCGTCCGAGGCATCCTCATCCTCATCCGACTCGTCATCTTCATATCGTTTTCTGGCTCGCCTGGACTTGTTTTCTTTGCGTGCTCGCATTGCCAGCGCTCGTGCTTTGTTACCTGTGCAAGATACATGAATATTACTTGCTCATAACAGATTCGGTTCCAAGTTGGGTTGATTAGACGGAAACTTACGATTTCGTACGAATTCTTCCCGCGCCTGTAGATCCGTTCCACCGGGTCTCCAAATTGGTTTTGGACTCGTCATTAAACGACTTGAGAGGTCACCTTTTGTTGATTCCATAGAGTCATGACCTGTTTCGTCGTTATTGCGCTCCGGCGGTTCGGTCTGAGGCCTTTGTTCATCATATTGAACACTTTGGGGTTTATTCCGATCCTTCTTTGACATTACTCTGTTTTGAGGTTCTATGGTTGGTAGTAGGGACGTTCGCGGGGAGCTCATCACAGGATCTGATGCCATTCGACGCCGGTTGAAGGAAGCTGGTGGTTGTGCAGGTGGTTGTGCAGGTGGTTGTGCAGGTGGTTGTGCAGGTGGTGTGGGTGCATGGGATGGTTTGACTTCCACAGCGAGTTCACTAGTGGCATGCAGAGCTGGGGAACTTTGCTGTTTCAAAAGCTCTGCAGACGCTGACATGGGTCCAAACATACCCATACTTATCGTACTCTGTGGTTGAGGTCGAGATGGACTGGTCGTGATGAGATTTGCTGAGCTGCGGATGCGTCGGGTTTGTGGACGTCGTGGACCTGCTGGCGAAGTAACGTTTCTCATCGGCATTTCTGCATCAACCTGTGCAGCCGATTGTGTACGACTAATGTTCATCATGCTGTGCGTGACACCGTTTGGACGAGGAAGGACGGCGTCGGCATCCAGTTTCATCAAGTTCATAGCACTCCGACCAGTACGAAGTAGAACTCCGCCTTTTTCATCGGTCGCCAATTTGATACCGCCGTTTGCAAGTGGCGTGGATCCTGACCTAGTCTCCATTAGTGGCTGCCCCATGTTCAGCACAGAGATAGCCGACGATGACTTTGCTGCACCAAGACCCATTGGACGCATTTTTGACGACGGGGATCGTCCTTGTGCTTTTGAACTAGGACGCGAGTTCATCCAGGACTTTTCACTGGTTATCGGAGCTCCCGCCAAGGGTCCTGTGGATGTCGCAGCCCACAGCGACGGCGTTGACGAGATGTGCATGAATCACTCACACGGATATCTTAAATTCTTGGTTTAGGAGATGACGTGATGCTCTTCTTGGTTTTACTGGAGATAGCCAGTCCAATGTTATAAAAAAAAATGTCGCTAAATGCAAGCATGTAGATCCATAAACATGCACAGATGCATTTTGTCAGAAATCCTATTGTTGCTTGTTATTCGATTTTCGCATATGAAGGGCGAGTCCCCAACGTCGCATTACCCTGTCGTTTCCAGACGAAGCTATTTTCGTCTCTCAGACGCGACATATGATCCTTCGTCTATTCAACTTGCATTATTTGTAATTTCTGGATGCTTCGGATAATTGGGGGGGCTCCGATCAACATAAAAAATACTTTAACTAGATCTAGGCCAAAAATAAAAAGATAATGCTAGTTAAACAAAACACTTTATATCCATTCGTTCCTTTGAAAAACAAATTGTTCATAAAAAGTAGTTTTTTTTTTGCATCTATCCACCACTCTCTCAAGCAACATCAACTTTCTTCCGCTGATGATACCCTTGAAAAAACCTCATGTTCATAATTTCTCCAATGCGCATTCTAGCTCCCCAATCCTTATCCATCAGCCCTTTGAGCACTTGAACCGCCTCAGGACTAACATGAATAGGATCCCGTCCATCCCGTCTTGACCGCGCAACAGTCTCCTCAATTCGATCCACAATCTCCAAGTCAACAATTTCGTCGTCGTCTTTGAATGGATCCATTTTGAAGAGGAGTACGTAGAGGAGTGTGCCGAGTGCCCACACTTCTTGGGCTTCTGGGTAGTATGCGAGACCTTGGACGGCTTCCGGGGAGGAAAACTTTTTTGTACCGTAAAAGAGGTCGGTGGTTTCTCCAGGTCGGAGAGGGGTAGCGGAACCAAAGTCGATGAGCTTGGTTTGTCGTGTACGTGTGTTGATCATGATGTTTTCATCTGTTTTAAAAGGATTTTTTTTTTTTTTTTTTTGGATCAGGTTAGGGTATACACGATACTGCTATAACGTTTCGACATGTCATTTGTCTTTGTTTACCTTTTATGTCATTATGCACGTATCCACTCCAATGTACATATTGTAATGTCTCCACAATCTGTCCGAAAATGTCCTTTGTAATCTCCTCTTCGACCGGTCCGTACATTTCAATGAAATCATACAAATCCACCCATTCTTCACCCAAATACTCCATAACGATAATGAACCGTGATTCAACACAATAATGCTCAATGTAGCGAATAATGCCTGGATTGTTTCCTTGAGCAATGAACTGACGCATGATGTGCACTTCTAATGGTATCCGACCCGTTGGGGAGCGGGGATCCTTGTGCCAATGCCAGACGGATGTTTCCCGAATAAACTTGCAGACAACGAGGGTGCCGTCGGATATGCGTTGTGCGAGTCGGACGGTGGAGTGGCCTCCTGTGCCAATCCTTTTGAGAATCTTGAAACACAGAAACCATGAGGATATTGCATAGTATAAACAAACAAGTGGGTTGTCATTTTACGTTACCCGATATCTGCTTTCAAACTTTTGTTGTTCCGCCATGGACTCTATGCTGATGTCATCTTCACTTGTATGGCGCACAACCCCGTTCTGTTCAGCACGTTGATTTGTGTACGGTTGCATTCGCCTAGTTTCCTTGTCCTGCCTTTTTTTGCCTGGGTCGCTGGTGGGCGCCACCTCATTCGACGCCGCCTTCTCCTTTCTCATCATCAATCGCTTTAACAGTGGAGTTTCCTTGGTTCTACGACTGGCTGCTGCTGCTGATGACGGGCCATGTTTTGATGCTTTGGAAGATTTCTGATGTTTGGGTTTGGACTCGGGTGGTGGGTCAATGTTTGTTAGGGAGTGGACGGTGGTCTCATGCGCCAATGGGTGGAGTTGCATCGGCTGCTTTTCGGTATCCTTTGAATATAATTTTGGGAAGAATGGACGTAACGGGCGGAACCATTTGTGTTTCACGGGAGCTTGATCTGGTTCAGCGGGTTTTGGAACCGCAAGGTTCGTTTGTGATCCTGTTAGCGAGGTTTGGGATCCGGAAAGTGTAGTTTGACTACTAAGATGTGTTGGTGGTTTCTTGCGGTCTTCAGAGTCTACTGTCGTGGAGGGCTCGCTGGAACCGGGGACAAGGCGGCCAGATGAGGACTTATGGAACATTGACATTTTGGGCCGCCAAGATGCACTTAGACTCCGAATTTCTTTTAGTTTTGCCGGTGCTAAAGGAGTAGACGTTGGTTCCTCGGCCAACGATTGAGATGAACCCTGATTTGCTGCATCCCCTTCCTCCTCTTCTTCCTCGATGACCTCTTTGGGTGAGGCAAGATCATTTACGACCTTCCATCGGTTCAAGTGACCTGTGGATGGAGCTCCCAAAGGTCGAAGCAATGCAGGTCTTAAAGCTTTTGTGGGTACTGGCGGAGGAGTTTCCTGCCGAACGTGTCTTGCATTCGATGACGAGAACAATGGAGAAGGCACGTCATTGTTCTCAGAGTCGTCCGCTGCCGATGAGCCTTCTTCATGCTCTTCGTTTTCGTCAATGGACACGATGCGATCCGCCATTTTGGGACCTTCACCGATTGCTCGAAACTCTGATGGAATATATACACCCCGTCGGGTTTCCCCAACCGAGAAGCTTGATCCCGATGACCAAGACAGACCATCCGATTCCTCATCACTTTCAATGTCGCCCACCCGGTCTCGTAGGACTGGCTGTTTTGGTTTCCACAACAGCGAGACGGGTCCTGTTGGTGGTTTTTTGACGATGCTGGATCCATCTACGGTGGCTGCCCTACGACTTGCCACAGGAGGTGGGGTAATAGCTCGACGATAAGGAACGAAACGATCGTTGCTCGTCCATGCCTCTTCTACAATGGAATCATGTTCGGAATCAGATACTGGGCCAGATGGTTCACGGAGGCGAAAGGTTTGCAGGTCCGTTTCCTCGTCTTCTAATTGGAGATGAGATGAGGAGGGAGATGAGCTGGTACTCACGGGCTTTGCTAGAGGGTTCTCTGCTGTTACGGAGCTTTTTGTACTTGTAGCGTCGTCAGATGGAGATGCCCTGGCAACTGAGGTTATCGGTCGCATGTACTCCATCATGTGAAATCTGGATGTCACCGTTAGGAAGGGAGTGCTTATCGTTCCAAAAGAAGAGTCTGTTGAGACACAGCAAGCGCAAACCGGAAATTCTATCAATGTTTCAAAGAAAGCGATATTTCGTTTCATTCAAATTTGGCCTTTGGTCCAAAGCTGTGTTCCCCTTTAAAACTAGGCTCCGTAATCGTTCGTGCCTTTATCTGTCGCGTTCGGAATATTGTATCGACCCTCATCTTTGTTAAGGGCATTGCCAATGGAACTTTATATAGATACAGCCCGTGCAATGGTCCGACTAGGCAGGTAATGGATTATATGGTCATGATGGTGAAGATTGATGCAAATCTCGTTTCAAATGCATTGACTGGAAGTCAATCTTATTACAACCATCTAGTAGGATGTCAAGTTGCTACTAATCTGAGAAGTTTGACATGTGGAACTAACCGGGGTCGGCTCCAAAGTCTATATTGGACTTAACGATGAGTATTTCCACACAAACTACCGTTGTTCACGACTAAACTACTCTTACAGCAATCGGTGTGGCCTGAACTAAAGGAATAGACAACCAGCGAACATCTGCGCGTTCGGGCCAATTTTTTGATGTTTTTGTTTTTTTGGGATTTAAATATAAGATGTTGGGAAATGGACATTTTGCTGAACAACGGCCAGACATGGCAACTTTTTATCTCGTCCTCACGCCAATGGCTACAGTGGGCAAGAACACGCAAACACTTTAATTGTCCTTAACTCAGCCAGATAGTGATCAAGTTGGCGTGGACATGGAACGAGATAATGTACTATATCCATTGGAATATTTTATCGACCAAGGCTTGACTATATTACTACATGTAGAATGCTCGAAAGGTAGGTAATGTGCGTGGCGAGTATGATTTTTGTCTTGGAGCGACGAAAGGTTCTGTTTTACTGGTTTCCCAAATGAATGTTCAGGGTATCTGGTCAAGGTCATTGATTGAGATATTCGCCCCTTCAACTGTTCGCAAGACTGGGATTTCTTACAAAACAAAGCCTATCACCCCAACAAACTTGCTTCAAAATTCCTCCACCAGTGTAGGGCTTTAGACTGATTGATAGGGACCCAGAACCGCCAACTTGACACAAAAAGTTCACAACCATGCGCAAAATTCCGTAAAGTCCTCCCGCAAAAACATAATCCCAATGATATCCCTAACCCCCTGCATACTATATTGTAGATGGGGGTTGGTCCTTGATATGCGTGAAAATATTTTTGGTAACATTTTTAGAGCATGTGTAAATAGTTGATGTTATGATGTGTGGCATGTGCTTTTTTTTTTGTATTGGGGGTTTTTTTAGCGTAATTGGTTGGGTATAAGAGTAAAGGTCTGGGGTTTTTGTGTTGTGTTAAAAGTTCGAGAGTTGTAAAGTGCGGATAGAGAGCAAGCATTTGCATTTCTTCAACGACATACACGCACATACATACATACCACAAAAAAACAAAAGAGAGAAAGCCTAAACAATGCCAACACGCAGCCCAATCCCAACCCGCACGGTCATCGCACCCAAAAAACCCAAACCAACCCGTTCAACCCAACAACAATCACCTCCCAAACCCAAAACCCCCGAAAGCGCTAATCCACCTTCAACGTCCCTCATCGCGCAATCCCAAGCCCTCTTTCCAGCTCTCGTAGCCGAAGCCGAGCGATTATCCCGCCAAGGTCACTATTCCGCCGCGATATCCCTTTACACTCGCGCGATTGAAACCCGACCTACAGACCCCACGGCCCTATCACTCCGTTCCAAATGCCGAATACTCCAAGGTGAATACGAAATAGCCCTCCAAGATGCGGAACAAGCCCTCAAGGCTGATCCATCTTTCGCGAAAGCACTCGCCGCGAAAGCAGAGGCGTTATTCGCGGCTGGGAATTTCGAGGATGCGTTGGTGTGGTATCATCGTGGGGCGTACCTTCGGGCTGATGTTGAGGAGTTTCGGGTTGGGGTTTTGAGGTGTAAGCAGGCGATCATGGTGGCTATTCAGGGGATTGATGCGAGTCAATTGAAAAAGGAGCGAGAGACGAGTACAAAGAGTTCAAAAGGTGTTGGGGTGTATCATCCAGGTGTGGTCGGACCTGCGCGGAGGTCTACGACTACACGACAAGTTGAAAATGTCACGCAACGTCCCACCACGCCGTACGATACTGAAACCTTTGAGCGAAATCTTTTAGAAGAGTTGTATGAGGACCGAGTGTTTTTGCGGGGATTAGCTTCCGACCCTGTTTTTATGAGCGCTGCTAATGGCGATGTGGGCGCACTTGTTCGTGAGGGTGAGAGGTACATGGAGGGGAGGTTGGAGTATTGGAAGATTAGGAACCCGAGTGGACGGCCGGCGTCGGCGGTGATTTCCGGGGCGAGAAGGAATAAATTCAGAAAGGGGTCTGGGAGGGTGCGTTAGTATTTGCATGTGTGTGGTATCCATATTAAAGTTGCAATGGACAAATGGAAGAGTAGATGAATTGGGGTCAAGAATGATATATCTTTTATTATTTATTGTAATGCTTCTCCTATAGATTTTCAATACGAGATGGTATTGAACATATCGTTTGGTTTTCTTGATAAGCAGATTTCGTTCCATACGTGTTTATTAGACAAAACGTAGCTCTCACTTATTCAATATAACGCATTAGCTACTCGATACGGCCATCCCCAAAGCATCCGCTACATGCAAAAGATGTATTATCTCCAATAGTCAACCCCACGGTATTCCATGCAGATATCATTCATGTCCCCCCACCTTTTGCAACAGGGGGCTTCTTCGAACACTCTGTGTCTTGTTCAGACAAACCCGAAATAACAAGGATCGGTTGGACAACAGTAAAACCTTTTCGACACACAAAGGTGAACGGACACTTAATATCATATCGCAAAGTCTATGTATCACGCAGGTATATTACACCCATCTACGCAACCAGGAATAAACACTTTACTCAAACCCCATCCTGAACCCCTCCCAAAACCTCATCCAAAACCCTCTCCAACTCCCCACCATCCTTCCAAAACACAACACGTGCACACACCTTCCTTACAACCGAATCCGGTACAGATCGGACTGGGTCTGGAAGGCCTGGAGATGTTACGGGGGATGTGGGGGAGAGGAGGGATGCGAGGGCGTGACCTGTTCGTGGGAGGACATAGTCGGTACTGAAAATTAAAAGTTAGTGGCAATGTGGGTGTGTGTTTATTTGGGGGGATGATGGTACCTGGATAGTTTTGTAGCAGGGCATAAATCATTTCGACCGTCTCCAACGTAAATAATGTGGTCAAAGGGTCCGTGGGTATGTATATACTCCATCAAAGCTTGTCCTATCAAAAACAAAAAACCAAAAAAACAACCGTTCACTTATATACCACATTGTAACTAACAAGACAAGAGTGGGTAAAGTATACCTTTGCATATATTAACTGCACATCCATTTGGACAAGAGTGTGGGGTGGTGGGTGGAATCAGGCGATGAACAAGGAGACATCCTGTAGAGTCGAAATGGGCGGGGTTGGTGATGATGGTGTCGAAATGGGGTGTTAGGGCGTGCGTCTATATCATCGTTAATGAGTTGTTTGTAGTGGAGAGTTTGCAAACATGTGGGGAATGGTATGGGTTGGTTTTTCTTTTTCTTTTACCTCTAGGATTTCCTTAATGGCTACCGTGTTCGAGTCGGAGAGAATAATCAGTTTGGCGTGGGCAGTTGCTTTTGTTATCGCTTTAGCCGTTGCTGGATTCTAAAAAAACAAAACAAATGTTACAAAACCTACCAAAACATAACCTACCGAAATCAACAGTTAAACAAAATACATACAAATGGAATACCCCTCCAAGCCTCTAAAACCTCTTGAGCCGAAACACCACTCAAAAACATTTCTTCATGGAGTTGAGCCTATACAAACCAAACAACAAAATAACCTTGTTACTAAAATACTGTCACATCCGAAAAACATAACACACAAACCATTAAATCCGTCCATTGAACAGTTCCATGTAACTCATACAACTAGAGAGTAAAAAAACACACAAATGTGAACATCCGAGAACTAACACCATTGATCAAACACTACATATTCACCTTTTTCAAAAGTGGAGGGGATAGTGTACTAAATATGTATCGATCGCTATCTTCGTCTATCAACGTCCTAAACCCATAAAACGCATGTCGTGAATTTCAGTAAAAGTAGGGGAAACCCTGTGGGTTCCTTACCAATCAAAATCAAAGGCGATAAGAAAGGGTTTCAAAGTCTTTTGGGCCGTCATGACTTATGTAGATGGTGCGTCGAGAGTAAAATGACAACCGCCCCGCGATACCCAAGATCGTCAACGAATGCACGTGTAGGTGGAGATATGGGATTACGTAAGGGATACCTTAATGCATTCGAGTGGGGGATTTCATGAGGATCGAGAGGGACAGCGGATTGTGGGGCGAATAGTGGTATGTCCTTTCGGGTTGGGTCCTGTAATGTGATGTATTTCTTCTGATGATATCAAGACCATGTTTGCAACGATTCTGCCCGTACATACCAGTTTTAGTCAAACTCTACCTAAAATAAAAAACCTCGTATCACACCCTATTGCCTTGCTAATAACGCCATCTTAATGAACAGCAACGAATCAAACAATTCATGCAGAAAACCGCAATTTGATAAAAGCGCTTTTAAGTGGGATGATGAGTAAATACCGTACATGTTTTATCCAGATCAAGATGTCATTGTGCTTGTGGCAAATGTATTGATAGAGCAACACGTAGAGTATCCCACATGGTCATTAACGAGGAGATATGCAAGTTAAACCGGGACAAATAATCCAAAAACTTTTTATTTAAACAAAAAAACCCAACCCCCCCAAAAAAAAGGTAAAAAAAAATCTGGTATCACAAAAACGCAATAACATCCGCCTCCCCCTCTCTCGCAACCCCACTCTCAACCAAACCCGGTTTCGCATGCTGAACCAAATCCACATCCTCCGATCGAAACTGCGACGGCCTCGTCTTCGTCTCGCTCTGCAAAACCGATGCAGAACTCTTGTTTATTACTGAAGGTTGTTTCAAATCTCGTTTACGGAGCAGGGTTTTTTGGATGAGTGCGTATCGGAAGCGTTCAAAGAGGGTTTGGGGGACGGTTGAGGTTAGGTAGTATTTTTTGATGATGCGACGGCGGAGTTCTTCGCGGATGTTGGAGACTGCTGGGTCGATTGTGAAAAAGACGAGGGCGTTAAATGTGCCCTATATCATAAAAAAAAGGGGGTGAGTGTCGGGTTTTCAAAGACGACCAGAAATAACGTCACCAACGGTTTTTTTACCTGTAACCCACTAAATACATTGGCTAAAACATAAACCCACCAAGGATCTTTTCCAGCCTCCAACAACCCATCCAAAACAATATTCCAAAACTGAGAAACAATGGGTACGAGACAATACACGACAATACGGGATACAGCTCGTTGGATGATACGTTGGGTTCGTCGAAAGAGGACTGTGTTGTTTGGGTTTGAGGGAGTGGATTCGGTTGTTGGGAGTGGGACGCCCGTGCGTTTTAGGAAAAAGTAGACGAGGATGGTTACGACTGTGCAAAAGAGGCTGATGCCTGCTACCCAAAAGTAGAGGATACCCCTATTTGAAGTTAAAAAAAGGATGGGTTAGGGACGATGTGAAAAGGTAGATATGGGTTCAAGTTCTGTTTGTAGGTCGGGACTTACCATTTCCATGCCATGGTTGAAGCTTTGCTATCATTTGCAGATCTAATCCAACACTCTTCATTCACTAAAATGTGCCCCAAAGAAAAGATACCAATTAGTAAACCCTTTTCACATTTTTGTTGCACCGTAAAAAAAAACAATAAAACTCTTACCTTCATCCCACCCCAACCGGCCCGCCACAAGCGCAATCAACGGTAACCCAAAAGCCAAAACCCCACCTACGCCATAATACCACCTCTCCAACCTCTTTTTCGCCTCCATCCGAAACACAAACACCATTAATAAATTCAAGGCAATCGCTGCTGTTGCGAATAGACTGAGTAATTCGAATGCGAATTGGAGGTAGACGGAGGATGTGCATGTTGGGCCTTCTGTTACGGATGGGATGTTGGAGATGAGGAGGAAGAGGGCGTAGAATATGTCGCTAAAGGCGATGATGACGCTTAGGCGGAGGGATATGCGATTTGCCTAATAATAATGGTACATGTAGGGCATGTTTTAGTTTTTTTTTTTTGTTTGGTGCGGATATTGACATTTTTTTCAAAATGATGATGGTTTTTACCTGAGCGGGTCGTAACCAATACATAAACCCATACGCAACCAACACCAAACTCGAAGCAATAATCGACACAATCGACTAAAAATCAGAAAAATTCAAAAGTCGAAATTTAACAAAAACGAACGGTACATTCTATTTTTTTTTGTAACACTTACTGAACCATATACTGATTGCACAACCATATCCCATTTCCATTGATCATCATCAACACCAGTTGAATTTGTTGAAGGAGCCATATTCATTTCAACAAGCGATGCAACGCACGCAAAATACGGAAATAAACCGAAATGGAGCAAGGAAGGAAAAAAACTGGGGACTGCTTACTTTTATATACTCTAATAATAATAAAAAAAATACGAAACTTGCCCAAATTGAACACTCCCTCCGTAACTTAATAAAATACCTTATCAAATCACGGTTCAGCGAGTGGATTTATTTTTGGCAAGTGTGGGTTTTGTGTGTGTTGTTGTGAAGTGAGCCGCTCAATTCTACCACTCATCGATTTGGAACACTTGTCTTTTATTGGTACCAGTGGGTGATTACAAGAGAGACACTTTTTTATGTGTGCTATACATAGGTAACTATTGTTTTGGTTTTTGGGGGACAAGATTTTATTTGGGGGATGTTGAATGGTTCAGATATGGACCGCTTTTTTAGAGTGCGAGGGTTGCAATACGTCAATGGTAATTGTGAGGGGAAGATGCGGGTATTTTGTGCCTTGTGTGTTGTTTTCTTTTGTTTATTGTTGTTGAGTGCTGGAAGGTGTAATAGTCTGGTGAATTCTTTTACCGAATTCAACCTGTTTACAGTGTTTTTATTTTAGAAACTCTTACCACCCGTCCCCATGAACTGACGCCATAGATTTCTTTATGCGGGTGTTGCTTGGCATGGGATGGGTCAAAGTAAACTGGGCGAAAGAGATATAATGGCCATTGTGGTACAGAACTTTACAGTTGACTTGTTATTTATAAAGTTCCGTCATACCCGGCTCATTTCCACCCACCGTCCATTGCCTCTTTAGATTTCCAGGTCGATCCCGTGTATGGGGGAAGGAGACAAATGGGGGGATTTGTACAGTCTCTCACTGCTTTCAAATGAAGCCCTATTGTTTAACAACTCGTCATATCGGCACTTTGTCCACCGCTATGAATTGAACCATGTCCCGTATATTGCGGGTTCTTGGCGTGATGATCCCATATATGGGCAGGAGACGAAAATGACGCCGACTGGTTTGTTTTTGAATAGAGACCTAGTTGTTTACACTCGTCATACCATAAACTGTCGCAAGATGTCGGGTTCTGCAATGGGGGTCTTGCCGAGTCATTCCGAGTGCGGCTAATGAGACAATGAAAAAATCAAATTGGATGGAAAAGTGGGAGTGTCCTATATTTCAAAACATGACGGCTATTGCCCTTGCCATCCATTTCCACACTGTACAGTAAACGGCTGGTATTGCGAGTTTTGTTCTCTTTATTTGCAAACTTCTTTCGTTTGTCAACTTGCCGCGGGGGTTTCTTTGTCCACTCGCAAAGTTACCGTCGGATCCACCCACAGTAACCGCCGCCTTGTACTCCCCTCTCGCATTGCTAATAAGCCACTCATCAATTGATTTACCCCCCGGCCATATGGTCCCATCCATGGCACAGTCATGGTACGCGGCCCAGTGGCGCTGCACAACGAGTAACCTTAAATGAAACGTTGTTTCAAAAACTAATCTGGATCGTTGACTTTCATATTGGATGGGGAACCCAATCTTTTTGGGTAGAAAGACAATGGCGAGTATTTAAAGGAAACTTATGAGTGATTCCCTCCTCTCTCTTCCATATCCCAGTTTCCTTCTTTTACACATATTAACAAGGATGGGTCAAGCGCATACACAAAAGGGGTACAAGCCCATTTCGCAAGGGTCGTCGAGTGCCAAGCGGTACTTTGTCTTGTCGATTACTTTTATTGCTGGAATCTTGTTGGGGAGTCAGGTAAAAGAACAGGAGTTTAGAGAACCAAGGGGCGGAAATGAGCAAAAGATGCTCATTGCAATTTTGCTGTTTGTCAAAAATCTTAGGCACTGAAATTGGAAAAGATCCAAACACTGTTCCCATCCACTGCGGGTACAGTGGAAACAGCCGCACCCGCGGTCGAAGCCTGGAAAACCCGTCGGTTCTACCCCGAAGATTTCGAAACATGGTTCGGCCTCCGACACACTCACAACCTTATTATCCCCGATTCTCTCAAACCGTACATTGAATCCCACGACTTGACAAAAGACGAGTACTACGTCGCCGAAAAGGAATTATACGATAATTATGCCCGTGTGTTTGGACCTATTCTGGATAAGTTTATTACCAACGATAGACGGTTTTACGTTCAATGGACGGGGGAAGCTAAAAAGTTTGGAGTGTTTACCGATGCGTATATCCCTCCCTATGCGTTCATTACCGAGTATTCTGGCATGCTGGTGAATTCGTCGCGATCAACGGATTACGAATGGCATTATTACAGTCGGATTCGTGATGAGAATGGGAATATCATGGCCTTGGGTGTTGATTCCCAATTTATCGGCAACATTGCGAGATTTGTAAACCATGATGATGATCCCAACTGTGATGTTGTTTACGTTCCGTGGAATAATCTGTGGAGACCGATCTACGTGTCGATCAAGCCTCTGTACCCAGGAGAAGAGTTGACTGTGTCGTATGGGCAAAACTATTGGGCGTCGAGAAAGAAGGCTGAGGGGACTGGCCAACCCGTGAACACCAACACGAACACGAGCAAGAAATGAAGCAATGCATATCGTGAGCTAAGGGTAGAGGAATCGGGTTGACATTGTACATGAGCAAAGATGGTGAATGCGATATTTTATTGATTCGGAGCGGACAAAGGAATATTTGTATCTCTGTACGTGTGTGTGTGTATTTAGTTGAGGGGGAGACTGGAGGGTATTGTTGCCCTTTTTTTTTTTTTTACAAAAACATGATGTACATATTTCAAGAATAACAAGAACGCACTCTCCATTCCATTTTGGTATTTGTTCCATGTCAAAGCCCTGTGTAAGATGCCTCCCCCCGTTTTGGAACACTACATTGTTGAAATGTTACGAGCTTGGGTTTGGGATGAGAGAGGGTCTGGGCCTTTGGGGTGTGGGGTGTTTTGATACAGAGCTAGTTTTAATAAAAGTGAAAGACCACTCGTACTCTGCTCATCAATCCAGTTTCATCCGTTGCATTAGTTTGCATGATTAGAGTCTAGGCCCTAGAGGGTGAGGCCCCCCACGGGGGGTGACGAGTGATAAACAGTGTCAAAAGTGATATACTTTGGAATTTCCGTGACGCGCTAAAGGCTGTCGTTCATCTGATGGGTATTCTTGATGACTCGATTTCACACCTCGTCATGTCCCTTCTTGTAAAAGCCCACTCTAGATGACCCGCTAATACACAATCGTCATTACCTACCCATTTCCCACCCACTTATACCACGTGCATGACATCACTGAGAGCGTCGCAACTATTTAAAGCGAGAGGTAACCTCAATACACACCCCACAGTGGTTTTTTGTACAGGCAAACACATTTGCGCAGACAGACCAAATCTTTCCTAGTTTCTTTCTCTCTCTCTCACACATTTTCAGAATGCCAGACATTGATGAACGCGAAAAGCCCATCCTGCAGCAATTCAAAGAGGTAAAACATGAAAACTATTAAACATGTATGTGTGCATGTGTGCATATGCCAAAATCATTTCTTTGATAGGTTGTACTGGACAAGCCAACAAGTGAACCCAAAACAGCGAGTCATGAATCCCGACTGACACAAGGCTTTGGACCAACCCCTCTAAGAGATACGAATGCACCGAGTATAGAAAAATCCAGTGTGCCATCCAATGCACGCCCTGGAGATTCTCGAGTGAATCCATCAAGCCGTGATTAAATGAGAGATATGAGTGTGTAATGGAGGGAATAATGCAAAATGCATTGTGTTTGAAATTTGTTATAATAAACTTTATTGGTGCAAAAGATGGAATCATTGCCTAATCAAGACAAATGTGTTCATGTGATGTCATCATGGGTTTGTACGAATCAGGAGACGCGCAGAGAGAGAGAGAGAGAGAGAGAGAGAGAGGGGAAGAGAGAGAACAAGAACGAAGAAGAATACAATTTCCCGCCCATTTTCATTTGTTGCTCTTTCCCCTTTTTACCCCTTTTATTTCCCACGCACTCTGTGAGAAGAAGAGTGAATATTCCCACACTCTTTTCCAACAATTCACACTGCGCAGTTGAGAGAGAGAGAGAGAGAGAGAGAGATACTAGGAACAACAACTACACGGGAAAACAAGAAAGGAAGACAAGAGCAATTCATTCATCTATTCAACACATTCATACGCAGTAAGTGACAAGTTATATCACATTGTTTATCCCTTTTTTATTCATTAGTATCTCTCTCTCTCCTTCTTTTGTTTATTAAAAGGAGTTTATTATTCCCTCCCCCCTTCTTTCTTCTTTCATTTCTTGAATTCTTCACCTATTTTATCCCTCGCGCGCGCTCTCTCTTCCCTCCCACCTCTTTGCTTCTTGTTACCTCCTCCCCCTCCGTCTCTCTCTCGCGCGCGCGCAACTCTTGTCTTTGAGCCACGATCGCATGTGTTTTCTAGTCGGGAACGAGTCCTACTACTAGTTTATTTGTTTACAAACGAGTTTTGTTTTGGAAAGAGTATATACGGGCAATTTTGGGGACCAACGCATTCCTGAACGTTTGCGTCTCTTTGCAACTCTTTCTCCTCCTACGAGTATTTCTTTCTCTCTGTCTGCCAGTGGTCGGACTTGCGAGTTTTCCTTTTGTTTTTGCGCGCGGTCCCCCACCACCACCCTTTTTGTTTCCTCTCGTTTCCTCCCTTTTGGCTCGCCCGCTCTGCCCCCCCTCCACCACTCTCCCTAGTCGCAAATGATGTCAACAACTGACACACTCGATGGAACGGCAGAGCTCATTACGGCTCTCTGTCAAATGACAGTACAAGAGTCGGGTTCACGTCCATCCACGCCTGCTCTCAAATCCGCTTCCAGTGCAGCGACTTCCCCTCTCAAAGTCATTGGAGATGATACACAGCAACAGCAACAGGATAAGGATTCACAACGGCATTTGCCGCCACCGCCGCCGCAGGTCGCGCCCGGTGCAGAACAGGAAATCATGTATCCTACGACCTTGTCCGCTTCTTGGGTCAAATCCCACGCCCCACCAGCAGGAACAACAGGAGTAGCAGTCGGACTGGAGGAGGACAATGGGGCGGAAGGAAAAGATGAACTACAGCAACAACAAAATGGTGGTCAACATGCACTGCCATTGCACCAGCACCCTGTCCATCATCACCTCCTTCCCAACCACCACCAACAACAGCCACAGCACCTACAACAACAACAACAACAACAGCAGCAGCAGCAGCAACAACAACAGCAGCTACAAAACCTCGCGTCCGCGTACTATTACAGCGGCGACTATGCAGTCTCTCCCGAGCACGCCATGCTTTACCTCCCACACCCGCCACAACAACCACCAGCCAACAGCAATACCAATAGCGGTCTGCTACTCTCTGCCACACCTACTCCCCGCCCACGCACACAACAACAACAACAACAACAAGCACACCAAGAGCAACAACAACAACAGCAGTCGTCTACAAAGAAACGCACGACCACCAGCACAACAAGCACAACAACGACACCACCCGAATTCTTTTCCTATGACCCGTCCAAACCTCCAGGACTCTTTTTTGATGCGTTCCCTGCCACCCTTCCCACAGCTCCCACCTCTCCACACGCGTATTCCGTGACATCGCCGCTTCAAGTCTATGGTTTACCCCCGATTCCCGCTATCGGGTCTCCACCTCCGAATGCGTCGTATGGGATGGTTCCTGGATATCCGGTTCCTATGTATCCTCAGGTACGGTGAACGTCCCGGGCCCCGAATGGCAAGAGCACTCTCTCTCACAAGCACACACATGTTTACCACGTCTTTGTTTTGTTTTTTTTTTTTTTTTAGCAAATTATTCCAGTGTGTAGATACTTTCAACAAGGTCGCTGCTGGGCGGGACAAAATTGTCGATTTAGCCATTACATTGGGCCTGGACCTTATATCGCTGCCTACCCCGTACGTAAAACTCGATATATATATATAGTCTTGCATAACGGAAAATTGATTGTTGCTTTGGGAATGTAGACTTCGACGGGTGGGACGGCGTTTTCGGCGCACCCGGGTACAGCTCCGACACATAACAAGGTCAAGTGCCGGTATTTTGCGCAAGGACGGTGTTGGGCTGGTCCACATTGTCGTTTTGCGCATGAATAAGAAAACGTATGTATCGGGTGGTGTGTGCTTATTGTCGTTGGAATCGTAGAGGAGGAGTGCCTAGGGATGCGTTTGGTTATTAAGGAACGAGAGTGGTTGGAAGGGTTGGCTATTAGGTGGAATGTTTGGTTTGGTGTTTAATGCGGCGTTTTCTTTTTGTTGTTGTGTGTGTTGCTCGTCTTTTTTTTTTTTTGGTTTTATTTTTTTTGTTCCCTCCCCTTTTTTTTTGCTTCTCTCTCTCTCTATGTCTTTTTTCTTTTTGGATGTTGGATGGGTGGGTGGGACTGTGGGACTGTTATAGACTTTAAAAAAAAATGTTGTTTATTATTTCATGATTTTTGGATATTGACTTGGATATTTTTTTTGTTTACGATGGACTTGTGTGTGCCCATGTGTATCCAGTGTGTATGGACAGTGATGGGCGTGTTGGTACTGCCCAGAAGAAAAAAGAGTAGTGCTTTATATTTCTTTACCAATCTCTTGATCTGCATCCTGATTTGTTTACATTCAACATTGCGTGATACGGGCAGTAGGTAGTCGCAGAAGACAACGGGAACACTATGAGCTTTACGTTCACGCTGCGTCCTGATTTGTTTAGATTGAATATTGCGCGAACATTGGCAGTGTGTAGAGGAACATGATTCTGCGATGCGTCTGATCTACTTGAACTCGTAAAGAGTTCGTTGCGGGTTAGAATTGTTAAATAGAGGATCTAAACTCTAGCTTCTGGTTGTATCTGCAAGTGTGTTAGTTTGACAGGTATCGAAAAAAGAGCACACCAGAGTGTCAGAATGAAGGACTACTACTCTTGTCAAGCTTGTTCCCTAATCGAAACGGCGACACGAACGTTTCGCTATAACTTGACGCTGGCATTTACACAAAAAGTTTTGTTTAACAGAAACCTCTACGATACTACCTACTTGTGCAAACCACGATTTGCAAATGGTCACCCCATCAACAGGCTATTAACGCCTCTATAGTTGGATGCGAGAGTGCGCTCAGACTTGCCTTTTGCGCGACTAGCCAACGAGCACCGACAACCCCATCCCCACCAACCATTTCTCAAAAAACTCGTATCATAGAGACTCAAAGATCGTTGACCATGAACCCACAGAAAAAACGACTTGGGACCATGTACGGTAGTTTGTTTCTTATTGACCAACCCCACCAGACAATCTGGTGTCGCTTTGTCGGACAAACCTTTGCGACAAGATCGCCAAATAGATCTCGCCTGTGGATACGAATACCGCATCAGCATTTTTGCTCAAACTCAATGGATAGTTGACCGTTTTTTTCTTGTATATGCCCCATTCATTTTCACATCTCGCCATGACAAAAGCGAAACCTGTGGGAAATGTCAGTTCATTATCGCTCAGTAAAGTTAAAATACCGCTATTCAAAGCACATCTATCTAGTCTTTGAACAATTCCGTTGATATAGTAGTAACTTGTGTCATTCAAAAAAGATAACCCTTTTGATTGCTCCGTTTGAACACGCGCTCTCTCTCTCTCCAAACACTACTTTTGGTTGAATCCCATTTTCTAACGCGTGTTTCTTCCAACTTATGTTGGTTGCCCTTTTGACAAAATACTAAGTAATTACGGGATGCGGGGCGGCGTGGGCGTGTTGTTTTTTGTTGCGATGGCGAGGGGACGGGGAGGGAGGGAGGGACGGGAAGGGCAAGACGTAAGACTGTGCATTCCGTTTTTTTTTTTTCTTTCTTACGACATTTCGTTCGTTCAATACTCGAGACATTTCCACCATTTCGACAATACTTGCTGGAAGAAACTATTTTGGTTGGACACAGCAACTACACACGCACACACACGAACGCACACACACACGAACACACACGACGTTTTCCTTTGGTAAACTTGCAACACACACACACACAGTTTTTTTCAAACTAGTGTGCTGTGCTCAACGCCAAACCTGCCATTGCAACAAACAAACTGAGCAACGGTTATCCCCGCTTTCAAAAACAACAAACTACAGCTTGACTCTCAAAAAAATCCCTTTTGTAAAAAAACCATACCACTTTGTGACGATGCTCCTTCGACACGCATCCCCTCCTCCTTCGTCAACACATGCAATGATACCCCATAACCTCTTTTTCGAACCATCACCTTCCACACCAACAACATCAACAACAACAACAACACCATCATGCTCGCCGTCCACTCAACCACCACCACCACCACAAACACAACAAACGACGCAAAAACGAAAACGCCAAACAGAACTAAAATTCCGCACCACAAAACGCACAAAACCAACACCCCTCATCCGCACCCTCGTCAAAAACCGGTTCGGAACTCGCCATAAAAAGGAATCTGTCGAGTCGAGTGTTGCGCCCGCCGAGGGTGGAGTTTCCCCTCAAACCATCGACACTCCCTCCGACACTCTTCTCACTCCTCCAACTCCTCTTGTTCTCTCTGACACTCGTTCTTCCGACACTCCATCCCTCACACGCTCAACAACAACCCTAACCTCCCCATCTAAACCTCAACAAGAACAACAACAACAACAACAACAACAACAACAAGAACCATCATCCCCCCAAACCCACCTAAAATCCCAACGAAAAGCCCTCCTAAAATCCCTAACACAAACCGTCCAAACCCTTTCGAAATCCCTTGGAAAGCCGAAACAACATTTCAAGAAATCGCAACGACGGGATGTCCTTGTGAGGCGCAAGAGGATGTTGGAGTGGGTTCGTAGGGTGGATACTTGATTTTGTATATATATCGTTTTGGGATATACCATTTGACGAGTTTTTGGAGAGTGTGTGTGTGGGTGTGTACAGCGGTGGTGGTTGGGTGTATTTTTTTTGTACAAAGCAGGATGTGTGTATAATGGTCTTGAGAGCTTGCGTCTTTGAGAAATATACAATGTCTTTTCTCTCGCAATGTGTTTTTTGTGCCAATTCAACAGTTGTTGCTAAAGGGCCGTCAGCTGCGAGTGAGCAAAGCATCATCAAAAGTACATATCCCTTCAAAACAAAAAAAAAACATCTTAATTTACTTGTAAAAACGCACAAACCAAACCAAAAAAAATAGGGAGGGCCTGCCAACAACATCACAACAATCATCACAAAAAAACACTGGTATCATCAAATTGCAAAGAAAAACTCCCATCCCCCACATTCCCACCACCAAACCACCAAAAAGCAACTCTTGAAGAAGCAAAAGTCAAAACTCCACCCAAAACCCCCCCAAAAAAATACTATCCACACAAAACAAAGAAAATAGTCTATGCAAAAAAAACGAGCACAACAAATAAAAAAAAAGGAAATGCAATCACACACACACAAAAGACAAGGGGCTTCAACAAAAACCCCATAGTATTCATCAATCCATCAAATTCACCCCATCATCTCTAGACGGCGCCTGCACCGCCCCATTCGTTTCTCCACGCGTCCATTCTTCAAGTCCACGCGGTCTTCCCGTCCCATTCCCGTTCGCGGGTGGTTGAGAAGAAGACGGTACAAACTTTTGTGGTGGACGATCTGTCGTTGGTGCAGTGGAATAGAACCCAGATGTGAACCCGCTTGGTTGACTCCCAAACGAAATGGGGGGTCGGTGTCCTCCAATCGGTGCGCTGCGGGGTTGACCGCCGGCCATCTGGCCAAGACTCATGAAACCGCCCACGACAGATGAGGGGGGAAGAGTAGGGAAGGAAGAGACGAGGGCTGATGAGGGTTTAGCATGCGAGGCAAGGTTGCCAAAGCCTCGGAGATTGAGTTCTTGGAGTTCCGCGAGTTTTTTGTGGACGGCTGTGTCGACGCGGATGGGTGGGTGAGAGGACGTGAGGGGTGCGGGGATGACGGCGGTGGTGGAGTGGGGTATCACGACATGCGGTGGCAAAAGTGCTCCGCCTTCAAGAGGCCAGTCGTGCACAGCTGGGAGGGCGGACATGTCACCATCGATGACTTGTACGGCAACAGCATCCTTGATTCCGTCCTCTCCACTAGGACGTTCCGTAAACCACTCGCCTCCAAGTGGCGTAACGGGCCGCGAGGAAGAACTCGTGCTCAAACTCTCAGCTCCGCTGGCAACACTCTCAATCGAGAGTGAATGGCCATGTCCCATGCGCACATCGGACGTGTCGGCTTTTCGCATCGTCGGGGACGTTGTGATGGGACTCGGGACCGGGCTCGAGCCCGGACTAACAGAATAAACCTGCGCCAATCGCGTATTGGCATGCCCAATGGAGGCATTTGACACAGACCTTGGCATGGTATTGTGCCTCACTAGCGTGGAGACAGGGGCTTCAGGCTCACTTGCGTGCCGATACCGCGGGAATGTCGCTGGAGACAATGGCGGAGAAGAATGTGCAGAGGGATAAAGGGAACCATACCGCTCTGCTGACACCCCACGCTCATAACTCTCACCCCGTCGTCCATTAGTCACCCGTCTCAGTTCAACTGACCCACCCTCGGAAGATGACGCCTCGCCGCTGATAACTGCCCGCACAGCACTCTCCAGCCGCTCCACAGCAACGGGTTCATCTCCAGTATCAATAATCCCTTCTCGCACCATCTCACCCACGACGTCTCTGGAAGTGTCTGCTGCAATGCTGAACGGAAACTTGATCTCTTGACTGGGTCGTCCTGACATGGTATAGATCATTTTGACTTGCACCTCCTCATCATTAAGCCGCTCGACAACCTCCACTGAACACACCGTGCCCGATCCGTGGGGTGGCAAGTTTGCAGGATGCCCACGTTTAAGGATTTCAAAAGTATGGTTCTCCGCATCCACCATAACTGGCACTGCATTCGTCAGTGCCGGTTGCGTAGCTGGCTGTCGATCGGAATGCCAGGCGGAGCTACCACTGTCCCCATTGACCGGTGATTCAAACGACGACGCGGACGTCACAGATCCATGGTGTTCGTGCTTTGCGCCACGTGGCTCCTTGACCATCTCCGTTGATCCTTCCAAGCTATTGACAGACACCATCGACCCTTGGGTGGGTATCAAGAAAGGGTGCCGTAACAGTTCTTCGGCAGTGGGTCGCTGGTAAGGGTTAAAGGCGATGCAAAGTTCGACAAATCTTCTCGTTTCATCGTCTTCGATCTTTTGTAGAGCTCGTGGTTTGATCCCTGAAGAGACTTTTTTGTAGATTTGCGCTTGGTTCGTACATTCGCTGTATGGGTACTCTTTGGTAATAATTTCAAGCATCATCTAGGTAAAAATGTGTGAGCTTCATATGTTGCCAACCTGCAACCACCAAATGTCACGCACACTGCAACATACCATGCCAAATGCGTAAATATCCACTTTCTCATCGTACTTCTCGTCGTACAGTTCAGGAGCCATGAATTCCGGGGTACTAATCCAGTTTTATGAGTATCCTAGTTCATTTTAAAAGGCCCAAGCAGTATGGACTCACCCAAGGACTGATGAGACATGGTCTCGGTGTTTCACAACAGCGAGTCCTAGATCGCCAATTTTCGCTTGTCCATTGTTTCCATTGATGAATACGTTTTCGCACTTCAAGTCTCTGGATACACCGCAACCATCAGAACGTGCACAAACATCAGAGAGAGTATATCAAAAACTAACCTGTGAATAATCGGAGGATCTCTTGTATGCAGATAATGCAAACCCGATAAAATCTGGCGGCACCAGCTTTTCAAGACCTTTGGCTTAACAGCTCCTTTCGTCTTGCGGATATAGCTCTTCAAGGTTCCCGAGGTCATGAGCTCGGTGATAAAATACACTTTATCTTTTCCATCTTTGCCTTTGGCAATCCAACTGTGATACATATTCTACAAGTGATCCGTGAGCATATAATGGAATCCATATGTGGAATGCATATTTGGCGCGCGGCAACTTACAATGATACTATCATTTCGCAAAGATTCTAGAATTTGGATCTCAGAGAGAATTCGTTGGGCTTCACGCTTCAGTAGGTGGTCAATGCGCAGTTGATTCCACGCAACTTCGACGCCCTCTTCGGTGTCAAACGCCTTGAACACCTCTTTATATGCCCCTTTGCCGAGACACTCGGCATAGCGCTCGAATCGTCCTGTTGGATCCGTCTGCAAAGATGGACATGTTTAGTACAGCGAATTGATGTATGACACGTACGCCTTGTCATTGGAACACGTACTTCAATAACGCGGTTGTCTTCATCCTCTTCGTCAGACTGCTGGCTCCCTCCGCTTATACGATATTCGCTTCCAGACATGATAAAAGATGATTTTGCCGAATCAAGCAACGGAAGGGGCGGTCGTCTGCCGACGGCAAAACAGAGAGGGAAGGAGAATACTTTGATCTGCAGGTTTCAGCAATCACAGGATTGGTTTCCGGACGCCGGTCTTTTGACCATCTAATGGTTTTCACAATTTAGCAAGGACTGTGAGAGGGACGTTCATCGGACGATATACATACAATCCAACAACCGCTTCAAGAACGGCGGGACTTCCAGGTGCAAAGGCTGTCGCGTTTCAAAAGAAGAGATCAATTTCAGCAGAGGGTGATCCCTAGCCTGCAATTGCACAGACAAAATCAATCTCCGACCATTTTGAACGAAAACCAACACCGGCGCTTACCATCGATTATTTAAATGTAGACCAATTCTGCGATTTATGACAACTCGTAGCGTTCGCCTCACGTATAGTTAAGCAGTATTCGACGACAAAAGATCTAGCATACTCTATGAGTACGGGTGGGGCAACACAGACGACCGAAACTGCACACATACCGAAAGGAGCCTTCAGTGGATAAGGGAGGTTTGCAAGGCTGCTGGGATAAAACCTATAAGGGGTACCAAATGGAGGGATTTTCAGTCACTAGGCACGTTCATTCTGCACATGCACGAATTCCCAAGCCTCCCTAAGGCTCCTAGGGCCCCTATGCCGGCCTCTGGCAAAAAGCTAATTCCGCCAACTAGTGGAACGCAACATTTGTCGCAGACAATTGTCCTCCCGCTTGCGACGTTTGACCGATAAGAGGGCCCAAGCACCTTGCTTCGTTAACTCCAACGTCAAAGAACGGCCGTTCCACAATGCCACACACGTCCGTCGCAAGCAGTGTCCAAATGTCTCTCCTCTCCAGAGTCCATCTCTCCCCTCAATCCCAGCTTGTTCTTTGGTGTTTCTTTGCTACTCACCCTAAATTGGTGCAGAGTTTCAAAGACAGAAACCACTCGGGAAAAAGTGTGCCGAAAAAAAAAAAATAAAGACCAGAGGTACTTGAGTAAATGAAGCCCTAGGTTAGACAGATCTACAGACGCTCGCTCCCAGAACAACAACTCACAATGTTCTTGTATGTAAATAGTCGAACGTCAAAATAAAAAATAAAAAGACTGTCCCAAAAGATCAAGTCTGACACCAAATGGCCAGAACAGAATGGGGGTGTTCCAACAAGTGGTAAAAAAGGTGAGACCTTCTTCCCCTACGCGTTTGGCCAGGAATTTCCATAATTTGATAATCCATCATTTAACACCGCACCGTATCCATTTATAATCATTGATGGCGCACGTTAGACCAAAAAGGTGTTCCTTTTTTTTCTTGTTTTGCGTGTTGTTCACGGTCGAGTCCTGTAGGCTGTAGGAAAAAAAAACAAGTGGCGACCAGATTGCAAGCAATCCTTCATGAATGACAGCACCATCATTAGGGATTGGACAAAGACCTGCTTTAAAAACCAAGGCGGGATAAGGTGCACATGACAGTGTCGGGAACCGCTGGTAACCGAGCAGGTATGAGTTTTCAAGGGAGCCATTCATATGCGCACGGACCGATGAACCACATGCGTTCGTTTTGATATGATGGGCAAATCCCTGGAAAGCCTTAAGAGCAATGGGCTGTCTAAACTACGTGCGCAATTCGATCAGACTGGTCCATCATGCATGGGTAGTCCCTTTGAGCACAGCTTGCAAGTCATTAGACAGCTGCTGATGTCTGGTCTCTAGCCACATTTGTACCCTGCGCAAAGCGAAACCAAACACCTGCTTGGAAAATAAAACTTTTTTGTTGCTGCGGAACTCGTCAATCGCTCACAGCAAAAACGGTCAAGTTGGGCTGAAGCCCTGAAAAAAGGCCCCCAAAAGCAACGCCAAAAAAGCGACGCGTTGCTAAGCCTCAGTGATCTTCAGCCCAAAAATGCACACTTTGTTAGTTTTGTCCGATAAGCCAACCGGACAAACTTGTGTTGAATTCCTTCCTCGTGTGGGCCTTTTTGCCTAGTGTTACCATCAACGGAGAGGGGGCGGATTCCCAAAATGCATTCCTCAGCCGGATTTTCAGCCAGCTCTCCTGTGCTTTTCTTTAGGTCCAAAAGCCGACGACCAGCGGCGGTGCCATATCTATTTTATAAAAGGGCAGGTTACCTTGGGCTTGCTTGAACACATCAGAACACACATCACCACCACTACCAGTGCAACTACAAAAGCAAAGGCCCCTTACCAGCCTTCCTCCATCGCCTTTGATCATTTACCAATAAACACATCACATCGTTTTAGAAATGGCACCAAAAACATTCCTCGCTTCGATTGCTGGCGCTGTTCTTTTGGCATCGGCTGCTATTGCTGCGCCCAGCTATTACAACCATGGGGGTCACAACGACTATTACGAAGACAGCAAATACGACAATGAATACTACAAAGACGATTACAACAAAGTCTCTTACCACCAAGACAACTACGACCGCTACTGCCACGGCTACGTTCACAAGCCAACCTACGATAACGAGGGCCGCGGTTGGGGCTACGAGAATGGCCAGTGGTGCTTGATTTCCGAGGAGGGCCAGTACGGATCCCACTACAACAATGGCCACGAATCGTACCACAACGGTTATGGAGAGTCAAAGCACAAGAGTTTTATCAGCAATGGTTACGGAGACTCACCCCGTAAAGGCTACTATGCTGCCCGCCCTTACGCGGGTGCTACCTACCAGGAGCCTCCCCACCACGAAGAAGAGTACCGCGAAGAAGAGTACCACGAATACAACGAGTACTACGATGAGGGCAAGTACGATGTTTACAAGGCTGTCATGTGCGGCGAAAAGGAAGTCCCTTTTGTAGTCAAGGGTGAAGCCGGCTTTGGTCATGGATTGGTCCTTTTGGACAGGCATACCAAGGAGATCAAGTTTGCCGCGACCCACTTCAACATTGCCCCTCTGACAAAGATCCACATCCACGGCCCCGCACCTCCCAACAAGAATGCGTCCGTCCTGTTTGATCTTTTCCCTCAACCAAAATTTTCAACGCAAGAAAACCCTGTTCGTAACCCCCAAAAGATTGTGTTGAACGACGATCAACACAAGTGGCTTGCCCAGGGTCTGCTCTACGTTAACCTTCACAATGCTGCTCACCCTGACGGTGCTGTTCGCGGAAACCTGCTGTGCGCCAGCAGGTCTTGTGAGGGACCGCGCGGGGTTGAAGTGGCTCGTTTCGTTGACGATGGTATCTGCAACAGGGCCATCTTCGCTTCTGGGTACGGATACTAGTTTAAAGTATATGTGTAATTCCTGTAATACGGACCATTTTTGGGGATTTTGTTTGTAAAGGGGATCTGGGCGTTGTAGGACCTTAGAAGTTTCTGATTCTCCCTTGTATAGTTTTTACATCGTTTTTTTTTTTTAAAACAGACCTGTCAATGTCATCGCTGATCTTGCGTTATTTGCAATCTTCTGTTGAGAGGCTGATTTCGTTGTATGCAGAACTTGACGGATTGCCCAATTCAGGCAAATTGTTAGTAACTCGGCTTGCTTCTCTGTGCCGAAGCCATTGATGAGGGAGGTTGCGCTTCATTGCAATGACAGCAATATTGACGGCTATGTAGATAGATGAGGAGGCATAGCGGATTGAGTAATTGGAAATCCAATTTTCTATAGATACGACTAAGATCATGACATTAACAATGATAGTATACCTAAAACAACAGGTTGCATTAACATTGAACACAACGAAAACTGTGTGTGTTATTCAGTTTGCAGTTTTCTAAAAAGTCCCCTTTAATCGCATAGGCCCGGTGACAACCAAAATGCAGTACAAGATTGCGCTCAATTCAGATTCTGTAGTAGAAGAGCAAGCAGAACAAGCTTGCGCTCAATTCAGATTCTGTAGTAGAACAGTGGCTAGCTACTATCTTGCAGTGCTGGTATCTCACTGCTGCTTTGATCGTTCTGCAGGAAAGTTCAATAGAATTGGGAAAACATCGCTTTGGCAGAAAGAATTTTTAATGCACATGGGGTTTATGATGGTGATGGGATCTGTGAAGTCACTGACTCTCCTTTTGCCCGCACTCTCTGATACCAAGCAGGTAGCAAATGCTTGGGATGATCGCGCAAACGATTATGATCTCGTCCATTCCGTAAGACTATGATCGTCCAGAATGTGCGTAACATTGCCCTTCGATGGTATCCTTGCATGTGGATCAGACAGTGCATTGTCAAACGGGTTGCGACTATTGCCAATTTATCGCTTCTTACTTACGTTTTACACTGACATGTTACAGTAGATCCACCGAGCGTTTTAGCGTGATTTGAAGCACTAAGAGCTAAGCACCAGCATAACCTTGATCAAAGTTCTACATGAAAGTTGAGCTTATATGCCCCGTCAATCGATAGAGAATGATCTTCTCGGGTGCCTGGCAAACTGTGGGTTCATTCATTGAACGGAATATGATAGGTTATACTTATGAAGCTGGTTATGATGAGGAGAGTGCTCAAAGGCTTCCTTCGATGCCGTCTTCAAAAACAGTGCAAAATAGATCGTTCCATTGCAAGGAACCAACAACGCTCAATAATTCACCCAACTGTGATGGTGTTTTCTTCTCATTCATAGTTCTAATATCGATGTATGTACCAGGGATGATATCTTGAGCGGTCCGGGAGCCGTCCCTCAGCGACACGCGAACACGCGAACAGCTACCAAGAAATAACCTGCTCTAAAAATAGCCATGAGTTCAAAGATCTGAATATGAACCCCTCTATGCCTATTTTTTTTAGCATTAGTCAGAATGAACATCTGAATATAGCAAAAGGTTGCCAACCAACTCTCTTTCGCCTGTTCTACATTGCTTTCACTGTAGACGGAGTGCTGGGCACATTTTGGTAAATCGTTCTGGTTGTCCTTGGTGAGTACATATTGTGTTGGATGAGTTTGCGTTGCTTGGTTTCTCACAAGAAGATCCTTGATTGTAACAGTTTGCGAACGGGTTTCATTATAATGCACGAGTCAGAAAACGCTTTATCACGGTCTCGTCAGGCCAGTGTGGTCAAATCCAATAAAATTGGTGTTGAGCTCCCACCAAGTATCTCTCCCGATGGGGATGGTCCATCAGACGACAAGAAAGTGGGTGATGAGGAAACGGCCAAGGACACGAAAGCTGCCAAGAAAGCCAAAATAAAGAAGCCCAAAGTCCCTCAAACTGCCGCACGACGGTGGTGGGTGCGATTCACTTGGTTGACTACTTGGTGGATACCGAGCTTTCTGCTGAAATCCATCGGCGGCATGAAAAGCCCCGATGTCCGCATGGCATGGAGAGAAAAAGTTGCCCTTTGCGTCATTATCTTGTTCCTTTGCGGTGTCATGATCTTCTTCGTCCAATTCTTCAGTAAATTCCTGTGTCCAAATGCCAACATCATGTCCCCATCCGAAGTCGCCCAACACAATACAATTAGCTCCAGGAATCACCTTTTTATCAGTTGGAACGGATACGTTTACGATGTCAACTCATACGCTGACAGACATCCTGATCCGGCGTTCACGCTCTTAACGGTGGCGGGTAAGGATGCTTCCGAGTGGTTTCCACGGATCAACGCAAAGACAGGTGCTTTGCACAAGAGTTGTCCGCAGCCATCGGGCACTCCTCCAGACCTTCCAACCAACACGACATGCCTCAAGACAGGCTTCACGACTGGTTATTGTCATGACACATGGAAGTTGGACGATAGCGTCAATGTGTATAAGGAAACGGTCACATTCCCCATATATCGAGTCGCTTCTCTTGCCTATAACAGAAATACCGTATACGATCATGCTAAAGACACGGACGCATGGATACTCATCAACGGGAGGTTCTACGATGTGACTGAACTGTTGAAAGCAGATTCCTGGATACGTTCTCTATTCCCTTCGGATCTCCTTGATTATCTAGCGTACTACCGAGGCAAAGATGCCTCTCTGATTGCAAATCGTATCGACCCTAGCTGGATGAAATGTCTTGACAACCAGTTTTTTGTGGGAGTCGTTGACGATCGTATATCGGCCGCTGCTTGTCATGCATCAGAGTACATTCTCTACGGATGTACAGGTGTCATGGTATTTATCCTTGTGATAAAGTTCTTGGCTGCTCTACAACTCGGTTCGAAGCGACAACCCGAAAACCACGACAGGTTCGTCATCATGCAGGTGCCTTGTTATACGGAAGGCGAGGATTCACTAAAGAAGACGATCAATTCCCTCTCGCTACTGGAGTATGATGACACACGTAAATTGTTGTTTATTGTGGCGGATGGTATTGTACAGGGTGCTGGGAACGATCGTCCCACCCCAGACCTTGTTCTCGACATCCTCGGTGTGGACAGGAACGTTCAACAGCCAGAAACTAAAGATTACGTTGCCATCGCAGAAGGATCCAAAGGTCACAATAAGGCAAAGATCTATTCCGGTCTGTATCACATTCAAGCTCGGGCGATTCCCTTCATTGTTGTTGTCAAATGCGGCAAAGAAACGGAAACTACAAAGCCTGGTAATCGCGGTAAACGAGACTCTCAAATGATTTTGATGAAGTTCTTGAACAAGGTGCACTATCGATCCCCCATGACACCTCTGGACCTTGAAATGTATCACCATATGAAAAACATTATCGGTGTTCACCCTTACCTGTACGAATATATCCTCATGGTCGACGCTGACACCGAGGTCGTTCCGGACTCTCTTAACCGGTTGGTGGCTTGCATGATACACGATGGAAAGATCATGGGCATCTGTGGTGAAACGAAAATTGCCAACGAGAAACAATCCTGGGTGACCATGATGCAAGTGTACGAATACTACATCAGTCACCACATGGCAAAGGCTTTCGAATCATTGTTCGGAAGTGTCACTTGTCTTCCTGGTTGTTTTTCCATGTACCGTATTCGAACACCTGAGAAAAAGATTCCTCTACTGATTAGCAACGATATTATCCACGATTATGAGGAGAACAAGGTCGACACGCTTCACAAAAAGAATCTACTGTCATTGGGGGAAGATCGGTACTTGACAACGCTGATGCTCAAATATTTCCCCGAGTACAGGACAAAGTTCACGGCAGATGCGAAATGTTTGACAATCGTTCCGGACCAAATGTCCATTCTTCTCTCCCAGCGTCGTCGATGGATCAATTCTACGATTCACAATCTCTTTGAGCTATTGTTCCTGCCGCAGCTTTGCGGTTGTATGATCTTTTCCATGCGCTTTGTGGTGTTCCTCGATTTGTTCGCGACGCTGATTATGCCTGCTACGACTGGCTACCTTGTCTACCTCATCTATGCTGCCATTGAGGCACAGGAACCCCCGATCATTTCCCTCATCATGCTGGGTGTCGCGTACGGACTTCAGGCGATCATTTTTATCATAAAACGAGAGTACCAACATGTTGGGTGGATGATCATCAACATTTTGGCCATGCCAGTCTTTTCGTTTTGGCTACCGCTGTATTCTTTCTGGCATTTTGATGATTTCTCGTGGGGAAATACGCGTCGTATCGCTGGAGCAAGCGGAAAAGACTCACACGGTGGCGATGGTGAGACATTTGATCCTAGCATCATTCCACTTATGAAGTGGGAGGACTATGAAGGTATTTTGATGCAAAAGGCTCAAGAGGACGAGGCTGCGATGGGCATGTCCGAGTACGGTGCTTCTGAAAATGGATACAGTGTTGCATATGGAGGATACAACAGTGCACCACATTCACAGAACGGCCGACCTAATGGACGCCCAGTGTCAGCTTACAGCATTTCCAATGTTGCCGTGGGTCAAGGGCAAGGAAATGTTAGGAGGAGAGCGTCTGTGCGATCGGCAAATTCGCAGTTCTCGCAGGGTCCTGCTCATTATACCCGTCCTTCTTCTGCGTATGGTGGGCCGGGGGGGATGTATGGTTCCAGTGTGGGTCCGGCGTCGCCCTATGAGCCGTCATACGCCGGGGACCACCGCCGCTCATACATCCCCCATATCGAGGCCAGGCGTTCGCTCGACGGATTACAGCAAGGCCCAATGTCATACTATGAACCTTCTCAGTATGCCCCAAGTTACTATGCCGCCTCCAGCTCTGGTTCGGAAGGTGAACCTCGCCCTCCCGCACCGCGCGCAATTAACAACCTCCGGAACTCTGCGCTCTTCCGTTCCGACATGGCTCTCGATCGTCTGCCTGGCATTGCTGTCGATATCCCGCCGTCTTGTCCTCCTAGTCAATTAATCATTCCTGATGCAACTCAATCGTCAGATCAGCTATTGAGTAAGAGTAAATCAGCAGAGACCATTCAAGATAGTGGTACCTGGACTGGAGGATTCCCTACAGACGAGGATATTGTCGAGCGCATTCGGTACATCATTGCCATATCCGATCTGCACACGCTCACAAAACGGAAAGTAAGAGAAGAATTAGGCAGCTTCTTTGGAACTGATTTGAGTGAGAAGAGGCAGTTTATCAGCGATTATGTTGAGGCCATTGTTACAGGAAGACTGTAAAATTGAAAAGAACAAATGAAGGGCCATTTGGGCCCGGGAGCAACATCAGAGATTTCACTATGTTTTTAAAAGTAATACACATCAGCCCAGATGCATACTAAGTACTACATGTGCCATATCAGATACTCGATGTATACTTTCTTGTCGGCTCCCGGCTGTAGTCACAAAACCTTTGCAGGCTGATGTTAAAGTTGGGGCCTTTTGCTCAACAGTGATGGATAGCCGCTACCAGGAATGCTGCGTGAATTGATGCGACTGAATACGCGCGAGTTGCAAATCAATGACGTTGCATCCGCGTCAAGATGATCGCGTAACAAAACAGTTCAAATGATATAAAACCCTTCACACTTTGACAATATCCCCCTTCTCCATCGCACTCACTTCTTTTCAAACAACGAACATAGCAATGCTTTCCAGGCGCTTCATCCTCACAGCTCGTCCAAGTGTATTACGCATCCCCGCACACATCTTGCGTCCAACCGCTGCAGCAACAGTTCGGTTCAATACCACATTTCCCCAAAAGAATCAGGCAGCAGAGAGTTTTACCGCCCGTAAACCTGTTGAGGTCTTGATCAAGAACGATCATAGGTCATTTGAAGAGCTGTATGATCGGTATAAAAAGAATGCAGGCAATGCTGAAGAACAACAGGTACAGAAAATTAAGCGTTCTATCAATAATATTCGAACAGTTGTTCTTAATTGGAATGACAACACACATAGGCAATTATCAATGAGCTGATCCGTGAAGTAGCCCAGCACTCTATTGCGGAGGAGACCGTTGTCTATCCGGTAGGAGCCAGCAATCGTCGACAGTTGTGAACCACTTGGATATTCTGTATCTGACATGCACTCTATATAGTTGATCGAAGAAAGAAATATTCTAGGAAGTGGCGAACACATTGCAGATCATCTCCGTCAAGATCACTTTGAAGTCAAAAAACTCTTGTTGAAACTCGACAAAATGCGGGTTGGTGACAAGGGGTTTGATGAGACGCTCAATAACGTTATGCGAGTGCTGAAGGAGCATGCTACTGAGGAAGAGACCAAGGAATTACCCGAAATCGCAAAGGTTATCCCAGAACCGGAACGGATCGACTTGTCCAAAGCATTTTTGCGTCGGAAAGCGATTTCCCCCACTCATCCTCATCCCCATGCACCCGACAAGCCACCTACATTGGAAGTCCTTGGTGAGTTCCTCTTTGGCACAACGTTCTCCTGTCTTCTTTTGCATGCGCGGCAACCTTTTTCTAATTCTTCAATCTATTTCATAGCTGGGCTCCCTGTCGCACCTATTGACAAACTTCGTGATCAAACCCGTAAATTTGCCGAGAGACGCATTCCCCAAGAATGATTGTATGTAGCTGCTATGTGGGGGCGGTGAATTTGCCTGCCCTTTTTGTATAGTTTTTTTTGCGCTGCTGTTAATAGCATTCATGGCCGACATATATATCTAACAAGAAATGTGATCCCACCAACAACCAGTATATTTAGTGATCGCCCCTGTAATGAGCAGCTACCCTGTCTGAATGTGAGTCCCACCATCTCAATCGCATTGTTTCCTATTAGGCCCCAAACTGGTCCTCATAGTGATAGAGCCAATATCAGGAAACATCCATCGAGTTCGTTAGACAACATCACTCATGCATTAGTTACAGTGATGACGGTCTAACAGGAAGGACGACTTTCTCCATCTCATTTTGCGCTGTATTACAGTATCCATCTCACACATTACAAAGGATGTCATCTTCTTATTACAAAGGCTCCCTAGATGGATGAGCTGGCAGGTCTCCAAGGTAAAAATGATGTGTTAAGCAATGCCATAACGTAAGGCCATAAGCAATAAGCCAAATATGTGCCTGCGTTCCACCTCATCCAGTCATAAACAAATACCCACTTTATTGTGTCTTGGATGTTGTCTCACTTATGTCACACCTCACGCGACCAAGATGACATTATTTGGTGTGACACATCCTTTGGAGTGTCTTTTGCTTTTAGATTGCGTCTAAGTGCGTTTATTTTGGAAAAGTGTTGGAAAACTAGGGAATAGTGACGATCGCTGCGAGTAGGAGTAAAGGCGCCCTTCACCCTCCGCGGGGGTCGATGGGGGATGGATGTCTGAGTGTTGTGTGTGCAGGGGAGATGTTGGAGGGAGGCGTGAAAAAAAAAGGTTTGTTTGGTGTTGGTTGGGATTTTCCCATTTCTGCGGTGAAGGTGAAGCCAAGGAAAAGGGAGTAAGGGAGGGCATCCAATTCAGAATCAGGATGGAGAGCATCGCGATATAAAGAGGAGCAAGCGTTTGGCTGTTTCCCTCTCGCTGTTGACTGCCTGTTCCAATACATTCCACTTTGATTCCTGCCAGTCTTCCTCTTTGTGTGTGTGTGCGTCTGTCCTCTAGTTTGCACGTTACAATGACCGATACAATGTACAACAAGGCCAACCCAAGGCACGATACTATTGTCGAAATGGACTCCAACACTCTGAACCGTCCATACAACTTTACACATGAGCAATTCGAGGAGCTACTTAATCGCATTGCCGCTCCTCCACCGCCTCCGGCGCCTGCTTCCGGTCTCGGCAATCCTGGTCCGCTTGGATTGGGGTCCTTTGCCTTGACTACCTTTGTGCTGTCCTGCTTTAATGCTGGAGTCTTTATTGATAAGCGTTTGGAGCCTGTTGTATTGCCCTTGGCGTTGTTTTATGGTGGAATCGCGCAGTTTGCGGCGGGAATGTGGGAGTTTCAGACGAGGTTGGTTGAAACTCTTGCTTTAACATGTACTCGTGGGAAGTACAGTGCTCATGTTCGTTTACATTTGCAGTAACACGTTTGGTGCAACCGCGTTCACTTCGTACGGGTGCTTTTGGATGAGCTTTGCGTGAGTGCAATGATCTCATTCTGTTAGCAATGATCACAATCATGGTCTAACTCGAATGGTGTTTAGTGCATATGTATACTTGATTGTGCCCACATTGGCAGCAAGCTCTCTCAACGTGTCAGATGCAACTGGTCTCTACCTACTTGGATGGACTGTCTTTACCGTTTACATGACGTTCGCTGCGTATCGAGTATCCAAGGCGGTTTTCTCTGTCTTTTTCTTTCTTTCCATGACATTTCTTCTTCTCACCATTGGAGCACTTGCGTACGTATTTATGATTGTAGCATTGTGAATTATCCAGCGTTCATCCCATATCTATATCGTTCGACTTTAGACCAAGCGAAGGAACGACCCGAGCTGGCGGCTGGTTCGGACTGATCACTGCGTTTTGTGCGTGGTACTCTTCCGCAGCCGTAGTCATCAACACTGCCCACGGAAAAGAGGTCTTACCAGTCGGTGCTTACGTTCACCAAAAGGCCAGGCCCAACATGACAGAAGACCTCAAGGTGTAAACCTAACCGAGAGTACATTCTATCGTTTGGATATCTTTTCGGATATTGTCCGTTTAAAGTTTTATAATAAGGATTGCTGGACAATTTATTTTCTTTAAACCTCCGAGAAGTCATCAAATATTCAAAGTGTATCTGGTCCCGTTGGGTCCGAGACGCGTACGTGCATGCGGGTTCACAAATGTGGCTGTTCAAGCGGAGTCATTCAACAGAGTTAAGCGCGGTGACTCACCTATTTTTGACTTGCAATGTTTTCCAGGTATTGTATTGCATTTTGTTGTCGTCGGGTATTTTCGGATGGTGAATGGTTATATAAACAGTGTGCTGCAAAACGCTTTTCAAAGCATTTTAAAGAATTAGATAACTTTTTTCTTTTTAAATACATTGTCAACTACCACCATAATGTTGACATTATCACGTCCTCTTGTCATTCATCCTAGCATCCTACGCCCTTCGTCCCGTCTCCTTGCTTCTGCGTTTCTGAGCCCAGTCCGCACCCAAAGCACAACTCCTGCATCTGTATCAGCCTCACCAACAGTCACCGGCCCTCATCCAAAGCTCGGCACCGATCCCAACGCTGCAACATGGAGAAAAATGGAACAGAAGCAGGAACCGGATATCGTAAAAAAGAAAACTTACATGCTTCGCCATCCGGTTTATACCCCACAGGAACTGGAAGCGGTTAAATTCACCCATAAAGAGCTGGCAGGGGTGAGGGATCAGATTGCATTTGCCCTGGTTCGGCTGATGAGGTTCGGATTTGATACCGCGACGAATTACTCGGATAAGATTGGTGTTATGACTGAAAAGCAGTGGTTGAATAGAATCGGTGAGTTTTCAATCTTTGATATTGAACTAGGGTAATATGTATTAATCCTCCTTCTGAGCAGTGTTCCTCGAAACCGTCGCTGGTGTTCCTGGCATGGTTGGCGGCATGATGCGCCACCTTCGCTCCCTCCGCCTGCTCCGTCGCGACAATGGCTGGGTCCACACTCTCCTCGAGGAAGCAGAAAATGAACGGATGCACCTCCTCACTTTTATGAAATTGAAACAGCCCTCCATTTTGTTCCGAGCAATGGTCCTCATGGGCCAAGGCGTCTTTTTCAACCTCTTCTTCGCCTCATACATACTCTCACCTCGTGCCTGCCATCGGTTTGTTGGATACCTCGAAGAGGAAGCTGTTCACACCTACACCAACTGCTTGAAGGATATTGAAGTAGGGAAGATCCAGCACTGGGGAACGACCCCTGCACCCGACATTGCAAAAGAATACTGGAGGCTAAAGGAAAATGCAACATTGAGGGACGTAGTAGCTGCTGTGAGGGCAGATGAGGCAGAGCATCGGGATGTCAATCACACGTTGGCTGGATTGAGACCTGATGATCCAAACCCGTTTTGAAAGGATGGAATTGAATTGTGTAAAACTAATGATTTTGGACGTTTCTGTGATATAAATATATGGTATCCCATTGTTTTGAATCGATAAGACTTGCTATCCTACAATGAGTGCAGAATCCCGTTTACAGTTGGATCGTGGATCTACCAATGGGATAACTACCAGATCTGTTCTTCAGATTCGAACCTGTGTCCGCTGCTGCGCACGAGCTGTGTGACTCGGCGTCTGATTCAGCCCCCATGCCTGTCACTGCGTGCGGGAGATAGCTCCCATACCCAGATGCAATCGCTAAGCGATTATCCCTTCCCCCTGCTATTGCTCATTCTCGAATACCTTCCTGCACAATCCTTAGCCCTTCTTTCCCAAACCTCACATTTCTTTTATCGCCTCGCATCTTCTCAAACCTACTGGAAACGCCTCTGTCTAACCGATTGGCCGTGGTTCTTCTACGACGGGACATGCGAACATAGTATCCCACTTGTGGAAGTACCAGATCCTGTGCAGTGTGTTGTGGAGGGTAAAGAACGGAGTAACAGTAACGAACATGTGTGCCCATATCCACACAAAGTACTTGACCACGGGCAGTTCTTTTTACCAAATGACTACAAGGAGGCTTACAGGCTAATAGCCGGGGGACGATACTCCGGATGTCTCCAAGTACTTGGGTCCCTGGTGGATCGCCAAATGTCCGCGTTTGCTGGAATTGCTACGTATGATAAACGCAGCCAAACGTTTTGCATATCCTATAATCCACTGATCATTAGTCAGTGGAGACGAGGTCGAAAGATTCGGCTATTAGATCGCCCAATCGAGGAAACGGAAGAGGTTAGCCATTTGCCAGAGTTTGTAGATGAGCGAATACCTATCTCGGAGCGTCATCGATTTCGAAGAATACCAGAGGATCTATTGGAATGGGACTCGAGAGAACTAAACTTTCGAGAATTCTTCACCTCTCTTCGTCCAGATGGAAGGCCGGGGTTTGAAATCGGGGATGAAGTGGAGATTCAATGGAGGTTTGGTACCCGCGAACAGTGGGCTTGGTGGAGAGGGTATGTGAGCCGGATGTCGGCAAGCGGGGACGGCGAGGATGACATGGAGGACGAAGAAGGAATAACGGTCGCGTTTCCCCATTACCCCGCGCATTCGCCCTGGTATTCCGTTGTGGTGGGTGTGCATGGAAGTCAGGAACCAAACCCTCGTGATACAGGCGATTTAGGTTTTGTGGGTGGAATTCGCAAGGTAACATGTTTGGCTCATCGGGCTCTGTGGAGGAGGAATTTTTCCATGGTTCATCATCATGTAGAACAGGATAGGATTGTGGAAGCTTTACAGGCGGGCTTTGCCAATTTGCAACTCGATGGGCCAGATGTTTTGGGTGGCGCTGAGGAGGGGGAGCAAGGAGATGGAGGGAATATCGCTACATAACCCTTTTGGCTCCCTCTGGTATACTTTTGCGTGGTAGTTTGTAATATTATCTGGTGCTCATGTCCTTTTCTAGAGCGGCTACTCTTTCTAAATACATGCAGATTAAGTTCTAAAGTATCATTATAGCTCGAGTATCTACAGCGTTGTGAAGAGGGCACCTAAGATGGCAAGCATCACAACCATTCCTACATTACGACCCAGTTGCACAGCTGCGCTTGCGCTCGTGCCTGCAGTGCCACCGGGACTCGTCTGTCCACCGTTCTTTGGATCCGTGACGATCTTCTTCTCAGTCCTATTTGCAAATACGTACAAATTTCGAATGTCTGGCTGATTGATGTCTTGGACAAAAGCCGACAGAATGTTTGTGTCGTTGGTAATTCGGAAGTCGCGCCAGGTTGTTTCCTCCGCCTTTTCGAATTCAAATAGGCAGATGCCTTTCAGGTTGGGATGGGCGGCAAGGAATGTGGCATTGGTCATGAATTGCCGCCAAAAGGCTTGCTTGACAGGGAGGTTCCCCGCTCCTGCTGGAACGGGCGCATTGTTTGCGATGAGGTAGGTGTGAAACGCAGCACCCGTCTTGAAATTTACAGCACAGCCATGTCAGCAAACGATCGATTCTGCAAACAAAGAGTGATGACGGTTCACCTCTGAAATGATCATTGGCTTTTTGAACTGACTTGTGGCTCCCGAATATGTCTGATAAAAATTTACACCTTGAAGGGATCCTTGGACGCCATTGAATTGGCCTTCAATGCTGGCTTGAAAGAAGCCTGCGGGTGGGATAGCATTCTCCTGCCATGGAAATGTTCTGCGAAAACGGGTCAAGGGGAAAGATTAGGCCTAGGGTAGAGACTAGACACATGCGCCAGCTTAGTCACTTACAATCCATAGTAGTATATGGATATGCCAACCCAATCGACATATCTGAAAAGGAAGCAGATGAATTTAGCGTCTGCCTAAAGTCCCTTGATCAACATCCCCTCTTACTCTGTTCCCGGCCAGTACGGGAGATACGGATCATCCTTGTTATCCAGCACACCGTCCTTGTTAGTGTCCAATGCGGCAAATTCCGCGGCATCGACAGCATTTGCTGCACTATACGGCTGAGCAGTAAAAGGATTGAAGCCGCCATTTGGAAATGGGTATCCGCTGCCAATGTTTGGTGACCAGATGAACGCTACAGAGTTTGGATACTGTGCAACTGCGTTCCTGACGGCAGTTACAACACGACGCCAGAGATTGATGTATTGGACAGGACGTTGCCCATAGGCGTTCCAGCCGCCTATAATTTTACAGGGTGGAGGTCAGAACGGGCTGCGCAGTCAGAAAGGGCTGCGCATTGTCATGTTTTAACGCGTACCGTTCATCTCAGGCGCTAACCGAATCAATGTTCTACGTCCATTCTTGACCCAATCAGCAATCTGTTTTGCAAAGTCATTCACGACTTGGTCTGGCGCAAGAACTTGATACACTTCATTTCCAGTTGGCGTGAAAGTAGGGAGCTTCTGAGGATAGACGGTCAAGTATAGAATGGCATCTGTATTTGTCTCATCGACAAAGTGGGTTGGTGGAAGCGCGGATTGGTTGAGAGGAATGTCGAGGGCCATTTGAAAGAGAGAAGCATTCTGGCCGAGTCTCTTGTTGAACAATAGCGGTGAATCGCCTCTTCCTGGTGACGTGTCTACCGACCCCTATCTGGATCAGAATGCTACCGAGATGGGAACAGCAATCATGTGGAAAACTCACCCAACCAGGCACCAAAGAGCACTCCCGATGGTGGTTCTAGAGGGGCAGCGAGAGCAGACAAGCAGGACGACAGCAGTATGAAATTGCGAAATGACGGAAACATTGCTTTCAAAGTGCAAGTGCACACGTTATGTAGAAAGTCCAACGGCAGACAGTATGTGTCAGGGAGAGGGGGCCATTGTGGGGGGTTACTTTTATATACATTGCAACGTAGGTGAGGTCACTGGCAAATCGATGTCATTGGCATATGTGGAAGAAGGGGAAGATAAGAAAGGAGAAACATTCCCAGCCGTGGCTATGGCTGGTCTTTTTTTTTTTCCCTCCATTGCATCTCCTTCCCCCCCACTCCCCCGCCAAGCAAGTTCTTCTTTTTCTTTTGACTCATTCTTGAAATGGGACATGCTGCTGCTACTTGCTTGCTTTACTGCTGCCAGTTTCTTTCTTTCTGCTTTAAAAAGAAAGATGTCCCGAGTACGTTGCATCCAGCAGGAAATTCGAACAAGAAAAAAAGGTACTTGGACCAGAACTAGTAAAATAGAAAGGATCTGACAGATACTGACGATAACGTAATGAATTCATTTATCCATATTGGGAAATCATTAGGTCATGATGCAAGTAGCGCACATGGGATGAAGATGGCATGCGCTATGCAAGTCTCTCGCGTCTTGTCAACTTGCTTGGACTTGGCCTTTTAGTTAAACAATGTGGCAGGGGCTGAGTTGTCCGCAACTAGCAGCAGATTTACATTTTTCCCTTGTCTTTTGCAGCAGAATAATTTCCAGCACACTTGCCACAGTTGATACAGGCCGTTACAGAGTGCGGGTTTAATCGATATGCATGTGTGTATGTGTGCGGTGTTTTCACCTTTTGGGCAAACAGCGAGCGGGAGACCGATCCTTCACCCCAGAGAGCTCGCATTTATGGGTGAATCCGCTTGTAGTCATTACCAGATTCGAGAACTGGATGTGTGATTGCTTACTAATCGGTGACTGGAGATACTCCGATCCTGACATTATTGACAAGATGACTGTGATATTCCATCGACGTTATCCATGTTGTTATATATAGTCCGGACTTTTTAATCTCGTAAGCTACCTACCGGACATTCCAAGTCACGCTTTCTCTGTGTTAGATCGGCGGAGCTGTAAAGGCCATATACCATAAACACAGCCTGCTCATCTGCTGCAAGTTCCTTATCTACGACTTCCTAACACATACTGTTTTACGAAAGCGGCAGGATTCGGCTTCAAGCAGCAGTGCAAGCATGGAGGATCCTCTTTTGCCGGACGGAAATCCTCCTGCTGCCCCCCCAGTGACACAGGCTTCAATACAGCCGACATCTCGGGTCAACTCCGGTTCGGGACTTGCTGGCGTAAGGCAGGATATGCTCAGCAATGGAGAGACCCTCCACAGTGAGATCAAAGTACGTTTTTTTGAGTGTTCACGCTCAATATGGATTACGATGAACAAGTGGATCTTTTTACCATCGATGTCAATCTACAGGAATCCAAGTTTAATTTTGCGGATCTCATCGGCATCATGGTCGGTGCAAAGAAGGCAGAGACTCCGCAAAAGCCGAAAGCCCTGCCTGAGCGATTTCAGCCCGTCCAACCTGAGCCACGTCGAGACTCTGGAGCTGGATCCGAGGAGGTTGGTACATCTTGAAAACCCACTTGGAGCTCTTTGTTCCTAATGACCTTTCCTACAGAACCTCCCATTTGCGATTGACATGTCTCATGCCAATCTACCGCCTCTTTTAAAGCATTTTTCGTGGACCCGCGCAGCCCCATTCAAAGAGGAAAAGTATGCCCGATCAGTGTCCGATACGATCGGAAACAACTACAGCCCACACGCTGCGGATCTGAACATCAAGCAGATGCCGAGCATACCACCATTGCCACCCAAGCGTGATAGAGAGCGAGGTAGCTTGCACCTAAAAGTAAACGTGGGCAGGCTATAGTTCTAATTCGTTGCCCTCCATAGGGATAGATAATGATCGAGCAAAGCGTCCAAGATCAGGTCGTGAAAGGAGGTTCGTTGAGCGTTGCTCTTTCGATAGGTTGATGGGGGATTCCCTTAAATTTGACAAATTATACAGGACTGTCAGTTTAGATCGGCGCCACGAAAAGCCTCCCATCCACGTTGAAAGCAGACCACTTTCTCCATACTCTCGTCTTGCGACTGCTTGTCCACCTTTGAAAGACCTTGGTGAAATCCCGCAAATGGCACCACCTGCATTGGATCCTTATGACCTCGAATCTGACAATATTGCTAAACAATTGACGGCAGAGCACCGGTATTGGTATTACGTGGAGAAGGGAATCCCAGATGATGCGATAGCGCCAATGGATCGCTCAAACATGGAGGCCGTGCGGAGTCTTATTCCATCGACGCTTCTTTCATCGGATTCGTTAGTTTCTACGCGGAATGTGGTGACGCAGGAAATTCGCGATGAATACACCACGGCGCTCAAACGCAGCATCGTAGACTACATCTTGTTAGACCCAGCGGAACAAGAACGTCTATGCATACCACCTTTCTTTACACCCTACAGTCCCCGAATTGCACGAGCGCCAGTACCATGGCATGAGAGTGTGGTCAGTGCGAAGGGATACATGGACGAAAATCTCTTTGTCACAAATCCTGTCATGCTGGATGTGCTGGCCATATTTGAGCAATTCAAGCACTCAAGGGTTGCGGATATGAGTGTGTTCTCACCGGCGGTGCTTCCTATGACAATGGAAGAGTTTCAGGCGATCCTGAAAAACCAATGCCAGGCATTTAAGAACAAAATGCTAAATGAGTGGATACCGTTGGTTGCCAGCACGTTCTTCAACACAAAGGACCAATGGTATAGTATCGCCACGTCGTGCCAAGATCCGGATGTGGGATTTCGCCGCTTGGATTGTTTTTTCAAATCCGTGTGTGCGCTAATGTCGAACCAGCTTTGGGCCATTATGTATGCCTCTTTGGACGAGTTCGAGAGGTTCTTCACGCAATTTGCGAGCTGTAATTCTGACACGTCGGTGTTCACTGTCCGGCTGGTCATCTCTGGTGCCCAGATTCGGTTTGATCCACCGCTGAGCGATCTCGAGAATATGATCGTCTCGATCCTGGACGAAATGGTCACAGCACTACGGGACATTCCTCGCGTGGAAACAAAATTGTTTTCGAGCCTGACCCATGAGCATCTTTACCTTCCAGCCATGACTTTGGACGATGATCGTATTGGCGAAGGAAGATACGTCCGCAACATCGTGTCCAAGAACACGGTTGCACCGCAAAAGCATTTGATGAGTTACGACAAGTACAAGGCTCTTTTAACGACAAAGGCGGAGAAGAGGATAGAGGACTTTCTGAGGGAGAAGCACGATTTGGATGACTATGAGACGGTACGAGACACAAGACATGTTGACAGCCTCAACCGCACAGGCTTATCTCATTGAAATGGATAGGAAATCAAAAAGCTGAACAAGATTATTGAGGAGATTGCCAGCTCACCATCTATAGTTCGTTTTAGCATGATTTACCTTGAATGTGATGCGTTGAAAACTGAACTATCCGCGAAAGCGCAACAACTCGTTCAACGCCTAGTGGATCAGGTGGCTGATATGAATCGGAAGATCAATCTTGGGTATGAGTCCCGTATTTCGTCCGCCGACTCAACTTGACCTCACACACAACCCTCAATCAGTATTTGTGAATCCTACGAAAAGATATCTGCAAAAGCCATGAAAGCTCCCGCAGACACCGAGGAACTTGTTGAACTGATGAAATACGTCGATAACGCCAAACAGCGAGACATTGTTGCCTTGCGAGATGAAATAACAAGGGGAAAGAGGCGGCTAGACTTCTTACTGAGTTATGCATTTATGAGCGAGGAAGACATCAAGCTGAACGGTGTGACCTTCACATGGCCTGGGAGAATTCTTCCGATCTTTGAATTAAGCAAGAAGAGGATGTTGCAAAAGAAGGCGAAAGCTCAGGAAGATCTGAAGGCTAAGATTGGAACAACAAATGACGAATTGGATGAGTGCTTTGAGCAAGTGCAAAAGTTCCAGGTATTGTGCACCATGTCCTGGACCTGCGACCTCTTTTCTCATCTTCTGTTCATTTTAGGATTACGGTATAATGTCAGAACTACCTGAGTACCTTAAAAAGATTAAAGCTCTGGAAACTAAATTGCACGAGTTAGATGAAACAATTCGTCGTATAAATGTTGAAGAGGAGCTACTCGAATGGGAGAAGACGCCTTTCGGGAAGCTTCAGCAGACATTGGACCTTCTCAACCCCTATAAGCAACTGTGGGGAACTACTTCATCTTTCCAAACCGAATACTCGAAATGGATGAACGGATCGTTCCGGGAATTAAATGCGGAGACGGTCGAAGAAAATGTGCAGAGCATGTTCCGCATTATGTTCAAGTTAACAAAAACATTTTCAGAGCTTCCTGTTCCACGGAAAGTTGCCGAAAGCGTCAAAAATCGTCTTGACAGGTTCAAGGGTCACCTACCGCTTATCACCATTCTTCGAAATCCCGGCCTTCGGGACCGTCACTGGGAGCAAATGGCTGAAATTGTTGGTCAACCCATTCATCCCGACGAATCGACCAGTTTAACGAAGATTTTAGATCTGAACCTAGAGCAATACCTCGGGCAGTTTGAATCTATTTCAGATGCGGCGTCGAAGGAGTTCTCGCTTCAAAAGACGCTGAGTAAAATGCGGGAGGAGTGGGAACCGCTAGTGTTCAACTGCCTTGAGTACAAAGAGACTGGCACGAGAATTTTGTCGTCCTTGGAAGAGGTCCAAGCGTTATTAGACGATCAAATTGTCAAAGTGCAGACCATGCGTGGATCGCCATTTGTGAAGCCTATCGAAGAGGAGGTCAAGAATTGGGAAACGACGCTGATCACCATTCAAGAGATTATTGATGCTTGGCTCAAGGTTCAAGCTACATGGTTATATCTTGAGCCAATATTCACGAGCGAAGACATTATGGCAGCCATGCCCACTGAGGGTAAAAAGTTCCGCGTCGTCGACAAGACGTGGAGAGACATAATGGCCAATACAGCCGAGAATCCAAAAATCCTCTCTGTGGCACACGTGCCAGGAATGTTGAACCGTCTCAACGACAGCAATGTCTTGCTAGATGACATTCAAAAAGGACTCAATGATTACCTGGAAAAGAAACGTCTCTTCTTCCCACGTTTCTTTTTCTTATCAAATGATGAGCTGTTGGAAATCCTGGCGGAAACAAAGGATCCCCTCCGAGTCCAACCTCACCTAAAGAAATGTTTCGAAGGCATTGCAAGTCTTACGTTTCAAGACAATACGCGCATTATTGCCATGTGTTCCAGCGAGGGTGAACGAGTTCGCCTCAAGGAGGTTATTGAACCTGCTTTGGCAAAGGGTGCTGTGGAAAAGTGGCTGCTACAAGTAGAAAAAGTAATGCAAGCGTCTGTACACCAGCAGGTTGGCAATGCATTGAAAGCGTACGTTGAAACGCCGCGGTCGAAATGGGTACTCGAGTGGCCTGGACAAGTTGTCATTTGCGTTAGCCAGATATTTTGGACGAAGGAGGTTACTGAGGCCATTCGACAAGGTGGTGTCCAAGGACTCCGTGCGTACAAGGAGCTTTGCACAAAGCAATTGGAAGAAACTGTCGCTCTCGTTCGTGGAGACTTGAGTCCTATGGCTCGAATGACTCTATCCGCATTGGTGGTAATCGACGTCCATGCACGAGATGTGGTAGGAGAATTGGAGATGCAAGAAGTGACGCAGGAGAATGATTTTGGGTGGCTATCTCAATTGCGTTATTACTGGGAACAAGATGACGTTCAAGTACGCATGATCAACGCTACAATCAAATACGGCCACGAATACTTGGGTAACTGCCCTCGACTCGTTATTACTCCCCTCACTGATCGTTGCTACCGTACTCTCATTGGTGCTCTGGATCTTAATCTTGGCGGCGCTCCAGAAGGACCCGCTGGTACCGGCAAAACAGAGTCCGTCAAGGATCTCGCAAAAGCAATTGCGAAAGCATGTGTTGTCTTCAACTGTTCAGATGGCCTCGATTACATTGCCATGGGGAAATTTTTCAAAGGACTCGCATCGTCGGGAGCTTGGGCATGTTTCGATGAGTTCAATCGAATTGACTTGGAAGTGCTCTCAGTGGTCGCACAACAAATCTTGACTATTCAAAGAGCGGTTGTTGCTAAGATGGATAAGTTTGTTTTTGAAGGCACAACTATTTCATTGAACAGAGGCTGCTCAGTGTTTATTACGATGAACCCGGGATATGCTGGGCGATCTGAGTTGCCAGATAACTTGAAAGCGTTGTTCAGGCCGGTGGCTATGATGGTGAGGATGAACGCAGTCACATGAAACGATATAATATAGTTACCCGTATTTGTGTCAATATAGGTACCCGACTACGCTTTGATTGCAGAGATATCACTTTATTCGTACGGATTTGTCGAGGCACGCACACTTGCTCGTAAAATTGTTGCCACGTATAAACTATGCTCCGAACAGCTATCCTCGCAAGACCACTATGATTACGGTATGAGAGCAGTGAAAGCTGTCCTCACGGCCGCTGGAAATCTCAAACTGAAATATCCTGGGGAAAATGAGCACATCATCATGCTTCGATCTATCAACGATGTTAACCTCCCGAAGTTCTTGACCCAAGATATTCCTTTGTTTAAAGCCATCTCGGCTGACTTGTTCCCAAAAGTGGAACTTCCAACCCCAGATTACAGACACCTTTTGGCGGCTATCACGGGCACCATGGCAAAGATGAACCTCCAGCCCGTTGATAATGCCTTGGAAAAGATTATCCAGACGTACGAAATGATGTGTATTCGTCACGGATACATGATGGTAGGGCAACCATGGTCTGGCAAAACCGTGGCTTACAGGGTGCTGGCCGCTGCGCTGAATGAAATGGCGGAAAACGGTTTAGGTGGTGAGAAAAAGGTAGAGTATCGGGTTATCAATCCGAAATCTATCACAATGGGTCAGCTGTACGGACAGTTTGACCCGGTCACCCACGAATGGACCGACGGAGTTCTTGCAAACACATTTCGAGAGTTTGCTGTCAAAGGAGCGGCTGAACGACGCTGGATTATTTTTGACGGGCCTGTTGATGCTATCTGGATTGAGAACATGAACACCGTGCTAGATGACAACAAAAAGTTGTGTTTGACCAGTGGAGAGATCATGACAATGTCCCCTACTATGAGTATGCAGTTTGAGGTTGCTGATCTGGCTGTAGCCTCTCCTGCTACTGTATCTCGATGTGGTATGATTTACATGGAGCCTGATGCCTTAGGCTGGCGTCCGTTGATGGTATCGTGGATAGCCACCATGCCCCCTTCACTAGGACCGGAGCAGAAGCAGCTTTTGGAATCATTATTTGACTGGGTTGTACCACCGACGTTGGAATTTGTGAGAACAAGCTGTCGCGAGTTTGTGCCCACAAGTCCCATTAATCTAGTGGTTTCGCTCATGACCTTAATTTCGTGCCAAATGGACGAATTCAGCGCGGAGAAGAAGTCACCGGAGGAAAATCTGCCTCCTAATATTCAAAATCTGTGGTTGCACTGCATATTCCTCTTTTCTGCCACTTGGTCCCTAGGTGGAACCATTGATGGGGAGTCACGGAAGAAGTTTGATCGCTTTTTCAGGACGCTCGTCGACGGGAATAATTCGGAACACTCACCACCGCGGAACGTCAAGATTGATAAACCCATCCCGGCAGATGGCCTTATATACGATTATGTATTTGAAAAAGAGCGAAAGTTTGGAGGCTCTTGGAAGCTCTGGGTAGACACGATTCCAAAGTTTGAAATTCCGGCTAAAGCGAAGTTCAACTCCATCACAGTTCCTACAGTAGATACGGCTCGGTATGGCCATCTTTTGGATCTATACATCACTCATGGAAAGCAAGTTTTGTTTGTTGGACCTACGGGAACAGGGAAGACCGTTTACGTCAACAATAAGCTGCTGTCTGGCTTACCACAAAACAAGTATACACCTGTCTTCATCAATTTCTCGGCCCAAACAAGCGCCAATCAGACGCAGGATATCATCCTCAGTAAGCTCGATAAACGCCGTCGTGGTGTATTTGGCCCGGTTCATGGTCAACGGTGTGTGATATTCGTGGATGACTTGAATATGCCAGCTCGCGAAAAGTATGGTGCGCAACCTCCCATCGAGTTGTTGCGCCAGTGGATGGATCATGGACAATGGTACGATCTTAAAGATACTTCTGCGATGCAACTAGTAGATATTCAGTTTGTTACGGCGATGGGGCCGCCTGGCGGTGGGCGGAACCCTGTTACCTCCAGATTCCTGAGGCACTTCAACACAGTTGGAATCACGACCTTTGAGGAAACAACTATGAAACAAATCTTTGCTACAATTGTCGAATGGCATTTAACAACCAACGGTTTCCAACCTTCCGTCGTATCGCTGAAGGATAAACTTATTTCTTCAACTTTGGAAGTGTACAATACGGCAATTGCGAGTTTACTACCGACTCCGGCAAAGTCACATTACGTATTCAATTTGCGAGATTTCTCCAGAGTTGTTCAGGGGCTCTTGCTTGCCACACCTGAGCGTTTTCAGGATCCTGCAAAAGTCATTCGTTTATGGTGTCATGAAGTATACAGAGTTTTCTACGATCGACTGGTTGACGATACGGATCGCTCTTGGTTTTTCACCACAGTTAAAGATTTGACATTCCGGCATTTCGATGTTCGGTTTGAAGAAGTATTTGCACACTTGGACGCCAACAAGGATGGAAAAGTGGAAGATGACGATATGCGATCGCTCATGTTTGGAGACTACACGCAGCCAGATGCTGCGGTGAGGTATTATGAAGAGGTCACCGATGTGGCAAAAATCTCGGAAGTCATTAAACTTCGGCTGGACGAATACAACCAGATGAGCAAAGCACCAATGAATCTCGTCATTTTCCGGTTCGCCATTGAGCATGTGTCTCGCATTGCTCGAATCCTCAAGCAACCCGCTGGACACGCCCTTTTAGTGGGTGTTGGTGGGAGTGGGCGACAAAGTCTTACCAAACTCGCTGCGTATATGGCCGAGTATCAGTTATTTCAGGTCGAGATCTCAAAATCGTACGGAATGAACGAATGGAGAGACGATTTGAAAAAGATTTTAATTGCCGCAGGCGCACAAGGGAAACCCTCTGTCTTCTTGTTCAGTGACACCCAATTGCAATTGGAATCGTTCTTAGAGGACATTAACAACATGCTCAATGCCGGAGAAGTCCCGAACATCTTCCCGTCGGATGAAAAAGCCGCTGTGATCGAGCAAGTGCGTGCAGCTCTAGCAAAGGATAATCCGAAACTTGATGCCTCGCCAGCAGCATTATATAGTCAGTTTATTGCCCGGTGCAAAGAAAACCTTCATATCGTTCTGTGCATGTCTCCCATTGGGGATGCGTTCAGAAATCGGTTGCGCATGTTCCCATCGCTAGTAAATTGTTGCACAATCGACTGGTTCCAGGCTTGGCCAGAGGATGCGCTCGAAATTGTTGCCACACGATTTTTGGAGGATGTAGAACTAACTCCTGAAGTTCGTCCTGCTGTGGTAAAAATGTGCAAAGCATTCCACACCGGTAGTCGAGTTCTTTCCCAAAAGTTTTACGAAGGCTTACGGAGGCATAACTACGTTACTCCTACGAGCTATCTTGAGCTCATTCAGACCTATAAAACACTGTTGGAAGCTAAACGTCGAGAAGTCGACGGACTCAAAAGTCGATATGTAACTGGACTCGATCAACTCGCCAGTGCTGCTAGCCAAGTCGGAACAATGCAAAAAGAGCTTAATGAGTTGCAACCGCAGTTAGTCCAGACGCAAGCTGACACTGACAAGATAATGGAGGTCATCAAACGAGAAAGTGTCGAGGTGGAAAAGAAGAGATCTGTCGTCAAAGTGGATGAGGAGGCCGCTAACAAAAAAGCAGGCGAAGCAAAAGCAATCAAAGATGATTGCGAAGCTGATTTAGCGGAAGCCATTCCGGCTCTTGAAAGTGCTCTTGAGGCTTTGGATACTCTCAAGCCGCAAGATATTACCCTCGTGAAAAGTATGAAGAACCCGCCTGGAGCCGTCAAACTTGTCATGGAAGCCATCTGTATCATGAAAGGAATCAAACCAGCGCGCATTAAAGATCCTGGTGGTAGTGGCAAAATGGTTGAGGACTATTGGGGACCGGCCCAGAAAGTGCTGGGTGACTCTCACTTTTTGCAGAGTTTGAAAACGTACGACAAGGATAATATTGACCCGAAAATAATGGAGAAAATCCGCCGGACGTACATGCCAAATCCAGATTTCGATCCCAATGTTGTGAAAAACTCATCTGGTGCGGCAGAGGGTCTTTGCAAATGGGTGAGAGCGCTGGACAAATATGACGTCGTTGCTAAGGTTGTTGCACCAAAGAAACAGGCGTTGGCGAAAGCGGAAGGGGAGTTGGCCGTCGAAATGGCCAAGCTGAATGAAAAACAGGCGGAGTTAAAGGAGGTTGAAGATAAAATGGCTGCGCTTCAGTCACAGTTTCAGGCTATGACGGCGAAGAAAATTGATCTCGAAAAACAAGTTGATCTTTGCGGCAAAAAACTAATCAGAGCCGAGCAACTTATTGGTGGGCTTGGAGGGGAGAAGGATCGATGGACGGAAGCCGCCAGTTCGCTCTCAGCCATTTATAACAATCTGACCGGTGATGTCCTTTTGGCCGCCGCGGTGATCGCTTATCTTGGAGCATTCACGTCGGCCTATAGGCAGGTATGCCTCGGAGAATGGAACCAGCTATGTGTTGCTAGCGGCATTCCTTGTTCGTCAACTTTCTCCCTCGTGTCGACATTGGGCGACCCGATCCAACTTCGAGCGTGGAGTCTGGCTGGTTTACCCAACGATAGCTTTTCCGGTGACAATGGTATCATCGCGACCAAGACCCGCCGATGGCCACTATTTATTGATCCGCAAGGTCAAGCAAATAAGTGGATCAAAAACATGGAGAAGAATAATCGCTTGGCTGTGATCAAGTTATCAGATGCAGATTACGTGCGCACTCTTGAGAATGCCATACAATTTGGTACACCTGTGCTTCTTGAGAATATTGGCGAGGAGGTGGATTCCGTGTTGGAACCACTGCTCACCAAGCAGATCTTTAAGCAAAGCGGGGTCATGTGTCTACGCCTCGGCGAAGCCGTCATAGAGTATTCCCCGGACTTCAGGTTTTACATCACTACAAAGTTGCGCAATCCCCACTACCTACCCGAGTTGTCAACTAAGGTCACGATAGTCAACTTTATGATCACCCCGGAAGGTCTAGAAGACCAGTTATTGGGCATTGTCGCGGCAAAGGAACGACCCGAACTTGAAGAGGAGAAAAATCGCTTGGTCGTTGCCAGCGCGAATAACAAGAAGCAATTGAAAGAGATTGAAGACAAAATCCTGGCAATTTTAAGCAGCAGTCAAGGCAACTTGTTGGAGGATGAGACGGCCATTAACGCTCTGACGAGCTCAAAGGTGCTTTCGGATGACATCGCTCAGAAGCAGCGTGTGGCAGAAGAAACAGAAAAGCAGATAGATCTGACACGTCAAGGTTATCGGCCTATTGCAACGCATTCTTCAGTGTTGTTCTTTGTGATTGCAGAATTAGCCAATGTAAGTTTTGTCTTTGCCGTCCTTCGTAATGCTCCACAAAGGAATCTTATTGTTATTCCTTCATAGATTGAGCCTATGTACCAGTATTCCCTCCTCTGGTTCATCAACATTTTTCTTCAGTCTATTTCAGATTCTGAGAAGTCTGAAGTAGTCGAGACTCGTCTCGAAAACCTACGCTCCCATTTCACTTACAGTCTATACTGCAATGTTTGTCGTTCCTTATTCAAGAAAGATAAGCTTCTCTTCTCCTTCCTTCTTTGCATTGGTCTAATGCGTGGAAGAGGCGAGGTGGACAGTGATGAGTGGATGTTCCTTTTGACCGGCGGTGTTGGCATGGATTCGGGGCTTCCACCGAACCCGGCGTCTGAATGGCTAAGTGACAAGAGCTGGGGTGAAGTGTGTCGGCTATCTGCCCTCCCTGCGTTCAAAGGCTTCAGTAATACATTCAAAGAGTCCGTAACGGCTTGGAAGGAAATTTATGACTCCGGAGAACCCCATAAAGAACCTTACCCTGCTGGCTGGGATCAGCGGTTGAGTTCATTCCAGAAGCTCGTTGTGCTGAGAATAATTCGACCTGATAAGCTAGTACCCGGCATTATGGACTTTGTCAAAGCCAAGATGGGCCAAAAGTTCATTGAACCACCGCAGTTTGACCTGGCTGCTAGTTACATAGATTCTAATAACTGTGCCCCTCTCATTTTCATTTTGTCACCCGGCGCAGATCCGATGGCGGGGTAAGTAGCCGGTAACTGGTGAATTTCAGAGTACTGAACTGACACAATGATTTGTGCTGATAGGTTGCTCAAATTTGCTGAATCGAAAGGCTTTGGAGGGAATAAGCTGAGCGCAATTTCCCTCGGGCAAGGCCAGGGACCAGTGGCAGCATCCATGATAAGAGCTGGCATCAAATCAGGAGGCTGGGTCGTTCTTCAAAACTGTCACCTTGCCGTGTCATGGCTTCCGACGTTGGAAAAAATGTGCGAGGAGCTCACCCCTGAAACTACTCATCACGATTTCCGACTGTGGCTCACGTCTTACCCCTCCGACCGCTTCCCAGTCGCCCTCCTACAAAATGGGGTGAAGATGACGAACGAGCCACCCGCGGGGCTTCGAGCGAATCTTTTGAGAAGCTACACTAGTGACCCCATTAGCGATGAGTCCTTTTTCAAAGGCGTCAAAAAGAGTGCCGAGGCTACATGGGAAAAGTTGCTCTTTGGGCTGTGCTTCTTCACGCACTGGTCCAGGAACGAAGAAACTTTGGACCTCTCGGATGGAATATTCCTTATGAGTTCAACGAAAGTGACTTGCGTATCAGCACCAGACAGCTGCAGAAGGTAAAGTAACTATGTTGTGATAGATGGCGGACGTGTGAGGCTAACTGTTACACACTTGCACGAACACTAGTTCCTTAATGACTATGACGAAGTTCCCTGGAAAGCATTGGCGTACCTTGCCGGGGAGTGTAACTACGGTGGTCGCGTAACGGACGATCGAGATCGACGTACCTTGATGAATATCATGTCTCTATATTACACACCTGAGATACTGGACGATTCCCACAAACTATCCCCTTCAGGCACATACACCGCACCATCAAAGGGCTCCTATGAATCATATCTTCATCACATCAAGTCCTTCCCTTTAACCGCGCACCCAGAAGTCTACGGCATGCATGAGAACGCAGACATCGCCAAAGATCTAGCGGACACAAATCTTCTCATTTCTTCGGTTCTCGTCACGCAAGCGCGAAGTGGTGGTGGAGGCACTGGAGGGAAGAGCAAAGAGGATGCGACGAGCGAGATTGCTAGTGGGATATTGGCGAACCTTCCAAGTGATTTCGATGTGGCGGCAGCGTCCAAGGCGTATCCAGTCAAATACGAAGAAAGTATGAATACAGTGCTGGTGCAAGAGCTCGTTAGGTTCAACCGGCTACTGAAGGTCATCCGAGAGAGCTTGCAGAACGTGATCAAAGCTTTGAAGGGGTTGGTTGTGATGAATAAGGAACTAGAGGATGTCGCCACTAGTCTGACCTTGGGGAAAATCCCGGAACTGTGGGCAGGAAAGAGTTATCCTTCCTTGAAGCCTTTGGTAGGTCAAAAGCATCAGTTACAACTCCTTCCCATCCTCATGCACTCACTGAGTTTATGTTCAGGGCGCATATGTGTCTGACTTCATAGCACGTCTAAAATTCTTTCAGGACTGGATAGACAAAGGCACACCAACCGTCTTCTGGATTTCTGGATTTTTCTTCACGCAATCTTTCTTAACAGGTGGTTATCTGGTGTAATAGGCATGACCCATTCCATACCCTTTCTTAACCGTCCCTTTGCCAGGCACCCTTCAAAACTACGCTCGCAAATATTCCATCCCGATTGACCTTCTCACTATGTCATTTACCGTCCTCACCGACGTTCTGCCAACCACAGCTCCTGAAGACGGAGTCTATGTCAGGGGTCTATTTATTGAAGGTGCACGATGGGACAGAAAAACAAACCTACTCGGCGAGCAATACCCAAAGCAGCTCACCGACACAATGCCAATTATTCTTATCACGCCGGTAAATCAAGACGATCCCCAACTGCAGAGATTGAGGGAAACAGCGTATGAATGCCCGGTATATAAGACAAGTATGAGAAGAGGGACACTTAGCACCACGGGACATTCAACAAATTATGTGTTGACCATGTTCTTGCCGACGGACCAACCACAAAGACATTGGATTATTAGAGGAGTCGCAATGGTGGTGAGTTGGTGGAGCATGGTTTGCAATGTTTATTCTGCGCAGTGTCCTAATTTGCTTTTTCTTTTCTCAGCTCCAATTAACTGACTCTTAGACTGAAGCTGGGGTATCTGCTGCAAATGTATATAGGTGTGGTCGAATAATATTATGATCTTGTCTTGGAGTTCGTAAGCCCCTTGAAGAGCCAGCACCATTTCTCTCCCTATGCTATTTTTCGAATTTGGAAGCCAAGGTTGAATGCGTCATATAGAGACCGAAACTAGGTAGAAATGTGTGTTCCTCAAATATATTATACCCCCAAATGAAATCCCGCAATCTAAATCACACACAAGGCACATACAAATGCTCAAACCTTGCCTTCCATCATCAGCACAGTTCACTCATAGTGAGAATACAACAGCGAACATGCTAAGATACGCTAACCCGTAACGAAGACTTCACCAAGAAGAGGTCATCAATCATATTCGATACCGCTTGATGCCCTCACGTGGAGTAACAACTCAAGCACAAAAAGCTGCCAGTCCTCATTCACCATCTCCAGGCATTGCTGCTCCATCGTTTCCAGCCTTCTTCTTCTTTTTCTTATTTTTCTTCTTCTTTTTCGCCGCCTCCTCGTCACCTCCGGGCATGGTTGGCACACTGCCAATCCCCGTGGTACTGTTCTGCGCTGCTAGTTTTGCCTGCTTGAACTTTTTGACGCTGTTTACAGTCTGCCAACCGTCGTTTTCCGGTTGTGCCTCAACGTCTTCGACCTCGAATTCCGGTAGTGTTGGCACTTGTTTAATTTCTTCGCGGACGGCCGAAGCGGATGGTGCCGGTGAGACTGGCCGGACGGCAGTTTGCTTGGTGAGGGGCTTTTCAAAGGCGGCAGCTTTCGCAGGGGATGGGGGCCTTGCAGTCTCTTGCACCTTGGGTTGTGCAACAGGCTCTTGTTTCACCGGGGAAGGGGGTCTAGCACTTGGGGATACAGGGACTGGGCCTGTCAGTGGGGGAGCTGCCTCCGGACCTGCTGCTGCACCCTTCTTCTTCTTTTTCTTCTTGGCAGCAGTAGCTCCACCTTCCACCTGTACTTCATCTACCTCAGGTTTGGGTTCGGGTTCCCTGGGCTGCTTTGCGTCATCTGCCTTTTCCTTATTCCCTTTGATGGCCTTCTTTCCTCCGCCTACTTCCTTCCAGCCACTTTCATCCTTTTTGCTTGCTACGCCTTCCACATAGCTCCAATAGGAAGCTGTGGAGCTTTCACGGCTGAGTGGCGGTGGACTTGGAGTGGCTGTCTCGTCGACTCGTTTCTTCTTATTTCTACTCGGGCGATGTACATGCGCCCGCCCACTCCAGCCGGGTACAGAAGGCTGGTCCGAAGATTCGGTAGCCTGTACCTTATGGTCAGCATCATCATCATCAATCCTGGCTTGAACTCTCCTGGACTCTAGTTCTCTTTCTCGCTCGCGGTCCCGCTCCTCACGCTCTCTATCGCGTCGTAGGCGCTCTTCCTGATCGTGCACAATGCCCTCAATCATCTGCCGCGCCTTCTCAACGCTAGCTTCTGATATCCCTCGAATGACCACAGTATCTTTGGTTCCCTTCTGAGCGCCACGAATTATGTCAATTTCAGCACCGCTCTCGGAGCGGAGCCTATTGATCGTGAACCCTTGACGGCCGATGAGATGCGGGCGGAGGTCGGAATCCAACTGTATCCGGTGGGAATGTGTGTACTTCGTCTAGACGACCGCTCGGATAAGGTACACATCGAATATGGAGAAAAATGACACGCCGGAACATACCAGTTCGTCCAAAAATTTTTCACAGCTTTTGACGCCCTTATCCACAGCTTTTGTATCTCCACGCACTACAAAGCATGCACCTTCTGAACCTTTGGTTGCACCGCTGCTCAATTCCGGGAACACTCCAGATTCCTGTCGTACCCGCTTTGCTATATCTTGAAGTGCAGCCAAATGCATGTCCCGCTCTGCTCCAGTGGCGGCCTGAATAGCTTCTAGAATGTTGTGTGGAATCGGCACTGACTGGGAGATGCGAACTCTTGACTGCATGGATTATCCATGTTAATAAGATGTTCGAGTCACTGCTACATAAGTCTCTCAACGTACCAAAAGCTCATTTCGCGCCTCGTGCACATCGCTTTCCTTACCAATTCTGGCAGCGATCCTGATCTTCACAAAATCGTCCTGCTCACTTCCCTCCTCGTACCATACAGTCACACCGAACCTCTTCATTACATCCATCAATCCCTCACCGCTTCGACCTGCAACTCGGTTACTATCTGCTTTCGGTATACTGATGATCTTCTCTACCACATTCGAGTCTCCAGAGCGGCCAACCAATTCCACTTCGCGAGTCTCACCTTCCTCGCTACTCAGGGCTTCGTGGACAAGGCGTTCAAGCTCCTTTTGCACCTCAGGAACCACTCGTAGATGGGCCTTAATCGTCACCGTATCCTGAGCGGAAGCAGGGTCGACATGTGCTCGAGGGAACTGTACTTTGAGCTTGTCTGGTCCGCCGAAGTTGTCGATAACAGATCGAATCTTCGACCCTCCCGGGCCGATGATGTGTTTATGGAGATACGATGGAATTTGCATCTCAACGGACTGGGTATTCACCTGTAATATATATGTAAGCCGAGCCATTACAGATACCAATGTCAGGATTTGAGAATACTTCGGTACGCACCATGTCATCCACAGCCTCCAGGATCTTTTGTCTAGCGTCGGCGCACCCTTCCTTTGTACCCTCAATGATGCACTCAACGTTTTCATCGTCATCGTCCATATCCCTGAAATCAATTCTCACGTCGCACTCGTCCTTCAACTTCTGGACCTTTGCACCAGCGCGACCAACAATATGAGGCAGACATGCCTTCGCGAACAGGAAGGTGGCAACAAAGGAATGGAGAATCTCGTGTTCGACCAGCTCAACTAACTCCTTTCGCGCAGCCGCGACATCGGCAACACTGCCCTTGATGGATACCGATCCAGTGGCTTCTTCGCTGGCTTCTAAGTCCTCAACCGATGCATTCTCGTCTTCATCGTCTTCCCGAACGGTCGTACGGTTACGGTCTGCAAACTTGACATAGATGCTGTGTTTCTCGCTTATTCGTTTGATGCCCTTGCCTTCTTTCCCGATGATCCTGCGTAGAACTTTGCGACGGATATCTCCGCCAATTTCATGCAGTGATTTACGTGTTGTTCCAGACACGGCATTAAAGAGATCAACTTCTTCGGTGACCGTGTCGGCCAGCTTCTGAGCCCGCTCAGCGACGACAGCTTTCGCCAATGCGACAATGGTCTTGGGTCCGTACAAAGTAAGAGTATCCTGGTCCACTCCCACATCTACTTCTGCTCGCAAATTTAGATTAGGAGGAGTCAATTCCTTCTCACTGATTTTGCTTTTGTGGACTTCGCCGGACGCAACCTTTTCTCGGACAGCACTAACAATCCACTTTAGGTCTTTCCCGCTACCAACCAGCCGTCGGCCCAGTCCTTTTGGAACAGTTATGACCTCAGAAAAGCTGCTCATGAGCTCTACATGTCGCCATTCGGCCACCTGTTTGCTAATTTTGTCCGCCACCTCCATAGCCTCCTTCTTGGGACCGCGGATAACGACCGCGCTGGGATCGCTTTCCTTGCCATTCGCTTTGGACTCCTTTGCACTTTGTTCCACGTTTTTGGGGAATTTCACGGTCACGGCATTTCCGTATGGAGAAAGCAGCTCCTTCAGTGCAGCACCTCCTGCGCCAATCAAACGACCGTGGTACTTAGGGTCAATGCTTATTGTTTGCGTGACGAGGTCGGCTAATGCTGTCGCTTGCGATTCAAGCTCCTCTTTAACTTTCTCGATCAATGTAGAACTTTCCTTGTCGCTGGCAGCCAGCCCGCCTTTCGCGCCGGGTATGCGCTTTACAACAATTAAAACTTCATCTGATTCATCGCTCTCGTGTGGCACAATAACATCGACTAGTCGGCCGTCCCATTCCTTTTTCGCCCGGACCTTTGTAATATTCTGTCCGCCTTTGCCAACCACAAACTTGTGCAACCCGCTTGGAATCTCCACTACGCCAAAGGACAGCAAGCTACCCCACTCTTTGACCAACGCATACAATGCCGCCCGTGCAGCATCGGTGTCCATCTTTGTCTTGGACTGAATTTCCAAAATCGAGTTCCCCTCAGTCGACTTTTGCTGCAATATCGTAGCATTGTGCGCGCTTTCGATGGCTTTCAGCTGATTGCGCTCCTTGGTGTATACATACCGCAAAAATAATTCAGGGTCAGTAGATGGCGAGATTGTTGCAACGACATCAATCTCATCGATCACAATAGAATTTGACTATAGATGAAGTCGATTAAGTCATCGCGGCCAACTCACTGCATAACAGGGTCATTTACCTTTTCAATAACCAGCTGCAAAGCTTGACTTAGCATGTTCTCGGGCCCCCTGATGGTAATGGTCTCAGACGGATCTGATGGCGGTGGGAGTTCGACATGACATCCAGTTTGCTCCATTACTTCCTGTAGAGCTGCCCCTTTCTGACCGATGATGAAGCGGTGCTGACGCTTTTTGACGGGAATCTGCAATGTACGCGTGGTACGTTTCTGATACCATCAAGTGTCAATAATGCAGCGCTGCAAAAGTACAAGGATACTAGGAACCTACCACTTCTTCATAAATAGCCCTCAAGCGCTCTTCAGCAGCCAGAACCGCGGTGCGTTCGCCTACAATGAGGATATCACTGGATCCCTTATCTTGTAATGTAGGCACTACGGGCGGGATGTGAATGCGTGTATCTGTTTCCAATTGTAGGAGCTGTACTTGAGAGCCATTGGGCCCTGCTATGAACGGGTGATATGAACGTTCGATGCTCACTCGCAGAGTGCGCTTACTCGTCTACACGATTGCGACTTGTTAGTTTTTATGTTTACGCGCGGTGGACAGAAAAGGAAGACACACCCGTTGCGAAACTAGGGTTTCAATTGCCTTTTTTGCCTCTTCCACACCCTCATAATCGCCGATAATCACAACATCCTGTTCCGGCTCCTCTTCCATCAAATTATCGGAAACAGGGGCATTGCGATCCTCATCGGAGTTGCGCGGAATATCAATCTTGGTTAAGGTTCGGGCCATCAGTGCTTTGATATTTGCACCCGCTTTGCCCACGAGATGGGGCCGAACTGACGCCGGAATCGTGATAACCTCTTTAACCTATGCACGAATATCAGTCGGTATTCCGCCGATCTTGGTAACATACGTTCGCTCACCTGAAGTGTAAGGGCGCTAATTACTTCACGCTTCGTTTGCTTTACTGCTTCTGGTTTGCCGTTAATAAGCACGGTAAGGACGCCCGTTCTACTGTTGCTGGATAGATCGATAGATGTTCCCAAACGCGACATGATCTGCTTGCACACATATGCGGCTGTTATAGGCTTTCCCTTTTCATTTTGCAAGTTTGCCTACACAATTCGATGAATAACAAGTATATATAGCTGACATTCAGAACCATTTGTTGACCAACCTGCAATTGTGCGGGGATCTCGAACCGTTCCGTGATCTTCTTTGGCCTACCAATCCCGCCTGATGGGGTGGCACCACGAGAGGATCCAGAGGATGCGGAAGCTGCACGAGCGTGTCCATTTATGCCCTTAGTCGCCCAGGCACCAATGGGTGACTTCCCAGGGGCAGCAGCTGGTAAAGCAGGAAAAAGCTCTTCGCTACTGATATCAAGGTCGCGCTTCACTGCTGGTGGCGCCTCAATTGCACTATCAGTCTCCGGCACTGGCTCCTCCTCGTATATCGACAATGGCGCTGCCGATGCCTGCTGGACCGATAAGCGTAAATCATAACAAATTGTGAATATCAGGTAAACATTGTCGCGAACCTGAGGGGTCGTGTCTGGATGGAGCTGATTTTGGAGTTGGTCCAAAAGCGAACCACCCGCATCAAGGTCCATGGTTACAATGTCGTATGGAAAATACGTGCGCCTTAGAAATAATGGTTGTTAGTTGCGGACGAGCTGAGCGGCTTGTAGGTAAAGAGGACAATCCGCCTCATAATATGATCTTAGCGATGGCCACAAAATCCTGCAGGACAGAGATATCTCATCCCCTATCCTGTTTAGTCGCATTGACATCACACATCTCCTCCTCCCTCTGCTGCATTGACGTTTATCACCACACAATCGCGTGCGTACCTTTTTCTCAATCGTGAATCCGTCGAGCTACTCAAAACGGAGACCACTCCAAAGAAAGCGCTCGAGATATCCGAATAGAAGAAACACTAGCAGCTGCGATGGTCGACGAGGTGACCAATCCGAGGGAAGTTCGGAGCCTGTCGGTGGAATGACCGTCTACCGTTTGATTCAGCGATCCTTTGCTGAATACGCTCTTGGAGGTGTTCGGAGACGAATACACCAGGCAGTGAAGATACCGTCAATACACCCCAAAACGACCGGAGCAGAAGGTGGAGGGACGGAAATTCCAAAACCCACGACGTCGGCGACCCACGCGACACAACTTAGGGCTTTGTTGCTACGTCGGCTTCCTACTAAGCCACGGCCGCTGGGTATGAACTGTGCCACCCGTTAACGCCTAATATGGATAGATGCGAGAGTTGAGCATTCGTCTAAAGCGATTAAAACCACCGGGCGAATACAAGCCGATCATATTAGAGAACCAGAACATGACATTTCAAGACTCTTGTCGCTATTGCCGCCATTCGCTAGATGAGCGATGTATAATATAAAAGTCTCTAATGCTATGTGTTGCATTATAGAAGTCCTAGTCTCGGCTAGAGGGTACAATCAGGGCCCCGCACTTCTTATATGCAGGTCCGTCAAATGGAAACTCCTTTGTCTTCGCTTCACCGGCCTTCTTTTCCAATGCCCTACGTTCATGTCTAGGTACGTCAAAATTAAAATGAGTGCACCTGTCCCTACCAGCAATAGCCAGTCCGAAAACAGCCACAATATCAGGGGAAACGTTAGGTAAAACCCGCGCAACTATGTGTGCATGTATGGTTATCAGAATACGATACACATTGTCAAAAAGACAGAACAATCCGTTACTGACCCCGAAGGTATGAAACATGGCCCCTCGGTTTAACAATTCGCAAATCACATCGAAATCCAAATGTCCCTCAACAAGCATAGCATCCAAAAGTTGTCTGTCCTTTCTCTCCTCCTCATTTTCTATTTCCTGTGAGACTACTTGAGAGGACTCTGCACCGTTGATGTTATATTGGCTCGACTGAGCACTGGCTCTTCTTTGTTGCCTGATCTCATTGGTTTCCCGCATTCCCGCTGATGCCGTGATGAGGAATCCAATGTGGGTAAAATACCTCATGGCTTGGGTGAAGCTGAAGAACGCGCCCGCGTAAAAGCTAATCAGAATAACTGAACGCACTATTAATGACCAAGACTTAAAACATACAATGTAATCAAATTTACCAAATTTCCATTGATAAATATCCAAACTCAAAAGATTGGCATTGTTGCTTTTGCTCAAGTTGCTGACGAAAGCGGTCAACCCAATGGTGATCGTAACGGAAGCAGTTGCGAGAAGGGAAGACGTCATCAGCCTGTCAACAAACCGCAGAGAGATTAGTGGTCAAATGCTTTTTCTCCGCCTTTAACCAAGGGCAATCACCAGTTCCTCAGCGTTTGCACTGTTAAGATGCCATCCTTCTTTTCTACAACGACTCTGCACCAAGCTCGCCTGGCAGCCCGTGTGAGACCGATAACAGTTCTATTTGGATTGATTCGAGTGGCAATCCATAGCCAGCCATGGTAAACGAGAATAATGAGGAGCGATACGAGGGCTATGGTCAGAGTGGTCACATCTGATTGTTGCATGCTTGTTGAGTAGTTCTGTTTCGTCATTTCAAGATCCGCAGAGGCAAGGGGGATGTCACCTGACAATCAGCAGTGGGCCACAGCTTCACTCGCAATCTCGCAATGCATTTCTTCACACCCTGGACCGTCATGGTTAAGGCCGTTACTGCTCATACTATAACGTCCAATCAGAGAAGTCACATCCCAATAGGGTAGTTTACGGGTAGAGAGTGCACTAAGAGATGCGTGCTTGATATTTTAATGTATGTCCGCTGGGCCTCTAACATTGTAATCTTCGACTCTCCAACATGCCCAGGCAGAACTGCGGTACACTCTAATCTATCTACTCTATGAATACTTGCGCCAACAGATTTAGTACTTTTTGGAAGGACACTTTCCGTGCCCCGGCTTTCCCGAGCCCGGGCTGCCAGGATTGCCAGGTTTGCCACCCTGGCCAGGTTTGCCGCCGTTGCCAGGCTTGTCACCATTGCCCGGTTTCGACCCGCCTGGTTGCCTAGAGGAACCCCAACCACACTTCTTTCCCGCATTCTGCTCTCTCAGCCATTCCAACAACGGGGCAAAATATTCAATAATGGCACTCCCATCTACGGTGTCAAACATGCCGTTTGTCCCTATCTTCATGGCCTCTTGCCAGGGTTTCGACTGACCTAGTGAAAGCATTCTCGTGAATTGCTCACCCGCTTCCTTGCTGCCGAAGATATCACACTCGTGCAAAGGTCCTGTATGTCCTGCGGTCTTGCAGAGAGCCTTGTGGAAAGAGAATTGAATCACGTTGGCTCCAAAGTAGCGAATGTAGGGGGTATTTGCCGGAATGTGGTATTTTGCTCCCGGGTCAAAATCGTTTGCGCCTGAGGAAACGGGGCGCTTAACGCCTTGGTATCTTTCAATAAGATTCTCCCTGGAAACGGACTGATGTTGGATACAGCATGTGAGCAAACAGCGGTGTTGCTCTTACCATTCCTGCTGGTATTTATCGGGTTGTATTTCGCCAGCGAATACCCTCCATCGCCATTGATCAACCAGATAAGTCCACGGCAAGCTCACAATCTTATCAAGGGCCACCGCCATCTGAGCATTGATCACTTGCTCAGGTGAGGTTGTGACGTTGCCTGTGATGAGGCCAACCTTTTTGAGATGAGATGCAGTGACGACAGACAGTTGCATTGTGTCCCCGATAGCCTCGTGGAAAAAGTCTGCGGCGCCGCTGCGGAAGAGGTAAGGTTGCTTGCGGTAATAATGGTCGTAGTAGAGATGCCCTTGCTCGTGATGCACTGTCATCAAATCGCTGTGCGAAACAACAGTGCACATCTTGATCCGTAGATCGTCATTGTTGAAGTCCCATGCTGAGGCATGACAAACGGCTTCACGATCGGTGGGCTTGGTCAGCATTGACTTTGTCCAGAAACTTTCCGGAAGTTCTAACGGTAAATCGGACGACAGATCAGCATCTCGACGTTAAGCTTACGCCAGAGATCATGGCTAATCCGAGATCACGTACCATCCATTCCAAGGGAGGTGTAGAAGGACTCTGACAGCTCGTGCATTTTGACAGCATCATATCCTTGCCTCTTGAGTTCCGCGGTGGTGTCAATAGGCTGCACGGCCGGGTAGGGGATCAAGAGATCGTAGATACCACCCCATTCTTGAGACCTGAACAAAATTTAGTCAAAGGGTTGACGGCAAGCTGCTGAAAGGAGGCCCTATTTACCACATGTTACCCAAAATGTGTGCCGGCATGTAGCCGCCGTCCAGTTCGACTTTGTCTTTTCCATAGATCTCTGAGAGCTTTGAACGAGCGTAGCAATGGAGCTGCTCATAAAGTGGGGTCACCTGCTGCAGGGCCTTTTCCATCATGGCGGTAAAGTCGTCTTGTCTCATGTCGTAACCGGCTCTCCAAAGCACACTAGTATCCTTAAAGCCACCGTCAACGGCACCCTTGTTGCTCAGCTCTACAAATCGGGTATAGATCGGCTTTATCAAAGGCCCAGTTGCATTCCTCCACGAAATGTACGCATCTAGTAGGGTATTGTAATCCCGACTGGTGGCAAGGATTTCAGTCAAGTCAGGATCAAGCGGCTTCCCGTTTGCCTTTGCTGTGGAATAAATGCTGCTCATTTTGCTCAATGCTTCCGTGAGCTCTTTTTGTGCTGCGACATCCTTGGGAATGCCGCCATTTAGCTTTATGAGGTCGAGTTGACGTTTTTCATCTTCAGTCGTTCCCTGATATTGTGTCGACTCCGCCAAGATGGTTGTCATGAGCTGATCGGAACGCAAATGCTTAAATGTTAACCATTACGCTTCTGGAACAAGGACGGTTACTGATGCTCACTTGGTTGTATCTCAACGACGCAGCATTGGCGATTGCTTCGTTGGCATCCGTAAGGTTCGTGTCAAATCTCCACTGGGCTGGATTAAGGTTAATACAGCAAACAATCACAACTTGTTGCCCGTAGCGCATCGGCGCGCCTACCTTCACTAGAAAGCGTTGACTCTGCAGTGAGTCGCCGATCAACGTCCTTGAGCCACTCCGCCGTTGTGGCAAATTTGGTGGATGGGGCTGGACGGGTTCCCTGAGGAAGAGCAGAGCCGGAAGCCAAGAGTGCAGAAAGGGCCAGGAATGCAGATTTCACCCTCATGATTGCGAGATGAGGTTATGGTCAATGTGGGGAGAGGAAACGTCCATCGTCCCTTTTTAACTCTCGTCATACTAAGACTAGCGACCAATGTCCCAAAGTCAAATTCCGATGGCCTTGAATTGGCACAAGGATGGCGCTGTAAAAACAGCGCGCAGAGTGACCTTTCAATTGTCCAAAACGCATGGAAACCTGCCCAGATTGGAAAAACTGGACGAAAATAAACACCAGACGATGAGCAAAAGCGAGATAATTCTCGTCCACAGTGGAAAGAATCGTGATCGGAACACTATAGCCACGGGTGCACAAAAGTCTGCGCGTCTGCTCACTTTCATGTAAAAATGATCGTGGATTGCTTTGTATCTTTTTTTTTTTTTTAAAGTTTGCGCAACGCTAAAAACCTAATCTAGCTATCTTCCTACATAGGCTCCCGACATATCTATCCAGTCTGGTTTCACCAAATGGGTCACTATCAACTGTTGACCGCAAGCATGCCTGACCTCGCTTGCTATACCCGTTTTGTTCCCATTTGCATCCACACCTTCTCCCATCACAAGGTCTTCTTTAGGCTCTGGATGCCCCAAACCCAATTCTAGATCGCAATCCAGAGCCTCATCCTCACATTCGATGATGGATTCAACATAGTTAGCATCGGCGTTCAATACCATGTGTCGTGCTCCTGCGGTACTCTGAAAAACAGTATTATCAACGCTGGTGAGCGGAAAGGTTTGTGGCGCTCTGAACGATCGAAAGGGTATATTGGCCAAAGAATCCCACTCCACATCCAAAATTGGCCGCGCTACAGAGCGTAATGGGGATGTAGGTTGATGATCATCAGTGGTATCCCAACGTAAATCCGAAACAGATGAGGCCACATCTTCCATGCCGGCCAGCTCGCCTTCTTCGTCCGACGACTGCTCGTCTGTCCGCTCGTGGAATAAATTGGCCATCAGGATGTGGGCTAATTCGCCTCGACGGCGAACGTAGCGCGCGGTGCTGTCTTCAGGGTTGCCAAGTGAATCCTGATGCAACTCTTCCTCAGTCTCATTCAATCCTACTGCATCCTCGTCGACAAGCACGCTTAATACAGTTGCTGCCACTCTTTGAAAGTACTCTTCATACCAAGTCTGAAGGTTGTCGATTTCCCATCGGATTATGGACAAGTCTTGTTGGATGCGTTCACTGGTGTCTCTCAAATCTTCCTCTTCGCTAGTATCGTCGTCGAGTTGGCCGCCCAAGTACACCGTGATTTCGTCGGTAAGCTGTAGGTCATGCTGTAAGCCGCTATTGACCTGCACATCATTATCTCCGTCATTTTCAACATCATCCATTCCAATTTCCCCGCCGAAAAGAGAGGCCCAGGCAGTACTTGTTCTAGGACGGCCATTATCATATGTGTGAGAAGTAGAAGGGCGCCAAACATCAGAAACTCGGGTCGAATGCAATGCGTGAGCTGGCGGTTCAAAAAGCGTGTCACGGATCATCACAGAAGATGGTGAAGAATCCTCAGCTTCTCCTTCCTCCATTGCCACATGTTCTCCATCGAGACTCGAAACGTTCGTGTGCCCAAGCCAAGGGCCGAGCGTGGAATCCACAAGGCGGCTATGAAAAGGACAAGGCTGACGATGAACTGCATTCACCATTTACAGGTATCAAAAGTCCCTTTCTAAAGAAATTGCAACGGGTAGTGCAATCCAACCTGGTCCCTCGTCCTTACATACTCGAACGCCTCGTCGCAGCGACCAGTTAACGCGAACGCGAACATGCATGAGGCATCCCAAAAAAAGACGCATATCCTGAAGTAGTCAGTCTGCAGACTATAAATGGGAAGACTGACCGCGGCAGTGCTATAATTGGAAATCAGCTTGAATTGAATTTAAACGAGATATTGTTAAAGATCACTGCTATAACATCTTCCAATAAATACTATTGATATACTCCATTGCACATTGCGGACCTTTAGGAAACGAAAATGTGATCACTACCTCTGATCCTTCAAGCTCCAGCGCCAAGGCATCTCCTCGATCCACCAATGTTAACTCTCTCGTCTTCAAATTATAAATAAAAAATGAAAGAACAGCAAAATGTTTGAAAGAATATACACGCATCCCCAGATGAATTCCAGGGATGAGCGGCATGGTGCACCCCTACGGTGGGCACATAGCACGCATGTGCACGTCCTTGAATGTGCATGAACAGATGTCCCATGGACTTGAACAAAATATCGCCCGTGGGACTCGTGACATCATATAGACCTACGAAAAGACTAAATGAGAAACAGAACGCTGGGAGACGACGTATGCTCATCTACCTGAGCAATAAATCCCATTGTCAATAAAGAGTAAGCTACATCCTGTAACTGTTAGCCAAAGTCATACGCCCAAATGTCATAAAAACACTGTACCAGAAAACCCAATGAACCGCCACTTGTAAGCCCAAATCTCCCTCCATGAACGTAACAGAGGTATATTAGACCCGTTTCTGTATCCGATGGTGTATCGCGAGTTAATGTATATGGTAATGAGATCAAAGATAAAGGCTCCGACAATTTGGATAGTGACGACCAGCGGTGCGTGATACCACTCAAACACGATTTCGCTTTGGTTAAACCAAAATGCGTTTGTATAGTTGCGGAACAAAAGGCCAGTTGTGGATAGAAACATGACTGCACTGTTTTCCAGAAGAATCTCGGTCTGAAATACAATATTGTTAAACAAAGTGTTATAAACAGGAATCAAGGAACTGCAGGGACGCACCATAGTCTCGACGGCCAAAAGATACTTGTATACCTCCAGATATCCTTTTTCGGTATGCGGTACGTCCTTCTTGTCCTCGGTGGTCGCGACGAACCGAAGGAACAGCCGATAAAAAATCCGAGTACGAGCAACATCGGTTGAACGCCAAAAAACCCGCCCTATCATCCGCGCAAAACTTTGTTGGTGCTGGAGGTATTGTGAGTTAACTTCACCAGAAAATGAGCCTTACCGACATGAACCGTCAAAATGGTGGTCAATGTATTTAGAAACGTGTTTACGGTAGTAACCATGCTCGCTTGCATTATGATAAGATGGGACTGTGCTATTTCGTATTCAATCGTTTAATTGGTTGTGATCCGCTAGCAGCAAAACAGCAGATATCACTTTACCATGTGCCATTGCAAGAGTATCCAGGACGCTCAGCTTATCACCAGCCTTGCTGATCAGAAGATGTCGGGCTGCAAGCTTGACGATGGCCTCTGTGCATCAGTAGACATGTGGTGAGCTCACGCGCAGATCGCAGACGTTGCAAGCGCGAGACCCACCCCAATAAATCGGATGGACTGTAAAACGCCAGAGCATCCGCATCTCATTTGACAAGCCCATGTAAATGGGTATAAGCCATATTCCATACGCTAAGGCGGACACCGCAACAACAAATTCAATGACCATGAACATGATGCCGTCTCTGGTACGTTCACGCCAGTCCGGTGGTTGTGAGCCTGGAATCTCTCTTCGTTGGCCGTAATATCCGCTGAAAAATGTACAGACACCGAAATGGGAAGCTATAATAAATACGTCAACATAGTAGAACCACCATGGCCAACCTATAAAGCGGACGTTAAACAAGATTCCTTATAGATCCACCACTGGAATGACGGAAATACCTGACCGCCACAATCCAATAGAGAGTGCAGCCGCAGAGATAGAAACAGCTAAAGTCACCCAAATCATGCTCGTCGCCTTCCATCTCTTGAAACCGTGAACAACAATAAACTGCACCGCAGTAAAAATAGGCAAGGCGCAAACGAACATCAGCATGCCAATTATCGCAAAAGCAAGGCTGTCCATGTGTCCAGGATTGCGTGATCCGCCGCCTTGTGGTTCCCGCGGCTCCCATTTAAGTAGACTTAGAGCGAACGCGAGCAGGTTTCCTCCCAAGGCGATCACAAAGCTGACAAGCAAGCACTGTGCATATGCAACCACAATTCGAAGCAGAGTTGGATTGTCCGCTGTCCGGTGAGCGGGAATGCCGACAGCGATGATGCGGCGAATGCTACTGCTTCTATCAGGTGGTGAATAGGAGGCAAAATCAAGGTCCTGTGTTGTCGTAGAGGCAACCCTTCCCAACGAGGCCCGTCTTGACAAGATTCCTGCCCATGTATCGTCAATTCCATGCAATCCTGCAGTATCATCCGTATTATGTGTTCCTAGTATGATGTACGAGCTTGTTCCTTCGGAGGTTCTCAAGGAACCACAGTTGGATACTGGCACGGCCATATGCCTCCAATATTCAATTTACAAGGATGCTGAAGCAGCCGGTGTCCGTCTTGGTAAGGTTATGATTTAGTTTCACACTCCACTACATGTGCAAATCGATTCAATTCAGACCTAATCTCCGTTAATTCGCCATAAAGTTCATGCTTCTAAGAAGCATGCGGATCTGCCGATACCATACCAGAGCTGGAAGCCCTACCCTGATTCATATGGACCAACCCTGGTGTTTCCAACAGATCGGTGTTGGTTTTTCTTATCGAAAACTAATGAATGATACTTTAGTACTGAAGACGCCTGACTGATCCTCAAATGGGTCCATTATTGTTGTCATTTTGGTCTATTTAAAATTTAAATATCAATAGTAAACTGCCTTCCACAAAACGTCCAGTGCAGCAGACTCCTTTTCGTACACCACCCACATGCCCATTTCTCCAGAAGACCGGCGACTAACAAACCATTTCTTCGCGATGTACGCAGGGCGTATGACACATACTCTATCTGGGCTTTGAAAGTCACGTATAACTAAAATTGGGTCGTGTGAGGAGCGTAAGACAATATGAAGGGGTGTGACGTCTCCGATATTGACCCGAGCTATTAGACCAACTACTACGTTTCCGTGGGTGCTGTCGGGATGTATGGGAATGATCGAATAGATATGGACCATTCCAGCAGCTTGTACCAGAAGGGTACCAGATGGAAGGAGGTGAATGGATTGAATCCCAGTGGTATCATCAAACGGTGTTCCTAATAATAGGCTGCTAGGGGACGCGGCAAAGAGAGTTTGCCCTCCTTCCCGAAAAGTTGCTGCTTCGCCGATTCGTGCAAGTAGCGCTCCGTTGGACACGTCGAAGAGTTGGATGTGATACCCAGATCCGTCTTCGACGAGACACGCCAAGTAGAGGGACGATAGAGCGAGCGATCTTGCCCGAGTCTTTGGAGCTAGCTGCTTACACCATAGGAGTTCTGGCTTTAATTCCGGAGAGGGAGGCAGACGCCATAGGCGTATCTCAGCTCTGTCATCGCTAGTGCTCATTCCGATCGTGTTTGGATCTGGTTGAACCCACCACGCAGTGCACGATGCTTGAAGATTGTTGTATCTCATCGCCACATGTGCTGTCGACATCGACCTGAACCGGGTGAGCAATCGTGGTTGTCGCTCGCTTGTGGTTTCCACATTCCAAACAGAAGTCCATCCTCCTTCCCATTGACCTTCCCATTCGTTTATGGTCACCAGACTTTCCCTTGTATCGCTAGCTGGACTAGGAACATCTATCCACTTTGCCTTGACTTCTTTAAGCAGAGCGTTAATGGTCCTGCTTCGCTCGCAATCCTGTTCCTTTGTTTCTCCCGAAAGATCCACAATAGACACCATTGGCGAAGAGATGCACACTTTGGCATCTCCTACCAATTGACATGTGAGACCAATTGCAGGTCCCGCCGCCGGAATTGCCGCTAAATAAGTTATGGTCCTGTGTCCCCCTTCATCCGAAGGAAGTTCTGCGGGAATCAATAATCGTTCACCCTTTGCCCGTTGGTTTGCAGCAGCACTCAATTGAATGCCCCACAAATGCCACTCTCGGAAAAGATCCCTCCATTGCTGCCCGCGCAAATTGATACGGACGTTAGCCGGAGTTGACCTCCTCCAGATATCTAACAAAAGAGGTCGCCATATCGTTCCCCGATTTCCTCGAGAGATAGATGCGAGCGTCTTACAGGTCTGTTCAATGCGTAGAATACATAACGCATCAAGATGCAAACAAATATAAAGAAGGATGTCTGTTGGTAGGTCTAAGAGATTTCGTAGTTTGTGATGATCGGGATAGTACATGACGGTTGGGTCCTCCAATTCCATAGAGGAGAGAGTTTGCAAAGCGAGACAGCCCAAGTCATTTTCATGTCGACTAGTCTTTCCTTGGTTTGAGAAGGGTGGTCGGCCCAGGAATCTTGCCCAGTTTCAGATTCCTTTTGCTACTATCCGCGTCTCGAAAATCGGTTAAGCGCTGGCCAAAATACAGATGAACTTTTTGACTACGGACGCAGAACACATTGTCCTTTTTCTTTATCTCGCAACCGGGGAGGTGCTACGAGTAGTAACAAAGGATAGTATTACAAAGTAGCGTATAGTGGACTTTGCTCAGGTTTAAGAATGTAGTATCATTCGTTGAACAAAAGATGTAAATTGGCCAATTAAGGCAGCATGGCATATGCCCTCCTTCTTCCCAAAATACAAGCTAGCGATCCACTTGCTCCGCCATCCGTGCCAGCACGGATATTCCAATCCAACCTATCAACTGCAACCTCTGACTATAAGTGGCACCACACATAAGCAGTCTGAGGCGCAAGCAACTGTCATCTCTTTCTTTTGCTCTCATGCACTGGTGGAAGCTTCACCTGACTGAGCCTTCTAGTTGTAGGTGGAGGCCTCGTCTCAGGTGACAGCACCCCTGTGACAGGCGGTAACGTCAACCCCGTGGCATCCGGAAACGTAGTATCTACGACAAACGTATCCAAATACGAAGCGTAACGGCTTTGTCTTGGCTCTTTTGCTGATGATTTCCTGCGGTCATGTGAAGTAGAGGGGGCGAGAGGAACAGGGCGATGCGAATGGGAAGAGTTTGCGAGGTCAATACACATATGATTGCGGGCAGTACTTGCGGGACGAGAGCTACTGTGTGGGGTGTGTGGAAAGGATCGTCCATGGGTCGAGTGGAATTGTTGGTTTTGCGATTGAAACGAACCATGTATTCTTCCCGACGGTTGCAATGGTGGGAGACTTTGTCGATTAGATTTGGAACTGTGCTGTCTTCCTGTAGGGGAGTTTGATACATGACGCTTGCTTCCTTCGCTGGTCCTGCGTCCGGGACTCATCAGCTGGGGTAGCTTGTTGGCGTGCTCCGGGCTAGATTGTCTATAAGACCATCGGGTACGAGATGGGAAATGGGTGATGGCATTGACAGAGTACATCCATGACGACGTAGTGTCGGCAGCATTGTTGGGTCGTACGGTCCCTGCCGACAGTTTTGATATTCGACTTGTATGCTTTGGGCTGGAAGGGGACCTCGGCACGTTTCTTCCTGCCAGGTCTCGGCGTGCTAGGTCCTCCATCCCGCTGGATGGTAATGAATGAAGGTTTGATAGATGTAAAGAACCAGTATGGTGTTGGGTATGGGCCGGGACCATTGAAAGGAGATGTGGACGTATGAAAGGGCAATGGGAAGGGGATATATTTTGTATAAACTGTGGTTACGGTTATGGTCAAAGGACAAACCCGCTGGGATGGTAATTACGTTGTTCTTCGATATGTTCACCTTGTAAAGACCCTTCTTCACCCGTTAAGTCTGATAGCCTACCACTATTCAGTAACAATGGACCCTAAACCAGCGCGACATGGCCCCCTACTAAAACAAGAAAAAATAGTAAGGGAGACATTAGGGTTATTCATTCCTTGAAAAGGCCTAAGGATTTCATATCGGAGAATTTTAACATGCGGGTTCAAAGGTCGATGGATGGACAAATATCCTTGTAGTAGACTTGTCCTACTAGGAAAGCAACTGCAAATGTTATATCGCCTTATCTACACAGACTTCTCGATCCCCAAATGAAAGGCCATCTTTCTATGGAAATGTCCTAGGACGCCTGTCTTTGATGTGGCAGCATGACGAAGGATGCGTTACGTTGGCAATTTGCGTTGCAGGGAGACGTTGACTGTATCCCGTAATAGCATCAGTGTATCAGTGTGCGAAGTGAGCAAAGGCTAATGCCCGCTATGGGAGGGAGGATTTTGAAGGCATATCTGCAGACTATTTGATAGCTGCGTCGATATGATGGACATGGGGAATTATCTTACTTGATTCCTGCAGCGTATATGCAACCTCTTGCATGCCAGAGCTTCAGCCGTCCCACCAGTAGTAGCAAGGAACCTATCTCATTCAAACTGCGTGGCATATATTGCTGCCAAGGCACTTCTGCGCAGGGGAAAGCATTGTGATCCGTATGGACAAAACTTGTCGGATAGGTGCAATCGTCAATGATCCACGGATTTGCTTGGTCCAAGACCAGCACACTGTGGAGTGGTAAGGTAGTTTTGCTTCAAATGATATGGTTCAACATGATTCATTGATTTCTACATTGCATCCTTTTTTATTGCAGTGGGGACCAAATGGTTTTCCACCAGCCTGCCAATTAGTCCACCATGGATGAGTTGAATTTGAGTGATAGAGACAGAAATCTCCTTTCTTATCCACCGGACAGTCGTCGAAACGACAGTCTGACCTGAGTTCGCAAGATGTCTTCTGCGTCGCATTTGAGTAGAAACACGTAGGCCATTTCTGCACTAACACATTAGAGTTCGCCTGGAAACCATCAACAGTGGTCCTCACGGCGGATTCCTATCATTTTCCTTACCGCCATTTGACATGTGAGAATGACATGTCGCAGAGATGCAGCCCATCATTTATCAAGACCACTGCAGCCGACGCCAACAGCACGCCGGCTCCATTGGAATGCTCCGACCGCTTGAATGCGGGATGTCAGTACACCATCTCTGACTCATCATAGGACAACCGAAAGAAACCCTAGGGTTCACCAATCTCAATCGAAGGGTATATCCTCCTGAACCTCCTGATTAGGGAAAGCACCCGTGAAGAACATGAAGAAACTGCGAATACGGTATTTGAAGACATTGGGAGCGAAGGTGGGTGAACCAGGTCCTCCACGAGATCAGCTTGTTTTACTAAATGAACCTGCTATGCAACTACTCTTTACAGGAACCAAATAGCAAGCGCTACGGCATGTGTATTGCCTTGCTTCTGTTCCGAACTAACCTACAGCAGGGTCGCGATCTGCTGCGGAAAGTACATGACAATTCAGAGAAACATGCCGTTGCACATTTTTCCTACACTACAAAGTAGATCAAAAGGAAGTGTCTATACGCAGCATTACTAAATCGACGAAGGAATCTACAAAATACCGATAACCAGCAGTAGATCATTCGGCGTTCGACTAGAAAGCTACGCGCCTACCCTTAATGCATCAGAAGGAACATTCAAACTCATGCTGCAAGCAGTCCTCCACAACGAGGTGGGTAACCGAATTCCATTCCTAACGTCAAATGAATAAGAAACGCGAGGTTATACACCATGCACATTGCCTTCTGCGTCCATGGGATGCTTGCCTGAAGGACCGGCTCATTGAGATTGTTGTGCTCAAAGGCCAAATATGACACCGCTGCAGTGTTATACGCGAGGAATCGACCGTGATCTGGAGGCAATCCTATCCATCGCGCCCCTACATTGCAATGTTGCTTCAGCATTGCAGTGTGATAATCTCACCGACTTCATTTGATTCCATGCGGACCTAGAACTCTCAGAACATGCCCATGGGAGAATGCCAGAATGTTCTTCGGGTTGTCCAGGCTGAGGGCAAGTTCCCTCGCTCTCTGCAGAAACCTGTCTACCCTTTTGCCCACTGAATGAAAGCTAATTCAGCAGGCCTGTTTTTTCAATGAAATAACATACTCTCAGGAGTAGTCACTCACCATCTGCTGCTGTCTCCCCACCCGGACAGCCATGAATGAAGACGTTCCAATCTTCACCTGCTGGATCTCGTTTCCGAATCTCTGCTGACGTCAATCCCTCGTACTCTCCATAGTTCCACTCTACAAGACAACAGATGAACATTGATATCCCATGAAAAGAACACATGGAGAGATCTCATTGACTGACCTGCAAGATCACGGTCTTCAATCACTTTTAGAGTTTTTCCGCCTGCAAGTTTGAGCACTACGTCGCAGGTTTGCTTTGCCCGTTCCTTTGGGCTCACAAATGCGTAGGCATACTGGCGGGTTAGGTCACCGTGGAAAGTCCGAGCAAAGTGGCGACCCAGACATTGAGCCTGTTTAACCCCCACTGCACCATTCTCAGTCGGTCCCAGTTGAGAGTGAAAAATAAGCACTGGTTATGGGAGCATACCGTCAGAGAGCGGGATGTCAGTGGCGCCCGTATGCTGGCCTGTTTCTCAAGAAGGTCAGGCTTTGAGTCGTTTCAATAGGAGTTCAATTATGCTACCAGTAGCAGTCCATTCCGTTGCCCCGTGCCGTACGAGCGCGATGGACCAATTTCCCCTCCTGTCTGGCATGATTTTTGGCACGATACCTCAACAGAACTACTAGGAAGTTATCTTAAAATCCACAGCATTTTATGACGCGATGCGATTAGTATATCGTTTTACGTAGCACAGCAAGTGGCTTTCTACCGCCTAATCCTAACTTCCTCCTCTCTGCTCTTGTAAGTGGATAGTGCCGAATAAGCTTTCCATAATGGCAGAACTCACTGAAATGTGCTGGTTCATATGCCCATAGCTTGCTCAAACAATGTGGAAAACTTTCTTGTTCTCACTTGTGATTTTGAAATTCACAAGTTAGACAATGACAAGCACCGGAGTGCGTTCAAAAAAGAGGATGATGCTTTGTTCTTGTTGCTGCGTGAATTAATAGCAGTCGCTTTTTTTAACGTATTTGCGGTTCGCTGCGAGTCGAGTCATGAGCTGCTTACGCAATGCTCCGGAGTGACATGCAATGAACCCCTCTCGCGATCTCTGTCCATCACCGGTCGTGCAATGTCAGTATCTGCAGGGCAGCATCCACTCTGTCTCAGTGGACTAAGAGTGCACATCATTGAAACCAAAATGTCCGAAAAGCGTCTTCAGAAGTTGCGTGAGCTTCTTGGCGGGAAAGGTTCCATTATACCCTTGTCACCCCGACGACATTTTGGCTGATGTTAAGGCACATATATTAGGGGCACAAGTGGTGAAGAGGGCAAATGAGGCTGAGCTAGTTGTAACGGGGCTTACTTCTCCAGCACGAATAGCAAAACACTTGGACATGCGCGAGGTAGGGAAACTGGAGTCATTTCCATTCTATTGTGTGCAGTGAATCACACTTCTCCATTATTCAGTTTAATATACCGGTGGTTTCTGCGGATTGGCTGTGTCGGTATATCGGCAACGACAATGTTAAGGAGATTGTGCTTGCCTCCCATGCTACGATCGACCTGGCACAGTACGTTGTTCACGGCGAAGGTGACCCAACCTATATTCCACCGTCAAAAGAAGTCTCTCTCGGCGAGAAAAGACCATTAGAAGCTATTTATGTCTCGTCTGGATCTGACAATG